CAATAGGGAAGCGCTGTGTTTATATTTTGAAATCTAAGCTTCAAATAACTTCTAACATCAACCAATCACAACTAGACATTAAATTATCATAATTAACTGTAAAACGTTTTCATATCTTAGCAAGAATATCAATTCTATGCAGATTACAATCTCCTAGTATTTTGAGAAGATACCTATTTAAACTACTTAAATAAGATAATAAATTATAATTCGAATCATAAATAACAATTCCAAAATTGATGAATTCTTATCAGGCTAATTTTGGGTGGTATATTTGATTTAATCGAATAAAAGCTAGTTGATTTTATTTTTATGATCTTAGAGAAGAAAGGATCTTTATGATTATTTCCTAAACTCAATTAATTTAATTATGAGAAGACGAATAAATACATATAGCAATTTTTCTCGTTTTTATAACTTAATCTAATCATCTTATTATAATACGGTAAAGAAACACTTTATTCATTTAGGAACAATCGAATTTGAAATACAATGATAGAATTTTACAAAATTTAATCTAAATTTTGGATTGGACGAAAAAAAAGAATCGAAATTATTTCAGAAAATTCAAAATATATTGTTAAGTTTTCCGGAAAAACAACTTTAATAAATTTGAGATACGATTAATATTACAAAGTATTTAAAACTTCCAAGCTATCGGTAGGGTTAACTGACAATAATATAATAAGCTTGATACACCAAGAATTATAAGTATCACTAGGTTGAATTTACTAGCTTTTGATGGAACTTATTTCTATTTGTTCATTAACTCAATTGGATTTTTTTAAATTCAGTTTAAGTTCCTTGCTCAAAATTTCTAAATCATAATGATTAACTAAAGAAATTTTCAAGGTAACTTAAAAAATTAGATCAACTTTCAGTTAATTAAGTAGTTCAATAGTAAAAAAAATATTAAATACCTTTTAATTCTTCAAAAGTGGGCTCAATTTAATTTTCTAAAGTTATTATGTAATCTAAATTACTAACATTTACAATTTAGATTTTAAGTTTGACGTTAAGTTTCACTGCTATCTTTTAATTTAACAAGTTGAGAAGATGTCATTAAAAGAAATTACTTATTAAAGGTCATATTGATATATTGTAATTAAATAACTGAATTGTCAAATTGGAAGCATAACCTTTTTTCTTAATCTTATTTGTTACATTTCCATAAGTTCTCAATTTAACATTTTTCCGAACATCTATCCAAAGAGAATATATTTCCATCATCACACTCTTCATTATACAACTTAATCCCATCTCCACAAATTTCATAACATCTATTATTTTATAATAATATCCATTTCCACAATTTAAACACTACCCTTCAGAACAACTCTAACAATGAAGCGAACAAGAATATTAGCATTAGTAACAACCATCAAAAGGTTCATTATTATCATCATCACATTTTTCATCTGATAAAACAATTTAATCTCCACAAATAGATTCACATTTTTATCAATCAAACGGAATCCAAAATCACAATCTAATACTATTGGCTCTTTCAACTATGATAATAATAAACATACACCATCTAATATTTACAATAAATGATTATATAAAATGAAATGTTTGTACTATTTCAAATATAACCTTTAGAATTGAATGATGGCTTATTAATTATTTTTGAATATCAATTTAGAAAATATTTTACGTTTTTCAAATATTTATTTTTATTTAGTATATTTCAAGAAAAAAAAAATGAATTAAGTCTATTTTTCAAGAAATTTCCCTTGTAACTGTTAGAGTAAATCATGGAATAAAGGAATTTACTTTCAGTTTTGAATGGTGATAGAAATTTACGGATGTACTCATAAATATAAGATTTAAAAACTCAATTATTTCATTTCAGCACAATGTTATTCGAAAAATCATTTTCTAAAATAGGTATTATTTACTTGAAGAGTAGAAAGTATAAAAAACAAAATTTAAAACTCATCACTTAATAATATATATTTTAATTAATTCATTACAAATAGATATTAAATGCTATTAGTATAGGCATAATTGGAATGAAATTATTAGAAATTTTAATAAGAAGGCTGAACTAATAAAATAGAAATAGATTATCCCTTTATTAACTCTATCATCTCGGTTCATAATTGAGTCAAATATATTATTATTCTGAATAACTTATTATTATTATGGGTTTGGTAAAATGAAAGGCTTTAGCCATTATTTTTGATAATAGAAATGTATATTAAATTTCGTTTCATAGTAATTCTAAATAATATTAAACACAAAGCACAATTCTTATCAAATCTTAATAATATCAAAATGGAGTTGTCATAATAAATGTAATTTATTAATTCAAATCTTTCCTGAATCAGATCTTTCACTTTTTTCCTTTCCACCCAAAATCCTCTTTTTGGGCATTTTAAGATTCTCTCTACTATATTACTTCAGACCATCCTATTCCATTTCCATAATTCTCAGATATCTCAATCCATTTTACACTTTAAATTGAATTAATTCAAATCTTCAAAAGTCAAATCAACTTCCACTACTAAAATTTAATATTTACTTACATCTATTTGAAACTTTCGAGCTCACTTTTCCTGTTTGCAATATCTATCTGCCTATTTAATTCCATTTTTTTATTCACCTTAATTAGTAACTTATGTCCGGCCATAAAATCCTTTATTTAAGTCAATCCACATTACAATCTTGATAGAGTTAACCTCTCTCTTAGTATTATCCTCCACTATAAAAAGTATCCCATCTACCTACTTTTTTTCTATTCCTAAATTCTCTTGAAAAAATATAGAAAAGATTTCCATAAATAATATCTATTAGATACTTAGCACTGTCATTTATCTTAGGTCTTGTAAATTAAAATTTGCACAACTCCTTGGAAAAATGAATGAATATCCCATCTACCAACTTCATTATTTTTTTATAATCCTCTAAATTGAATTTATTTTGTCCTTATTTAATTACATATGCTCCTCCTTCATTGAAAGATAATCCGTGCATTTATATACACGAAATGAACGATTTTATAAAAACCAATATTGCCACTTCCTAAGTTGAGGCTGCCATTTCCCCATTATTCAGAATATTTGATCTATTCTAATTTACGAAAAACATAAGGAATTGCTGAAATATGTCTTACATCAATCCTTTTGTTATTACTATAATGCACATCTTTATTTTATCCATTCAGAAGGCATCTAAATTTATTATCTAAAGTTAGTGATAATTAGAGCTATTCTACAAGCAATTATAGAAATATCATCTCCGAATAGTGCATTCACACTCATAACTGTTACTTTGCACGTCATTTCTAATTACTTAGGCTCTTAAATTTCAGCAGCACTACAAAATATTTAGTTTAAAGTTTCCTAACACTACATTTTTATCTCTTTTACAAGTAATTCCCATAATTTGTTAAATAAAAAATTAATTGTTATAAATAATCAATTTAAATTTGATGTAAGTAATTAAACTATTCATCAAAAAGAATTCGATGAAACAATAATTATTAAAAGTTAACTCAAAAACATTAAATTTATAAATAACTTGTGTTTTAGATTAGTGATATTTGAATATTTTAAGAATGTTACTTTGAGAAATTAGGAGTTAATCAATTTTAATATAAGAATTAAATGAAATAATCAGTGAGCAGCTAGATATTTAATTCAGACTTATGTATAGGTCACAAAATTTATGACTCGAATATAAAAGACAAATTAAAATATATGGTTTGAGTATCAAAGTTTATCTAAATAAAGTAGCAAATTCAAATATTTCAATTAATTAACATTGATATCATTTATGTAAAAGATGATAAAGATGTTTTGGGTTAGAGGAAAAATGACACAATTTCTTTTGCAAAATAAGCAACCAATTTATCTTGAGAGTATTAATTCAAATAGTTTTTATGATTCTCTATTACTCAAAAGAATTTCAATTAAGAAAATAATTTTAGGTCTAGACAATATTATTTATAGAATAAATATATGCGTGTGCATTCATTTTAACAATTTTAACACTTAATCACTTCAAAGTGTGTTAATTTACAATATAATAGTTCAAGCTTAATATAATTAAAACAAGATCATATTTCGTATTTAATTTATCGTTATCAATACAATGCAAAGGAAAAAAATTAGAAATTTTATTAATTTTTATAATTTATTTATTCAGACTGAGGATGGTGATCAACTACAATGATATTATCTCAATTAAAATTCTTTAGACTCTTAATCCAAAGTAGCTAAAAATTCTCCATCAGGACTAAGCTAACCTAAAATAAGATTGCTATTGAATTAAATTTTTGAAATAAGAAAAATTTAGATATCATGAGTAATAATGATTAAATTAAGTACTGATTTGGTTTGATTTATTAAAATTCCTTTCAATTTATTATACTACATCTGAAAAGCTGTTTGTTCATCGCAGAGTTAATTGATCATAATTTTGCTTTAATGTTAAATTTCATCTTAGTTTTAGTTTAATTTAATTAATCTAATTGACATTTCGTTAATAGATTAATACAATATTATTTAATCAGAAATAAAACTTATCGATGGTGTAAAACTGTTAACATTTATCTCTATAGAGATAAACCAATTAATTTGTTATTTCTTTTTAATAAGAATTATTTTATTGTTAGATGTATAAGTAGCAATTGTTTATTAAGAAGGACTGAATTTTAAACCAAAAATAGAATTCGAATCAAAATAAAAACTCTATTTTAACTACCAATAGTATTTTTTTAATTCCCATAATTAAATTAAGTTCTGACCACCTGAAACCAGTAGATTTTCTTGGATATTTAAAATTATAAAATACGGTTTAACTAAACTCTAAAGGATCTATTAACATTAATATATTTTGCCCACCTAATCCCAGCTCCAAATTTTTATGGATTTATCTGAGGAACCAGATATAAATGAATTTTCAGTCTTTTGAAATAATAAGCTATCTACATTATCTGTGTGATGATTTAAAACTTATATTAGAGTTACTGTTGAATCCTCTAATTTGAAAACTTTAATTTAATTGTTAAATCCTAACACTAAGATTTAATTATCACTTTTAATGGTCATAATTTAATAATGTTCATTTTAAGGAAATGTGATTGATTTGACTATTTTATACTCTATAAAAAGTTATTTATATTTTCCAACAATAATTTAATTTTCTCTAAAATCTTAGCCAAAAAAGTATTCTCCTTATATATAATTATCATTTTATAGACCAGAAGGATAGAATTACTGAATATATTGCTATTTATCTTTTAATGATAAATAAGTTCCATCTATCTAAAATTCTAAATTCAAAAAGCAATTGCTTTTATCAGGATTTCTTATCTATCCTTCATGATACTTTTCTAAAATGTATAATAAATCTTCGTTTGCTCCATATATAATAATATTTCTTTTATGTGCAAATTAGCATTAATTCTTTTATTGAAATAGCATCCATTTTCTAATATTACATAATTTAACTGCAAATGTTTTATCATTTACAAAAATTACATTACGAAATGATTCATCAATGTTAATTTCCTAAACTACAACCCAAGTTTCCTCGTTTCTTTAATTTTTCTTTTCAATTATTATGATTTTTGGCTAAACTTCAACAACGATTTGATTCTCTTCTAAGTTTAAATGGATGTCCCTAATCTAAGAAGTAAGTTATATTTCTTAAATAGTATGCCATTATAGTAAGTCCTTTTTTTTTAATTGCAATTTACCCTTCTTAAATCCGATTACCATTAAATCTTCAAATTTGTTATATATTATAACATCAATATGCTTTTCAAATTGTTGAGATATTAAAATTTTATTCTTATTTATCGAATTTAAAGTACTTATTGAATACTTGTTTCCTAGATTTAAAGTTGAGTAAATCTTTGATTACTAAAAATAATACAACAATTTTAATTAATCAACCTTTCTAAAGTATGCAATCAGTTTATGTTCTCCCGATTTAAAAAAGTAAAATTTTGAATATCCTTTATATAGTGCTATTATTAATATAGTTTATGATGGATCTAATGATACTAAAGTACTAGAGCAATCCAACTTAATATGATTAATTTCTTCATATTTAATAGGCACAACCTCATATTTTTATCTATTCTACATATTTATTGACTTATAAAATAATTAATTTAAATTTATCGCATTTTTCAAAAATGAATAAATTAGAATATAACTGTTATTAGTATAATAATAAAAGAAAATAACTTATAAAGACTGAATATTAAAATAATTAACTATTAAATGATAATTTTGTTGACTAGATACATTAATTATTACATTCATAACAAATTTTACATTCTCGAAAAGTAAACCTTACAACAAAATTATTTTCAATACCTTGTAATTATTATTATTGTTGTTATTTCATATATTCCATAGCTCTTTAGTACACGACTAAAGGGTACAATTATCTCAAATATTATTGAACTCTAGTACAATAATAATCTTAGTTTTAATGATGGATCTCGATAAGTGCACTAAGTGCTTATGAGGGGGAGAATTATTCCATACCAGAAAATTTATTTTAAAATAGATACAAATATCAATTACAATAAAAGATGATTTTTCATTCATTTAATTTTCAATTATTTTTTTTAAGATTATAATTAAATATTTATTTATTTTTCTCATCGATTGATCCAACACATAGTCACTCCTATCTTATCCCCGATATATCTTTTATTATGCACGTGATGGTCATTTTTTTGCAACAGGTATCCTGAAAATTCACAAGATTCCAATGCGAAAATTACAAGTTCTATATTTGGATTATTAGTTTCTTCAATATACAGTATTTTTCAACAAATTTAAAACTAAAACTTATTATAATTGTTTAAAAAACCTTAGTATTATTTCTCTTTTTGATTTTTTACCTCTAAACTTCTTTATTAAACATCATTAAAGTTGAAATATTTGAATTACAAACTATTGACATCTCAGATTTATAGATTTTATTATAAAATTAAATGAACAAATGAATAAAAGTATGAAATAAATCTTATTAATAAAGATAAAATGGAAATTTTTTAGTGCAAATACCTAAATCATGAAAATGAAGGAATAATAGGATTTTGTATACATTAGAATTGTTAGAAAGCAACTTAATATTGCTATTAATGCTTGACTTAAAATCATTCAGATCATTTATAAGATTGCATTAGATTTGAAAACATGAGTGAATAGATTAATCAATTTGTATAAGTTTACAAAGAATAAAAATCATAAATTAAAGAAATCATCTTTCAAATAAAGAATTGCTTTGAAGAGATTTAAAAATACTTGGAATAAGAAATATCGAAATTAGAAATATTGAACCAAAAACTTTAAAACAAAGAGTACTTATCTTTTAAGTCTCAATTAATTTTAGTAAAATAGTTTTACTCAAAGGAAAAAGAAAACAAGATATGTATTCATTTTAGCTACTTTAATAGAATAATAGATAATAGAATTCAATTCAATTCTTGAAACAATTAAAAAAATGGAACAAATTTAAAACACGATGAAAAATGGATTGAATATTTAGCACAAAAATAAGATACAAATATATGAGATAGATGACAAATGTTTAGAACAAAAGAGCTAAAAAAGAAACGAGGCTAAAATTTTATTCGAGTAGGGTAAAATAATAATAAGAAGAATATAGGAAAAAAATTAGTTAAGAATCATTAATATGAAGAAGCTTTGATGATATTTGACAACTTGATTATATCATTCGATTAAGATGATCAAGTTTACGGATGGAAAGGTTGTTTTTTGTATGTAAATTTTAGGTTTCGTATTAGATAATTTAAACAAATAATAAGAAGCTATTGAGTGTTATGAAAAAGCTCTTTTGATAAATCCTCTTGATGATATTGCATGGAATAACAAGGGTATTGACATTCAAATATTTGTATTGAGGTTTAGCATTAATCTATTTGAATAAATATTAAGAAGCCATTGAGTGTTGCTTAAAAGTTCTTTCTATAAATCCTAATGATGATTGTGCATGGAATAACAAAGGAAATAAACAAAAAAAAACTTTATGAAGGTTTCGCCCTATGCAATTTAAATAAATATTAAGAAGCGATTGAGTGTTGCGACAAAGCTCTTTCTATAAATCCTAATAATGATACTGCATGGAACAACAAGGGTAATGCAGTTTCAAATTATTTGAATTAGGTTTAGCTTTAAATAATTTAAAATAAATATTAAGATGCTATTGAGTGTTACGATGAAGCTCTTTCTATAAATTCTAATAATGATAGTGCATGGAAAAACAAGGGGAATAAACTACAAATATTTTTTAAGGATATGCATTATATGGTTTAAATAAATATTAAGAAGCGATTGAGTGTTTCGACGAAGCTCTTTCTCTCAATCCTAATAATGATGCTGCATGGAATAACAAGGGTAATAAACTATCAAATATTACATTAAGGATTAGCATTAAAGAATTTAAAGAATTATTAAGAAGCTATAGAGTGTTACGATGAAGCTCTTTCTATAAACTCTAATAATGATACTGCATGGTATAACAAGGGTAATAAGCTTCAGATATTTTTTAAGGATATGCATTATAAGATTTAAATAAATATTAGGAAGCTATTCAGTGTTTCGAAAAAGCTCTTTCTATAAATCCTACTAGTGATGATGCATGGTACAACAAGGGTAAAAAAATTTTAAATATCTGATTCAGGAATAGCATTAAATAATTTACATAAATTTTAAGAAGCTATTGAGTGTTTCGACGAAGCTCTTTCTATCAATTCTAATAATGATACTGCATGGAATACAAAGGTATTGAATTTACAAATATTTAATGAAGGGTATGCATTATACGAATTAAAGGAATATTAAGAAGCTATTTAGTGTTACGACAAATCTCTTTCTATCAATCCTATTGATAATAATGCATTTACAAATAAAGGTTTAATTTATTTAAAAAATAGGACTTACACTACATTAATTAAGACAATATAAAAAAGCAACAATTTGTTATAAGAAAGCACTCTCTATTTCAACTAACCCTTAGACTTTAAGATACCTAGGTATAAATTCCTAATTACCTTAAGGCGATTCACTATTCGAATTAGGATTGAAATCCTAAGCTAAATAGTCTTATTTGGCTGCATTACAACAAGGATCAACTGATGACAAATACATAAATAAATAATTATAACAGCTATGAATTTCATCTATATTGAATTTAATTTTTGATGTCGTCTCTCTGTCCCGTGCTTTATTAAAAACTCATCATAAAATGAAAATAAAAATCAACAATTAGTGACACACGTTCTTTAAAATAAAATCGCAAAATTTGACTGCTTTTTCAGTTTCAAAGATTACAATTTTAGTCAGTTGATCCGCGAGCTTTGTTTTTAGTATGATTTTGCAGCAAATAAACTATAAAGATTATCATTTATCGATATATATCAAAACAATGATCTATCTTTTTTCAGGATATTTTTAATTTGCAATTCAATCTTATCATATTTTCATTTTGTTTACAACTTCATTTTACAAGAGAATAATTATTTGTTTATTTACTAATTAAACAAAGTCTGAAAGTCTCTTTTTGTTATGTTTTTTTTTATTTATTCCTTTAGATATTTCTAAATTGGAATTGTTGTTAGTAAATAAATGATCCTAAAGAATAATTTGTTGTTGAGAGGCAGGTTTAATTTGAATTTAAAAAGATAATTAAAGAGAGGGGAAACCAGAAATAATTAAGGTAGATATTTATAATGAAGTAATTGATTACATTGTTTGATAATTTTCATCCACTAGTTTTATATCCTACACTTGATTTATGCTGTACCAATTAATAATTGACTTTTCAGCACTTAATGTCATTTCTAATTTATCCTACGATAATACTTATTAATATTCAAAATACAAAAATTATTTATTATTTTTGCTTAGACTCTCCTTATCTCATCTTTATTATCTCCATAAAACCTCCTTCTTTTTCTCTCTTAATATTGTTGTGTTAAATCAACCTATAGTATTTCTATTTTGCATTTCTTCCTATATCGCTTTTCTTTCTTTTACAATTCATGTTCCAATTCCTAGTATTTAGAACTACTTTAGGTCATCTTTTCACCATCAATCCTTTAATTCTTCTTTCAGTTCAAACTATTATTCTTCATATCCCAATTACCCAATTATCTCTTACTGCAGTTCCGATCAACATTCGGAATTTAATTTTCTTTGATCGCCATCCAAAGGATTCGTTCCGATATTATAGCATAGCCTTAAATTTCTTTAAGTTGCTTCATACTTAGATATGTCACTAATATATTAGACTATATATTAATTCTCAACATAACAATCATTGTTCCACTTAGTGTAAGTTCCAATCAGAATTTCTATTATTTCGAAATATAGGTTTCAACATCTATTTTGCTTCTACCCTTTACCTACTCCTATCAAACTTTCATTTTAGCATCTTCTTTTCTTTTCTTTTCTTTCCTTTCCTTTTTTTTTTTTAAATTCCATCTTATTTTATTTATTCCTACATTTAATTTATATAGAAATCTTCCCTCAAGAACCTCTTCTAGGCATTTATTTAAGAATTCTCTTTAAATTGATTAAAACTATATTACCATTGCTTTTTCCTTATTCTTATTTCAAGTGAGAATGAAAGCAAATATCATGTTTATTTTTTACAAAATTATAGGTATATTAAAAGGTAGAAACACAAAGCAGAAGTTTGAGAATAGTATTCTCTTAAATGAAATTGCTTTTGGTGAAAACTAAGTTATTATATACCAAAGAGAGAAGGAAAAGGTATTAATGCCATATTATAAACAATTAATTAATTGATATAATTAGCAAAAGATAAAAATTTTTGATGAAAACAATATTTAATAAGGCAAATCAATATCAACTAAAAAGATGAATTTTATCAAAATTTAATCAAAAAGAATATAAATATTCAAATTTACGGTTTAATTTGTTAATCCTTTTCAATGTATTCTTGGGTATAATTGATTCTCTTATTTATCTTAGACTTTAATTTTTTGCTTATGATCTCATCTTCACACATTGACAAAATCTTTTAAAAATTCTAAACAAAATTCTAATATTTATAATTTAAGTATTTTCAGCAAAATATTAATACTGTAGATTTATTAACAGGTAAAAAATGGTATAATTTGTTTATTGTTTATAATTTAATATTTTGCACACTATCATTATCCTGGATTTTTACCTCCTTTTTCTCATTATATATTTACATCTAATCATAAATTTTTCTAAAGCGACTAATTCATTGTTGCAAGAATTGCCTATAAGTTCCTTATCTTCTCAAGCATTCAATTAGACTTCTTTATCTTAAGCAACGATCCCTTAATCATTAAATCGCCATCTACGAGTCAACATGATGGAAAGAAAATATTGTATGAGGAGCAAACAAATTTGACATTCTAGGCTGACTTCTTGTTTGGAGGATAGAANACCTCTGTTAATTGCAGTGATATTCTAAAGTTTTCATGTGATACGTTTGATTTTTTGATTGTTAATGCTCGTAATGAATTTTTCGACATTTTCATCTTTAATTTTTACTTTAATCATAACAGAATATTCATGAATATATGAAAAGTCAGTTATTTCGTCAATAATCATATGATAATAGTTCTGAGTCAGATCTTTCTTGAGGGAACCTTTATTCAGCAAATACTTAACCAAAGATAACCAATAATTATTAGCTCAGAAATATATAAGCATAAATAACTGACGTTTACTTTTTAGTAATTTTAGCAACAGAATTAAGAGTATTGTAGAATTGGTGATCTTTTGAGAGTACTTAGGGTCCTATTGGGTAGGAAAGTGGAAAATCTTTTCTGAAAAATGAGTAAGCAAGGTTGGTCCTGATTGGAGATTTATGAAAAGAGAAAAATTGAAGAGTCAGAGGTTGAGATGATAATACACTTGCGAGGGTAATGATTAATGATTAAAGAAAAGCAATTATTTTGATGCTATTGAAGTCTCTAGAAAAGATAAATAAATATGTTAACAGGTAAAAAATGGTATAATTTGTTTATTGTTTATAATTTAATATTTTGCACACTATCATTATCCTGGATTTTTACCTCCTTTTTCTCATTATATATTTACATCTAATCATAAATTTTTCTAAAGCGACTAATTCATTGTTGCAAGAATTGCCTATAAGTTCCTTATCTTCTCAAGCATTCAATTAGACTTCTTTATCTTAAGCAACGATCCCTTAATCATTAAATCGCCATCTACGAGTCAACATGATGGAAAGAAAATATTGTATGAGGAGCAAACAAATTTGACATTCTAGGCTGACTTCTTGTTTGGAGGATAGAAGATTTTTGTTCGCTCTGACTAGAGATGTAAAATACAGATGTTGTAGTTGGAAAGAAAGAAAGATGGATAGTTTAATAAGTAATTTAAAAGATTTCATTTTGGAAATGACTTTTGCAAGTGAATTTTAAGTTTTAAATTTTTTAAAGGAATGATAGGGTGAAAATGAAAATGGAAGATTTAACTGACAACATTATGTAATGTATAATCTGACTGGCTGAATGTTTTTTAATCTAGAAATGATTTTTAAATATTCATAACTGCCATTTGTAGACTTTTTCCAACCCAGATCTTCTATAGTGATAAAAACATCTTAATCGTACTTAATAAAAAACCGAGATTATTAGAATTGTAATTTATTGTCCTTCCTTTTAGTTGATAAATCTATTTACCATCTCATGTAAATCTAGAAGTTAATCTTTAATATAATAATTCATTAGTCCTATAATTTTCTTCTTTAATTCTTTTTTCGAAATAAAGAGTGTACAACACAACTATCTATATTATTAATGATTTCTTTACTTGTTAAATTACTTAATACATGATCTTCCTCATTAATTTAGAAAACCTAAACTATCAAAAATATTTTGAATTTTAAAATATATCCACATATCCTCTTACTTGATAGATATTTATTGTAAATTTAAACTGATATCATTAAATATATACTATCATGATAGATATTGTAATTAGAGATTAGATTTAGTTAATTTTGTGTCATTGTTTTTTTTAAATTTTATTGATTTCATACTTCTGAATAGTTCTTTACCTAATAATCGACAAGTATGTATATCTATTCTGCAGAATTTCTATATAAAATAGTCGCTTTTGCTTTGTAAAAAAGGTCTACTTACAATAAGTATTTGTTGAATTAGCAGAGTAACTGTAAACTTGGTCTCTCGAATATAGAAGTTAACTGATTAACCAGAATTTAAAATTCTAAAGAATAATAACTATTGAATAGTTTTGTTGAATTAGAATCCGTGTGTAATAAAATGTTTTGATAATAAAAGGAGAATGATTTAAGAAATAAATTGATCAAAAGACCTGATGGATGAGAATCATATGCTCCACTACAATATGTTGATCAAAATCAAATGAACTTGCATACACATATAGATAGAGACTAACCCTAGTATTTAGTACAAGATCATGTTGAAGAGAAAATTCGCCTATTCCAAATCGAATACTTTTGCTGTGTTAAGAAAAAGAATTTTCATGCATTTAGATACATATTTGGAAAGGTAGCTTTCTTAGTTAGGCTGGATTCAATTCTAATCAGACATTTTGTAAGGGTAAGGAGCCTAACTTCTTACTTTATGAATGAAAAACAATGCCTATCTTATACATAGCATTAAAGAGTCTGAAAATAGCTGAAACAACTGCTTAATTAGATAGATTAGCCTTTGGTATTATGCTATTCTAAACTAAATATTAAAATAGGAAGAGAAACAGATTCCTATGTTTTCGATTTTATTCTGAAGAATTTTCTTGCAAAGTTGTCCTATTTCAATTGATTAATTTACAAAAATCTAATCTTGCCAATTAATAACTTCAAATATTTTATTCAATACAATAAAAAACCGTCAAAACGATAGTGAATATTATTAACCTATTAAACTAATTACAAGCCCTTAATTTCAGTTCATTAATTATATTCTTAATTCTATTTTCCTTTAAGGATGAATAATTTAATAAAAATTGAGAATTCGACCCAATCCTTTAGTAATTTTTTCCATCGTGTTCAATAAATAATTATATTTATCAATGAATTAAGTATTATTCAAAAATCTAACACTTGTTAAGGTACATTTAAGAGAGCTTATTTGATAAAGAATAGAAGATTGATTTAAATGAAAGAAAAGAGAAAGTAGAATTTATTTTTCATATGATGATAATATAAAATTAAAAATCATTAAAAATAGCAATATAATAATTATATTATTTATGAATTAATCTGAAGATTTCATTATGAAATGCCCAAATCCTTAACATACTAAGAATTTGAGCCAAGTGTGCTTTGATGAATTTTGTAAAGAATAGAGATTATGTTGTCATGAATGTATACAAAGTGGAAAGCATTTTTCACATCCTCACAATTTATAAGAGTTGCCATTTTTATTTGAACATATAGAAAAAACTAAATAACAAACTGATAATTTCATTAATAAGTTGAATACAAAAATGGATTATGTTTATCAATTTTACTCTTTATTAATTGGAGGAATTAGATCTAAATACTAAATGTCTAAAATATAATTTCTAACCTTAAATTTTGATGAAATTGATTCCTTCGTATTACAAATTATTCATTTCAAATCATTTGAACTCTATTTCCAAAAGCTGTTCTAACAATTTATATTGAAAATTTAGGATTTCATGAAGGAACTACAAAATGAATTAGACTTAACTTCAGTTAAATACTATCAAATATCAAAATTTAATCTTATGAAATCAGAGGAATATTATAAAAAAGGTATTAGATTTAATAATTTAGGGTATAAACTATATTGGGATGATAAAAAATTTGATGAGGCTATTAATTTATTTGATTAAGCATTAAATTTGAATTAACAACATTTATTATCACTATGGTGTAAAGGTTTAAGTAAATTTAATTTATTAGCTGACAGTTTAAGGATTCTTGGCTAATATAATGAATCTACAATTTGGGTAGATAAGGCTTTGTAGATCGATCCAAGGCATTGCAATTCATTATATACTAAAGGCATAAATAAATTTTTAATTTACTAGCTGATATTTTAAGGTTGATCGGTTAATATCACGAAGCAGTTCTTTGGGCTGATAGAGCTTTGTCAGTAGATCCTAACCATTTCAATTCATTATTTACCAAAGGTATGAATAACATTTTATGATTAGCGGATAGTTTAAGGATTCTTGGATAATATGATGAAGCAGTTATTTGGGCAGATAAAGCTCTGCTTTTAAATCCGAAGTAACGCGATTCTTTATGCACGAAAGGTCTGATTAAATTTTAAGTTTAGCTGAGAGTTTAAGGGGGCTTGGTTAATATGATGAAGCGATCATTAGCGCAGATTAAGCTTTATAAGTCGATCCAAAGCATTGTAGTTCATTATATATTAAAGGTATTCTTATATTTTATTTCTAGGAAACTCATTAAGATTACTGAAAAAAGTTTAAAGAAGCTATGAAAGTGATTGAGACATCTTTAAAAATTAATCCAACTCATTTTGATTCTTTAAAGATAAAAGGTTTATTGTATTATATAATTAATAGGAGCATGTTTACAGGATCAGAGCTTATATAAAGAAGCTTTGATATTTTATGATAAAGCTTTAAAAATTGATTCCAATAATTAATGGACGAAAAAAAGAAAAAGTATTCTATTTTGACTAATTAGATGAATGTTTAAACGCCTTAAAAAATAAGTGATCAATATCAATAAGATTATGAAATATTTAAATTCATTCTTAAAATACGAAATATGTCTACAGTAATTGTTTTGGATAAAACATATCATTTTAATTAAAAATTGCTCAAATGCAACATGGCTTTATTAGAACCAAAATGGAAAATAACCTTGAAACCTCATTTTTCACGCTTACATAATATTATATTAATTTCCAGAATATAGATATAATATCTAATTAATGTAAACATATTATAAATTTGGTAACAAAACAAGCCCAATTTATTTTTTGTGAATAATTGCCTCACATAGATTTATATTTTTTAGTTAATTTTCGATTTTACAAATATAATTAACATGTAAATTGAAGTCTCTTTACAAAAATATATATTTTTTAGTAAATGTTTGTTTATTAACAGAAAACCTTGGATTTATCCAAAAATTTAGGGTGTGATTATTCAGATTTTGCCTTTAATTGCTCATTTATTTCCTTTAATATCTATGAATACAAAATACACAAATCATAGTGAAACTTAAAACTTAAAATAACTGATAAATATATTTCTCATTCGTGAACTTTCAGCTGTGGATCATATTAATTTTCAAAAAAATACTATCCATCTTTCATCAGATAAGGATTATATTTTGTTTTATTAACTCTTTTCTATTTGAATCTAAGCGAAAATCAAAATCCTGGGATCGAATAATTGAGGATATTCACCAAAATTTTGTGAATATCCTATAACTGAAATTCATTGATATTAATTCTGTAATAATGGGATAAAATAAGCATATTTATCTCCTCATAGAAGGATAGCTTTTTCTTTTTCTTTTGGATTTAAAATTTAATTATTAAAGTGAAATTACAATATTTTTGAAGTGTCAATTGAGTGGGTAAAGAAAATTTATAACTAGCCTTCTCAAGATCCTGAAATCCTTTGGTTATAGGAAAAAAAGAGAATAGATATCAATTTGAAAGGCCACAATTTCATACAATAATTATATATTTGTCTATACTTGAATATTGTTAACATTTTAAACTAAATCACCACTATAGGTAATCGCTCCAAATATTTCAATGATAGATAAAGGAAGGAATAATCTAACATTTTAGGTACCAGATTTTTGATTTTTCTACAATGAATTCAAGAACTAACACATTTATAAAGATGCAGGTGGCTTATTTTTTTGAATTGGGCTTAAAAACAATCAATTTTTAACCCTTTCTTCAATAAGAATTTCAAATTGATTCCCTTATTATAAGTTTTTTCAATTTAAGAACAATAAACGTTTTATTTGTATCATTTATTTATATTAATAAATTGTTTCTAAATAACTTTCTTCGGTTATATTTCAAATTATTAGTAATATTTTCTTTTTTTCTTCATCTCAACCAATTAAACATATATTCTCTTATATAAAATTGGAGGTTTCTTAAATTTCTTAAATTTTACTCTTTTTTTGTATTCCATAAGAACCTCAACCTTTTATTTTTATCCTAAATGGACTAAATATTGGAAGCCTATAGCTAATATTTGCATTATTATTTTTTTTTAATTGATTTGAGTTTCTTATTATAATTATTTGAATCGGAGAAAGCCATTATCAATATTGGGTTTCCTACGAAAATAATACTTTTTAAAAAACCTACAATTATTTGTTACTATAAGTAAATAATTAATTTCAAAAAAATAGCTATAAATCCTATTTATAGGTTTACGCTTCCAAATCGTACTTAAAAGGTGGTGAACCTTATACTAAACCAAATTTTTTGCATTTTTCATTAAATTTGTATAAACTTGAGAAAATAGATTTTTTACTCAATGATCAATATTGATCTTTGTTTCTCTATCCACGAAAGACTAGCTTATAAACATTCCAAATCAAATTAATTATGGAGTCATATTTTTGACCAAAAAGGTACTCCTTAAAATGAAACAGAAAGCATATCACTACGAAGGATGAAATTTATTTTGAATCTCAATATTTTAATCTGTTCTATTTTCAAGTCACCTAAATAAATTTTGTTACTAATACACTGTTCAAACATAAAATTTTAGAGTAATTGCAAGATTTTATTGTAATATCCAATATCAAGATGCTTCAATCAATTATTAAATTTTTCTCCAAATTTATTAACTCACCTGAATCATGATGTCGATTAATGTTTAATTGAAGAATAATGAAAACAAGTATCTAAGAACGACGAGTAAGTTTACATATATTAGTGAAATAGATAATATTACAGAATGAAGCCAAACTAATAACAATGAGTGAAAATTTACACGTATATTGGATAATGCGACCATTCACAAAAATTAAATTGTAAAAGGTGTATTGGATAGAATTCCTCAAATGTTACCCAACACCATCTCGACCCTATTTGAATCCTATTTAACATATTTTTTCTAGTTAAAACAATTAATTCATTAACCGCATATCAATCTTTGATTCATCAAGGATAAAAACCTTAAAGGATAGATGATCCAATCAGCGTATTTCCCCAAATGAAAGAGAACTATAATATTTTTAATTTATTGGCATCACTATATTTAATGGCATTTAAAGTTGCACCTAATCATAGTTAAAAAATTGACTTTTTTATGAAAATCATTTTTATATTTTCCTATTGTCATGGGCTTTTTTTTATTTTTATGAGCTGCTTCCATTTGATTCTGTATTAATTGGGATAGCGGTAAAGTAAAAGTATCTGATTATTCTCAACAAAATTCAAACGAATAACATATATAAAAAGATCCTCTCAAGTTCTTTTAAGTCAAAATCTATTCAAGAGGCATAAGCAAATTCTATGATCAAAACTGATGTTTTAAATCAACTGAAAAAATGGGTAAATGTATTTATTTTACCCAAAACTGTATTATTTGAGAGAATTTCAATTTCCAATTGGAAAGAATTCTACCTTAAGAATGGAATTTAGCTTTTGTCCAATTATAATTTCTGCATTTAAATTCATTTTCTATTTTTGACATATGAAACAGGCTTAATGCATTTTAAACGCTATGTTTGGCAATTTCTTCAAATTTCTGTATTCCAGATCCTTACTCATAAAGATGACTAAGTTGAGAATGTCTCAAGTCTTGATAGNATAACAATGAGTGAAAATTTACACGTATATTGGATAATGCGACCATTCACAAAAATTAAATTGTAAAAGGTGTATTGGATAGAATTCCTCAAATGTTACCCAACACCATCTCGACCCTATTTGAATCCTATTTAACATATTTTTTCTAGTTAAAACAATTAATTCATTAACCGCATATCAATCTTTGATTCATCAAGGATAAAAACCTTAAAGGATAGATGATCCAATCAGCGTATTTCCCCAAATGAAAGAGAACTATAATATTTTTAATTTATTGGCATCACTATATTTAATGGCATTTAAAGTTGCACCTAATCATAGTTAAAAAATTGACTTTTTTATGAAAATCATTTTTATATTTTCCTATTGTCATGGGCTTTTTTTTATTTTTATGAGCTGCTTCCATTTGATTCTGTATTAATTGGGATAGCGGTAAAGTAAAAGTATCTGATTATTCTCAACAAAATTCAAACGAATAACATATATAAAAAGATCCTCTCAAGTTCTTTTAAGTCAAAATCTATTCAAGAGGCATAAGCAAATTCTATGATCAAAACTGATGTTTTAAATCAACTGAAAAAATGGGTAAATGTATTTATTTTACCCAAAACTGTATTATTTGAGAGAATTTCAATTTCCAATTGGAAAGAATTCTACCTTAAGAATGGAATTTAGCTTTTGTCCAATTATAATTTCTGCATTTAAATTCATTTTCTATTTTTGACATATGAAACAGGCTTAATGCATTTTAAACGCTATGTTTGGCAATTTCTTCAAATTTCTGTATTCCAGATCCTTACTCATAAAGATGACTAAGTTGAGAATGTCTCAAGTCTTGATAGCTGAATGTTAAAGAAAATAAAGATATTCTTTGGTTTTATTCGGTTTGATTTGTTGCAAAAATAAAGCGCCAGTTATAATTACTTTTGCTTGGCACTGTATGAAATGCTTTTTTATTCGCCATATACCTTTACATATAGTTTTTTGTATCTTTAATTACATTAAATGAGAAAGCCTAAGATTTCTTTCTGCTTTTTTAAACCTCATTTAATGTATTGTTTGGTAACTATACAACAAATCCCGACATTTCTGATCAAAGGTGAATTACCAAGTTCTGAAATATATAGATAAATAATTTAAAATGTGAAAGAAGATAGAGTTTCCATATTATGTAATCCAAGATCATCCACAGGATAAGACTGATATTAACAATTCTTATTGAATTTTTCATTAATTCCAGCCTATATTCGATGTTTGCTTTTTGTCTTTGAAAGAGTCGCTTATCCTCTTTCAAATTATTTCCTGCTTAGGCTTTTGTTTGTGAAGATCTGGTTTCATAGTTAAAATGTAATAAAATTTCTATGTAAGAATCGTTGGCCTTCATCTTTTGGCATAACCATTTGTCTGCCATCAAATATATTCCCAGCCTCTAAAAGTGGCTCAACTTCATACTCAAACGTTAGCATTAAAAATATTGTTATAAATGATTAGAAGTTGTTTTCATTTGCATTTCTTAATTTTGGTTCAAGTTTCTGAGGATATGTTCTACTGTAAGAAAAATTTTCGTCGGGCATTTTTAAGCTAGAAAAGGCAGAAATCAGATGGATCTTTAAAAGCCTAATTTTCAAAACTAGGTCAAAACATTAACTGTCAAAATTATTATTTTCTACTTTTTCAGAGATTTAAAACTTCAGTTTTGATCATCAAAAGCGAAGAGTTAGAGCAAAGATTTAGAATTTGTTTATGCCTCTTGAATCGATGTTGACTTAAAAGATTTTGAGAGTATCTTTTTATAAATGTCATTTGTTGAATTTTGTTGTGAATAATCAGATACTTTTTCTTTGCCATCATTCCAATGCGTAAAGAATAAAATGGAAGAGGCTCATAAAAATAAAAAAAAGCCTGATGAGAATAGAAGAATACAGAAATGATTTCCATAAAAAAGTTAATGTGATATTGATTATTTAAACAATAATTGAAAATTAATGGATCGTTTAAAATAAATATTTGATCTTTTCATTTGATTTAAAAATAAATTAAGAGCAAGCAAAAATGATAGAATTTTATAAATCTGAATAGTTAGCAAAGAATTAAAATTTTTTACTATATTTCAGCTTCAATATTTTAGAGAAAATGTGATAGAAGTTAGGAATTAATTGATCAATTTTAATATGTGAGAATAACTTTATTATTAATTCTATTTTAACAAGTCTAGTTAATTAAAAAAAAATATTAATATGGTAATACTAACAGAAAATATAAATCTCAATTAAACAAAATTTTTGACATAAATTGTTTCTAATTCATAATTCTTTATATTTTCTAATTTATATTTTTCTTGTATCCATATCCCAATTTATTAAATAACATCCATCCTAACTTAGTTATCCAAAGATAACATGCGTATTAAATTGAATATGCTATTCAACCACAAACGAATTATCATCTAACTTCCTTAAGATATTTATGAACATGCCATTCTTATTCACTAGCATTCCCTTTGATTTTAAATACTATAATTGAAAATAACTAGTATCTTGCTGTGAATCACACTTTACAGGAATATCAATAGTGTTCTTATACTGTAAAGTTTATTGATCAAAATCATACACTTGCATAAATTCTGAACAATAAGGTTAATACACGAACTAATTATTATTTATAAAAGATATTCGATATCCATTTTAGTTTACTTCTATTAATTATTTAAGTATCCACCTCTAACCCTGCTCTTGTAATTAAATCACTGAAAGGCTATTATCTAACGAGCAACAAATCAATTGATTTTATTCTTCATTTAAGCTTATTGAATGAATACTTTTATTATGTTCATTTAAGGATTATTATAATATCCAATCATTCTGTTTTCCCCAAAATTTTATTGTACAATCTTTACTACTTGAAATGACAAGATCTTCTTTATTATTCACTAATAAGCAGAGAATACAATTTGTGTGTCCAGTTAATAATTGTTGCTTCACCCATTTAAATTAGACTTGCTACCAGATTATAATTGTGTTATCAAAACTCCCAGATACAAATCTATCGGATTTCATCATAAAATTCAAAGTCACTACATTCCTTTTATGTTCGTTTAAGGTTTAAGTATAATTCAACTTCCCTTTATCAAAATTATAGACTTTTATTAGCTAATCACAAGCAGCTAGAACAATAGAGTCATCTTTATTAAATGCTATTGCACGACATCCTTCAGTTTAATAAATTTAATTCTATTCAATTAGTACAAAGGCAAATTTTTTTTGCTAATTTTACACCGTAATTTACAAAGTGTTTTATAAATCACTTGTCTACATTAGAGCATTAAGTGGTTGTTTTTCAGTTGCTACATCTTTCATTTATTTTTTTATTTGATTTGCTATTAATGTTACTTAATCCATAGATTGCTTTAGTTTATTTTAAAATAGCATTTCCAATGCTTCTATTTAACTAAAATTCTTGATCTTATGACTAAGTTCAGAAAGTCCTAAATTTTCAGAATTTAAATTGATTAATGGAATAAATAAATCTATCATAGATTAAAGGGATGATTTGCATTCTTAAAAGCTGTTCTACATAACTTGAAAAGCCTCACACCTTTCTTTCATCCAATTAGGTAAAAATTCTAAAGGTATTATATTACCTTAATGTTAAGAGTGACTAAATATACAATATTGACAATAAGGTCTCTGATATTGGCATTAGGCATCTATACAAACTCCAATTATCTATTAATTTTTATGATCCGCTTAAGTACATCGAAATTCCATTTTCTATTAAAAAAAAATAGAATAGAAAATAGCAAAAATAATTATAGCTTAATAATTTAATAAATGAGAAGAATATCTAAATATCTTATAAATATTAAGTTTAAATCATATTAATTGCTAAAATGGTGACCACATTCCTATTTTGTTTTAACAATTTTATTGAATTTTATTGTTTTTCATTAAAGATTTGTACAACTCAAATTTTTATTATGTCTTTCTGATTTTTATATTGATTATTATAAATTATAATACATCCATGATATAATAATAATATCCACCTAGCTTAGAAGAAATAGACGAGAAAGAAAGCAGTTATGGTAAAATTCTTAGTATAGATGGACCATGTATGTAGTCATTTTCCATTATAAGTAATTACTGTGGAGAATATGCCAAAAGCAGAAATATTTGAAGTAGTGAGGTTAGGTTAAAAAAAGTTGGTCGGAGAGATTATTAAGTTGAAAGATAGCACTACATTTATTTAATGTTTCGAAGATACATGTAATAAAATGTTAATGATAAGCTGGTTTAAGTGTGGACGATCCTGTGATAAGAACTAGATCTCCCTTTTCTATTGAATTAGGTCCAGGTTTAAAATTGTATTGACATAGGTATTTTTACATAAGTTTTTGATGGAATTCAACGAAGATTATAAATAAATTAAGATGGATCATTCTTTTATGGTCCTGGAGATATAAACAGTGCAGGACTAGATCATGATAGAATTTGGGAATTTAAACCATCACCTAATGTAAAAGAAGGTAAAATGATTTATGGTGGCGATATTTATGGGTCAGTTTTTGAAAACAATCTTTTTGATGAACACAGAATAATGGTAAATCCTTAAGTTCAAGGCAGAGTTACCTATATTGCCCCTGAAGGCAATTATACATTAAGAGATAAAGTTTTGGAAGTCGAATAAGATGGTATCATTAATCAGTATGGAATGAGTTAATTTTGGCCTGTTAGATAATAAAGGCCGATATTACAAAAATTAGAAGGCAATGCACCTCTTGTTACAGGAATAAGAGTGCTTGATGGACTATATCCATCAGTCTAAGGAGGTACTTGTTGTGCATCAGTGAGCTCAATTGGTGGTAAAATTTTTATATCTCAGTCGACAAGTAAAAATTCAAATTCTAATTGCAATATTTATGTGGGATGTGGGGAAAATGAATCTGATATTTTTAGAGTAATTGATGAATTTTATGACCAAAAAATTCCAATTAAAGATCATTAGGAATCTATAACATAAAAAACATGTTTAATTGCTAATTCTTCAAAAATGACAATGCCCTCTACTGAAATATCAGTTTTTACAGGGATAACTATTGGCGAATATTTTAGGGATATGGGTTTCAATGTTTCATTTATTATTGATTCAACAAATCAATGGATTCATGCTGTAAATTAAATTTAAGAGAAAATGGGCGAAATACTATCAGCAGAGGCATAATCTCAAGTTCTAACAGCAAAATTAGGGCAAATTTATAATAGAGCAGGAAGGGTTAAGTGCTTAGGTTCACCGGACAGAATTGGATCCATTACTATGGTAGGAATTGCCACACAATCAGAAGGAGTATAATTATGTATTTGAATCATTAGGACTGGGCCAACCCTGCAACTATTAGCACAATTAACAATTCATAAGTCTTTTGGCTATTCGACAAGAGATTATCCTAAAGAAATCATTTTCCTACTTTAGACTGGATTAGTTCAAATTCTAAATATGATCAACTATTAGATCCATATTATAGCTCCATAAATCCTGAATTCAATCATTTAAAAGCGAAATTAAAATAAATTTTGAGTGAAGAATTAGAACTAATTAATATAATCTAGTTAGGAGAAACACCTTTATCAGAAGAACAACAATTATCTTTGGAAGTAATGTCTAGTTGAATATTAGATGATCCAAATAATTAGAGAACAGTTCATATACTAAAATACATTCAATGATTATGATGATAATTGTACTCTTCTTAAAACAATAGGCATGATGAAATGCATAGCTACCTTTTATGAATGTGCTTAGAAGGTCCTTGTTGAATCTTCCAAAGATGAAAATATTACTTGGAATGTATTAAAGTAAAAAGTAAAAGATCAAATTTACAAATTGAATGGAATGAAGTTTTATGTATAATAATTTTCCAACATTATATAGAAAATCAAGAAATCAGAGATAGAAATGTATTTTTCTAGTTTTGCAAATGAAATTTAATTTGCATTTGAAAATTAACAAGAAGGATGAGTATTTCAACTTATTATTAAATTTATTAATAAACGTGCAACTATATATAAGTGCAGATCATAAACGAATTTAATAAATTTAACATTATGAATTTAGGTAATGGAACATTTAATAATTTGATGATCCTTTAATATCTTCTTCATTTTTAGCTATATTTCCTTATTTAAATCTTCTTTGAATAATTGTCCCAAGTAAATAAGTATTATCCATCGTCGCTTCATGTTCCATAAATTTCCCTTAATGAATCATCTTAAAAATATACTGATTAAGTTTATTAAGCTTCATAGGTTCCTTTTGCTTCAAAATTTAATTTTATTAGATTTAGATAAGGTCCATTTTTGCAAATTAGAATAGATTTATTTTTAATATATCTTGAAGGAAACAAACCGTCACAATATTCACCCTAACTAGAAACTTAGATTTCTTTCTATTTGACAAACTCATCCTTTTCATGATTAAATACATAAATTTACAATTGAGGGGTATTTGATTATTAGAAAGCAAACATTTCATTGTGAATGAAATTAAGTCTATACCCAAATTTTTGGGTAATTATCTTCTGTTTTACAATCCATCGTTATTAATTTGTTTAGCAAATCACAAGTATAGATGAATTTAAAGAGCAACTTATTAATTAATTTCCATCTTAATTTATCGATAATGCATTTATCCATCCAGTCTCCTCTTTAATTGTCTACTAGTAAGACCATTATAATTTTTTAGACCAAAAATTTTATTGTGCAATCTACACCTCCAGAAATTATGAGATTTTCATCATTAGGGCGTATTGCTAAGCAGTATATGGAGTGTTTATGACTGTTTAATTTCTGTAAGTATTTTGGTAAGGATAAAAGAATCGAAGACCAGATTATTATGGAAGAATCAATTGAACAAGTAACAAATTAGGAATTCTTCTTGAAAAAATTGATATTTGTGATGTATCTTTATTAAGTCTAAAATAACTTCATAGTTTTGAGTGAGCCCCATTTAAACTGAAATGCTTTGCCATAATTCAGTGAAGAAGTAATCAGTATCTTGTTATCCTAATTAATAGCCATTGCTACAGTGAATGATTTCTCACTAAATGAATTCTCTAATTCATAAGTGGATGAATTTTAATAGTTTTACATTCTTGCTTTTTATTGTGTCTAAAACTTTTGCAATTAATTAATTAATGAAATAAAAGTTTTAATTTTAAAAAGATATAAATACATTTTATTCCACAAAATAATATACAATATACAGAAGTTAATTTTCAATTTAATAACCTTTTAATTTAAAATCTGTTTGTAATTAATCAATAATTAAATTAATAAAAAAATCAATTTTCTTTAATTTTTGCATTTTTTGCGAAAAATTAGAAAACAATCAATAAGTATTATGGTTATGATAATAAAATTAAGATAATTATGATTTTCTATTTCAATTTTTAGGATGAATAGTTATTTGAAAATCCATTTTCTCTTATACAAATCTCAATTTACAGGCAGATATTTTTGAAGGAATCTAAGAAGGAGGAGCTTAATTTAAAAACGTATGACTAATTTTCGATAAATTTCTACTTGAATAATTCTTATTTCTTGGATTGATGAATATTTTTGTATCTAGAATAAGAGTGAATTTTTTCATACATAATAATATATATTTTGTTTTGATGAATTTCTCTTATTTGAAAAGACATCAGATAAAATAGAAATGAAAGTTTTTAAGAGAATTTATTACTATTTTTATTAGGTTGTGTTTTAATTCAATCAATTAGAACACTCAAGAGTTGATGCATAACTTTACATTTGCTAATTGAAAATTGATTGATTAAAAAATATATTTTATTCTCTATATTAATTATTATAATATTTATAAGTATAAAATGGATGATTTTGAGTTTGTGTGTAACTATGATGGACATGAGGAGGAGGAGATTATTGGATTCTGTTTAAATAAAAATTGCCAATAAAATGTATAATTCTGTTTGAAATGTTGTTGGGATAAACATGGAGATCATGAGGAAGATTGCAAAACTTTTAAACAAATATAAAAATTATTGCAAAATAATAAACAATAATAAATTAGACAAAGTGATGATGTGAACAATAAATTAAAATCCATATAATTGAAATGTGAATAATTAAGCCAGTCTAAAATTATTGGGTCTGAAAAACTAGATGAAATAGAAAAGTATTTAAAGTAAAAGGAATATAAAAATTGTTTAGATGAAATATATTTCTTAAAGAACTTCCAAGATGCAAATTAATCGAATCAAAGTAAACTTAAATTTTGTATATAATAATTAGAATTGATATTAGAATAGTTGGATAATGTTCTAGAAACTTTAAAAACATTAGGATAACAACAAATACCGAATTAAAAAAAATCATAATCAGAAAACACTAAAAATATTTATAAGGCTGAAGTGAAAGGTAAGTTTATCGAATAATTAAACTAGATTAGGAAATTTAAGTTAATGTCATTAATAATGAGGATGAATTAGATAAGAAATAAACTTAAGTATTACTATAACCAATGGAAAAATTAATACCATTTTCTTTTGAAAATTAACAGTTGAACCAAAGCAGCAAAGACTAAATCTCTTAAGGCAATTCTTATTAATCAGCCTTATAAGAATTTTATTGTGACAAAACTTCATAATTAACACCAAATAACTAAAATCATATGAATTAACACTCTAAACCCTAATAACCATCTTAGCAAGTTCCTTTAACTTAAGGTCCTTAAATTCAAACAAATGAAATGTAATTTAGCTCATAATAGATGCCTTAATTTTTAAGTATGAAGTTCTTTTTGTATAATTATAGAAAATATTTACTAAGAGTAAATCAAATAAAAGAGTAATAGCTCTCAATCTTAATAGATAAAATAAAAATTTGAGGAGTAGCTAAATAGAGAAATAAGTAAAAAACCTGAGTAATTTTAAATTATATTTAAGGTATTAAAACATGCCTCAACCAATAATAAAACTAACAGATCAAGAATGGGAACAGTATAAAACTGTTATTTAAAATGCATAACATTCTGGTAAGAATACAATCAAATGAGCATTTAGATCAGAATTTTGTTTTGGATGTTGAAGTGGCTACTTATCATGATGATGAATTATAAAAAGTATTAGAGGAGTGTGATGAATTTCTAGAGATTGATCCCCTAAACTTTGATAAACATTTTTTGAAAGGTTCAATATTATACTCTTATTTTGTTAGGTTTAACATTAATCAAAGCCAAAAGAAATGTAGAAGCCCTTGAATATAGCGAATTCATCATGGATATGTATCCAAACAATTTTTAATCGTATATTTTAAAAGGCTTGGCATTAAATCAATTAAATAGATATGAAGAAGCACTCCATAATTATTGCATATCGATTTAAATTGAGCCGACTTTTGAAGCTTATTTTTTCTAAGGTATACACATAACTAACTAACATAAGGGATATCTTTAATGGCTATTAATTAGCTTGATGATGCTATTGAATCCTTTAAAATTTCTATTAGAATGCGTCCAAATATAGAAATTGCCTATTATCAAATGGGTTTTTAAGATTTATCAACTTTTAGGCCTTGCATTAATGCGTAAAGAGAAGTATGATTAAGCAATTTAATATTTTGAAAACGCCCTAAGAATTGTTCCAAATTATGATTAAGCCCTAAAATAAAAAAGTAGTTTTATACTTAATTTTAGACNTAAAAATATTTATAAGGCTGAAGTGAAAGGTAAGTTTATCGAATAATTAAACTAGATTAGGAAATTTAAGTTAATGTCATTAATAATGAGGATGAATTAGATAAGAAATAAACTTAAGTATTACTATAACCAATGGAAAAATTAATACCATTTTCTTTTGAAAATTAACAGTTGAACCAAAGCAGCAAAGACTAAATCTCTTAAGGCAATTCTTATTAATCAGCCTTATAAGAATTTTATTGTGACAAAACTTCATAATTAACACCAAATAACTAAAATCATATGAATTAACACTCTAAACCCTAATAACCATCTTAGCAAGTTCCTTTAACTTAAGGTCCTTAAATTCAAACAAATGAAATGTAATTTAGCTCATAATAGATGCCTTAATTTTTAAGTATGAAGTTCTTTTTGTATAATTATAGAAAATATTTACTAAGAGTAAATCAAATAAAAGAGTAATAGCTCTCAATCTTAATAGATAAAATAAAAATTTGAGGAGTAGCTAAATAGAGAAATAAGTAAAAAACCTGAGTAATTTTAAATTATATTTAAGGTATTAAAACATGCCTCAACCAATAATAAAACTAACAGATCAAGAATGGGAACAGTATAAAACTGTTATTTAAAATGCATAACATTCTGGTAAGAATACAATCAAATGAGCATTTAGATCAGAATTTTGTTTTGGATGTTGAAGTGGCTACTTATCATGATGATGAATTATAAAAAGTATTAGAGGAGTGTGATGAATTTCTAGAGATTGATCCCCTAAACTTTGATAAACATTTTTTGAAAGGTTCAATATTATACTCTTATTTTGTTAGGTTTAACATTAATCAAAGCCAAAAGAAATGTAGAAGCCCTTGAATATAGCGAATTCATCATGGATATGTATCCAAACAATTTTTAATCGTATATTTTAAAAGGCTTGGCATTAAATCAATTAAATAGATATGAAGAAGCACTCCATAATTATTGCATATCGATTTAAATTGAGCCGACTTTTGAAGCTTATTTTTTCTAAGGTATACACATAACTAACTAACATAAGGGATATCTTTAATGGCTATTAATTAGCTTGATGATGCTATTGAATCCTTTAAAATTTCTATTAGAATGCGTCCAAATATAGAAATTGCCTATTATCAAATGGGTTTTTAAGATTTATCAACTTTTAGGCCTTGCATTAATGCGTAAAGAGAAGTATGATTAAGCAATTTAATATTTTGAAAACGCCCTAAGAATTGTTCCAAATTATGATTAAGCCCTAAAATAAAAAAGTAGTTTTATACTTAATTTTAGACTTGTGTTTACGGCAACTAGAAGGACGATAAGAAGCTATCTACAAGTCAAACGATTTAAATCAAAGACCTGAAAGTGAGGAAACTACCTATTTTAAAAATGGTTAGTCTTAATTGATTACTGTAGGATTGGAGTTGTTTAAGGAATAGAAGTATAATGCAGCATTAACTTAATTTGAAAAGGCTATATAAATTAATAATTAAATGCATGAAGCTCATGTCTATAAGGGTAATTAGAATTCTAATTTTTCAGGTTAAACACTAAACCAATTAGGAAGACTAATCGAGGCGGTAAAATCTTTTGACGAAGGATTAAAGATACTACCTAAGCCATAATATATGATAAAAAAAGGTTTTAATATTTTTCAAATTTAAAGCTGATACATTAAAAGAAATGAATAATAATGAGGAAGCTTTATTGCTTTATCAAAAGGCTTAATCAATTATTTCTAAAGAATAATAAAATCCATAATGGAAATGAAAAATTGAAAATCGTTTTCAATATATATATATCTATTAGCATGTTTAAAAATTTTCAAGCATTTTAAATTAGTTAAAATAGATCCAAAATAATCTGATTATTTTCTACATTAAACTAGTCGTTTCAAATGAATTATAATGATTTTATTTATTAAGAAAAGTTTCAATTCTTAAGAGTTTATTTTATTCAGTTCGTTTAGGTGAGATTTTTTATATCTGACGAGAAAAACAAACATTGGTTGAAAATTTGATAATTCAATAATTAAATGGCTCTTAGGATAAATAGAAAGAATTTAAAATGAAAGGCGACTAAATTAAATTAAGTAGAAAGAGGTGTAGTATGAAAGGAATTTTTAATATAATACAGAAATTACAAAAAATGATAATAGCAATAAATTTACATACTTTAAATTTTATTTAGTGAGTCAACAATATTTCACTTATTGGACTGAAAAATTGTTTTTAAGAATTTTCTAATTATTATATAATACTTTTTATGTTAACGAAATTTTGTACAATTATATTAATATAAATAAATTAAAGAGAAATGCAATAAATTTAGGATCACTTAATTGAAGATGAAGATGTTTTGTATTAAATGTCATAATAAATTATTTCAATCTAATTGAATGAAATACCTTGTACAGTATAGAAAGAGAAATCAACCGAAAAATTAATACTGTTTTTAGGATTTTAGCATGAAACCTTCGATTAATTTTATAGTCACTTTATTGATAAAAAATGCCTCCAAGAAAACACATTTTTCAAGATTGTTTTGATAAGGAAAAATTAGCAATCTTGCTTTCTCATTAATAGTCCATACTCTCTAAAGAAATGCACTGATTATGATTAAGATTTAGATTAAAAAATAATGCTATTTTCTTCTAAAATTAATTTAGAATAAATTTTGGAGTAATTTCATGAATGTAAAGCTCATCTTGTTGTAAATTATAAAGAACTATTAGGAAATACTTAATAAGAGAAACTTTAAAATTTAATAGATAAATAATTATTGTATTTCGGAAAAATCAAATTAAAATAAAAGTACATCTCAATTATCCATTTAGAAAGAGAAAACTATTATTCTCTCATTATTGTTAAAGATTTAAAATCTTTGAATTTAATAGAATTAAATTTCATAACAATTGTATTAATCTTAAATACAATATTCAAAAATGTTTCATTTTTTGAGTTTAAAATTACATAGAATCCCCTCAAATTGAATTATGGTGAAATGAGCTGTCATATGATGAGATAACAAGAAAAATTATTGAAAATAGTAAATAACAAAATAGAAAGGCTTTGGATATAATTGTTGAATTTACAATAAATACCTAAAATTGATGAGTGTTATGGATTTTAATTATCATTAGGAAATTATCTAGAGTAGCTTAATGGAATCCTAAATTTATATTTGAAACCAAAATTAACGGTTTTATGGAAAATTATGTATAAAATAAATTCAATAACTATGAATTTTGGAAAAGATATTAATAAAGAGTTGGCAAAATTGAATTAATCGCCTTAATTAGAAGAATTTTTGAAACTCAATTATTAGACATAAATTAATTGAAAGAAGTTAATGAATTTTTTACAAAATATCATAAATATGAATATGATAATGTTGTTATCGTATCAATTTAGAATTTAGCTATTATTGTAAATTGTTGGAGTAAATACTTCAAAAATCACTTAGTGTACAAGCTCTTTTAATTGAATCAAATAGGAAAGAATGTTCAAACTCTACCATAATAGGATTTTGAGACAGGAGTCTTCTTATTCGGAAAAAGTCGAGTATGAAAGAGTACTATAATTAACTCGATTCAAGACTCTAAAAGTCTGACCATAAAAAAAGAAATAAATGACTAATGTTATGTCATTAAAGAAGGAATTAAGACATAATTTACCATTGATCATGGGTCTATGAGTGAGACTTAGGTAATTTCTGGTACGGAAATAGATGGTGTTTGGTATTTTGATTGTCCTGGGTTTGATGATAATGTATCTGAGTATAACCGTATAGCTCACAGAATTAATTTATACAATTATTTAAAGAAGGCAAAAAAAGTAATTGGTTTTTTAGTTATGGATGGATCTATCAAAGATGCTTAAATTATTAAAGATACTATTAACCCTCTTTATGAATTGATGGAAGATAAAAACTAGCTATTATTGGAACATGAAAAATGGCTTTCTTTAATTTTGGTTAAAATTAAGAAAAATGCAAGATAGAATTGTATAATTTACCTCAAAATATTTCTAATTTTCTTTCAGATTGTGACTTTATATATTTATCAAAAAACACAACTATTTTATAAATTAAAAAAAATGCAAATACTTTGGTCAAAAGTTGGGAATAAGCCTATCGTGGATAATTAGATGGCAATTACAGCATTTTTAGATAAATGTATGAAAATAGTAATTAATGTGTTGAATTTTATAAGGCAAAAAAAAATTGTTAAATGATAATTAATAATTTGAAACATTAAAAAATAATACTAGGTAAAAAATAATCGATATAGTTCAAAGATAATTGTAAAACAATGAATTTAAAGTGTAATTTTAGTTGATGATGGAGAACAAATTGTTTTATTTAATTCAAGATGGAATTGCAATGCTTATCATTAAAGTTCAGCATATTATGTTAATTTTTCAAAACTAATTCAATCATTATATTTTAGAAAATCAAAGTGATGTTTCATAAAAAGAACAGATTATTAAATAACTATAATCCATTCTGAAAGAAGATATTAATTAAAATAATTTAGAAGTTATTCTATTTTAATTATAAAGTTGGTGTCAACAATTAATTGGACATGAAATTAGTTTTTTTTTTTGGATTAGCTAATATCTGATGCTACATCCTACTTGAAAATTTTATTTTATACAAAAAATAGGAATATAGCCCTATTCAATATAAATACAGAAATAATCAGAAAGAACCTGGAAGTCGCCATGTAATTAATCACTTAAATTGAGAAAAGCGATTAGAATTTGATTAGATTAGGAATGATATCTTTGATACATGTTATATCTTCAGTGCAACTATTATTATTTGAATCTATAATAATAAATTAAGGTAAGATGTCTATAGAATAGCGCGTTGATAAATTCAAAAATAGAGTATTAAAATTAAAATATGAATTGCATTTAGAATCGTAAGCAAGGAATGAAAGAATTTGATTTCGATCAATAATATTTTGAATAATTATTAATGATGTATATTTACATTCTGGTTAGTTTCTACCTAAATTAATAAACTTTAATCCAATATACTCTTTATCAAATGTTTTGTAGGTTAAATTTTGAAGATAAAAATTCCCTTTTAATTACTTTTTAGAATGATCTTATCTTATATACTAATATTGATATTAATTTATATAATTATCTAAGAAATCTATAATCTTAAATCAATTTTACATTAAAAAAATAGCTATATTTCAGACTTGAATTTCAAATTATTCATTTAAATAAATGAATAATATGAAATATCATCAAAAGGGCCAAGACTGGGTTTGGAATATTTAACTATATCTGCTGAAGATAACTTAATTTAATCAGGCAGAATTCAGACTCATTATAATACAAATGGAACAGAATTTATCAAATACAACAGAAATTTTTCTTGATGTAAATTATTTTTATTTTTGGAGTTATAAACATAGAAAGTTAGAATAATAACAATATATGATAGGAGAATATCTATTTTCTTTGAAATTTTTAAAAATACCTCTAAAATTTATTTTATTAAACAATCATTATTGTTAGCTTTTTCTCATTAAATGTTATGTTTGCTTTAGTAAATTCATTATTGTGTCTTATTTTTTAATTTTTTTTTTCTTCAAGAGATTATGTTATAAATAGAGTTCGTTTTTAGATAACTAAAGTTAATTATAGATTAATACCTAGAGTATAACTTGAGAAATATTATTGTGTGGGTAATAACATTTAAATTCCTTTATTATCTCAAAATCTTTAAATAATTCAAGATACTATCCTCTGATTAGTTTTTATCCATAAATATCTTCATCTGAAGAATCATCAGAAGTTACTTTAATAGCTAACGCTCTTTGTATATTTTAACCTTGAAGCTCCTTACTTTCTTTAGTATTTGTAAAGACTGTTTATTGTCTATCTCTCTAAAGTAGTATCAATTCCTCTTTTTATTTAATCTTCTCAAACTAGATCATCATACTTTATTCAATTGGTTTAAACTCTTATTATGGAAATTGATTAACTTATTTATCAGTTAACCTTTAAGTATTTTTCAAGATTTCTTCTTCTAAATATTATTTTGTTAACTTATTTTCATCTTCCGAATTATCTTTATCAAATCCTTTTGTGTATATTTTATTGGGTAATTACTTTTTATTATTATCTTGGTTCTAATTAATTTCTTAATCTTTTTAATTATAATCAGAGTTTGCTTTAATATTGCTATTTTTAATAGAACGTTGACTTTTTGAATATTCCAAATCAAAGGATAATTCATCTAATTTATACTACTTATTCTATTGTAGTTCTTATAGCTTGTCATTTTAAATTATATAATCTTAGATGCTCTATTTTCTCTTAATTGTGACTGGCCCTTATGGACTTTTTTTGTATTATTGAGATGCAATTAATTAATTGTTAAACGCTTAGAATTTAGGTTTTTTTTCAACATTATCATCTCTTTCGGTGAACAATCTTTTAAATTGATTTTATCTGTGTCTTATGGTATCACCTTAATCTGTTTGTTTTCTTTCGAATTTTGATCTGATTGAATTCCTTTTCTTTACCATTCTTTACCTTGTTTCTTTAGTATCTGTGTTATGACAAGAAGGTAAGATAGATGTCTATTATTTCTCAAGTTAAAGCAATTATTCACTAATATTATTTTCATCCGATCTCTCACCCTTCGTTTATGGTTCTTCCAAGTTAGGTTACAGCTTCTGATTGTTTAAGATGTTAAACAATCTATAGTCTTAGGATTTGCTCAAAATTCCAACTTAACTAACCTCTTCTATAGGCCATTCTTGATTCTATTTAAGACCATGATCTTATACAGTATTATGATTCTATATATTGCGAAGAGATTCATGGGATATACAATTTATTGAAGTTGGTATATTTGGTATCTACTTAGTGAATTAGTTAGATAGATTATTCATTATTTTTTCGTCATATTGTTATTATTATTTAATGGCTACTTGCAATTCTAGGTTGTATATAATATTTACATTCTTTAATTCCTTCAAGATTACAAATCTCTTCATTTTTTATTATATATTATATTACACTTTCCATAACAAGGAAATGATGTTTCTTTGTAGATATTCTTCTATCTTCATTATTCCTTAAAGTAAAATTTCTATCTTGAGGTAGATTATGTCTCAGTTGATACAATACCTTTGTTCTGTTTATACCTCCGAAAAGTAGTGGGCAATCGAGAACAAAATGTTTTGAGTTTTTACAAATTGAGCATGTAATTGAGATTTTGCCGTATTATTTTTGTATTCTAATATCCTCTTCAAAGTTTTTAAAGGTTTCCTTTGATATAAATAATAACATACATAATCAATTTCATTCTATTTGATATTTTCAATTAAATGTTTTCTATCAATTGCTAATAATTTAGTATTTTTAGTGGCAATTGCTTCATATTTGTATTCTGTATTGAGAATGAAATTGAGTTGACCAACCAAACATGGAGTTTTTAATTTTTCGAGGATTCTTTTTTTTTTATTAATAATCACACGCAAATCGATTTTTCCATTAACTAATATGTAGAGCTTCTCTGCTCTCTAATTTGATTTAAATAGATATTCATCTGGTTATAATTAGATTTCCTTGAATTACAGACAAAGTGTATTCAGTAAAGAATTGCTAAATTACTTAAATAAATCTAATTATTTTAGTAATTTAATATTTATATCCACAATCATTTGGTCTTTTAATTATTATGGAATTTGTTCTTAAAATTGAATTACTTCTTAAGAAGGCTTGCTCCAAAAATATTCAAAATATCTTCTGAATTTAGTTTGCAATGATGCTGATACTTTCTAATTTTTCAAGAATTTATTTAAACTATTCATGTTTGTTTTAAATTACACAGATTGTTTAGACATATCCTAAAATATTTATCCAATACTATTGACTGAATAAGCGAAGGTTGCTGTAGATATCAATGTCATTATTATACAAAATAGTCTTTCAGTTAAATTTACAGGAATGATATCACCATAACCAATAGTTGTCATAGTAACGATACTCCAATAAAATGAAACTACATATCTATCAATCCACATTGTATTGTATAGTTATTCTTTTATCAACCAAGTTACTGTATTTTTATCTCCCCAATCCCCCCAAACTCCTAATTTATGCCAGATACAAGCTGAGAAATGAGCACACAATAATATAAAAAAGCTCTAATATTAAGTTTTTATTACATCAGTTTAATTAATTCGAAAACAGTTGTTTGTTCTTATGTCAATTCCAAACGATTGAATAAAGAATTCGTTAATTTTGATATTTGGAATACTTTCAAGATTATTACAAGGTCTAAGTATATAAAAGAGAATTGTCTTCCAATAAAGAATGGTATGATTAATACCAAATCAATTAGAAACTCTCTTTTTAGATATCTCTTTATTAATCTCTTCCTATTTTTGATCAGTACTCCTTTACTATATATACAGGTATTAAACTTAATAATGATTTCTAATAAGAATGAATAGCTGGGCAGTTATTCAAAAATGAAATCCTTTAGAACCCAATCCATTTCAACAATTTCCACAAATGATAATCGCAATGAAACATAAAATACATTAACTGTTACTATACACAATAGATATATATTCCAAATTATAATTATTGTGTCATCAGGTTCTAACAATATAAACTACATGATTCTCTTTAGATAATTCCTTCTGTAATCTATTTTAATAAAAGTTATTACATTGCAAGAAGTTAACTTTTTGGTCAAATTTAATCAAAAACGATTATGCTTTAGCTTGTGTAAAATAGCCTCTATGTAAATAATAATTGTAATCTGAAGTGTTATCTTTAAGCAATTTGAAAAATTGACGATTCAGTAATTTAAAGGAAGTAGTAAACGTTTATTTTGTAATCGCTTATATAAATTTTAGAACGATAATAATGATATTGAATCCATTAAGTTTCCAAGTATTATTGAATCTATATTAAGAGAATTATCCTTTGAACAGATTCTGACTCTATTTTTGAAATTGAGTGTCAATTCTCTCTGAATTTTATTATTCCTCATATTATTATGAAATGTTCATAATTTATATATTTATATTTTATATCATTTCAAGGCAAAAAGTTATCTTCTACCCCATCCTAGAATTACTCGTCATCAATATTTTGTCTAACATTCGTTTTGGGAGGTGGTTGTTTATTCCCTCGTCTATGATAATAATATGAATTTAGAAATACCTAGTATTATTAGTGAAACTAACAGGATTGTCATCTCCTTATGGTAGTCTAACTTATTCCTCTTCATTATTGATTAAATTGATGTCTTGTCCTTGATATCCATCCATCATTTCCATTTCCCTCTCTAACTTTCTCAACTATCCTGCATATTCCTCATATGGTAATCCCATTTCTCTACATAATTAAACTAAAAATCTGAGACCTTAATAGATGAATACAAATTAATACATTCGATATTATCAGGATAGTCTGAATATATCTTTTGGTAATTTCCCAATGCCTTTTAGAAATGCCCCATCCTTCGATAACAACTTGCAACCATCAATTTCCATTTTACATCTCTTGACTGAACCTATGCTGCTCTTTCAAAATATAAACTAGCCTTTTCATACATTTCCTATTTCACATAATACACTCCCAACCATGAGATGGTTTCTATATTAGTAGGTAAGATTCTGTATGATTCTTAGAAATAATGCAATGCTTAAGGTTCGTCATCTTCCTAATAAATTATAATTGGCATTCATACTCTTGCAAATAGCGATCCCAGTCTAGCCAAGATATTGGGATCATTTGGTACTTTGTTCATCACTTCCAAATACCATTTCATGGCTTATTTTGAATTGCCCGTCATTTCATATAATGTAGCCATCTGATACAGAACTTCAGGAATACACACAATAGTTTGTAATTTATCTAATGCTTATAGTGATTCCACAAACATATTCAATTTTCTATTGACATATGCTAAATTGTAGAGTGCTTCAATACAATCAGCCTCTACACCAATTGCTTCTAAGTACTATTCTTTGGCTCTCAAGAATTCGTTTTTAACATACAAACAATTACCTCTATTGACTAAAGCTTTGGCATTGTATCTATCATATGTAATGGCAATTTCAGCATATTTCTCAGCTTGCTTGTAATCATTTTCTAAGAAATACAAAAATGAAATATTTGTTGCAATTCTTGCCATGATTTATTTATCCTTCTTTTCAAATCCTTTCAAAGTTTCAATAGATTTTTCAATGTTCTTCTTTTTCAAAAATGCCATAGCTTTACAAATTTCAATTTCAGTTTCAGCTTCTGGGAATGTTGAGTTCTTTAACTACTCTAAAATCCATTCGTATCCAATAATGATATCATCCTCTATCAATGGAGCAATCAATTTAGCTGATGTGACTATATAATAAATGGCTTCTCTTCTTCTTTCTTTAGTATCTTCTCTTAATTTATCTGTAATAGTGGTGCCCTTATTTTCATTATTCTCTTCTTCATTCTCCCCTGGTATTTCAATTGTGAGTAATGTAACAAAATAATCTTTCATCTTATTCTTATTTCCACTTAAATATAAACAAATCATCAAATTAAAGCCTGTTGGGAAGTCAGGAGAACTCTTAAGGATTTATTCATATGTTGTGATAGCCTCCTTAATTTTCTTTTTGCCCAATCTTACTTAAGCATGACCTATGTTTTTTTATATTTTGAATCTCATCTCTTTGGAAGTAGCAGGTATTAAGTCTAATGCCATCTTATACATCTTGATTGCAGTAGAATGCTTCTATTATTCAAAATAGATGTTGCCCATATTAACTCTTAATCTTCCTGCTTGAGGGTATTATTTACATTTTATAATTTCTTGATATTTGGATAGAGCATCTTAATGTAATCCATTTGCATGTAAAGCACATGCCTAGGTTAGGGCTGCACAATAGCTGAGATCAGTATTGATTGATTCAGCTAAATTTTATGCTTCCTTGGATTGTCTTAACTTTTTCTCCTTATTGAATGCTTCTTTGGCCTTTTCTAAACATTCAGATAAATTTCCCCTCAATTTGGCCATGGCACTCTGTTCTATGAGATTATTAATCTCTTTTTCTATTGATTTAAATTATTCTTCAGGATTAGTTTCAAGTTTTGGTTTATTCAAATTTAATTGATTTTGGGTGGAATTGAATGGGTCCTTCTTCTATCCAAAATTAGCTCCTCTATTAGATGTCATAGGTCTAGCTTCTGCTTGAGGTTATCTAGCTGCTGTCCCAAGTGGTTTTCCTCGAGAAGGTTATGGTCCACCAGGTGCAGGTTGTTATGCCTATTGTCATAAGGATGATAAATTACTCTAACATTTTCGAAATTGTAATTATTGACAGGAGGTTTTCCTTAATTGAAATTATTACCACTCATACCGAAAGCACCATATTAGGATGAATTCATATTATATTATTTAAATTTTATAATTATATGTTATACTGTATTTATATTATATATATACAATTATATCATCAACCAATATATTATACAAATCTATTGTAGTCCATCCTATACAAAGGATTTAAATCATCATAAATTAGATTTTAAAGAAATACATCTTCCCATAAACTGTTGCAACCTTATTTGGCTATGTACAATGGGGCATACTTTGTATACTTATTGCTACATATAATAGATTTATTCATACTATCTCAATTGGGAGATCAGAGCAGAGATTGCATTGTTTAATTATAGGTCATCCTCATATAAGTGTTTAGAATGGTATTTCTCATCGAATAAAGCTGCTAATTATGTGGGATCATGTATTCTCTAATTACACATTCAAATACTTGCATATATATAATATTAAACAGAATCCGCAATCCATCAGATACAGACCTCCACTTGATAACTCAGACAACACTAAGGATAATTATTGTGGGTACACAAACTATCCCTAATCATCATAAACACATTCATTTTCTTGTAAATTAGTCACATCGTATAATTATGGTACTAAATAGGTAACTAATTCATCGAAGTGAATATACTGAAATATAATTCTAAAGTAGTTGACATAGTCTGTCATTATACTTTATTAATCATAAGAGTAATTCAATACCATAGATTTCATGATGCCTAAGGAGTAAGCATGCATTTAATCCAAACTTACATTGTATAACTTACAATTATAAAAGATAGATCTAATGGTTGATGTGATGAACTCTTTAACAGGAATCAAATTCTTAACTGAATTTATTTAAGACAAAGCCATTTTATAGATGGTCATTGCCATCGCACTTTGATCAATATGTGAGTATATTATTTTGACAGAATTGCTTAGAGGAATACAATAATTGTGAACTCTAATTCTTCTCTCACTTTTTGATGATGTATACAATAAAGCAGTTTGGATATATAGATTATCATAAGACAAATTGGGTTCAGTCAATTCTAATTCATAAATTAACACTTTTTGACTATTTACAATGATAAGGAATATTTACTCATCACAATTTGTAATATTCAATAGATCTGAGGATTTCACAACATAATTGCCATACACATGTTTAATCTTCCATCCAGCAGATGTTCTGATTCTAAATACTGATTCCCAGGCATAATCTCTGCTCAACACTTCTTTCAAGTCATTCCTAAATCTGGTTGCTTAAACATTAATAACAACTTCTTACTATAAACAGTAGGATCATCATAATAGAACACATCTCCATTCAGATAGGTTGCTAATTGATTGATTGTATATATGTTCATGTAATTATTTGGAATTACAAAGATTGATGGACATATAAATTGAAAGTACATACTCTCAGTAATTTATGTTAATACTGATTAACTCTTATGTAAATATAGTTGCTGTTATTTCCCATTCTCCGCAATACTCAATTCTTTAATTGGTGAAGATGTTAGGATGATTAACTTGGCGCCATTCTCTTTTATTAATTTTTAAGATATCTTTAATGCTTCAATAAATTATGTGCTCCTCAAAAGTGGTTTTGGAAATAGTTGACCTAAAGAATTCAAGAATCCAACAATTATGTCTTTAGATTCTTATAAGTTAAATAGATATTCTCCAGGCATAGGCAATTCATTATCATCTGTTAAAACATACATTTGTGCTTATTTAAGTTTTGAATTGAAATTATACAAATGAATAGAGGTATCAAAAGTTAAAAATCCGAATAAAGTTCTTTCATTGAATGATTCACTTATTATTAACTCATTCATCACTTGTCCAATAATTCCTAAAAGTGCTTCACTCTTTGTTGAAACATCAATCATAAAAAAATAAGCAGGAGCCATTGGCGGTCTTGCTTAATATTCTTAGCCTGCTTTGATGTCATAAGATCCCATAGTTAATTCTGTTCTTTAATTTATATTTTCCTTTGGTATTGAATTGAATCCAATTTGGGTAATCAATCCACACAGGTTGCATTTAAAATGATCGAAACCATCTAAGATTTTCATGAAGGGATTCAAATAAGCCCTGCATTTTGCACATCTTATAATAGGGTAGCCTCCATAATTGACTGATACAAATCCATCCTATACTGATTATCCATAGGGCTAGATCATCAGAGCAAATGGAATCTTGGCATCTAGATATGTTTATTTTGACTATGGAAATACATTCGATGTACATCGAATATTATTGTAGGAGGAATTAAATTGCAATAAATCACTATTTAATGTATTTTGAATATATTCCTCTTCCTTTGCCTATGATTTTTATTATTATTGTTGAGGATTGTCCAATCTTCCATTCTTTTCTAGAATTTTTTTATGAACATTCATTTCTAAATATATTATTAAAAATGATTCAAACATTTTATAGATGGATGCCAAAGATGAGGTTTAGTTCCAAAATTGGATCATCTAATGTTTCAAGTGGATCAAATACATCAACTACATGTATTAAGTAAATTGAATTTACATATAGAATCAAATCCTACTCCTGTTTATTTAAGACCATATGATGCTAAAAAGTATGAGGTTCCATCATCAAAAATCAAATTGACTACTGGTTATAGTTTCTTAGATGTTGAACCCATGCCCAGAGCCAAAATAATGAAATTATGTTACACTATACTAGATAAACTAAAAGCAGAGATACCTGAAAATGTCTTGTATAGAATTTACACTGAAGAGAAATTAAAATACATCATGCGTATTACAGATGAAATCGATGATATTCGATAATTGGAAGAAGAGTTCGGTTTTGAACAAATTGAATTCTTGATTTAATAATTGGCCAAAGAAGTCGATCTAGTTGATCAGATGAAGTAAGTGTTTAACCTGTATCAGATATTACAAACCTTGGGAAAAGACTTAGGATGATAGCACTTTTGAATTGCTAAGATAACCACATCCTGCATTAAAACATTAGAGAAACGAAAAACCACCAAGAGAATAAACAAAATTTATTGGAAATTGAAATTACATATAAATAATATATAAATAATGAATTTATTGGATTTGATCTAAGTTGAGGTATCATGTGGAATATATCTAGGTTACTAATTACTTTCCGAAATTGATGAATAAATTAACTGAATTAGGATAGGAAACTGCCTGTATAAATCAGGCAGAAAACTCATTAAAAAAAATCTAATTCATTTTTGCTATCTTAGATGATGTATTGAAGTATTGAACAAATATCAATATTATAGAGTATTGTAAGATTTGAATCAATAGTATGCATAATTGGAGGAATAACTGTAGAATTACGAAGGATAATGCAGAGATCATATTAGGGTATCGAAGAGAAAATTAACAAATAGACAGAATAGAGATTGAAGCTTTATTGTGAGAATGTGTAGGAGCTGTATGATTAATAGGTTTCTATTGAAAAAGAATAAAAATACTAGATCCATGTAATGAAATCACATAATACTTATTAGAATTAATAAAAGGAAATCACTTAACTAAAAAAGGAATTACAGGGTTCATAAAATTTGAAGAAAGACAAAAACCATTTGGAAAATTCTAAATAGACCATTGTACTAGAAAATAAATATAGATCATCCATCTTCTAAAGTGGATTTTAAAATTAAACATTTGCTCTCAAACTAATAAATCGTAAGAATAGATCAATCACTGAAGCCTAAGAAGTATTGACTAAGTATATTGACATTATTATATTAAGGTCAAAATAATCAATGGATGAGAGATAATATTAATTATCCCTAGATAAGACTCAAGACATGATAACCCATAATCCAAGACCAAGGTCTAGGATGAATGTTAAATAGAAGTCAATGACTTTATAGCTGACTTCTATTTAGAAAGGCAATACAATCAAAAAACCATGATTTATAATTATGTGTGATTTATACCATCTAGAATTCCAACTATTATTAGATAGCCATAAAATAAACTAGTCTTTAGTATCCCTTAACATTTTGGTTAATCAAACATACATATTCTTATATGTACTCTTAAATTTAATATAAATACTCATATCTATAAAATGACAAATCCAATAGAATAGCTATCTTCATGAGATATGCTAACTTAGATTTCATAATCGTTTCCGAAATTCTTTTTAAAATATTCCAAATTCTTATTGTGTAACACAATATTTGGTTTATCATGTTTTCTGCATATTTCTACTTCTGGAAATACCAACTCTTTAAAACTAGAGGCTTTAACAAGTGCTTCTTTGACTGCCCATCTTGATGCTAAAAACTATTGTTGCAATTGAATAGTGGGTTTGCCTTTGAATTATTCAATTTCATAAGGATGGAGCACTTTTACCAAAAATCGCTCTGCATATTAGGCTTTGATTATATTTAACATCCTTTGGTTATTTACAATATCAACTCCGATGCCTTTAATTGCTTTCATGGTAACCTATATAATTTGATTACCAAAATAAAAATACTATGATTAAAATAATAACATATAATCAATATTCAAGTAATTATTCACTTTTTATCTCTGTTTAAACATCCGAATGCCAAGAAGACCTTATCCATAAAACCCAATTTCTATTCCTATTATTGTTGCTATAATTGATGTTAATGGAGCAAGAGCTCATTTCTATTAGAAACTCTGGTTATCCTATGCTTATTTAAATCGTCTTATCGTATTTAATCATTCTAAGAATAATTCTTATAATTGGATTATTATTCCTAAGTTTTGAATTTAGTATAATCTTATGACATGGGTCTAACTTGTAGCTCTTTCTTTTGTATGTCCATGGGTTTTGATGTAGACTTAAAGTTGATTAAAGGAATCTATCTGGTTGGGTATTGAGGTTTGTAAACATAGGTCCAGATGTCAATTTTTAAAGCAGCAGCATGTTTTACCATCCAGGGATGGTCAAAGATTTAATCCATAGTCAATCTTTCAGATGGAATGTACTTCAGGATTCCTTTGATTAGAGTAATAACTTCATGAGATAAAGTAGGCGCAAAATTAATAGGCTAACCTGATTTTATTTTGTTGCATAATTCTTCATTGTTCCTGCCTCTAAAAGGAGCATTACCATGCAAGAGTTCGTATAACAAGATACCCAAACTCCAAACATCTAGACTGAAATCATGTGGTTGTTTATTCAACATTTCAGGAGCCTAATAATATAAATTGTTATCTACCATATATTCATAGGTTCCGCAGAATGTCATTCTTTTTTCTGTTAAACTCTCAGCACTCCAACCAAAATCACATATTTTCACATTTCCTTCATTATCCAAAAGAAGATTCTCTGGCTATTCATAGTAAATTGAAATTGTACTTTTAGATCTCTATGTATTACTTTATTTTTATGAAGGTAGTCAATTCCAAGACAAGTCTAAAAGAAGTAGACAAATGCCTCATCTTCTGGTAATTTGGTTCTCTTTTTTATGTAATGAAACAGAGATCCATTTTCTAATCCAAATGTGATAAATACCAGCATATTCGAGAACCAAATACACATTTTCTTTATCTTCAAAATAATGATAAAGTTTGCAAATGTTCGAATGAAATAGTTTGCGTTGTATTTTGATTTCCCTTTTTAGATTTTCCACTGAACAATACTCAAATACTTGTCTCTTGTTCATCTAGGAATAATCAAACAAAACTATTACTATTTTCATAGCGTATAATTATCCATTCTATTTGTCTTTGACTAGTTTTACTGATCCATATGACCCTCTTCCCAACTCCTATTTTGAGCCAATTATTATAATTTCGAATTCTTCAGGTTTTCTTCTGATACTAACAGCTGAAGAGGAATCCATTGTATCATTGCATGATTTGGCCCTCTCAGATTAGTTTTTCTTACATACTCCTTTATGATAAATGGGCCTTGAGAATTATTATCTTAATGTACCAATCAAGATCTCTGCATCTAATGCTACAGTAATTGGATGCTAAACAAAGAGGACACATAACTTTTGCTAACATTGATCTTTGTTCTATAGTAGGTTGCTTAATATTGAATTAACAAGACTTATAATCACAAAATTTATTCATATAATAATAATATTAGTTACATAGATAATGAGATATTCTAATAATGGTATCTATAATATTTATAATCATAATTGATCCAATTCAAAGACAACATCCTCGCCAGCTGAAATGAACTTCATATTGTTCTTTTCCGTCCAACTTTTGACTATTTTCTCGAAATCCTTTTTGTTATTTTATCTCATAGTACACATACCTTAATTATGACAAGCAAAGTTTTATAGTACTACTCTGCATCTTACATTTAACCCATTCCCATATTCAGGAACTTATCCAAATTGATCTTCTGGATAAAACTAAAAATAAATTTAAAATCATACCTCTACACTATCCTATTTTAATTTAACAATTTAATCAATATTCATATCCTTTAAATCTACTTACTCTAGGAAATGAATGCTGCCATATTAATTCGAAATCTTAAAATCTCTGACTCTTGTTAATTAATTATCACTCATTTCTGAAAGGGCTTTAATGTTTGGAGTTAAAATATAGTTCTTACATTTTGGTGCTCTGGGATTAACTTTATCTTCTATTTATTATTCCTCTGATTTGATTTGCACAAGACTTCCTTATGCATAATCATCCATTTCCTTTTTATTACTCTTACTATAATATTATTTATTCAGGGATTGCTTATATTACTTTTAATCCTTTTTATCCTATTTTAAACCCAGATACCATGGTTTTATTTCTTCCTTTTGTTTTTAATTATTCTTTGACTTAATTTTAATTTCTAAGGATGGATTCTTGAATCTTAAATTAACGTTGCCCACACTAAAGGTTACGTCATTCTATTAGGCATACTCACTAAAAGTTGGGAACTTTTTTTTGAATTCATCTTCCACTTCTCTTAAGTATTCCTATTCATTCTTGATATCAAAATCTATATTCATGTCTAATTGTTATTGCTAATAAACTGGATATGCTGGATTGTATAAGACTTATTAATTTTGAGGTGTTAATGCCATGGCTCCACTTGGATTATTATCCCAATTTTACTACCCTAATCCTTATTGTGGAATCTATCCCAACAGGCCTTAAGGCTATTGTTGCATAGGCTGTTATAATTGCAAGCCTCCTTGTTAAGGTGCTGCTCCTAATAATCCTTGCTATTATTATGGCTAACCCAGTCCAAGCAATCCTGGCTAGTATTATTACTACTATTATCCAAATCCTAATCCCAATCCTGTTCCTTAAGTGGTTGGATTCTATCCCAATCCTAACCCTGTTCCTAATCCTGTACCTAATCCTGCGCCTAATCCTGCACCTAATCCTGAACCTAGTCCTGTTCCCAATCCTGTGCCTAATCCGGTACCCAATCCTGTTCCTAAACCAGTTCCTAATCCACCTCCAAATCCTGTTCCCAATCCTCCTCCAAATGGACTTGCTTGTGAACCTGCACCTAAACCTGTTTAATTAGGTTGTGTCTACTATTATTGACCCAAACCTGATAATCCTCCACCTAATCCAGTTCCTAAACCTGTTCCCATTCCTGTTCCTAAGCCACCTCCTAGTCCTAATCCTGGCTAGGCTTGTCCAAATAATGTTGGTTAAGCTTGTGCTTACTAACCAAATAATGTCGATTGTTATTATTGGGGTTGTTGGACTCCTCCAAATAGAGTTCCTTGTTGATTTTATTATTAAAATCCACCTTAGGCCATTGATTAAGATGGTTGTTTTTGATTTCTGTAATACTCTACTCTAGTTTCAGCTCTTGAGATTTAAATATTGTTTTAAGCAGTATTAATAGAACAAAGTAGTCCATCAGCATTTTTATTCAATGCTGGGTTGCCTGGATAGAACCTTGGAGGTACTGGAGGCTTATTATTGTTGTTGTTCTAGTTTTGAAATAGCATAATTTATATATTTAAATTATTTAAATAAATTTTTATATTATTTCTATAAAACCTCTCTTTTTTATAAATACTTATATATTCCGGATATTTATCAATAAATTCACATATTATATTTTGTTTGAATTGCTTTAATTTCTTTCATAATTGTTGTTACTTGAGTCAAATTGGCCACATACATAGGATGATTAGCTTTGGCATATTTATAAAATGCATTATAATAAGCCATAAAAGTTTACAGGAACTTCTTTAACAAACTCTTCATTAAATTAGTACCTTAGAAATGTTTTTCGCATTCTAATCTGAAGACATCAACTCTCTTGTTCCAGGATAGATTCACATCCTATTGATTTATATAATGATCATTATACTTAACTTATATTTTCTATCAATTTCTTATTATCCACTTAATTAAGATTCTATACTTTTTCAACAACCCTAATTTCTGATTACTATTTATTATCATAGAGGTTCAGTTCCAATTCACTTTCCTCCTTTGCATATTTCTATATGAAATCCACAAGATTCCCAAACAACTCCTTCAAGTAGATTTCAATTAACTTCTCACTAAACTTGTTTGTCTCTTTCTCCAAGAACAAAGTCTCTTCTGAAAATTCCTTTTTGTATGTGGTCATTTAGGCTGTATTGTATGCTGTAACAATCATTTCATAGACTGATAAGGTATATGTTATTCTATCGACTTCAATCTCAAATTCTGCTCCAGTTCTCTTTATTAAATCAAAATATCTTAATCTCAATTGATTAATTCTGCTCACAATCATTTTGTTATCCTCAAAATATGCATATAATTTATATAATGATAATGTTAGATCTATGTATCTCATTACAAAACTACGAAATCCATAATACTTTTCCAATGATCTATACAATCTCACATTAGTACTCTAAATGCTTTGGATGTGAGTATCAAACACTTACTCAAACTTTGGCCACAATATCATATTCACTTATTCAAAGTAAAAATCCAATACATGTGAGTTCTTAGAGTGCATATGCTTCTAAAATCTCTCATTTAATAATATGATTAATAAAAATGCATATATATCAAATATGCTCACAGTCTATTTTAAATGATCCAATACAAATTGAATAGTATTCTTAAACACCCCACTAAAAATAAGTCTGTTTTAATCAGGTTTCAAACTAAAGAAGTCCTAACTAAATCTGTCTTCATGTAATACAGTATCAATCAAAACCTTATTGATTGTTTTAAAGTATTATTCAATTAGGATTTTTTAATTTTTCTGATTCAATTGAGTATGTAATAAAGGTTCCTCATCCATGAATTATAGTATTTAATCACGATTCATCAACTGAAATATGGATCTATTTTCAATAGTTAATCCTACTACATTTCTTAAATTCAACTATGGTCTATAATTCTATTGACTATCAGGTACAATTAGATCATTGCGTAAATAAACATCAATTGTTAATTTATGTATTTCTGCAACGTAGACTTTCATATTGCTCAAGTACAATTTACTCATAGCATCTGTATATAGATTACATAACTCCACATAAATATCTAAATAATGATCCTTCATGAATTCTGTGAATATCTTGTACTTAACCAATTCCTAAATTTAATATTATTGAATGTTTATTTTTGGTTTCTTTAATTGATTTAATTTATCTATCATAAATTCTCTTACTCTTTTACAAGCCGTATTTTTTAACTTAATTAGTTCTGGCCCTAGATTCTTGACTGCATTTGCATCGGTTAACTCAGTGTTTTTCAAGTATTCTAATTTTGAGCATAATATTCTGATGTATTCCACATATTAATCATTAATCTCTTTACTGCATATATTATCAATTAAAGAAGGATCCAATACAGCTTAATCAACAAAACTAGATAATATCTACGATAATGCTTTTCTGTTTGTCAATGAAGTATTCATCTTAACACTTCTCTCTTGCAATTATGTCATTTCTGATTTAATATCATTCAAATAATCCTTGAAATTAAGTAAAACATTCTCTAACTCTCCTAGAATAGCATCGCTCTTCTCTATTTCACCATCCAACTCATACATCTCTTTTTCAACCTTTTGTATTTTCAAATAGATACTTTTAAATAGTCATATGCTGCTTCCTTTTCAATTAATTGCATTTCCAATTTTACATTATCACACATATGCCTCAAATCTAGAGATTACTCACCTCCATCCATCATTAAGTACTTTCCCATTATATATCTACTTGTTATGGGATCCAAATTGTGTTCTAAAAAACTTGATAAATTCTGCTATTATTGAGACATGATATTTATATTAATTATTTTAATTTCTTGTAGTATTTTTAAATTCACTAACACACACACTCTCTAATTAAATTATTATATAATAGCTTTGTGTTGAATAATTTATTTTATAATATGAATAATTCTTCGATATTTAATTAATCATATTGTAAAACAGAAGGTGATGAATATTATGGGAGCAGAGCCTTGGACATCCTCAAAGAGAAAATGAAGATTTTTGATTTAGAAAAAATACCTCAACTTACTTAATAATAAAGAGCAAGAGCACGATCTAAAGAAAGAAGTAAGACTCCAAAATTGTAGATTCATTCAAATAGCAAATAACCAACGAATTATTCCCAGTATCGAATATCAAATAAAGAATAAACATACAAATCCACAAATGAAATGTTCTCAAGATAAACAATAGAATCCATAAAAAGTAGATTAAGCATGTAGGATGCGAAGTTATTAGACGTTCCTATCATTAAAATATCCAGAGAAAGGCCACTCAACAATAATAATGAATCTTTCAATACAATGTCGTTAATCCTAATGGAAAAATACTACTAATCAACGATCAAATATTAATAAAAATAAGCAAAATAATTGGAAAAACAGGCCCAGAATCCCAATACTTCTATCAATACAATATCACAAATCATAAGAAACAATTAAGCTGTTAAAAATTATAAACGAAAACTAAGACATAGTAGAAGAGACTTAATAAAAGAAATCCCTCAACACTACTCAGCCCTCAACAATTCAAGATAATTTAGTTCCGATAAATCAAATTAAGAATATAGTAGAACTACTTAAATAGTAAGCAAATACTCATCTCTTTGATATCATTTTATAGTATTTAATTTATTATAATAAGAATGTTTAAAACAATAATTTATATTTCTATTATAAAGAATGATAAACAATCATATTTTTAAACCTTAATTCAAGATAAATAATGGAGAAACTATTGAAATTGAGGGGAAATATTATGAAAATTTAAGATTATTAGAATCTTAAGGCACTTAAACATATAATCGAATCGGAAATCTAAAAGGTAATCAAAAAGAAGAGATAATAATCAAGGAATATTATGACATAAGATAGGAGGAAATAGAAATACTTTAGTAAATTAGAAGGTAATAAAATGAAAAATAATCCAAATGTCAAAATATTATAAAAATACTTGGAATTAAGGATAACACTATTAATTAACAATCCTAATAAGAACGAAAATTCTATGTAGCAATGGAAAAAGGTAAGGCTGATGTCTTAGCTTTGATAATATAACATAAAAATTTACCGTACATAATTAAGCTGAACTTGTTCTTATAAGTAAATTCAACATTTTATTAAGATGGTATAAGGAGTTAAAGAATTACATGAGCTCGGTTATTTCCATAGAGATGTGAAACCAGAAAACTTTGTCTATTTTTAAAATTAAAATCAGGAATATTAAATTAAACTAATAGATTTTGGTATAGCAAAATAAACAGATGCAATAAATTAAACGGTTCATGTGGGCACTTATAGATACATGGCACCTGAAGTTTTACGAAATGAAGGCAATTACGATAAATCTGTCGATGTTTGGAGTCTTGGAATCACTTTTTATTATATTCTCACTTTAGAAGATTTTATTCAAGGTAAAATATCTACTCTTATTTTTAGCTAATAATAATAAGGCTCTTTAAAAATATTTTTTAGAATTAACCCAACAGTAAATAGATTAAAAGTTAAATAATTCTAATGGTATTGAATAGTTTGAAAAATAATTGCTAGCTTGCATGTTATAATAAAACAAATTATATAGAATTGGATTGCAAGAACTAATAAATAAAATTAAAATCAGAATAAAAACTTTTTAATAAGAAAATTCTCCTAAAAAAGAGTAAATATCACAATAAAATTTTTAATTCTAGAAGTTCTAGCAATTTGATAAATTAAATTTCTGTCCATTTTAAACAAATAAAAAGAATCAAACGTATTTTTAAATAAAGTCAAAATAATAAGATGACAATGAACTAGAAAAATTACCCAAGTTATAAGCGTAGTCAATCGAATTAGATGATAAAAAAAAAAGTGAATTATCTATACTAAATACTCAATTGCAAGCCATATTTGAGCAATTCTAGAAAGATATAAGACAAATCAAAATAGAATGTGAAAGCAACGAGTTCTTGAGTAAAATGAAAGATAAGACAGATTAACTATAAGACATTTTTAAAGAATAAAAAAAAACTTTGTAAGTTTATTCTTAAGCAGTTTGTGAAAACGATAGATTATTTAAGGAACATATTATGGTCATTGAGAAAAAGAAAGGGTCTGGAAAAATATAATTGAAAGATTTGTTTATAAAATAGTAAAAAAATAGTTAAAAAGTAGGAGGAGAATTAGAACTTCTAATAAATTCTGTAGATGAAAAACTTAAGGAAATAAAATTTATCCCTATGTTTACGAAACTAATAGATACTTACTTAGACATAAAAAAGTAAGATCTTGAATTAGATAAAGAAATAAATTAAATTAATACAATTATGTCTAATTAATAATTAGATCCATCGTAATATAATTAGTTCAAAGAATAAATTTAAAAACTTATTTCTAAATTACATGAATTAAATCAGAAAATACCCTAAGATAATGAGATTTAAGAATTCAATAATAAGTTTAAATTCAATTTTGAATCTTATTATGTATTATATGCTTTAGTTAATTATATAAAGTAGTTTCATATCACAAAATATTATGAAAAAATAAGGGTCTCACGTCAGAAAAAAATTCAAAAATAACCAAAATAAAGCATCTGTTAAAAACAATTTTACGAAAAATAAACAAATAAATCAGAACATGATATCATATTAGAGAAGGAAGCTTAAGATTTATTATAGAGATACAAAAATATTTTATTTCAGGATTAAAAGATAATGACGATATAAGAAATGGAAAAGGATCAAGAATATATGGATAAAATAATTGTAGATCTGGAAACATCAATTAGAGAAAGTGTTAGGGTAACATTGGGCGGTTTTGTAAAAACTTAAGAAATAATCTAAAAGGTCATCAATGGAGGAGGGGTATACAAAATACAAAACTTTGCATAAATTTTGATTTTTCAAGCCATCTATATTTACTGAAAAAACAGCATCCAAACAATGATATTCATAACAATACATACAAATGGTATCTGATTATATTGAAAAATCACTTATTCACCAATATATGTTATTTGTTAAAATCTATTTCAATGCAGCATATTTTATAAATATTTTCTTTTAACAACTTTCAAAATCTATACTCTAAAAATATCCTAAAATTCAGAATTTTTTGGTAATTTAAGCATATTCTCTTCAAGATTTCTCTAAAGTTCTTTATTCCAAATATTGATTTTTACAAATGTGTTTTAAATGCTATAAATTTTTGTTTTGATAGTAATATTCAACCGATCTAGATGCCTTTCTTCAACATGTAAAATTTAAATAATTTTAGGATGTCAGATTTTTGGATAGAAGAAAGATCAAAGTATGGACCAAAAATTTCATGAACTTATTCCAGAATTGAAAGTCTAATAGGTAGATGATGGAATATGGGCTAATGAAAAGGTCTAGGATCCCAATCGTAATTAATCCTAATGGTTATAATAAGCTCTCTAGGATTAAGAATCATTAAAATATTTAATTTGTAATTCTAGAATGCAATTTTGAAGATAATATATTATATTTAATATTTACTGTAAAAATTGAATTTCTTATGCTTGAAATGATTTTCAAATTATATATTAAATTTTTCATATTTTTACATTCAGTACTTTCAAGACTTGTATTATGGAATTTATATTTGACAACAATTAATATTTTAGGATATTTCTTTATCTTCTAAATTATCATGTGAATATGTTCGAAACATAAGACTTTGGAATTCATTCTTATTCTTCTCCTCCTGAGCTTAAATGGTTGGAAGAAGTCCTAAAGTAAAGTATTATACTAAATAAATTAATTTGTATTTATGAAAACAAATCAATAAGTAACATTGTCCATGTATATAAAAGTAAAATTTTAAATTTGATAAATTCCTAATTTATGCAAACAGTTTATAAATTTCATTCTATGATGAGTTAAAAAATAACAAAAAAATCAAAGTTCTTTTTTAAATGTAATGATGATTGAATTTTTAATTAATACTAGAATTAATTAGCATTAGCAATCAAACTTGAATGATACAACCAAAAATTAATCTAATAAGCCAACATAATTCGTATTAATATTTTAACTACTCTGAAGATTTAATAATGAAATTGAATATTCCAATTAATTGGAATAATAATAAGCTTTAATCATTGTAAAATACTTCTGCTGCTTAGTCTGAATTATATTGAATATATTAAATAGTTATAACTCTATAAAAGATATTTAACTATCATTATTTTAAATGACTTTATATCTGATAGATTATTACCAAGATTTTTGACAATTAAACATTGATGAAAGATTTATAAGGAGAATAAATTGAATTGTGAATTACATTGTAATAAATAATATACAGTATTTACAAGATCATTAGATAGGAAAATCGTAATCCATTATTACTTCAACTTTTTAAATTTTCCAACTATCATTACCCCTTCCATATCTTCTATTGGAAATATTTCTGAATTCTCTCCTAGTTAGTCTCTTATACTCTTCTTTCATTTATTATTAACGAGCTGATTCACATAGAATTTCCAATTTTTGATAATTTAAAGACATAGGGTGAAAGTAATTGGATGTCAATTTTGAAGCCATTTTGTATATATTATTTTTGATATTGGCATCATTGTCTAGTTTCATTTATCTTCTTTGTTTAAAATTATCTTCGAACATTTTATTTTAATATAAATTATTTAATTAAATATGTATAAGAATAGAATAAATCTAAAATTCTGATGAATTCCAAAATAAATAGTACAATTTCTTACATGTGAATATTATAGTGATTGTATGAGTTAATGCAGATAAGGTGATTATTAAATGTAAGATGATGTGAATAATAATTATGATTAATTAAAAGTAGAATATTTTGATACTTAATAAACTATAAAAATGTTTAAATAAAATCATTATAACTTAAGTTCATCAAGCTCTTATTTATTATAAGTGGAATTATAAAATTTACTTATATATTTGAGATGATTTTTGACATCCTATATTTTTTCACTTATCATAAGATCATGTATTATTTAAAAACCTGAGAAATACTCTCTGGATAGGTCTGCTGCATAAGGATCATTAAAAAGACGAGTGAAATCCTGTCTTGAGAAATTCTTTTTGTTTTCTCCATTCTTTAAGAATGCTTTGATTGCCTAATTTTCTACATTTTTACTACCTAATAAAAATAGTATAAAGAGTACATAAATATTTCTTCAACAAAACCCCAAAATTTTTGGGTATGTTCTTTGTTTCTGATTTTTGTGGTAATTATTTATCTTTGTTTTTCTGAATTTTAGTCTTTTTATTAATTTTTAAAGATTGTGAATAGTCAAATGATCCTTCAGTTGAAATAGATGAGCGTTGGTAATCCTCTACTTTGAGTTCTATGAAACATTAAGTGTAAGTTTCATCTTTTACATATCTTCTAAAAGAGGAATTGGGATTGCAATAGTTAATTGATGGGTATTTGAATGTTTGATTCTCCTTTTAAATCATTTTGAATTTATATATATATATATTTATTTATAATCACAGCATAAATTCTATGAAAAAGTTCACAATGATGAATTTCAAAGGAGTTTAAATTCTATCAATAATCTTAATATTAAAATATTCTATCGGAATTTGACATTAAATAATGTCTAGGTAGAAGTCCCTTCAGAATAGTTTGAGTTAAAAAGGAATAAACTAGAATTACTAATCCAAATATGATTTTATTATAATCTTTAGAAGAATATAATAAAATAAAAAATAATGACTCATTAATTATCCAACATTGAAAAAATAAAATAGTAACTTCATCTTTAACATTAAGTTAAAGAGATATTGGCAAAAGAATATGTTGATCTACAAGACAAGGAGCATTTTCAAGTATAATAAGATCAATCATAAGGTTATTGTTGGAGTTTTGGAGAAGCCAAAAAAGTTAAGAAATGCCAACGATTTATAATTATTAGCCATGGCATTCTCATCAATTAAATATTTTTCGGAGATGAGCAAGACAACCAGTTAAGATGAAATGCTAAATTTATTTAGAGTATCAATATTACTGAATAAAGGAATTGCAATATATAGAAGTACCTGCCAGGAGAACTTTATTTCGTTTGGGAGATATAGGAAAGAACTTCTATATAATTTTGAGTGGCTCAGTTTGGGTATTTCAAATTTTCATCATTTTAGGTCTTAGTAGCTAGATCAGGTTTACAGAGTGGTACATTCACCAAAAAAGATGAGAACAACAAAGACAAAATAGAAATAGAAGAGGGAACCTTTTAAGTAAATGCAATTGAAACTCAATTTAGGATGAATTTGAATTCATTGAATTAGATGACGAAACCATGTTAACTCAGAAATATCCAACCCTAATGAAAGTAGGTTAAATAGCAGCAGGTGGCTCTTTTGGTGAAATAGCTCTTACTAATTTTATCCCAAGACAAGCTACTATTGTTTGCAAAGAGGATTCACAATTCATTACATTATCAAGAGAAGCTTTTAACAAATTTCTATGTAATTAATGAATATATTATAATAGCTGAATATTACAATCGAATCCAACAAAAGAATTTTGAGTTTCTCAAATCAATTCAAATATTCAAGGCTTGGAATGATGCAGAGTTAAGTTAAATGTAATATCATCTTCAACCTTTGGAATATTGTTATGATACGTTGATATATAAGGAAGGAGAGATAGTGAAGTAGAATAATCTATATTATGAATAGAGGTGTTTATTTCGTATTGGAAGGGTAAATTGAAATTACATAGAATGCAAAAAACGAATATCATTTTGATTAACAATATAGTCGAAAATTACAGAGATCTTATAGTAATGTATACTAATTCTATTCAAGGTCAAAAGAATATTCAATTAAAATTAAATCGATGTGGATATGGATAAATATTCGGATATTTAGAAATAGTGGCTAATTAAGAATTTCGATAATCAAAAGCTGTCTGTTTAACTGAAAAATCTAAAATGTTATTTTTGCCTGCAGATGTATTAATAATAATGAAATTTAGAGATTTAAGTTGTATTGTTGTAGTGGTTAAACTTTGTCGGAGTTAAATAAAATGATTGATAAATTAGATGAGAATAAGAGAATCTCCAAAGAAATATTCCTAGGTAATTCATATCAACATTCCGGTGGGTTCGATTTCTTGACTTAATCACCAAGCTATTTGATTAAAACGTAGGATGAAGAAGATAAATTTGGATAGGTCAATTAATCTTAATAAAATCATCAACCAACTCATAAAAAGAAACAACCTTAAAAAAATACAGAAGGGAAATCTCAAAAAATTGTTTAAGAAATTTTGGGAAAGATTTAACATTAACCTTCTAATATTTAAAATTATTATGAATTTATTTCTTCTCATTCAAAGGAAAGGAAATTAGAACTCACTTTTGAATGTCCTCTTATTGAGATTCAATAAAGCAGAAAAGCAAAGATTTTATAATAATAATTATAACACCAATAATCAATTCAACACTCAAAAACACCAAGTTAAAATCTTGATTCAAGAGTATGTTTAATTTAGAGTTTGAAACTCCCTAAATTATTTAAAAAGAAAAAGAATAACGAAGATGTCCAATTATAAGTTTATAAATTTGTTCGATAATAAAATTAAAGTGTTTAGCTTTATTGATTAATTTTGATAATGTATGTATATATATATTTATAAATTTAATTTTAAAATGTTATTAAGGAAACTAGCATTACTTTACGAATTCTGTTAATAGTCTGCAAGACAATGTTTTTAATTTTTACAACAAGACCCTATTGAGTAATCAGGATAGATTTCGACTTAATATTAAAAAGCAAATAAGGATGATTAGCAATTGAAGAAATAATCATTACAATAAGATTATGGAGATTTGGAAGAATAGGATGGAGATCATGTAAGAATAGAATTTAAATTAGCATTTAATAGAACAAGAGAATCCGTTTGAAAAGTTGAAACCTACGTTAAATTTCTAAAACACTATTCCACAATAAAACAATTAAAATTCAAGAATTGAGAAGGAGCAAATAAAATATGATGAGGAGATGATTGACATGCATCAAAATAGTAATTGGAATAATCATGAGCTTGATTAAGAGAACGAACATATTGAATTATGATGAATAGATAATTAATTATTTATTATAAATACACAAGTGATTATGTTTAAAATCAAATTTTTAATGACCTTTCACTTTTGATGGCCCCAAACTTTTCATTTAGTAAATTTTTGATTTTAAAATAATCATTATATGTCCATGATTTTTTGGAATCTTACTATTCATTTAACATTTTCAAAGCCTAATAATATTTAATTGTATAGATTACTTATGTCCATGTTACAAATCTACCTTTAACTCTGAGTCTTTCTTCAGCAACCTTTTGTCTAATATGATAATGAACTTTCTTTTCGTAAGTTCGACTATGCTTTTTTTCTAAGTATCTCTTCACTTTCTATTTCCTTGCCATCTCTTTTAAGGATTCGTGATTAGTTGATGTGCATAGTTATTCAACCCAATCTTCAAATTTCTATGTTTCTTCATCATTCAGTATCTCCTCACATAATCCTACCTTGATTCTAAGTAAATCATCTCCCTTAACATATGTAGATATGAAATCCTCTTATTTTTAAGAGGGATTGAATCTCATTTTCAATTCCTCTAGATGCTACTCTACATTAGTTGGAACTGGTAAATCCTTTGGATAAGAAAACTTTTTCTAATTTTCTTTTAAAAGCATAGCAGCTAACATCTCCAAATCTCCCATTGCTGGATGATCCTCGGATTGTTCTGTTGTAGTACATTCTTCTATGCAGACCTTCTTTTTCGGATCTTCATCCAATATAAATTCATCTTAAAATACTGGACATGGTTTCTTGTAAGAAGACAATTGTTAAGGAGTGTAAACAGGAACTTCAACGTTTTCGAATTCTTCACATTACTATGACATTGGATTATAACATAATACTTATTCATCATCGGCTGAATAATGTGGTTCATCATAGTTTATTGAGTTTTCATCCTCAATATTGCCTGAACATTCCATTATTCCGTCTTCTCTCATCTAAGTATTACTATTCATTTTCACACAAGATTTTATATTTTAAAAAATCCTTTGAATTATCTATAATTAATCATCTGTTCTTATACTCCTGCATTCTACCCCCTTACAAATTTAACATTACATTCATTTATTAAAGAATTACAAATTTATAATAAATCTTTGAGATTCATTACAAAATCATTCAATCTTTTTATTATTTAATATAATCAGTTTACAAATTCTCTCTTTATATATTAAAATTTAAATTATTAACTGTTAGTAATATAATTACAATGTAAAATTATAGTAGTGATGAAGAAATCTCATCAATTCCAGAAGATGAATATTTAGATTATGACAGATAAGATTTTGAAGCCATTCAATTCGCTAATATCAAATAAAACATTAGTGAAGATGAATAAGAAAATGAAGATGACGATGAAGAAGAAGTTGAATAAGAAAAGGATAACAAATTACAAAAAACTGGAATTACATTTAAATTACCATAAAGAAATTAAGTTGAAAATAAGAAATCTCTATCTAACTTAAATAATTAGAAAATATTGACGGAAACTACAAATTAATTAAAAAACATTAGTAAAATTGAAAACAGGCCTTCTACTTCAACATCCTATAAACCTATTTATACCACTAGCATTCACCAAAGCCAATAAATGCAAAAGAAATATAATTATAAACAAAAATCATTTAATACACTACCAAAAAGATCTGATCCCGTAGCTAGATATTAATAGATGTCATCATAATGGAAGAAAACTAAATTTTTATAAAATACTAATGGATTAAAGGAAGGTAGAAAATTGAATTTAGATACAAGAATTGAATAATAAAAATAAGAATTAAAAGAGTCTGGAATGTTTCATAGATACATTGCTAAGTCATAATTATTTCTGTGATTTTATAAACTTTTTATTAATATATTTTAATTTGTTTCTAAGTTCCATAAGACCAAAGTTATTATGAATAGTAAAGATATGATTTATTTAATTTAGCCAATTAGTATTCTTGTTTAAAATGAAAAACAGCATTTTTTAAATATTCAAAATCAAATAGATTATCATCCAAATAAGAATTATTTTGTGCCTAGGAGCTTAGTACATTTTGAGCATCTATGTTATACATCTTTGCAACTGCTTAATAGGCAAGGGAGAAATGCAAGAAAAGAAGTAATTATTAATGCAAGTAAAATAATAATTACTACGTAACTTCCTTTTCCCATTTCATAAGAAATGTCCGAGTCTACAGGAACATTGCATTTTGAACATAATAGCTTTTCTGATTTTCTTGTCTATGGAACATTTGGATATGAACTTTCTTATTAAATGAGAGTGTTAGTATTAATTTGTATTTCAATATTCTGTGATTTAATAGTTTTATATGTTGCTTATGACTACCCACTTCTAGTTTATTATTACTACGCGTCCAAATTGTTATCATTCATCAATTTATAGTTATTGAAAATTTGATTATTTATGAGATTAATTAATGATGAAAATCTTAATCAAATGTTAATAAATATGGGAATAAAACTAATAAAATCATAAACTTAGTAAATTTATTCAAGTTTAAAATACCTACTTAACATTTTATTGAAATTTTTCATCATCCTCAATAACTGAATCTAATTTATCATTAATTAGGTTTTCAATCCTGGAGACTTTATTTGAATACGATGAAGACCCTTTACTACTTAAGCTTTCAAAAGAATTCATTTAACAAAAGGATGGACAATAAAATTGAAATTCAGCATATTTCCTCGGACTTTTCGTCCTTTTTCTTTGTTCTGCCCTAACACGATAAGAAGTTGGATTGCATTTTTTAATCTGGGCTGCTTAACATTCCTATCCAATAGAATGCGTATCCTTGTATTCTTCTAAAAAAATAATAATAATCAATAGTACTAATTTATGAGAGACCAGAAAATCCTGTAGCTTTATCTAAGATTTCTTGTAAAATATTAATATTTTCAAGTTTACAACTAAAATAGGGATGCTCAAGACATTAAGCTGCTGAAAATCTAGTTTTAGGATTTGGATCCAACATAGATTTTAACAAACTAACTGCCTCTTTTTATAATTTATATTAAATATCTTAATAATTGACTTGGCATAATTTGTTTTGTTCCATTATTTCCATTGTATTTTATGCGCGAAACAATGTTTTCTTTGTCAATCTATGATTATAATTATGATTAAACTTACAATTTATAAAAGATGACTCCTGCACTGAAAATGTCACATTTAGGAGTGAAATAATCATCAGCATTAGAATTTTTGAGTATTTCAGGTGCAATGTATCCAGGAGTGCCACAAATGCTTACTTTTTATTCAGGTAATGCATAGATGGCCAAACCAAAATCAATTATCTTTAATGAAGTAATGTCATTTTATTTTTATAATAAGATATTTTCTAATTTTATGTCTCTATGGATAATATTGTTAATTTCCAAATATTTTAAGGCTGTCAATATAATCTATTATATAAATAGAAGCAAACCTTGATAGCTTCTCTGATTTAATGAGAAGGAATCTAATCATCTGGGAATGTTTTAATATAATTATAAAGTGTATCTCCTGCTAAGTAATCGGTAACCAAATAGTAGGAGTTCTCTCCTTAGTAGATTTCATGCAACTTCACGAAATGAGGATGATCGATCTTCTGCAAGATTTGTATTTCTTACTATAATCTATTCTAATAATGAATAAGAAAAATGATACCATACGATCAGATGACTTTTTTTATAGGAGATACTTTTTAGAAATGCATTTGGCTGCATATTCAAGAATACTCTTCTTTACTTTAACCAAACAAACCTAATTTAAATTTTTAGTTTCACTTTTGATGATGCTCCAGATCCGATAATGGAACCAGAATCATAAAAAATGGAGATATTTCCAAAAAAAACTTTAGGAGATAGGTGAATTTTCAGTAAATTAAGTTAATTATGATCAGAGTCGAACCATTTAATTCGATTGACATAATAGATTCCAAAAGAAGATAATTCATCTTGTTCTGAAATCTTCCACATCACTCTTGTTTCCAAATTAAATTGTATTATGTACTTAGGATTCACCATGGTTTTATGCTAGATTATAGATTCAGTGGACTTACTTCACTCAAGATCATTGAATCTTCAAGGACTTAGAGATAATATGTTTTGCTTTTCAAAATGTGTTTCCTTACACAATTCATTTGATATAGTACTTGCATTTATATTTTATTACTTTTATTACTCTCTTATTAATATATATTCAGATATATTAATTAATTTGTTATATTTAAATTCAAAATGCAAACCCAAGACCTCGTTGAATATCTAGAATAAGATGTCAAAAGCTTTAATCAACTCTTCACTTTCATTCCCTATCAACCCTCATTCTACAATTACATCACCAAGTATCAATTGAAATCCATTCAAATCGAATTGAAGAGTGAAGAATTCTTACCATCCATCTTCGTTAATGATAAATTGCAACATAAAATTAAGTATCATCAGTAATTCAAACAAGCATATGGTTTAACCAATTCTTTTGAATTCGATAATACAATCTCAATTGATATTATTTCTTATGATATCGAAGAAACTTATAAAGAGTAAAGAAACATTATTTATTATTAATTAGAAAATTGGAAAACGATAACATGTATCCAATCTTATTAAACTTTGCTGTTGCTAATTCTAATTGGAATGCTGACTCCCTTGCTCAATTTATTAATCAAAAAGCCTGCTCATATAATACAATTAATATTGATCTGCTCTATTTGAATTTATTTAGATTTGCTTTGTACTTCTAAAAATGTAATCAAATCACTACTTTTCTGCATTATCCATCAATCAAATTTAGATTATAAGAAATAAGACATACCAACAAATTTGTAGAAACCCCTTTGACTAAAATGATTACAAAATCGAGATCAAGTTAAAAGAAAGAAAAGGTTCAATATAAATTTGGATTTCTCTCTCTTGATTAATCCAATAGAATCTTCCCTTTAATGATATAAGATCCTCTTATCTTTTAATTGCCATTAATAGGTACTTGGTTGTATTCAAATGATCCTTATGATGAACCATTAAATAATAGATAATACATATGGACAATGTTAACAGAATATATCTGTAGTCCATACATCACCAGAAGAATCTGCAAAGATCAATATGATTAATTTCTATTCATTCAATTCCAAAAGAATCAATCTCCATAGTTCTTTGAGGTTAGTATTCAAGAAGACCCTCAATATAAGATTGTAAGATCTTAGGAGAGAATACTGAATCTAGATCATCATCAAATCGATCTAGCTTCTGCTCAGCCTTTTAATCAAATTGAAAAAGTGGCAGATTTATATAATCCTATCAACCATATGAATCAAATCCCCAATAAGATCACTGTTAATACTCAAAATATTAATAAACAGAAACTCTAATCTGCAGAACCTATTCAAACTATAGAACAATCATTTTAATAGGAAAGCACAGTCAAATAGCCACCTGTTCCTTAACCTTTAGACTCCAATCAAAGCTATTAATCTGCGAACTTCCCTTAAAATTAGCATCTGACTGAAAGATTGGTCATCATGCAATCAGAATAGTTGAAATTAATGCAAACTCAAATTATAGATTTGCAAAGAGCTCTACTTCACTAAGTAAAATTAAATTATTAAGTAGATGCAAAAACCTTAAATACAATAGCCCATGAGTCCTCCAAGAAATGAATAGACATTTCATCCTTCGAATAAGAGAATGGGACTGCCAGTATAGAAGATAGATTTCTTAAGTGAATAGTTGAAATTGAAAACTCAATCCAAAAAAAAAGAATAGGAGATAGAAGAGATTGCTTAATAGATTTTATGTGACAGGATAGAATCGATGTAAAATTCTACAAGGAATTCAATTAATAAGTTGATCTCCTAGAATAATTCAAATAACTCAGACACTTCAAATCAATTCAAAATTTCAACAAATAAGAAACAATCCTTGGGCGATTTAATTATATCTATGAAGGATAGTGATATTAAGAGATAAATTAAAAGGAATTAAGCCATGATTTAGGATATCAATGGAAATACACAAAGTGAAACTACTCATCAATAGCATTCCTAATCTTTGTCACCATTTTCTTTACAGAATCAGCAATCAGATAAGAATCATTTTCTGTAAATTTAATCCCCAACATTCAACTAATAAAAGGATGTTTCATAGTTTAATTATATGACTAACAATACCTTCTAATAGGAAAGTCCAATTAAGTATGTAAGAATTGATTAATTTACTTAATAATTATATTAGTAATAATAATAATAATAGTTGCAATAATAATAATTAGTACAATTACAACAACAGCAATAATAACAGTAATAATAATAGCAATAATAACAGTAATAATAATATTTGTAGTTTTAATAATAACAATAATAATAGCAATAACAATAATAATCACTAAAGAAGTCTTAATAATAGCTGCAATCTTCAAGTCTCAAATAATCAGGTTTAATTTCATCGATATAGAAATCATACAATAAGTATTTAATTAATTTAATGACTTTTTAGAGAGAATATTATGAGCAATAATTAATTGGAATAGAGTGCTGGGTCTAAAGCAATGCCTAAGATTAAATTTAATTTGAAGGATTATGACGACTCTGATTCAGATGAAGAAGTTAAGAAATTATAAATGAAATACCTAAAGAAGAGATGATTTTAATTAATTTATATTTTTTTGTTTTTGTAAACATAACAATATTTACCATTTCCATTAATTAAATTATCAAAGGTAGAATCAATTGAATCATATAATAATATTTTAGTATAAATTAAAAACAGAATGAATTTTGCAATATTTTTGTTTTAAGATAATTTCTAAATTGAATTTTTAATTATTAGTTGTTAAGGTTTTATTAATTAAATAGTAAAATAGAAAATCTTTGAAATTGCCTAATCATTCATAATTAATTATTTCTGTTATTAAAATAATTCTTTCGATATGGAAGTCTTAATGAGATTTGGCTATGTTTTTGATTGAAGTAAAGAGATAAATCAAGAAAGAATTGATAAATTAACATATATATTTGAAAATAATTAGACTGTAAAAAAAATAATGTTATATGTATAAATTTTGTAGTAAGTGATTAAGAAATTATAAGTATCACATAATGAGTTTATAGCAGGTATTCTAAAATAAAAAATGATAATTTAATTATTAAAATAAATGTTATCATTATTGCCAATTTTACTTGGCTAAGTTTTGTGCCAGGTATGTGAACAATCTATAAGGTATGAATCCTACCAATATTCGATTAATATCGTTGATCCTAAATCAGCTTAAATATGGAACTATGATGATTTGACAAGTAAGATTGAAATAAAAAAATAGGGGTAAATACCAATTGTCCACCACTAACATCTGATTTAAAGGATATAGAAAGCTCAGCTATCGAATTGTTAGATTTACAAATAATTTTGGATATACCTGAAAATCTAACAATCACAAGGAATAGAACTGCTGGTCCAACAGTATAATATTAGACTGATGGAATAAAGATGAGAAGCCAAGGAATTAATAACTATGTTTCNTGACTAACAATACCTTCTAATAGGAAAGTCCAATTAAGTATGTAAGAATTGATTAATTTACTTAATAATTATATTAGTAATAATAATAATAATAGTTGCAATAATAATAATTAGTACAATTACAACAACAGCAATAATAACAGTAATAATAATAGCAATAATAACAGTAATAATAATATTTGTAGTTTTAATAATAACAATAATAATAGCAATAACAATAATAATCACTAAAGAAGTCTTAATAATAGCTGCAATCTTCAAGTCTCAAATAATCAGGTTTAATTTCATCGATATAGAAATCATACAATAAGTATTTAATTAATTTAATGACTTTTTAGAGAGAATATTATGAGCAATAATTAATTGGAATAGAGTGCTGGGTCTAAAGCAATGCCTAAGATTAAATTTAATTTGAAGGATTATGACGACTCTGATTCAGATGAAGAAGTTAAGAAATTATAAATGAAATACCTAAAGAAGAGATGATTTTAATTAATTTATATTTTTTTGTTTTTGTAAACATAACAATATTTACCATTTCCATTAATTAAATTATCAAAGGTAGAATCAATTGAATCATATAATAATATTTTAGTATAAATTAAAAACAGAATGAATTTTGCAATATTTTTGTTTTAAGATAATTTCTAAATTGAATTTTTAATTATTAGTTGTTAAGGTTTTATTAATTAAATAGTAAAATAGAAAATCTTTGAAATTGCCTAATCATTCATAATTAATTATTTCTGTTATTAAAATAATTCTTTCGATATGGAAGTCTTAATGAGATTTGGCTATGTTTTTGATTGAAGTAAAGAGATAAATCAAGAAAGAATTGATAAATTAACATATATATTTGAAAATAATTAGACTGTAAAAAAAATAATGTTATATGTATAAATTTTGTAGTAAGTGATTAAGAAATTATAAGTATCACATAATGAGTTTATAGCAGGTATTCTAAAATAAAAAATGATAATTTAATTATTAAAATAAATGTTATCATTATTGCCAATTTTACTTGGCTAAGTTTTGTGCCAGGTATGTGAACAATCTATAAGGTATGAATCCTACCAATATTCGATTAATATCGTTGATCCTAAATCAGCTTAAATATGGAACTATGATGATTTGACAAGTAAGATTGAAATAAAAAAATAGGGGTAAATACCAATTGTCCACCACTAACATCTGATTTAAAGGATATAGAAAGCTCAGCTATCGAATTGTTAGATTTACAAATAATTTTGGATATACCTGAAAATCTAACAATCACAAGGAATAGAACTGCTGGTCCAACAGTATAATATTAGACTGATGGAATAAAGATGAGAAGCCAAGGAATTAATAACTATGTTTCTTATTAATCTTAATTCTTTTAATTCACCTATGCCGAACATATCCTTGATTTTCAAACTCAAACACCTGATGCAGAATTACAGATATTTATGATCTAAGATCAATTGTATTCATTGTGTGATATTGAACCGATATATTCAGTTATCTCCTTTCCAATTTATAAATTATCTGAATAATAACAGCTAAAATTCAGTGGGCAATTCAACATGAATACTGATACAATAAGTGATTTCAACTTCAAAAAAAATATCTTAGGAACTGTAAAATCAGACATATCCTCTTATATTACCTACAAAGCACCAATTAACATCCCGTATAGATATTTAATAATTGTAGACCTTGTTCAACAGCCTATTGGTACGTGTCCACAAACCCATTATTCTTTCAATAGGACTAATTAAATTAGTTATTGCAATAGAATCAATACAATAAAATGATAAGAGCCCAATTGTAAAATACTGTTATTTAATACAATAAAGGAGTAAATTATATTATTGAATATAGAAAATATTATTTTATGGAGATACTGAATTTGGTGAATATGATGACACTGTTGAATGGGCTGCTACTTGGGTAGCATCTATAATACCATGCTTAATATTTGCTCTTGTTGTTTGTGTATATGGATAATATGAAATATCAAATATTGGAAGATATAGAAGACAAGAAGTGAAGCATGTTGAGCAAGAAATTGAAATGCTCAACTAAGAAGAAAAATAATTATAATGAATTATTGTGCTGATATAATAAATCATTCACTAATTAAATAAAATTATGTAATAATGTCCACCAATTATGAATCAAAATAAATTCATCTTCCTGGTTCGATTTTATTAGCCAAAACTGCTGGACCAAGTCTAGCCTTATTCATCTCTAAGAATATTTCGCAAAACCTTACCAAGATTTGATAGTTGATATTCATGCTCTTTGGTAGTGCTACTCTTGAAAGAATTAGCAATTATTTGATTTAATAACTAATGTATTGCTACTATTACAAAAATTGATAAACTCTCTCAAACAATAAAAGATTGTGTTAAACCTAAAATAACCATCTCTTAATTTAAGAGTCATCGAAAGAAATTGAAATTTTTAAATTGAGATAATGAATTTATGAATAAAATTTGAACAATTGTAAATTTCAAATCAATGCTGTATTATATATATATCATATTTTCAAGTAGTTTACGTTAACAGTTGGATTGGCAAAAATTATGAAAATTCTAAATAATTGATAAACTTTGATATTTTATCAATCATTTATGCTGATTTAAGTGATTTTTTAAGTTGTTACTTTATAGTGCATTCAATTACTGACAATAGGTAATTTTTCTTTAATTCAATTTACTATTCCAAATCTTCCAATTTTTCAGTTAAGTTCTCTATCTGAAATGCTTAAACCCCATTCTCAATCACTACTTTCCTATAATAATCTACTTGACTTTCTAATTATTCATATTCATCCTTTTATAAATTCAATAGTTCTAAATCCTCATTGTGAATTATTGAATGAGAATTCAATGCTTTAGCTTACATCAATCTGTAATGAAATCTGCTCATATGATAAAATTTACTCAATATTATTAACGTTAATTATTGCTAATATCCTTATGAAGTAAAACCTATTTATTTTCCTTTCAATATCACATCCTTCTAAATCAGATCTAATTGCCTTCTTAATTATTAATATTCCTTTCTCTTTTCCTCTCTGCTCTTTGTTATATTCTGAGTTTAAATTGCTTGGAACTGACCTTAGATCAAAATTTATTGTTATTAAATTTCCAAACACAATCTTTATTAATCTTTCTACAAATTAATATTAGCCTTCACTTCTTTAATAAAACAGAAACATTTTTAAAATCTGTTTTAATTTTCTTGAAACTTTTCCTTTAATTTTAGTACAACTTCATTCATTTTTTGCCTACTCTAAGAATATTGTTTGAGTAATTCATTATTTTCTTAACATAAAATTTCAATCTTCTTTGAAAGTAATAATTATTCTTAATACGCTGTTTCCAAACTACTATACTTCTATTGAATATATAATATTTCTTATTCCAATTCACATTTCACATTATGATAATGTTTTGTTAAAATACTAAGCTCGAAGTCTAATATTTCTTATTCCTACAATTCGCCTTGCTTATCATTATTGATTTGAAACAGCTCATCAAGCACTTTCAATTGTTAATTAACCGAAATCTATATCATACTTCTTTCTTCTTCTATCTTCTTAGAAATTGATTTACAGTATTACTTATTGGTTTAACTTTATTATATAAGTTCTTCTATTATAGAAAATCTGTAAAATTATTTCTAGACTATCAATTCTATTCCATTTTCTAATTATATTATCTCTTAATCACTTTTATAATTCTTATTTTTGTTATTTTTTGAGAAGTTCATTTAGAATTATTTTATAGATTAAAATTGGGATGTAAATTCTTATTATATTTCTTTTAACTTCTCCTGATTCTTCAACCATAATTCTTTTACAAGATTTGATCTCTACGTATTAAAACCCTATTCAAATTAAATTACTTCTTTATATTTTTCTTCTAGAGTTTCATTCAGAGATCCAATCCTACATTCCAGTTCCTGATATGATTTAATAGTACTTAATATATCAATCGTATTTTTATTATTTTTTTAAATAAAGTTAGGAATCTCTTTATTTACATCCTGAAGTATGTTTTTGAGAAATTACTGTCTCTCTAAAATATTTGTTACGAATGAAAGTTGATCAGATTCATCCTAATTTGCAACCATCATCAAATATTTCATATTTATATGTTAGAATTTTTGTTAAATTCTTCTTAAATTTGATTCTAATAATGCTTTGATTTTCATCAATTCAGTTACCAATTATTTCTTATAGGCCTAAAACTCAGCTTTACTATTTTAGCTAAGCCAATTTAGTTTATTAAGTGATTCGTTAAATTATAAAATAGAGAGTAAATCATTTTAAATTTTAACATTACTTTATTGCTCTATATTTTATATTAATGTCTTATTCTAATGTTATAATTTTGAATACAAATTGATTTATAATTATCCATATTACCCTATATATTAGGTTGGCTAATAAAATTTATTCAATTTCAACTCAAGTGCTTTATGCTTTATCATCAAATTTTTGCAGAGATGTTTTCTTAAATTTGAATAAAATTAATATGACAAACTATTTAATTCATCTAATTATTATGTAAATAACTCCTCGATTTAGTTTGAAACAGAATCAAATTTTAAACTATCTTAAATCGATTTTTGAAAATCAGAATTTAACTTATTTAATTATAGGTACTCTTGATATATTCCTGAATTATTTTTCATGTCCTTTGTATGAAGATAAAGATAATTAAATTTACTTTAAACCTATTATTACTAAAGAGAAAATTAAAATATAATTTCTGTTTATTATTTGCATTGTTAAGCACCAATATCAAAATGATCTTCCTTAAATAAGTTTAAGAGCTTCTCTAATGTTTATTCTTAAACAAATGCAGGATTAAGAAATTTAATGATTTCTTATTTTTGCCATTCATAAATTGGGGAGTGTTTGATGATATGAACTCTTTAGTCTTCTGTAATTTGATTAAATGCTATTAATTATCAGATTAATTTTACAACGAGAATCAATATCAGTCAATATTTGAAAGTATAAATTTCCAAAGTATCTAATTTATTAAAAGTTAAGCTGGCCTTGATTAATCTAAACATCTAATTGATCCATAATATCATTATCTCTAAATAATCTATAATCAATTCCTTTTATTTATGTATCTCCTAAATGATCCTATAAGATTAAACACAGATCATAGGTTTTCGATTTAATATTTTTTCTGCAATACTAGTTTCTATATATATAAATACCTAGCGAAATATTCTATGTTTCTCTTAAAGTGGTAGGATTTTGAATTCTAATTTTTCAAAATATTCTTGCCATAAAATTAATTAATTTTCACACAATTAGTAAAGACTTTCATTTTTAGTCTTTAAAAAAGTAAATTACAACTTTTCCTTGTAGAATTCATAATGGACCTAATCGTAAACCAATAGTTAGCCTTAAGGTGAAACATTTGAATTGATCTCGATTATTAAAACATTTTTTTCATTAGGTCTTTAGATGGCAGAATAAGTTTTGATATTTCCTCTTTCGTTTTGTTTTTCTAAGATTTCAATTTGCTATCCATTTAATAGAAAGACTTAACTCTAATTTTGTGGAACTTACATTGAGAAATTTGTTTAATAAATTATATAATAGATTATTCTTTTTCTATTAAGTACTTTTTAACATTCATGTTTATGAATATTTATTTTTTAATTCTACAATAATTCGCCATAAAATAATTCATTAAAATATGTAATAAATTGATTAAATAACTTTATAAGGATATGAGATAGAAAAATATGGCTAATATTTAAGCGGAGATTAATTTAAAGTATATGGAGCGAAAATAGTTTCAACAGGTGAATTTGTAGCATTAAAAGAATAATCTCAAATTACAATGTTAGAAGAGGATTTATTAAGGCATTAATAATGTATAAAATCAAAACATATTATTGAAATCAAAATTTTTGAAATACGAAATTCAAAAGTTTTTGTAATTATTGAGAAAGTGAAAAAATTATTGCAGGATTATATATTTGAAAATGAATTCAAAGAAAAATTATAAATTGAAAAATGCCTTTTATTTCTTCAGATAGTTCAAGCTGTTAAAGAATTTCATAGATTTGGTATATTTCACAGAAACTTAAAACCTATCAATTTTGTTGTTTGTGAAGATGCAAATAATTCCATTAAGGTTAAGCTTCTAGACTTTGGACTAATCTAATTTATAACAGATGATGATTAAAATAAATTACTTCAATAAGGATAGATTGAATACTTAGCTCCTGAAATTCTAGTCTGCGAATACTATGATAAATCAGTGGATGTATGGTCTCTTGGAGTGATTTGGTTTTAAATGCTAACAGGAATTGTTCTATTTAAAAGCAACAAGAAATAACTCACTTAAGAACTCATTAATTAATAAATTGAGGAAAATGGAAATTAAATAAATGGGAATATCTAAAATTTAATAAAAAAGATGTTGGTTATCAATAGTTAGGAAAGAATCTCTCTTGAGTTATTAGTTAGTTAGTTGCAAGAAATTTGTCAAAACAAATAAAGCATCATGTCGTAGAACCAAGATTAAGAAAAGGTCGATTAATTAAACCAGTTCAAAAATAACCTCTAAGAATAACTCGATAAATAATTTAATGAATAATCATAATAAGCTATCCAAAGAAAATAAATGCATATGAGAAAAATAAAGATTGAAATTATAGAAGATGAAATCCATTAAACCTCAAACAATCTTTTACACTTTTAATAGCAAGAATTAAATAATTAGTAATTGCATGCTACATCAGAACAGCTCACATATTAGAGTCAGTTAAACAAATGGTCAAATAGAGATTAGGATTTTATATAGTTCCAAGAAAAATATGATGCTTAAATTACAGAAATGATTTAAAAATAAGAGGAGAATATAGATAAACGTTGGAATGAAAAGTCTGATTAAATAACTAGAGATATCAATTTATAAATTAAATAGCAACTTTTATTAGATTATAATTTATATATGTCTATTAAAGAAAATGAAATTAAAGGAGAATAAGTTTCAGGTCCTGATTTATTACAACAATAAATAATAATACAGGACAATAAAAAATAATTAGATTTATTGAGAAAATAATTAGATAATTCATCTATTAAAACCTAAAAACAATAAAAGTACGAAGCTATCGAACAGACACTAAATTTAATCCAATAATAATTAAATGAAGATTTGGATACATCTTCTTATTAAATAGCTGAAAGAAATAGGAAATTTTAAAAAGAGTTAATTAATATCAAAATTGAGATTGATTCAATTGAAAAAGCAATTGAATTGGAGTATTTAGCAACTAAATTAAAAAGAGACAATTTGAATTTATAAAATAAAAGTTAAACTTTATTTCTTGAATATTAAAGGTTGATAGATGCTTAAATATTAAAATTGCAACAATTATAGAAATAAAATGATCATTCCAGTACAGAAACTTTGTATATTATGTATTTTAATGATAAAATTGAAAAATTAAACAAGTAGAAGTAAAATATAAATAACAAATTATAATCTCTAATTTAAGGTTTCTAAAATTAATAAATTGAAAATCTACTTCAATCATTTCAAAAGCTTAAACTTTTTTATTCGAACCTAAATAATATCATAAGTTTTGAGGAATAGTCAACGTTATAATTAAGTTCATACGAAAGGGTTAATTAAACATAAAGTTTACCTAATTTGAATTAAAAACTTTAAGATCAAATTAACTAATAGCTAGACTTATTAGATTTGATTTCTTATTCATAATAAACTTAAATTTATTGTACAGATATCAATATTATCATAAAGTAATAAGAGAATAAAAGGAAATTGCTTTAAACATTAAAATTGTAAAATGAAGAATTGTTGGAATGTTAAAGAAAGTTGCAAGAAAATAATCTTGTAATCGAGGAATATAGAGAAAGGTTTACTTAATAATTGTATTTCAATAGTTTTTAAATCTTTTCCGAAGCTAATTATGAAGAACTTGCTTTTAAACTTAAAGAAATTATCAATTTACTAGAGTTGGTAAAAGGGAGACTCCAATTCTTTGAAGACAATCAATTTTATGAGCATATTATTGATTAATGGAATAGGATTAATTCTTATAAATAAGAATTATAAATAATGATCAATGAGATCTTTGAATCAAGGGAAAATTACAGCAATCATTAATTGTAAAGCTAAATAGATAGAATGGGAGTTTTAATAATTTAGATTAAATTAGGACTTAAAACTATCCCATCCTTTGAGTAAATTTAAAGATTTAATCTAGAATGCAGATAGAATGAAAAACATTACTTCGAACTCTTTACTTTGGTTATTTACATAAAACAATATAATTGCTTGAGATACATAAATAGATGGTTGTCTTTGTAAAATAAAACCTTATCCAAATAATAGAATTAAACTTTTAGTTAAGCTTAAATTATTTCATAAAATCATTTAATATAAGAAATTACTTCATATAATAACGAAAGAACAAACATTCACAGTTTGATGCAAGACTATTTAAAGTGTCTAAAAGGATAAAGAGAACAATTTAATCTTGAATAGCTTTAAGAGAATAATGAATATATAGACAAATTGAAACAAATATTAGAAAGTAAAATTAAAAACAAAATCAAAGTAAAGTTAAATAGCAGAATCAATGATTAAACTCAAGTAAATGCAATTATTAATAAAATCCTACTCTTTGAATTTTAACCACTTCTCTTTTATAAATAATTGGCAATATTTTCAGATTTGATTTAATGTTAGCAAGACTGATTATATATATTACTTTTTATTCAAATTAAATTGCATACTATAATCAAATATTTAATCAAGATCAATTTAAATTCAGAGTGCTACTTGTACTTTTAGTTAGCTTCAATTACATCTTTGTATTTTAGTCATAGTTATATCCAAAAAATAAATCTACAATAGAGTAATCTTTTACTTTAGATGGAATTCTTTCTTAACAATAACTTATTTTCGATTAAATCATCCTAAGATTCCGTTTCAATGCTTAAATTGTATTCTAAGTTTTCCTATATAGGCTAATTTGAATATAATTAATTACTGAGGGAATAAATGGAGATTAGATTTCTTTGTTTAAGAGTTTATTCCATGGAACACCTTAGAGCCAAATATGTTTTTTAATTTCATCAGGTCCATTAAATCCTAATCTGCTAGTTTATTTTCTCTATATTAGTTTATTAATGAAATCAGCTGCCTCAAGAGACCAATCGTTAGGAATTTAAGTTCTTTTTACTTGAACTTATTTTGATATGATTTGATCTTTGATTTCCTATCTTGATTTACCATTGTATGGTCGATAACCTAACATAAATTCATAAGTCATAACTCCCAGAGCGAAATAATCAACAGCAATAGTATGATTTTATCTGCACATAACTTCAGGAGCTAAGAATAGGATGAAATTAAGAAATACCCATATAGCCTGGGGTTCCACTATTATCAGATGAGTTTTCAGGTCTCCATATTCTAGCAATGCCTAGATCAGTTAATCTTGCATAACCTTTCGAATCTAAAACGATATTTTCAGGTTTAACATCTCTATGAATAACATTTTAATTGTGTAGATATTCCAGGGCCAGTATAACACAAGAAACAAAAAATTTTGTTTATAATTCATTAAATCTTCTTTATCTTCCTAAGTGTTATCTTAAGTCACCTCCAGTCAATAGATCCATCACCAAGTATAGGTTTTCTCTATCTTAGAAGGAGTAGACCATATTAATTAGGAATGGATGCTTAAATTATGTCAAAAGATTGCGTTCATTTAGAACAGAATTCACACTTCTTTTAGCAATGATTTTAGCCTTTGACATTTCTTTCATTGCATAGAGAGTTCTATTCTTCTTTAACTCAACTTTCCACACTTTACCAAAGCCTCCCTTGCCTATAATAAAATGATAAGCAAAATTTGATTTATTAACACAAACTTAAGTGTCAACCTTTAGTTCTTCATCATTTTCATAATCATCCTATTATTATTTTTTAATTGTTGTTTTTTATAATTATTATGTTGATCCATACTTAAGTAGTAATTGTTGGAAGATGTTTTCAAAATTTTTCAAGTTTTTACTACTGATATTTGATTAAGGAACTTGAAGAACCTAAGCAATATCATTCATATTAATATTAATCAATTATTTTTGTTTCAATGTCTTTTCTGATGATAGCTTATTCCAATTCAAGTAAAATTCATTTGCTAAATTCTTTTTTATTGGCAGGCCCGATTGTTTTGGTGATTTTTAAATAGATATTTACATGGGACTTTTTGATCTGGATCGAAAACTGTCAATACTTAAGAAATTAGGGGTTTTCCGCATCTATGCTTCGTCGTTGAAATTGATGGAGTTACTAAAATTATGAATTCATATTACATCAGAGTTCTGTCTTAAGAGTTATGTTTTATTGGATTTTGAAGCAATTTATGATTAGCTAGAGGGGATTTACTATTAAGAAATCTATCAGACGGAAAATTGCAATTTATTTGTTGATTCTTTGGAGAAAGTCTCTCCTATAGATTTCGAAAATGGTTATACATTATTAATAATTTTAATACTGCTTATTTAGAACTGATTCTTTTATTAAATTTATTGTAATATCCGTGTAGATGCACTTACGGCTTTACATATTGATATTATATTAAAATTATTAAAAGATAAGTATATATTTATTAAAATAAATAATACAATCAATAAATAGGAAGTGCTTATTTGAAGAGTTATTATGCATAATAATAACCCGTAAATTAGGCGGAACATCCTATTAAATAATAAATAAGGCAACTTTGGATTCCATTAAAGAAACCTAATTATATAGATAATTTAAATTACCCATGATTCCGTTTTTTTGTAAAATGTGTGTAGTACACATAATTACACCTCCATCCAGCAAAACAGGTCTGAATTTTCGTTGAGATTTGAACAGAGCTGCCTCGCATTATAGTTAAGTTTTCACTACATCCAGAGGATACGACGCAAGACAACAAGCTATTCCACTCAACCCTCCGCAAACAAGAGCCTACCAAAAACTAATATCGTCTGAGTGATTCCTTTGTTTGAATAGATATTTTGTATATTCATAAGTAGTAAAGAAAGCTAAACCTTATAGAATTATCAATACCTGCATTCTAAGGGACATCTCTAATTATGGTAGCTACTAATCCTTTGAACAATCCTCTGATACCCTCTCTCTACAATAATGTGACTACACATCTTAATGGAGACCTCAATTCATGATCAATATTTTTTATTTGCATTTGAAGCAAGCATTTAATCATCTCAGCTGGACACACTACCATTGCATAAGCTACACCACTGACACCACCAGCAATTAGCCCTAGAATAGATATTATATTTACAAGGCACAAATTACGCTTAATTACTGCACGGATAAGGACAGAGCTCACGATATACTGCTTCATATACTGCAAACATTACTGCATTACAAGGTACTTCAGCAAGTATCGGAGATAACATTCCTTTATAATAAGCTTTAAACTAAACTCAAATAATTCATTACTCCTTCTTTTTTGTAAATGTTCAAACCCGTTCTAAAAATTGACTTTTTTTTGTTTCCCATAATCATGCGCACCTTTATCGTACTAAAATACATAAGATATTTTACTCAAAAGGATGTCCAAAAAGTCTAAAACATACTCCTGCAAATGCTCCACTGAAAACATCGGAAATTGATTGCTCTGCCATGCTTAATACGTTTTCTTGTTTTATAAGTTAAAATTATTAAATTTGTTTTGAGTTTTTTTGCAATCTTTATTGTCCAATAATGGGTAATAAAATTTTACTATAAATCTTTTAATCCGCAATATGATAAATAATTATTATAAAAATTATTATAAATCAACTTTGAAGCATTAAAGAAAATTAACCCATCATTTCACAGATTCTCATTTACATCGATATAATATAAAATTATTTAATTAAAAATGCTCAATCAAAATAATGTTCATAATGATCGATTGATTCAAGTATTTTCCTGCGACATGCTTGATGGAAGTATCCAATAAGATAGATGGAAAAAGGGAAAGCTCTTCATTATGGAAAAATCATTACATTTCTCATCTCTCTTTAATTATTCTACAACTACATTTGGATTCAATCAATAAATCACTAAATTACAATGTACATACTTCTACCTATCTAAGATTCATAAATCAAAGAATTTGATGAAAATGATGAAAATGATACCTTGATAATTACTACTCACAAATAAAATTAACTATATTTTAGAAATTTCTATGCACAAAGACCATAAATTATGGAAATCTTGAGGACCATTAATTTAAAAAATGAAGATTTTGAACCCATCCTTGAAAATGACTCATTTGATTGGGATGCCTATAATAATTTCAGCTAACAAATTCTTCCTTAATTATTAAGGCTTAAGGATGGGAATTAATACAATCCACCTACTACTTTCGAAATAGAAGGATTAGATATTCATGAAGTCTTTGCTTTACTATATGATGATGTCCCCTATTAACCAAGTTAATATTTCAACCTTGCAATAAAAGAAGTCGATAAAACAAAATAATATTAAAATGTACTTCATTTCTTTTTTGAATAAATTCTTGGAGATTAATCAATAAAATGCGATCCTTACATTCCCTAAGTACCTGAATACTTAAGAACAGGAAATTAATCCAAAGGGCCGACTCATTAATAATAATAAATTGAAAATTTACCCACTAGAACTATTAATTACGTGCATCCTACAAAATTACCATTCTTTGGTACTATTAATCCTAAGGTAAAAATGGTTCAAAGATTACTTTTGATTAATTAAAATGAATTTATTGTCTAAGTCTAATCAGAAACCTCAGGATTACCTAAGAGTGATTGTTATAAAATGATGTCACATGAAAAAGCTATTAGAATTGGTCATAAAAAATTGTATATATGTTATTTAATTCACCCTTAGTCGTATTGAATGTACTTTCACTATTGAATGGTCATAAAGAATTATGATTATTTCTAGTTAAGTTGATAATGCAGGTGCAATTGAATCAAAAAGAGTTCTTGAAACATATTACATACCATATGCTAGAGCAAGATTAGCAGAATCATTAAAATTAAAAGAATAATATTAATAATAATAATACTAATAATAATAATAATAATAATAATAATAATAATAATAATAATAATAATAATAAGATTAATTAAATTCAAGTCAAATTATTGCTGATCAACCTTCGATGGTCCACATAAGAAGATAAATTAAAAGTGAAAGTTAGATTTTCTAGTAAAAATTTTAAATTAGTCCTCATAAAAATCAAGATCTAAATTATGAAAGAATTTAAGAGTTAGATTCAAAATAATAAAAATTAGAAAACTAAGTCAAACAATTATAATTATAAATTGTCCTATAAGAAAAATAAATCAAAAAAATAAGTGATGAATAACAAGCTTTAATATTGATCAGTAGAACATTAGGTATAGTCATTTTATTTATTCTTTTAACTAATTGGCTAATGAAATGATAAAGAGTATTTTTTTAATTTCTTATATTCCATTTTATAAATTTATATTTTATTAAAGTCAAATGCAAAATCAAAAGAATGAAGACGAAATTATTTTAAATCTAAAATTTAGTCATGGTTCTCTTTGTGTTTCTAAACTATCTTTAGTCTTATTAGAAATAGTTTCGAATTTATCATATTAAGTTCTAATATTGTCTCATTTCATTCCATTATTCAGAGGAGTTATATTTCAAATTCATATTAACTCATTGTTTTTAAGACTTCTTGCTTCTTCTTTTAATTAAAATTCTAGACTTAAATGATAGGTTTTGAAATTCAAGACATTAAATTAATGAGTTTGACATTTATGTAATTATTATTACAAATCAACTTTCATAGCATAATTAAATTAACCATAACAATATAATTAAAAAATGAAATAATAATAAAAAAGGTTATTGAGTGTAGTTTCTATTGATGCATCATGATCTATATTTTTTAAACTACATTCACGGGACAATTAAAACATAACTTTCTGTTAAACCTTATTTTCACTAAAAATACAGATTATGGAATTTAGCAATTCCAATTTTAAATTGGAATAAATTGTACCTATTTAAACACAAATGGGTGTTGATATTCAATTAATCAATAATTTAACGAATAAAAGTATAATTACAGCTAAACCGGTGTGGTAATCCCAATCTCAAGAATTGTAGCAAATTTTTAGCATATGGTCTAATAATTTTAAAATAATACTCACTAAATGAATAATTTTCTAATATTTATAATTTAATATATGTTTAAATTCAGAATCTTGTTACTATATAAAAAACCAGAAATACTGGGATGGAAATTAAGAAACTTAAAGGGTAAGAAATAAAATTTCAATGCAATATATATTGACAGATAAACTGCTTATTTTTAATCAACTATCCTATAATTCATCAAATTAAAATTTTTTAGTATTCTTGTCGCTAGAGGTGATTTTAGAGCTGGATTCATTTTTATCTTCTAATATTATTTACTCCTCTATAGGACGTTATTCAGAATTATATCCATTTTGATTTTGTAAAGCAGGTTGTGAGTTATACCTATTAATATTGGTAACTATTTAGGTATTCATTTTTTTTTTATTGTTTCTTTGTGATAATTTCATAAGGAAAGCTGTTGTTTATTTACTTATTTAATCATTTTTAATTTTTTCAATTTTTTATTAATCACTTTTGTATTAATCGATTAAATCACTTGCTTCTTTATTTTCATCAAACAAAAATAGCTATTGCTTCAAATCTAATGTCATATTTTCTTTTCGTTCGTCTTATTGTGATTACACTCTATTATGTACATCATTTTGGAATTATTCATTATCAAAATCAACACTTGAGGTGTTATTAATGCTATGCTTATTATTTATTTTCTAATTGAGTGTTTCAGTAACAGAGTCTTCATTAAAATGGAACGTAGAAGCTTTAGTATCTCGCATAACTACAGCAGTCTTTGAATATTATTGATCTTAATTTTCTTAATCGTTTTGATGAATATTAACATCTATTTTAGGGGGAGGCAGATTTTTTTTCTGAATTTTTGGAGATTCCTGAGGCTTCTATTAAGGAGGTACTGACGGCTGAGTGACAACGGGATTGAGTATTAATTTATTCAATTGAATTTGAAAATATTTGTATGATTAATCTTGTATTTCTTTAAAGTGTTCTACTCCTAGCTGAATATAAATGTGAAAGAAAATTACCATATACAAATTAATTAGATTTCTAAGAGCATCATCGTTTGTGTATTCACTTAAGACTAATATAATGTCATTGTCAAGGATTTGTTAAGCAAAATCTTTAGGGATTTGTTTTCCTAACTCGTACAATTGATTGTTTACATACTTTAGGAGTGACGCATGTTAGCCTTAGGACTGGATGCTCTAAACTAAAAGTTAAGAAGAAATCAATACTAATTTAGAAAAGTATTCTGACATTATAATTTTTAGGTATTATATAAATATATAATGTTTTATGTAAATATAAAAACTATAATTCTTAGATTTAGTAATTAAATAATAGTAATTAATATTTGGATTCATTTTGTTAATAAGATGTAATAATAAATTATTTAATTGAAGATATATTTTATAGAACTGAATTATACTAATATCGACACTATACATTAATGGATCAATCTCAGTCATTTTGTTAAGTATTATTGAACATACGCTCATAAACCTGTTCATCATTGACTAATTTTCTTCTAACTTTACCCTAAATATGGTTCTGGAATTCTTACAATATGATCTAATGGGTTAAATTTCGAGTAATGAGAACGACACTAACAAGCAGTTCGAGTCGGTATTTCAATTGACATCATTTTAAAAACTCTGTTCAGCTTTTTTTAGACACTTGTCTAGAATAATTCTTTATTTTATCTAACAAATTTTAAATATTTGTAATGCTCTTCGTTTGTCCAATGTCCTAAAATTAGAATATAAAATAACCTCTACGGTTTTGAATTATCTAACTATTGGATTTTTTAACCTGTCGCACTGTCTCTACTTTCTACAAGAGTTTGTCAGAATTATCCTCTTCATTCTTCTTCTCACAGAGATTTTGAGCAGGAATATCAGTTTAATTAATGAGATTGTCTTCTTGTTTAATGTAAGGAGGATTTGGGATTTTAGGCAACTTCATCTAGGTTTGTTCTGTACTCCAGTTGATATAATTTGGTTATTAAAAGTAATGAAGAGGATAAGATTCATTCTATAGATATGGTTAAGGGGCCTAAACATTCATAACAAAAGTGATTACCATATAGGTTGAAACTTAAGGATAGTAAGGGTTGTAGTTAGAATAATACACTTGTGGATTCATAGCAAAGTCTGCCTAGTGGTTTTAATTATAATACTTGGTTGAAATTAGGAAGGAGAAGTACTGTATGAAAAGGGGTTGGATTGCATGCTTTATTTTTGTTTAAAATTTAGTTAACTTGAATCATTTAATCGAGAATATATAGTGCGAAAGAAACAAGATTTTCTCATTTATAAAGTCAATATTATTTTACCCCCCTAATTTGAACTTCGTTCTCCCTTTAGAAACCTTATCGATATATTTATACAATTAAATCTGACAAAAATTTTATTTATCATGTAATAACCCCACACTCATCCATACTCTACACCCATGTAGTCTCTCTGCCAATTCACTCTATTGCCTATTACTTATTGAAATAGGTCTCCCTGCTTCTTTCTACTCTCCCTTTTTAATCCCAGTAAAATTCAAAAATCGTCATTAATAATCCTAATTATTGTTGTTTCATACTTAAAATTAATCTCAAATGCTATTTTTATATAAGCATTTTACAGAAACTATATTTTTCTTATTAAATCCTTAGTTATTATTTAAAATGTCCTCCTTCCAAAATCACACTCTCTTTTTTGGAATTCCCTTTTATTGTTAATTTCATCCCTAAATTATAAGTGTTTCTTATAAGTAATTTCCTTCAAACATTAAAATAAATAGCATTCAGTATATATATTTTAATTATATTTAAACAAAATTTATAACGAGGTATCCAAATAAATAATAATAACAATAATTATTTAAGCTTATTGTATTTATATTTCACAGTAAATTACTATAGACATCTACCCATTCCATCCTCCCGCATCAATTATTAACAAAAATCTTAAATTTCATCAATGACATCACTCACTCTCTCTTCTCATTCCTCTATCCCTATTTAATATTATACTCTCTGGTGATCTACCATCATCAAGAATCTAAAGCACTTATAATCCATTATTCAATATTATATTTTTAATTAATAACGAGAATCGAAATGAAAAAATTAAGTCTTCTAAATATTGGATAGCTTCTTAATTAGAATCAAAAAACAAGCGTAACACACCATTCCCAAGAATAATCCAAAAAATTTAGCAGCTTCGATCTCATAACCAAAAGTCCATATAAGAACTCAATAAATAAGCAACATTTAAGGCATCATGCAAAAGATTATTTTCCTATTACTACAAGACAACACGAATTCTAAAGTATTAAATCTCCTTCACAAACTACAAAGGCATCCAAACAATTCAGCATTACAAATGCCTGTATATATTAAAATTATTAAATTAGTATCATAATTGTATAAAGACGAAGTCAAGTAACCTGGGTCAAGTAGGAGAACATCTAAAAAGAATTACACTTATTAGTTAAAAAACATTCTTGTCAAAGATAAACTATCTCCGTTTGACATTGGTTAAAGTACTCTATATAATTCATTATAGGAATTGCCACTTAAGTAACCTAACCTAACATTCCTTAATCCCCTAAAACTAATTTAAAGACTAGTCCCGATGTTCGATCAATCTATGGCGATAATAATAAATAAAAACTATCAAGCAAATAAAAAAGCCAAAATACCACTGAAAGGATGCTCCAATTAGAAACAACGAGACAAAAGATAATTGCTCTTTAGTTAAAAATATAAGGAAACATACAACAACGATCCTAAAGGAACGTTAATAAAAATAATTTATTTGATGAAAAAAAATAACAACTTTCCTAATCAATTCAATAAACTATCTAACAATAATTATAAAAACCCCAATTACCTCAAAATGCTGTGACTGTGCTTAAGCATTATTTGGATTAACTTTCAGATTATGAAAAGAAGGAGATCATCGATTATGAAACTATCTACTATCTTCCCCCAAAAAATATCAGATTGCTGAATCAAGATCCAAATGAGGATTAACAATATAATAATGGATTTGATAATAGCAAGTATAATATTTATCTATTTAACCTAGTGGTGACTACAAATTCGTTAAACAAGATTAAATTGCTTATAGATATGAAATGTTGGAAAAATTAGGACATGGAAGTTTTGGATACGTTTTTAAGGTTCATGATCATAAGCATAAATAAAATACAGCTTTAAAAATTATTAAAAACAAGGAAAAATTTTACAATTAAGCTTTAATTGAAATAGAAATATTAAAAGTAATCAATAAAGCCGATCCTACATGTTGCTTAATAAAAATGCTTAACTATTTTGAATTTAGAGGACATATTGTAAATATTTATCATTTAATTAGAAAAGTGTCTAGTGTTTGAATTGTTAAGTTGTAATTTATACGAATTCATAGCTATAAATGAGTTCTCTGGCTTTGACCTTGATTTAATAAGAAGATTTGCTATTTAAATATTGTAGGCATTGCTATTTATGAAAGAATAAAATATAATTCATTGCGATTTAAAACCAGAAAATGTATTATTAAAAGATTTTAATCGATCTGGAATAAAAGTTATTGATTTTGGATCTAGCTGTTTTGCAAATTAAAAATTATATACTTATATTCAAAGCAGATTTTATAGGGCACCTGAAATTGTACTTGGGCTCCCATACTCAACTTAAATTGATATGTGGAGTTTTGGTTGCATAGTTGCAGAACTATTTACAGGATAATCATTATTTCAATCTAAATCAGAAAAAGAGTTGCTCTACCTATAAATTAAAGTAATAGGACATCCTGATAAACAATTATTAGATCATTCTACAAGAAAATCGAAATTTTTTGATGAGCAACTTTAATTAAACTATATCATAAATGAATTAGATTTAATATAATAAATTAAACCTTTATCATAATTACTTGATAAATCATCAGAATAGTTTCAAGATGTATCCTAATATTTAAATTTAGTTTGTTCAAAAATGCCTAATGTGGGATCCTAAGTAAAGGATGACTCCAGAAGAAGCATTAACGCATCCATGGATCATAGATGGTTTACCTTAATCAATTAAGTATTAATATAGTATGATTTTAGAAAATAACATTTATCATAAATGAAGCATTACAGACAATTATAGACTGAAGGAAATTTAGACTATTTAAAATAATCATAAGGATAGGGAGAGTAATTAGAATGATATTACTATCTTAATTTCAATATATTATTAAATATTTCTATAATAGGTAAAATTGTATTAGTTTTATTCAATACTAATTTTAAGAATTTGATATTATGTTAAATTCTATAATTTAGGTAAATTATCTCTTTTTAAAGGTCTCTTACTTAAGGAGTTCTTTTATTTTCTCTTAATTTTTTATAGCACCCTATAACTTTGTCTTAAAGGCTTACTTAATCTGTATTTCTAGTTTTTCAATAATTGTCTCCATCTATTATTGATCTTTTTCCATTTCTTCTATCATCATTTTAAATTAACCCTTAAACAAAATATTATTGTATCTCTATAATAAATCTTAAGCTTCCTTCTCTTTTGTGCTATTACTTTCTTTTTCAGATTGGTATTTTTGATAAAAATTTTTTTAATAGTCGCTTTTATTGATTTATTTCTTTATTTACCTATTTGCAAATTCTTTTATTCTTTAATAATATTTTGTGATATGAGACTGCTTTATGTAATTAACTAGAGCATAATATAATGTATAAGATTCTAAATTGCATAGAAATGTCTTATTGAATTCTAGAATCTCATTATGCTTAGGTAATTTCTTCTTAAAATCATCTAAATTGGAAATAGCTTTTTAAATTTATTCTTTTAACTAATTTAATTATGATAAACTTAATTGAGAATTAAATATCTTATCATTTATCTAAATTATTTCTTCTGATAATTCAAGATTTTACATTTATAATTCTTCGTAAGTTTCCATTAGTTTAGTATCCATAGGGATGATTTTTATTTCTTTACTTTTTTCATTCACAGAATTCATTAAAAGTTCTAATTCTCCTCCTGCTTTCTAGCTATCTTTTTATAATTGCGCAACCAAAACTTTAATTTGATTTTTGAAAGACCCGTTTAATTTCTCTAGTTGACTAAACTTTTCCTCAATTAATCTTTTGTTTTCACCAAATAATTCCAAATTATCTTTCAAATATTGACTTTCTTTTTCTAAAGTTTCTTTAAGTTAAATTATCTTCTCATTCATTTTCCTCAAGAACTCTATGCTTTTACATTCAATTTTAATTGAACTTTTAGCTTTTTAGAATTGCATGAATAAGGTTTGCAATTGAGTATTTAACTTAAATATTTCCTTTTCATATTGGCTATTTTATTATTCCTCTTAGATTAGCAAATATAATTTAGTCAAGTTTTCTGTTTCATCATCCACTTGTTATTATAACTTTTCCTAAAATTATTCCAATTCATCTATTTAAATAATTGAGGTTCTACAGGAATCATTTATATCAGATTATTAGCACCTCTTGAATAAGTTTTAATACTCAGATATTTTTAAAACTATTTTTTCAATTTTTTCTTTAATCATGCTCTAATATGAAGTAGCTATATTATGTTGATTGCTAAATAAATTATCAAACTATTTTTTTAAATTTGTAAATTTATCAATAGAATTATTTAATTGTGTTTATGCAGTTTCAAATACTTTTATTCTTTTCTCTTTTCTTTATTAAGTTTATTCATCATGATAAATTTATTGAGTTATATCGTTATGTTATTTCCAAAAATAATATAATTACTTTTAAATTGAGTCATTAATTTATTAAAATTTTTAATATTCCTAAAATATCTTGCCATTCAATATTAATTGTAAATCATTCGTTTGCAAATTTTACTCTTAAACGCTAGTAATAATTTGGTTAATTACTTATTTATACTTAAGATTTGGAGATAAATAAGTAAATTTCTCGATATAATCATCTAACTACATTTCTAAATCATATATTTTATTTTGCTATATATCAATAAAATCTTAGTCAATCTTTTGAATACTTTAAATCGTATTTCTAGTTTAAATTTTTAAGTGACTCAAAGTTTATTAAATATCTTCAAGTTTGCAGATAAGAGATTGATATTGAATAATCTACTATATTTACTCAAATTTACAAATATTACTCTCTTTTTGTCTTAAAATTTCTAATTCTTATTCAATTTTCTCATATGATTTTATAAAATATTGAATCTGAACTTTCTCTTAAAAATCAAACTTAATTTCTTAGTAAATTTACATTTTTTCCTTAATTGTATTAAAATTTGAAGTAGTGGACTATATACACTATTTTGAATTGTTAATTTGTGTTTAATAGGTTTCCTTTAATTTTTTCAATTATTGCTCTCTTTCTTATTTTTGATTCTCAATTTATTATGTAGTTCTTAATTACTATTCAATAGCATTTACTTACTCAGATATCTTATTGATTACATTCAGTTATTTTGTAATAGAATTTTTCTGTTCACTAACCAATTTATCCTCTTATTCTTGAAGCTTCTCTAATGACTACAATTATTTTATCTCTTACTATGCTTATAACATAATTGTTATTTATGAGTCATTTTACTCAATTTCCTTATTGATTTAAGATCTTAACTGTTCTTATTAATTACCTTACACATTTAAATCCATAAGACTTTATAATTGCAATTTTAATTGATCAATAAATGATTAAATTGTATCTTAATATAATTACACCATATTAAGCAAATTTTATCTTTTTGCCTATAATTATTATTAATATTGTAATTATTCTTTTTATTCCAGTTGAGTAACCTTTTCGTTGTATTCTAGTAAATATTTTCTTTCATATTCGAGCCTAAGATTTTCTTCTAGTTCTTTTGCTTGTTCTTAAATTTACTATTCTTTTTCTTGATTTGCTTCTAACTTTAGTTTTTTAATTTAAGAATAGTATTCATCATCTTTCTGCTTTCTAAACTATTCCATTTAATTTTAAAAGGATAATTCTTATTCTATTTTCAATTAGGTTATTTCTTAAATATCCTCTTCATATTTTTGAGTCTTTTCTTGTTACTCTTTTATTTCATTTTGTTTTTGCTTTATCTATGTTTCTAAGTCAATTTTGTAATCATCCTTGATTTTTTCATATTTTGCTTTTATCTCTTATTCAATCTTCCTTTCTAAATCTTTTCTCATCCCTTCAAATTATTCTTGAAACTTCTCTTTGTTTATTGATATTTAATTCCTGGTTTCCTCCTAAATCTTTTTATCCTCTTACTCATTAATAAGGGGTTTGAAAATTGGAAATGTTTACTCTCCATTTTAATTGTATGCTGCTAAAATATCCTGTAAATTTACTCTTGATAAATGATCTTTGCGAAGCATTTTTTTAATAAACAATTTTTCTTTTTGTTGTATCGATTAATTTTATTCAATCTATAAATCAATATCTTTTTATTTCTAATTAAGGATTAAATTCTGGATATTCTATTAAAAATTACCTAAAATAGATAATTGTTATTACATTTAAAGAATACTTGGCCAACTAATACCTCATACCAAATTGCTCCCAAAGACCATATATCAACTGATTTATTATATAAAATGCCTTGAGTTCCCATAACTTCTGGAGCCATATAGTATGGTGTTCCAATCTTATAAGTACTCCTCAGTTTATTTGAAATGTATTTGGCAAAACCAAAGTCAATCAATTTAATAGTTTTCTTGTTATTTTAACCATCGATGTAGACAAAGTTTTCAGGTTTTAAATCTCTGTGGAATAGTCCCATTTAATGTAGCTATTAGACACCTTTTACCATCTAAAATCATAAAAATAATTACTTAAATAAATAAAGAATTTTTTTCTTCATAAGTCATTTTGTTAAACTCATCTTACTTCATAAATTTATAGAATTCTCCATTAGCATATTCCATCACAACTATTAAACCTTAACTGTTGGTTTATTGAAATCCAAGTATTCCTATGATATGACTGCAATTCTTTTGGAAAATAGTTTAATGGACATTAATTATGTTCTAATCGCATCGATAGCTTTCCTTAATAGCCACTTTTTATTTTGTTTGAACATTAATTCCCTAATAAATTATACCTTCAGTTCCTGATCCAATTGGTGGGTTAATCTTTTCATATTTCATTCCATTTATCAGAATTATATTTGCACTTTCATTGTGTTGCTATAAACTTTAATTAAGAATATATCCAGACATATAAAGTGGAAAATTTAAGTTTTAATTAATATATTCCAACTGAAAGAAGGAGTGAAATTTATAATATGATATTTCTATCAGACATATACACATAAATTAAATTAAAATATTTATATAATAAAATACATTAATATGTTGATCAATGTTCATCTTCATTTTCATCATCTCCATCATTTGTATCACTGCTTGATTAATTATTGACTAAATTGATATCCAATTTAACCAATTATTAATTATTTTCCTCTTATTATTTTGGAGGGGCAGGCTATTCCTATTTCTAAGTATCAACACTCTCATCGTTTTCCTTTTGTAACTTTTGAAGTTGTTATTTAAACACTTCGTCTGCTAATAATAAATCAATATTTTGTTTTAATTTAGCCTCCAAATCATATTCTACATTATTTTGTTCAATTCTCCTATAAAATAGAACGTAAGCATTTGGAGTGACTATGCTGTTAGTTTCTTTGGTGACAATTGAGTCATCAAATTTGTACCAATCTCCATTATTCTTGCAGAATGCAGTATAATGTCCACTTCCAGATTCACCAATGTGATTGCAAATTGCATATAATTCATATAAATTATTATTGTCTAAATTTATTGAAGAGATATAATACCTTAATGCAAAACAAAATTAGTCATATCTAACTTTTCTGGATATAGGATATTTGTTTGTAGTTTCGACTTAAACAATTTGTATGAATCTTTGAATCTCTTAAGATGAAAGATCAGGATTTAGGAGGTTTTATAGATTTGCAATGTTTTGAAGGCTTAGACATGATCCTTGCATCCACTACAATACCAACTGTTATCCACTTATAGTTACTCTGGTTTAGTTGAATATTCCAGACAGTGTTCCAATGTATAGGTCTATTTGTATTTATTACTTTTTTGATTATTATCCCAATTGATATTGACAACTGGAGCCTTGTAATTTGGATCAAATATCTTTTGGTACTCAGTGTACATATCATCTATTTTTTCTCTGCATGGTTTAAGCCATATAATTTGGATTTCTGGTTGTAACAATTTGTCTTCCCTTTCGAAACAATCGCCAAATATTTTATCAGTAAATTCAAGGGGACAATCATTGCAATAAGCCTTATAACAATAAGAGCAATTCACTTAGAATCTTTAATTTGATTTGAACATGATCTTCCAATACTTATCTAAAATATTTTATTGATAGACTTCTTCTAAATTTTCAGAATTAAGCCAGCTTTAATCAAAATCTGCAAAATTTTTAAGTACATTCTTGAAACAATTAAACAAAAACATATGTATTTCCTTATATTTGTAATGTTAAGATAAAATGAAGTACATAGTAGGAACGATATCTTTTTTCCAGTTATTCATTGTTAATATTTAATTATGGATTAGAACATGAACTTATTACTCATTTTATATTAGTTATTCTTGTTATGTTAATTTTCTTAATTGTAATTTTTTATCTTATTTTAATTACTTTTTTAGCTATTCCAATCTTTAATCCAAGAACACTATTTTATTTAATATCTTAAATACCTTCTTCGATTGAAAAAGTCGAACTTAGTGTAAGTATGATTTGATCCCATTCACAATTCAACCATTCCTATGACTTAAATTACAAAACTTCTTTTAGCCTTAATTCTGGTTCATAATAATGAGTGACTTGTTGACTCAGCCAGAAGTTTTCAGGATCAATAAGATAAAATTCCAGAACCTTCTTTTTTTCTTGAGGGATTGTTACATTGACCATCAAATATGGATCAAATGTAATAGAAATTTTATTACAATTTGGACACTATAATTTGGATCTATATTGGCCATATAATTGATCAACAATCAAGGAGTCGTTCCTTTTTTTGAAACATTCCCATTATTCTAAACTTACAACATCATCAGGTCTATTGTTGTTGTCAGGAATTTCAACATATGGTTTGACCTTGACTCTATTTAAATCCTCATTCAACAAATCAAGAGTAAATGTGATGAATTCTTGAGCATCATGTTATGCATTTCCAGCAAAATTAGGGGATAATTTGCCAACTAATCTCTTAAATTGGAATGGTGATATGGTTGTTTATTTATCAAGCCAAAGTCTTTTCAATAGATATGAAAATAATGATGCAAATTCACCCTTTGTCCCCAAAGCATTCTGTGTGTTAATATCAAATTTAAATGAATTATCCAAGAAGTATCTAGATAATTCTATTGTGTTAGATAAACACTATAAAGCACTATTCATATAGCAGGTATTCCCTAAATTCCTGAGTCCTGTTAAACCTAATTTAGATTATGGAGTTGGCAATAGATTAACAAGGATTTCATCATTGTCATCTTATTTTTCACATACTTGAGTGTGTTGATATGAATGTTATTGTAAACAGGCTTCAGAACAATATTTAACTTTTTTGCAAGCACAACTAAATGTTAAATTATAATATTGTGAGCAATTTGTACATTTTTCTTCTTGACCAAAGAGATTGTTTAAGATTAAGAAGGTACTATGGATTTCTTTAGTATCCATTAATAAGATTTGATCCTTCTCAAAGTTATAATCTTTGATTTACTTATTTTGGGAAGGATCCAAAAATTCAATGTCTGTGAATTCTATAAATTATTTTTTCTCTTTCTATGATTACAATAAAAATGCCTTTAGGTTATCTAGATTCCAAGAGCTTCCTAACTTATAGAGTCTAACATTGTCTTTTGTAACAAATTTAAATGAAGTACTAAGTTTATAGATTAAATTCTTACACTGTCTTTAAAGTTTTACTCAGAATAGTAACAACCTCACTTATTTAAGCAATTGGGGAAATGTATTATTCACCTTCGATCATTGAGGCTTGAAGTTTCGACATAGCTGAAGGGAATATGGGCACAAATTTGATGCATTAAAGATAAGCTTATATTTATCTTTTTCCTTCATTGTCGAGAAATGATTCTCTCTCAATGGTAAATTCGGCTCTATATTTGTTGATTCTAAATTCACACATTTATTATTACCCTTTCAGAGATTACCACATATTTGAATCAATTACGTAATAATCTACTCCCTCTACTAAATTAGGTTTCAATTGAGTATTCCACGGATTAAGTTCAATAGGGTCGTACTTGAGCACTTATTTTGGTTTGTGTCCGATATCAATATTGATATTTCCCAAGGATATTGAAGTATTTGGTTCGCCGTCGTACCCTACTTTCTTCTTCCAGTTATTTAACCATCTTAATAATAGGATGAATACTCAACTGTGATGAAATAAGAAAAAATGATCCACTTTTAGAATTAAATTCTTATAGAAATTTTTCCTCCATCTCCTTATACTTTTAAACTTCCTCGCTAATCATTTTTAAATGAATTTTTTAATTAATAATCAACTTTCATAATCATATATTAAAGTAAAAATATATGAGTGTTTCAGAATGAAGTAATAATGATTACTACCCCTTCCGTCTTAACTCAATATCTTTATATCTAATTTATTTAGAACAATTCTCATCGGATAATCAAATTATTCAGGTAAAATTAGAATTATTTAATTGACAATTTATTTCAAAATTAAATAAATGCATTCAATTTAATAATTATTATGGGATCCCATCCCACCTCCCTTTGTGTTCTCCTAATCTATCACATCAGCTTCATATTCTCAAATTGCATTCGCTCCTCCATGAAATGACCAAAGTTAATTAAAATAATATTATTATTTGTAGAATTATCCACTTTATAATTGGATATTTATCAATTGCCTTCAGATTCATCATCCGAGGGTGTCTGCTAATTCTTTATTTAATCTGTGTAGTCTTCAATTTGCTTGTTAATCTGAAGTACATTCTTTCTGTTTCTTTCGTATTGCTTCTCCTTATAACTCGTAACCAACAACTTGATATCCCTTTCAATCGATGTTGTAATATTGGTATCCTAATTATTTAAACATCATATTACCTTAGTATTCGCCTTAGATTGCAAATTATCTTTGATATTACTCACTGTACCCAACAGTGTTTCTTTATTTTCAAATAACTAAATAATTATAATAGTATACTGTCTATAGATCTTCATCCCATTCACTTAAATCACTTCCCTATTGCACAAATACCTAGTATCTGTCATATTCCAATTTGGCAATATCTGTCAATTTAGTACCAAATTCCCTTATGAAATCTCCGATCTTCTTAAATCCATGATCTCCTGAGACGTAATCAGACATATCTTTGGTTATAAATCCTAGCTTTCCATCAAAATCTCCTAATGCTGCCTCTATATCCACCATCAATTGTAATTCTGTAGAGAGTAGATTGTCCTTCAGTTTTAAGGTTTCTTTTTCTAAGTCTTCTAATTTCTATTTCCAACCTTCCTCATTTCTCTCTTTTGCTCTGAATGCCAATTTCTTTTGATGTTCAAACCTTTTGATGGTCAAAATGGTTTCATTTTCGCTTTTGATTTCTCTTGCTCTGACAGCTTGTTCGAATTTCTATTAGGATTATAATTATGCTTACATCAATTGATTATAATTTAGCAGTATTCTTTTGAATAACATTCTTTTGAAGATTCTCAACAGTTTCTTTAATCTTTTCTTAGAATTTGTTTATTTCCTCTTCGACTCCTTTCATAGTTTTAACTTTTTCTAATTCTTCATCTTAAATTAATTCATCACTTAACTTTTCCACCAAATCCATTCTTGCACTTTTTCTTTTAAACAATTCGTCATTGTTGTTCTTCTCCTCCTATTCTTAATTTTGCATCTATTTTAAGAAGTCTTCTTAAGTGATAGCGTCAGTTCTGAATTTCTCATCTGATTCTCTTATTTAATTTCTCTATGCTTCATCAATAAAACTATAATCCAAGTATCTCAAATTAGGTAAGGAATTAATAATATGATTTTTATAATCTGGTTCTTTAGTAAATGGATTTCCTGCTACATTCAGAACTTGCAAATTCTTAAATTTCATGCCTTTTCCTTTGCTAAAATATTGTGTCACAATTTCAAAGGAGGGTATTTTATTATTGCCAATTGATAAAACATTTAGAGACTTGCAATTGTCCAAACCTCCAACAGATGTTAATTAATTATTAAACATTGATAAGTCTTTCAAATTGACTAGTTTATCCAGTCCCTCAATTTCCTTGATCAAATTAAACGATAAGTCAAGCCAATGCAAATTGACCAAATGATCCAAATTCTCTATCTTCTATATTATGTTATTATCTAATTGTAACTTCTCCAATCTCTCTAAACCCTGGAGGTTCTCGATCTTCCAAATGTCTATTCAATTATCATAATATTCGATGTACTTTTAAAAGACAATGACATGACACGCAAAGAATTTAACATTATTTAATCTCCCATTGTTATTTTGTTCTCTGCATTGTAATCCTTGACTGATTTACTTACAGTTATAATTCTACAATTACATGATTAATGTTTCATCAATAACTGTTGGCTCAATTGAAGTCTTATTATTTCGCTTATCGATCTTTGGAAGATGGGCACTTTGGAAGTTTAACATTAATATAAATATATTATTTCAATTTTTATTTATTATAGTTTAATTTGAACTTCGTTTTAATCCTCCCATTTAAATAGGGTAATTGGTCCTCAAGTGATGTGTGCACTTAAACCGCCGAAGTTATTTACAAAATTAAATATAATATTAATCCCATATAATTTACTCATTATTAGTAAATGTATATATTTAAAATATTTCTTATTGTATACTGACAATCATTATGTTCATTCTTCTTCTCCAATAGGAAAGGAAGTCATACAACCCCAGAAACCATTACAAACACCCTGAGTATTGCTACATTCAGTGTAGCGTTAATCCTCTTGGCTATTCTCGTAACGATTGTCAAATTTAGAGTGCTTATCGTCAAAAATCAGCAAATCATGACGAGTCATAAGTGCTCTAAATAGTTATTTTTATATTTTTTTCATTAATAACTCAAAATGATCATTAATTTCTCTTTGGCCTTTTCCAATAATGGGTGAGTGTCATTGTTAAATGCATCCAGCACAAGAATATCTTATTCCAACTAATGTTTTGAGAATCGTAAATATTCAAGGCTATTTTCAGGGAGTAGAAGAACCATATAAATTAACCTAATAATTTAGTAGTGTTCTTGTGGAACTGGATGGTTCCTAATAAACCTCAATGTAAACTGATCGGCTCTCTCGAAAAGCATATTAATAATGAGACCAACATTATGTTCAAGTTTTTTTTTGGTCTTCGTTCTCATTTTTTAATATTGAGTCTCGCTCTCAATAATTAATTTGCATTAAACCTATTAATTAAAGAATTATTATCAAAAGAATTCTTTCATAAATTAATAAATTTTATGATTAAATACTTGTTTGTTTTAATATTACTTTATTTGACTTAAGCCAAGAGAATCAAGCAAAGCTATGTCATTAAATCACTTAAAGATTGGCATTACATATCCAAATTCGGGGCTGAAACAGGCGAAGTCTTCTATTCACTGACGTATCAAGAATTACTAAATATTAGCTTCCGCATCATTAATGCTGAAGAAAATGATGAGCGAACAATCCCGATCTAGTATGAGTTATATTTAGATGAGGAATGGCAAAATGCTATAGAGAAGAGTGAATGTGATGTAAGGATTAATTCTTATAAAATCAGAGAAACAGTGTTGCAAGAAGAAAGGAGACAATTTGGGTATCTGTATAGAATGGATTTGAATTCAAAGGAAGTCTAACAGCAAAAGTCAGAGCACATTTGTGGTATTTTGCATTTAGTGATTGTGAAAAATAATTAAGGAATTCATTTCCTGTTGAAAATAAAGTTAAATTAGAAGTGGAATTACACATAACCAATGTCGGTGGCACTGAGTTTACATTGGAATAGTTTGGAATTTTACAAATCATTGGTGTAATAGCCTTGATTGATGTAATAATGCTGATTTATAACGGGAATCAAATCTTAGAAAAATAAAGAAAGTATGAAGAATTTAGTTTGCCATTGTTTTTATTGGTTATTACTTTACTTTTGGAAACATTTTCATATTGTTTTTTAACTATACATTTATGGATATATAGTGAGAATGGTGCTGGATCATTATTGTTATAAGTGTTGTCTGTTATTTTTTAAGTGGCATCGTAATTTTCATTGACAATGATTTTAGTCATGTTATCATGGGGATGGCAAATCAACTTTAGTAAATTCGACAATTTTGAATTATTTTTACCAATATCAATATTGATAGGGTTCTTCCAGATTACAATCGTTGGAGTCAGTTTCATTGATTATGATTCATATTATAAGGATCACTCATACGAAGGATGGGTTGGATGGTTGGCTGCTCTGATTTACATAGGGGAACTCATTTACTTTACAAATGGCCTGGTTGACACTTACAACAAATAGAATACAAAAATATAATAATTTATTTTATTATTGGGTTTGTATGGGGGAGTGTATTTCATAAGTTTCCCAGTGTTGCAGACAGTAAATTTGGTATATGATCATTTATATTATTTAGTTTACAGCGAGGTATGTCAGATATAAAGTGATGGAAATCGGAACGATGTTATTCAGGACTTCTGCCATTTTGTTGCTTACTAGATTGTTTACTTCAAAGAAATCGATATTTGCTTAGATTTCAATAGAGAACAAGAGTTTCTTAGATAGGAATAAGGATGAGTGAGAGTAATGTATATCTGTTTATTTATTAATTTTATTAATTTTGTAAAGATGAGTAAAGAGAAAAAGATTGAGCCATCCATGTTAACATTTTTTGTCTAGGAATCGAACTAGAACTTTTGGGAATAGACCTAAACAACCGAATTAGATGTAATGATTTTCATAACTTTAAGTCGTAAGAATTCTTGATCGAACATGAATTTGTTAGAGAGGCCATGAAGGAAGTGAAAGTCAAACATACCTTGCTTGTGTTGGGAGAGGAGTATTTGTATAAGATCTCTCCGAAATAAAATTTAAAGCGAGTTCCTTTAAATATATTGCATTTCGATACGATCCCAAAATTACCAGAAGATCATATTTTACAACTCAATTCTGAAAATTAATTATAAGGATTCAAATTAACGTATGCAAGCAAGATACTTCAAGTTTTTACATCAAATTCTGTTGTTTATTTGTAATGGTAAGCCATTTTAAAACGTAAATGTCTACTCTCTTCCTTCCATGAAACATATCACGTTGAGAAAATGATAGGCAAGGGCAGTTTTGCTAAGGTATATTTGGCCACTTCAAATGGATAATCATATGCTATTAAAGCATTTAGTAAGCAATTCATAAATGAATAACCGAAGGTACACTCTGATTTTTAAAGTAGGGCAGGGAAAGTCTACTTAATGAGATGTAAGTGATGAGAGCCATAAAACATCCCAATATTGTGTAATTGTTGGAAGTGCATGAAACGCAAAATTCGATATATTTTGTTTTAGAATTAGTTGTTGGAGGGGAATTGCTCCAGAGAGTGAAAGAGAAGGGTAAATACTTGTGATAATCTAAGGACTATTGAAATCTGATGATCTGATTAAAATTGCATTTAATTTACTGAGTGCACTGGATCATTTGCACCAAAAAAGAATATTCCACCGAGATTTGAAACCTGAAAATCTCCTTTTTAAATCTAAAGAGGACAATTACAATATCATGATCGCAGACTTCGGTTTGGCAGCCTTCTCTGATTAGGAATTGATATTTAAGAGATGTGGAACTCCAGGTTTTGTGGCTCCTGAAATTCTACTTTATATTGATGGAGGACCAATTTATGATACCAAATGTGACATTTTCAGTGCTGGTGTCATCCTGTACATATTAATTGTATAATTATCAAACTAATAATTAGACTGGTAAATAACCTTTCCCTGGCCAAGATCAAAAGGCCATTTTAAAGGCTAATAAGGCTTGTTAGGTAGATTTCGGATTGCCAGCCTTTTTGAAGACTCCCATCGAATTTCAGGATCTAGTAAAAAAGATGTTGTCAAGCAAAATCAGTGATAGGCCAACTGCATAAGATGTAAGTATTGTTATGTATTCTATCAAGTGCTTAAAACACAAGTTTTTCGCTAAAATATCTTAACAATTAAAGCAAGATTAATAAGATTTGGAAGAATAACAACAGCATGTAATGAACAATCTAGCCAATTATGACATAGAATATACAATTGGTCTAAAGAACAACACTCAGAAGTAAAATATATTTAAATTAGTTCGGAGGATTTAGTAGGATCACAGTAATTGCAATGGCGAAGACCAGCTTATAATGGTAATGTTTAGACTGTGGAAACCTTAACAAATTGTTCCACTGTTTCGATCAAACAAATTGACGCCTAATCTTCATCTTAGTTCTAATAATAAAAATAACCTCAACAATCTAAATTCAGCATTTTCAGTGCTAAATTATCAAGACAAAATAGCTTTGATGGAGGAACTGGTATTATATATACATCTATGTAGATATGTTCAAAGATTGTGCATCTCCTGGTAGAAGTAAGATTTCAAAAGAGAAGGACTTACATAAGATTGCATTGAAGAACTCTTTTCGATTTTGCTAAAAACCATAATTGTAAGTGGAGGACAATCAAATCAATTAAGAATAATCAGAAGTAAGTGAACTGATCAAAAGACACAATTCTAGTGAATTGATAAAAATGAATCGTACTGATCATGAAATTTAATCTCCTAAAAAAGTCGAATGATATAAAATTATAAAAAACTTATTTAATATTTAAATTCAATAATCTTACATTATATTTTATCTATCCTTTAAGTTTAATTACCCCTTTCCTTTCTCCTTCATTTCCTTTGCACATTTGATCTTTTGCTTAACCTCCGCCACAGCTTTCTTCATTCCATTCTCCTCAAAGGTTTTCAAACTCTTCTAAAAATAGCTCAAAGCATCTCTAAATTCCTAGACTAACAACAATATTGTGCCTTTGTTAATTTAAATTCATAAATATACCAATAATCTTTTAAGTCTTAGCTACCTACACACTTCCTTCTCCATATACTTTAACTTCTAAATCTTCAGTTTCATATAGTTCCCCAAGTGCTTCTTGATGTCTCTCCTATTTTAATTGAATTATGGCAATTTATCGTTTGATCTTAATGACCTTCTTATCCTAAGCGGTGTATAACTCAATATAGATTTATTTCACTTTCTATAGGCAAGCAATTTGTTCGTCAATCTGTTGTATTTTTTCAAAATAAGTTGATAATTATTAATAAAGTTCTGCAACATATTCAGTTTTATGATAATTAATCTCTACTAACATGTCGATGGCACTTGTTTGGCACTGAATTGCATCCTTCCAGTTCTCTTGGCAAGCAAATATCTTGGCTTTTTCAATATAAGAAATTGCACTCTATTCTGACTTATAACCATATTTGGCTTCTGTAATAGCAAATACTTTAGTAATGCATTCTTCACTAGCATCGTAGTCTTTCATCTTTCTATAGATTATTAATGATGTATAAGTTACGTGTGACAATTAGACATCAAAGTCAATGTTTAGATTGAATGTTCAGTTTCGTCTCCATATATCTAACATTGGGTTTCGTAAGCCTTTTTCAATAAATCCAAGGACTCTTCATAACTATTGATTTCTAGATAACACTTTCCAAGTAATGTGAGTATGATTGCATTGAAACTCTTGCTTTCTTATTCCTCATTATACAATTTTGCATTTTTCTTCAAGGCCAAAGTTAGATGATCGATAGCTTACTCGTAACATTTATAATTGAGATATGCATCACCTATATTAGTATGTGCTTTCACCAATTTAAATTACCCTTTGCCATGTGTGAATACCAAAATCTGTGATATAATAAGATTAGAATTAATACCTTGGCCAATGCCAATTAGTGCATTCTGATGTTCAATATTTATTCTTCACTCTTATCTTTAGCGTACTCATCTAGCATCTTCATCTTTTCCTCCAAATCCTCAGATATCTTATCTTCAATTTATTTTTGTTGGTCTGGTTAGTAATTACCATAATTCTTGTCTTATTAGTATTTTTCTTTTTATGCTACACAATTATCACAAATATTTATCTACAGTTATCAAATTGATTAGATTCCATCTAATCGTCTTGATTAAATTAATCATAATCCTCTTCGTTTTGATCTTAATCATCCTAGAAATTCCCATCGTCATCGTCATACCCTTCTTGCATGTTTCTGTTATATCTCTTATATATTAAATATAATAATTTAAATTAAACAAAAACTCTCATTGTGTTATATTCTACAATATACTGGATTACTTAAGTATCTCCATCCAAATTTACCCTTTGATCACTTTGACCTCGCTTCTCCTCATTTCTTAATTCATATTTTTGTTGTTTACTATTGATTTATCATATTTTTATTAGCCTCATTAATATTAACAACATTTATCTAATTATGGGGCAATCAAACCCTAAACTTTCTGATAGGTATTTTTACACTAAGTGAATAAACCTTTAAATCTTACTTTAAGAATATATTAATAAATATGATGTAAAATTTTAGAAATATTATCAATGTACCATCTTAGATAGTTGAAATTACCAAAATCTCTAAAACTAAAGGGGATGTGGAAGAAATGCTTTCACCAGAATCTGACCAAGAAGACTTATCTTTCTCTACTCCTCAAAGCAATTATATGTAGGGAGAGTTTGACTCCAAGACCAAAAGAAAGAAGAAACACATTAGATTTAGCTTCTAAAATCAAGTTTGTAGTTGCTAGTTAAATTCGAAACGGAATTCCCCTACCGATTCACCTCGCAGGAATTCACCATCAATTCAATCTATTCTCAAGCCTCAAAGCCTTTCAATGTTTTGTTAAAAAAAGAAGTGAATCTGAATTATTTATGTTTTGAGAAATCTTGGTTAAAAAATAAATCTCTAATTATGTTCACATGAAAAATAAAAAACTCAAAATCGTCCACCCCATTTATCAACAGACCAGAACCAACCCTTTGTCATGCTTTTTCAAAGGCAAAACTCAATGTATTTTCTATGCTAAAAAAAATTATTATAATTAAAATGTTAATTTAAAATAAAATAATCTTCTTCAATTAAGTTGATCACATTTACATAATTTCTAATTTTGATATTTCAACTATCTCTATCAACTAAAATTAGTCATATCGGGCAAATTAGACTTTGCTAATCATTCTAACAATTTGGATGATCTTTCTGCTCCATAAACGTTTTCAAAGTTCACAATTACACAATTAATTGAAATAGAAAACTATATAAATTAAATAAAAGCCTTACATTTAATTTTAATGCCCATTATATTCAAATTAAATTTAGAACAAAAAGATATGAGATAATTTATCTTTAGTACTAAAAAACAAAGTAAAAGTTTGGCTAGTCTGCTAATAATGCTTTCTACGCAATAATAATTTATCTATTCTTCCGTGTAATTCATTTTGAGCCTATTTTAATTCCAAAAATTTGATTGGAAGAATTCAAATCAAATGTTGAATATAATATGTGTATGTGCAATAATAGTGGTTTTTGAATTCAATTAATAAATAGGTGCTCATGGAAGCAAGTGAAACTGCTAATTTTCACAGAAACTTATTATAAAAATTTGTCATTATTTCTATAAATTATTCATTGTAAATTTGAAGAAATATTTACTGTAATATAAATTATTAAACCAAGATAGTCAAATCAATACAGATTTACAATACAAGTCAATATATTGAGTATTAATAATACAATAATAGTACAATTATAAATCTCAATTTGATAAAGTAATAAATTTGTATAGTTTTCTTAAAAAACCCATTTAATAAAAATACTTAAAAGTTAGGAATCTTTTTTCTTCATTAAAAATGAAAGAACATGAAATGAATTAATCAGACCAGAAGTTACCAATTCTAGATAGATAATAGTATAAATATCTTATGATACTTAATAAAAATCAAAAAAATTCTAAGTACATTTTTTTTTATAATTGATGTTATCTTGATTTGCCAAACAACTATTCCAAATTCGCAGTAGCATTAACAAAAATACTTCTTGGAGTAATATTAGAGAGTCTCTTCAATTCCAACATATTAGCATTTTGATTAGCAATATTAAATACCATAAGATCAACCTTATTCTTTTCAAGTACTTATTTCAACTTTAAAAATTATTTCTCGCTCATTTTAATATTTACTAATAATAGATTAGATAATTATTATTACTTTCAGTGAAAATACAAATATATTTATACCTAGTCCTGAAATCATTTGCTTTTATTGTTTATTCATTATCTGTGATATTACAATGATCAATTTCGCTTCTAATAAATTTGAAAACATCGCTCTCTGGTTCAGAGTCAGACTCACTATTTAAATCATACTAGCAATCCTCACTATAAAAAATGATAGTAATTAATCTAATACTTAAAATTATCATTTTTGATCTTGTCATCTATATTTTCCTCGATTAAACTTTTCCCTTCATCCTCTTCTGCAACTGTTGGTAATTACTTTTTTTACTTTTCACTAAAATCTTTGCTTTTCCTCTTCTCATAGTCACTATCAGTGATGGTAATTTTATGTTCAAAGAAGTTCCTAACAGCATATTTTAGGGCTTAAGATATTTTTGATTTTCCTCCTGGAGCCGTGATAGCCATGAACAATTGTTTTGTCAATAAATCTTTATAAGTCCCTTTCGGTTATAAGGGGAATGCTTCGTGAAGAGAATTATTGAACCCATACATACCAATCAAATCTTGAGGTTAAAGTATATGGAAAATTTTATTACAAATACTATGAGACAAATTAATCTGCTCTATCTTCATTTCCTTAGAGTAATCGATCATGAATACAACCTCGTAGATATTGATTGAAATTTAGTTCCTGAATTATTGGATTGGCAAAGGAGAAATATTAAATAGATTTACAATTTTCTCTAAAGCTGTTAAACAGAAATCACGTACTTCAGGATCATAGTATTCTCCCATTTCTATGATTTAAGTTAAAATCTCAGCACCAGTCTTGAAGTTTCCTTCAATTAATTCGTATATGGCTTATAGTTGTGTGATTTTAGAGAGTAAGACTTCTTTGGGTACATTTTTGAACATGTCAACAAAGTTATAATCTTATTCCGCATGATTTTATTCTACAAAGTCTTCATTTAGTTTGCTGTAGTAATCTAAGGCTTTCTTTTGAGATATTTTGAAATTACTCAAATCTCCAATTTAGATATAACATAATGCCTTTTTGACATGAAGATTTAACAACCTAACAATATTGCTTTATGTGAATTATTATTCCTTTTCTGCTATGGCTTCAAATTCATTAAATAATTTGAGAGTTTCTGGTATGAAAATTTCATTTTGCATACAAATGGTGAACATGAACTATGCTAGTTGGAACTGTCTATTTAACAATTTTGCCTTTGCTAATTTTTTCTTCTTCATCAATTCTGTAATCTTCTCTTCTATCATTTACAATTCTGTCATTCCTCCTGTAGAGTATCTAGAATCTCCTCTCATCCTTTCTTCTTGATCTTGTCTATACTCCTCATCTTTGTATCTTTCATCTTATTGTATAATGCTCTCCTTCAAATCCAATCTCTAACTGATGATACTACTTTAATTATATGAGTGACTGCCTTGATTCCTGGCTCTGTTTATAGATACATTTGGAGATAGTTAGGCAGATAGATGAGGGGAGTTCTCAAACTCTACTGAATTAATTGGTAACATAAGTTGTCTACTCTCTGCAAATGACATTCTCTTCTTGTAGATTGGAGTTTGAATAGAATTGGTTTGATTTTAGGTGATTTTATTTTGTGTGCCAGTGTTGAGTAATGCAATGTGAGGTAGATTGGTTTTTTATAATAATTAAGTGGTAGATTAATTTTTTTGATGTTATCCTTTTGGTTTATTCACAAGAGATTGTGAGTTTAATTTTATTTAACTGTTTACCCTTTTGTTTTTGCTATCCCCCTTCTTTACTTGTACGCTTATCCAATTGATTTTCATTTGCTCTTTAAATCTTTATGCCAATCCTTTCAATCTTAATTTGAAATTTTAGTATAGATTTGGTTCTTATAATGCCGCCTACATACTTAAACACCATTTCTTAAGTTCTTTGATTTCTATCAACTCTAATTTTGCAATGTAAATAGCTTCTTCCATTTCATTTATGGCTTCAAATACTCTGCCTCCTTTCATATGCAAGATCCCTATATTATTGGCGCATATTCCAACTGCACTCATGTTTCCTATTTCTTTCTTGTAGAAGTCCTTCGCTTTACTTAATTCCATCAAGGCCAAAGCATCGGAATGTTTAAAATTAGAATACTTCTGATTGGAATATTTGATGGTTGTAACGAAGATGTTCATGGTTTGAAATAAGGACTTAATCTCAAATGAGTTAAAATAATCCTAATAATTGATTAGTTCTTCTTCCTGATCCATGTTTTAGATGTCGATGCCATTCATAAATTCAGTTAAAACATTGATTGGCTATTCAAATGATTAACCAATTCGAGCAGCTGTATACCAAACAAATAGAAATATGACTAATTTATATTGATGGAAAATTACTGACTGATAGTGCAATGATAACAATCAAGACGATGATCTCCAGCATCTTAACCTTATTGAGAGAAGTGCCTTCATAGAGTTCTTGAATTAGAGTTTGTTCCTCAAAGTAATGAACCAATATAAAGGAAGGCAATGTGAAATTATTTTCTTCAGGTTCTATATACACATATCTCCTCCCATTTTCAGGAGCTGTTACCACAGACACCTTCTTTGTGGATTAGATATTAATCTTAAAAAATAGCAAATAAAACCTATTAGAACCAAACGAATACGTCAAGGATGTTTAATTTAGAGTTTCATCCTTGACCAATTCTTTGGTCTTATCCAGTATCAGTGGTGCCATGTCTTCAATCAAGGAGTTATAAGAGGATTAGCTGAAATCTTTAGTTTCTACTATGTATTTAACAATAGATTCTGAAATGGCCATATTGCTGAAATCTTATGGGGCTAAGGTAGTGAATTAATCATTAATTATGGCAGTAAACAACTAATGTTCAATTTCCATCTAATTGCTATGCTATAACTGATGTCTGATTGTCAACTCTTCTAGATATGAATTGGAAATCTTCGCTGTCAAGAAGCATTACTTCAAACCATCTTACGAAATGGTTTGGGTTATCGTCAATGACGAGTTTTATGTGAATTCATCCTTTTCTGCATAGGACATTGAAAAGTTTAATGTGGAGTCTAACTTAAATCTCTGAGTTGGTAGCCAATCAGAAGTATTAAAATGATTCAACAAATTTTATTATTTTTTGGTGAATTACGGCATTCTCACAACTAATGAGTCTGTGCAATGGACCATCAAGGATGTATAAGTGAGGGGAATCAATTTAGACTCATTTTCACTCTCTTTGGAAGTGAGATATTGGTCTTGAGACGATGATTTTGTGTTGCTTTAAATATGTGATGATCCAATACTTTATGATGATATCTGATAGTATAAGCGATTAGGTAATCTTATTAATGAAAAAACTTAGCGTAGGGTCTGTTTTGTGCAAGGATTCCAATGAGGTATAATTAGAATGACTCCAGGTCACGGTGTAGTACTCTTCTGTTTGTTGGCCAGATGTAAATGAATAAGGGGGTATTTATTTAGTATTCAAATTCCTAGATAATTTAAAGGGAGATACCAGGATGAATAGTTTTAAAATTCGCCAAAGCAATAATGTCTTAGATGAGCACTCACACCAAATATTTAATTAAAATAGGCCTAATATTGGATGTATATTTCCTATGATCCAAGTACTAATTACTTGTTATATGATGTTCATTTCTATTTATAGCCCATTCAGATGTCTGTTTATATGAAATTCTAAGAGGGAATCCTAAAAAGTTGGAATACTCACAAAACCAAGCAATCCAACTTGTAACACTGCTAACATTAGAATCAAAATTATAGGTATCAATATAACAAGTAAAATCTAATTTTTTAGTTCCATAACTCTCTATTAAAAATTAATGTGATATAAATAATGAAAATCAAGATATTTAAAAATATGAAATTTATACACAATTTGAAATGTCGAGATAGACAAAAATATCAATTGCATTTGGGAATTTTCTTAAGTTAGTAGATATAACGAATATTACAAGGACTATTAATGTATAATTACCCTCCCAAATATAACGTTTATGAAATATAATAACAATTACATTGGAATAACATATTGGTGATATCGAACAGTACATATAAAAAACTAAATCATTTATTGCTTGCTCTCACTCTGGATGAAAATATGATATTGCACAATTTTTAAATTGTAATTTCCTTATTATTTAAACTCAATTGTTTCTGTAAAAGATTATCTGAGTTTCTTTTGCGCTATTTGAATTGGATCTATATTTTGTAAAGCTATTCCGCCTTTTGCTAGTTAGTTTTCTGGATCTTCAATGGAGTATCCCTTGAGGAGTAAGTGGGACTAGCGAATAATTGTTTCCACTCTATTTTCTAACTAAGATTGAGAATGGTCTGGATTTCCAATTGACTTTGAGGTTTCCTTTTGGATTTTGCAGTGCCCCTTACACTATAGAGCAGATTCGGAGATTAGAGTCCAGACCTCGACGCTGTTTAGAGAGGAGAAGTATTGGCACTTCGAGCTGAAACATAGTTATTCTGAGCACAATTAATGATGGAGCCTTGAGATTAGGATTTAAAATGGTTGGCTTGTTTCTTAACCTAATTCTTTCTCCATTATTTAATTTTTTCCCTTTTTGAATCTTCCAAAAAGATTTTATCAATCAATTTTTGATTGAAATCTGAATACTTCCTGGTCAGAGGAGTCTTTGTCTAGGGTTTCTCAGTGTTTATGATTTCATCTGGTTCCTGATTTGACTTATTAACCAAATCACCCAAGAAGTTGAGAGATGATCGAGGAGAAGATTGATCTTCTTATTTCTAAAAGTATATATGGATGGATAATTACTAAGAAGTTCCGAGCTTGGAGATCGTACACCACTTGAACAAAGCCTTGATTAGAAGTGGTCTTCAACATAGTAGCTCCAGCCCTAATTTGAGGCTATTAGCAATGACGACTGGGTCCAGCCATGGTGATTTCCTTTTTGATTCCCATTTGGATCAATGCTTTTTTGTTTTTCTTATTAGCTAAAGTACGAGGATTGAGCATTTTGGTTGGTGATTGAGTCAAAACCTTCTGCATCCAGGGATGACCCAGTATTTGATAAGCTGAATACCTTTCCGATTAATCGGGATTCAACATATTGGCTACGAGTTCCTTATACTCTTTGCTTAGAATAAGATGAGAGGGGAATGTATAATTACACTTTAAGATATTGTCAATAGTTTACTCATCACTTCGAGAAGTAAAGGGCAGATTAGCACAAACAAGAGCATATAAGATTACTCCCAAAGCCCAGATATCAATAGCTGGTCTTATTTCAGTCGCTTAACCACCCACCACTTCAGGAGGCATGTAACTTAATGAGCCTCTGTCCACCTTGTCAATAGTGAAGTTGGTGGAGACTGTGGCAATACCGAAATCAATGATTTTGATCATTTTCTCTACCTTGGATGTCAACAACACATTTTCTAATTTGAGATCTCTATGAATGAGACGTTTATCGTGACAATATCGAATAGCCTCTGCAATCTAACGAAATATTACTCTAGCCTCTTCTTCAGACAATCCGCCTTTCTCTAATTTAATCACATTATTCGATATACCTTGAATGTATTCAACCAAATCCCCTCCTTGCAGGAATTCCATTATCAAAACAACCTGCATGTTTGGGAGCGTATAACAATTCAATATCTTAATGATATTATTATGTCTGAGATTCTTCATCACTTCGGCCTCTCTAAACACCAAATCGATATCCTCAGCATTCCACAATTTCCCAGAATCTATCAGCTTTATTGCTACCTGTTCTCCAGTCACTTTATGTTTTCCCAACATCACCTTCCCAAATCCACCCTCTCCAAGCACTTTCATTATTTGGTAAACACTTATCTGAGAATAAGCATCGAAGTCACTGCCTAAGAAACAAATCGGATTCAAAGTATACTGTCTGATATATATAGGAGAGTCCCCTCTTTTATATACGGAAGATCCTCCTAAAATATCTCAATGCCCTATTAAGTGAACAACCTAAGGCATTGTATTTTCATCTGATAGTAATTCTCAGCCTTAGTTTTGATATCAGCCATGCAAATTTGTCTCTAAGAGTTTATCAATCAAATTACCTAAAAGAACCTAAACCTTATGATATTTGCATCTGGTTATCCATTTAAGGTTAGCAAGAGATATTTGCGCTTCTCCGCTTGAATGGAATCATTTATTTCAAAATCCATAAGTTTTTAATAAATATTATTCTGATGAGACAAGTAAGTTAACAGTGCATTTATTTAAATTATATATTACATCAGAATTGCCTTCTTTCTCTTAGCTTTTAGTCCCTTCTCTACTCTACTTCCATCTACTCTTTCATATCCTACGCTCTCTCTATTTCTCTTCCCTTCATCAACAGTAAATCCAGTCTATAAAGACAATCTGATGGTAGTGGCTTTGATTCGAACTCTAAAATATATGGTCTATTGATTAATTTCATCTCAAATATTGTACCTATGAACATTGATATCCCAATATCTTTGATTGTTAACGTCCAAATGAGATGTCCATCTTCCAGTTATCTATTCATAGCTCTCTAGGATTTCCTCAGCTTTTATCTTTAATTTGGAATTCAATCCTGAGCCTGTGCGATGGGCTAATTTGCATCTCTCAATACACATCGGAGTCACTTTATGAATTTAACCAACAAAGTAATCGATTGGTTAACTTGATTTAGAAAAGAAACTACGATTTTTATCCTTTGGATTGAATTGGATTACAGCACATAGTTGAAGATCAGGCTAAAAACAAAAACTTCTTTTATGGCAATTCACATTCCTTTGTCCAGTAATGATGTTATAAACTGTGAATGGTTGATTGATGTAATAAAACTTTAAGTTTGAGTTCTGAAAATGTACAACACTATGACCTTGCTACTCTCCAGACAAACTATTGCATCCCATATTGACAACTGGACTAAATGCCCCATAAACTTTATAGTCTCTGCCAAAGAGAATAAAATTAGAAATAGGAGGGTGATGAGAGGTCTATTCCAAATAGATAGGACACCCTTTTATCCTACCTTAAAAGGTTTCCCCCAAGATAGGATTGAAGGGTTTCTCCTATTAAATGCCCATCATGAAACCTGAAAAATAGAATGCTATAGTTAATCTCATTTACTCTTTCACATCAGGTGATTTGGCTGCAGACTCCAAAAATATCGGTGCATGTCCTAAAGCCCTTGCCATTCTCTCCAAGAATGATCTGGTCTCAAAAATCTATATTGGCAATGAAACTGACATAACAGATTTGCCATTAATTATATTGGAACCTATTCTCTTGATCATGCTCAAGAGCACAGATCTCTAATCTCTTAGTAGTCTCTCATTATGGTAAGTCAATCCACCTCTCTATTAATCAACTCTATAATATTTGGTATACATGAAGTGTCCTCCTTCCTCAGTACTGTCTAATTGTTCAGATAATCCTTGTGAAATTCTCTGATCCGAATAGTAAGTTATGGCTTCATTGATTTATTCTCCTCTCTTGACCATTTCAATGATTTTGAGGAACTCTTCCCTAGACTAAATCTAATGTTATTCAGATGTTATCCTCAAGATTTCTTACTTAGTGGGCTTAATAGAAACTTGAAGTGCATCAACACTTTCATTATTCTGAGTGATTATATTTTCAGTTATCTACTAGATTTATTCTTAAATTTAGGTTAAATTTCTATCACTGGATGTGATATTCATTAAAAAGACTTTGATCATCTTCTCTCCTGCATCTCTATCTTGACTTTCTACATTGATGTCTTCAATTAGCAGACTCTTGTAATCTTACTTGCTAAATGATTATCAAAGTCATACTTGGAGGGTTAAATAACTAAGACAGATCTGATTATTTTATATTGATCCAATTGCTTAGCCAAGCTATGATCAATTTAATCGTGATATATCTCCTATCCAGTATATTTACGAAATATACAATAAATTCCATCCTTCTCAAACCCTTTTTATGTGAATACGATGCTGATTAAGTCACTATTCATCATATTAATAGGGAGATCTTGATGTTATAGAGTATCACAAGAAGTTTCATCTAAGTGTAATTGAGCATAAACCAAACTACACCCTTTTTTGGTAGGATATACTTAAAATGATTTAAATAGGTGAGGTAACCATGAAGGGGATGGCATGACATGTTCCTAATATAGTAAATAGCTTATTTACATCATAGATTCTATGTGGTTCTATTTTTGAATAATAAATTAATTTCATATGCAAATTATCATTTGTGTCCTAGTATAACTGAGCATCTTCCTAGTCTAAAATTTACTTAAAATTGTGAATATCACTGAAATTAACCAAATTTTGGAATGTGCTCTACAGCAATATTTCCATATCTTTCTAATTCATAATTGTGGGAACATTACCTAGATGCAATCAGGTAAATGTGGAATCATCTTCTGAATTTTATTCCTTGACAATAAACTAGGCTTGGCTTGAGATTTTATAGTTAATGGTTGTTTATCAATTTAAGGTTCCTCTTCGGGTAATGATCTATCGAATTCTTCCAATGCTTTTCTTTAGGCCAACTTTTTCTACCATTCTCCTGAAAAGCAATCAGTCCATTGCTAATATTCTTTTTCGTTATTCCACCCAAATTTGATTTCATTTGACTTAGTCCACAACTTTATCACGTATTTGTCTTAAATTCGGCCCAATCTTTTCAACGTGTAATCATAGATTCTTATTTACTTTTGTCTTTAATCCTTAACATCTTGTATTTATAAAACCTTTCAAATAGACTGATCACATTACCTGAGTATTCACATAAAATATAAAAAGTTTCTCTTTCCATTTTTTCATTATTCCTGATTCCTTAAAACCGCTACCACTATAATATTCTGTTTCATTTTGATACATTTTAATTAATATTGAAAAATCATAAGCAAATCAAATTCCCCATTCCCTTCTTTCTATTATTAGTAGTAAGTACTCTTTTTTTAGATAATTTCTATAAAATGGATGATGTCTAAATTCTCTTCCTTAAGAATTGCTTACATCGATATCTATTTGAAAAAGAATGTCACATACGACTTAGACTTTACTGCATAAGGGATATATAAATGAATACAATATTTATTGAACTAATAAAATATATTTATGTTTTCAAATACAAATTCACAATTCCAAAATCCTCCAACATCCCATAATTACAATCAAACTGTTCCCATAAGTAAGTCATTTAAATACTGTAGTCAGTCAATCCCCATTAGGCAAACCGGTGTATCAACCTCAATAACCCTTGCCTATGGAAGCAGAGATGAAAATCTACAGAGGATATAATCAAGAATTCGAATTAAAAGTTCCAAGTCCTTAACCAATCAAATAGGCCTCCTCCTAAATTGTCGTGTAGAATTAGCCTCAACAATCAAAAGGAAATTAGAAAGTGTCATATGTAACATGTTTGGATATCAATAGTTGATAGATTGGATGATGTACTTTTTACCAATCGCCTTCATTATCATTATTTTGATTGTTATGTCATGCATGATCGGTGCTAAGTCAAAACATCTTAACCCAGAGGGTGCTCATAATACATTAACAACCTTAAAAGAAAACTTATCGAAAAATCCAATAGAAGATATAGTGATAAGAGGTGAGAGAGCATCATCACATATGACAATGTTGGAATATTATGGTCATAAAGAGGTTGGATGTCCTGACGGATATCAACCAGCATAGATTGGGAAGTGGGATGGAGTTAAGTCTGGTTGTTTATGCGAAAATGGAGAGACAAGTCATTCCGCCACTTGTTTTTATAAATCAACATGCAAGAGAGTGAAATCTCATGATGCTGTGGATCTTTAGATTTGGCAATCAAAGAGTTTTTGCATAAAAACTTATGAAGGTTGGCAACCTCTAAATGGAGTTGATTGTGATGATGGCTATAAGAAATGTGGGAATCTTTGTGTGCCTATCTCTAGAAAATGTCCCTTGTCTAATTTAGTGAAAGACAATAGTAGATTAAATGATGAGCATTCAATAAAGATAGGCAATGATAATTTCATTAAAAAGTTTGAGGATTCTGAATCTGTTGTGGATATGTAATTAGTTCCTGGTGCGGGCCAAAGTGATTCTTCGCCTTGTTACAACAATGAATTAAATCCAAGCTTTTAATCTCAGAAATATTATCCATTTGCCAAAAGAGCAGAGAAAGGATGTGATCAGTACTTGGATCTTCAGAATCACAGAGTTACTTTGAATACTTTTGAAACTCACAAGGTTTATGAATAGAATGATTTAAATGATCTTTTGCATGAATTACCATTTTATCAAAGTTATCTGAGTAATGAAGATACATATGCATTCGAATTTATTAAAAGAATAAGAATAAATCCTATTAAGGAATGTCAATAACTGAAACCGAATTAAGTTGAAAGGATCTCATCCAGTAGCAACAGCATATACACTTCTGAGAAATACCTTTCGTTCATAATATTGTTGGTGGCAGCAATCACTTTGTTTCTGGTGCCAATTCTTTATTTAATTAGGAATAGAGTATGATTATCATTTCTATATTAAGGTGTTTGAATGGAAAGACATGACAGAATTCTCGTAACCAAGATTCTTCTGTGGTCTAGCTATTATCATTGCTGCACTCTGCATAATTCTGGGATCATTCTATCTTTATCATGTTGATGGAAATGTAATCTATAATATACTTATTTTAGAATGGATTGAAAGAGCATAACCGTATGTTCTCGTAGTATTTAGAAAAGAATTGCTTCTCAGATTAGGGATTGATCTTAGTATGATAGATTAATTAATTTCTAGGCTGTTGATTAAGTTAACACTTTTGCAAAGAATGTGTACCACTCTACGTATAGTTATGTGATATTCGCATTTTATGGAAGTGTTTGTTTCTTGGTGATCCTGGTTCTATTCATGATTTACTAATTTTGTGAGCATAAGAGTATTTTTGAAAATCCATGGTTACACAGAATCCAAAAATAATATTATGAATTCCATTGAATTAAATCAATTTTAACTTTTTAATTTCTTAAAGATATACATTTTAATCTTAAAATATTGATGAATCTGTCTGTGCAAAAAGATTAATACAATAAGACATAGAAAGATATCTTTGAAATATTAAGAATAATTCAAGAGATACAATATATCTAATAATGAGTCAAGATGATCATAAAATATTATCTGAAGAAATCAATATATAATCAGAACTTTGCTGGCCGTAGAGTTGTATCTTTAGATATTTGTCATTAAAATAATTATGAAACTAGTGTGCTTCAATAGTTTAAATAGGAAAATAACTATTATCATAGGAAATCAGAATAATATATTCAAAGTTCAAAGAATGAATATCCTTGTATAACAATTATTATAATTTAATTCTTTCACTTATTAAAATATTGTATTATATGCAGCAATCATAAACAATTCTCAACTATTTAAATGGAAATTATCTACTCACAAGCAGCACTGAGAATCAAATCGTTACTCTAGAATTCGATTCTCAATATTATAACCCTTGTTTTTACTTTTTGCATTACTAATTGTTTAATCATCTAAATAGCACTAGGTATTAAATACAGCTATTACTTATAGACCACTCCTAATAATTGACTTAGAATACAACTTTAGATCATAATGGAAGAACGTCTATTCTAATATTGAATGTTCAGAGCAAAATGGATTCAAGAAATACGTGAATAATGTTTATTTCATCAGCAAGGAGGAATCTTTGGTTAATGTTTTGAAGCAAATAGTCACAGATAACATTAAAAGCATTGAAGTTTTGATTTCAGGATTGGAATTGGCTGAACAATCGATTTATAATACAGTAAGGGAAATTCTGAAATAACCCTTTCGATCTCAGATTAGTTTATTGATGCCGAAGGATTTTAAGCATAAGGACTTAAAAACGATTTAGAGTATTTCAAATTGTAGAATGATAATTGAATAATTGTTGGAGAGTGAGGAAAAGTTGTAAAAGAATGAGAGGGAATTTAAAATCTATAATTTGTTGGTGATGATGGTATTAAAGAAGTCGAATGGGCATTCCTTTTTAAAGAATTACATCATTGATGGTAAAGAGTTGTTGAAAACGAAATTAAAAATAAATAAAATAAAAAAGGAGAGTCAAAAGGATGAGCCATTGGATGTGACCAAGAAGATTGGTGCAACATTCAATTTGAATTTGAGTTAGGAATAAAAATTGATGAAGAGTGAGATTGATAATTAAATAAATCCGTACAAGGAGGTAATTTCTTAAGAGAATGCCCCTTTGATCTATCAAAATGAGGGAGATGAGAAGAGGATAATCCTGGATGACGAGCAGGAGGATTTTGAGGAAGTGGAGGAGTATGAAGGATGAAATGTTATTTTAATTTATTTCATAGAAATCTTATTAATCAAGTCGTTTATAAAAATAAAATGTAAAAAGATTCTACACTTTCGGATAAAATTACTATTCCCTCTAGAGTAATTATTATAATATTAAATTAAACAGACTTTTATCAAAAATATCGCCTAGAATGTAAAAGACCACTCTCAATTATTCTTGTGCAGGTAATGAAATCCATTGATAATTTGGACATAGATTTAACTCAGAAGTAAACATAACATGAGAATGCCAAATTTGGGATTGTGATTGACAAGGAAAACTCGTATGCCGTTTTGCAAAAGAAGAAGTAGCTTCAAAATAGGGAGAATAGTAGTCAATCTTAATAAAAGGCAGATTTCAGATCTAATAGTGGTTTATAGAAAACATCCTCGCTCCAATAATTTTACAGAGCATCATCCTCAAACGATAAAAATTCTTATCAAAATTAGAAGAATACCTATGCATACTTAAAGGACATGAAAAATTCATCTGCTATTTAGTAGCTTCAACAGAGTAGTTATCAATAGCGTCACATCTCCTCGAAATAACTTAAAGAGTAGAATGGTAAGTTAACTGAATAAGCATCAAATAATCAATTGAAGACAAATACACTTGAAAGTTATGAGGACAAGAAACTGAGTCTAAAATTCATGAAAAGTTGTTAGGATAAATAAAAAAATCTGAAATCTAAAGATCAACCAGAATTTAACAATCAATAAATCTTGGACAATAAAACAGATAAATTCAAATACAAATAATAAGGCCTATTGGCTAAGTATTTCCCAATCCAAGGGAATGAATAATCAAATGATAAAAACACAGATGACAAAAAACAAACAAGAGATGTCAAACAAATTTATAATATATATACACAAATCAAAGATATTAAAAATTACTACACCAATTCCTTAAAGCAAACTCAAGAAAAGAAAGGCCTGCAACTAAAGGATTTTGTGACTCAACTCACTTCAAACAACATCAAAACTTCATCAAAGCAATTGATCAACAACTATACCCATCTCAAAACAGACAGATAATAGTATAACGAGTTGAAACAAACTCACCTCTAAAAAAGTAGTGAGACATTACAAAGCGAACCTGTAATACTCATATTATTACAATTAGTTTCTATATTACATTTCAACCATTCTATAATCATTGAGAAGACAGGAATCAAATAGACATGACGATAAAATAAGGGATCACTTTACCTAAACCTATTAAGTATGTATGACATTTATGCTAGGGGTTACTGTTTGCCAATCAACTGGATTTGACTTTTGATGAAGATAAGATCGTTCCTCTTCCTAGATCTAACAATCTGAAAACTATAGTATTCGATTTGGATGAAACCTTGATTCACTGTAATGAACACGCTTAAATTCCAGGAGATGTCATACTCCCCATTACATTTCCTAATGGCGAAACTGTCCAAGCCTCTATCAATGTTAGACCTCACGCTTAGAAAGTGCTCTAGACACTCTCTAAACATTTTGAGATCATCGTTTTTACGGCCTCGCATTCAAGTTATGCCAATATTGTAATTGATTATTTGGATCCCAAGAGACAATGGATATCTCACAGACTATACAGGGAGAACTGCTTATAGACTCCTGAAGGGGCGTATGTGAAGGACTTAAGGTAAAGGATAAATATTTTTAGAGTATTAGGAAATAGGAAATTGTCGAATGTGCTTTTAATTGATAACGCTTCATACTCATATAGTTAACAGATTGAGAATGGAGTGCCAATCATCTCTTTTTACGATAATTATGATGATTAGGAACTGTTGCATTTACAAAACTATTTGTTGAGCTTTAGATACGAGAAGGATGTGAGAGATTTAAATTAAAGAATGTTAAAATTAAATTTATTTATCAATTATTAAGATCTAAAGGAACTACTACAGAGTTTATTTGCCATGTACATATGATTGGTGTTATTTGAGCCTGTGCATAATTGTGAATGATCATATATTGTTTATTTTATATAAAATCGCTAGAAATGCACATCAATTATAATTTACATATTTTCATAAAATTAGTTAACGAACATACACAATTTAAAAATGATGAATGTTTCAAAATGCAGCAAATGTTTAAATGTCCCAGATGATATCCTAATGTTAACATGTAGTCATGATTTATGTTTACTGTGTGCAGCCAAGTCATTTTCACAACAACCATCCAAAAGAAGCAAAAAGGTAATATACCCTTTGATAATTGAATAGTTCTTCGTTTGCGACATCTGTTCCTCCAATACCGAATTAGATGCCAATAGTGTTTACGAATTAGAAAAACTACATTTAACCACAGCTTTGTAAGATAGATCAAATCGAAAACCTGCCTCATAGTCTAAATCGAATATATAATCTGATAAACAACTTAAGCCTCGTTCGCAAAACAGACAGGAAAACAAAGAGAATGCAAAAGAAAAACCTATTAAATACACTGCTTAAACTATGGAGGCTAGAGTCTCCGTGCATCAATCTCAAAGGAACATGAGTAAATAACAGAGTGAAAATTCCTTCATCTAAAACTCAAGAGGAATGTGTGTTGATCACCCTGAAGAGGAAGTCTCTTACTATTGTTTTGATTGCAATAGCAAATGCATTTGTCCAGAATGTATCATCCATGGAATTCACAAGAATCACGAAGTCAAAACAATCAAGAAGTCATATCCAATTGTGAGGAAATAGTTAGAAGATCAATTGGAATAAAATAATCAATGTATCATCCAAGTAGAAAACTAAAAGTAAGAGTTAGAAAAGAAATAAATATAATAATAAGCTATTTAAGATCATTTAAGGTTGTAAATTGCTCAGGAATTCTAAGTATCCATTTCATCCTAATCTAGGCTCTACATCAACTGCTCAATAGTAAATAAAGTGAACTATTAGAAAAAGTAGACAACTAACCCACAATAATGGAACAATAGGATGGATATATGAACAGATTAAATGAAGTTGAATTCAAGTTATCAAATTTTAATGAGAAAATTAATGACGTGATAGATTCAAAAGATGAATGTGGATTACTCAATTATTATGGGTCAATTTATGGTCAACCAACACCACAAATACCTCCACTTCCTAATATTAAAGAAGTCCAACTATCAAATTAAATATTTTCATAAATTAATGATGTTAAAAAGTTGATTGGAGGTCTAGATATTGATTGTAATTAATGATTTAACTCCATCAATTAAATATATCATAACATTTTTTATAATTGATAGTCACTTCTTCTATAAACATATTATATAAATCAGATATTTTTTGTTTCATTTCATTCCAAATCATTTTTAAATTTTGATTCGCAATCAAAGTTTAAGAATGATGTTACGAACATTCATATTTCTATACATTTTTTTAAGTTTCTATTTTATTTAAGAAATTCTAATTAAGTTAATTCTGTGTACTTAACTGCTCAATGCTAAATTACAAATTAATGATTCAATCAGTATGATTTTTGAATTCCTTAAAATCATTTGCAATCACCTAGATGAATAATAAAAGTTATCAATATTGATGTTAATTATATTCATGTATCTATAATATGATTAAATGATACCTTATAGCAATGAGGGAATTCACTTCATTCGTATTTATATATCATTTTGATACTATTGAAAAGTAATCTCATATATTTTTATTCAGTAGAAACATTTCTTAAGAGGGGCTATTCTAGCTTTAAGTGATTTATCCATTAGCCTTATTTAATTTTATAATAAGATTAGCTTTAAAGCGATGAACAAATTTCTAAGCTTACAATATAATATGTTAATTCCTCGTTTTTGAATGATTTCTATAAAATATCATAAGATATACCTTCACATATCTTAGATTTATATTGCTTTTGTAACAGACGCTATTTATTAATCTAAATAGTTCCATCAGCCCAGGTGTAGAAAGGACCTTTGAAGAGAGCTTATATCAATATATTATCACTTAAATTATCAATTAACAGATCAAAAACTTGAGTGATTAATTCTTAAAAGTTGTATTAGTAAATTAAATTAAAAATCTTTTGTACTCTAGAATCTCAATGTTTTAAAAGGTCTTATAAGGAATCTTGTTAAGCAATTCGAACAGTGTGTCCACTTCTTCTAATAAATTGCATTCAAATTTGCGATTTAATTTAGGATTGTCTATTCCGTTAATATAGGGACTTAGCATTTTTGCTATGAGTTCTTTGAATGGAATGTTATGGTGTAGATTTCAAAAGTAGGAATTGATATTTGTTAATTTATTGTGGTTATAATATATATAATTGAAGAAATGAAATAAAAAATGCATTAGAGTTTTGGGCAAACAATGTCTGTAGAAATTGCGAAGATTGCGAATTACAAGAATATGTTTAATATTGAAGCTTTGATTGTCATTCTGATAAATTTTATGTCGCTAATGAGCTTCACAATAGAGTCAGAGAAGAATTCAGGATATTTATATTTTATTTAAGTACTAAATCTTTTAAGTCTAGTTTTTGAGTGTATTCACTCGTCCACCAGACATCTTATTTGTGCCAATTAGTATGTTACTCTTAATTTTGTATTTGTTCGTTTACGGATGTTTATTGTTAATGTCATATTCACAATACAGCAGTTAAAATAAAATGATCATCTCAAACAAATAATTCAAGCAACTCAGATTCATGCTATCCTTGACTGCTGAATGCATAGTTTAACTCACCTGCCCAATAGTAGTCACTTGATTTATTCTAGTTATCTATCAATATGGGATTGTTTAGCAAATACAGCAGCGCTTGGATAACAGTGCCTATCCTGAATATTGTGTTGCACTCATTAATATTGTTTTGTTACTTTTATTTTTATCGAAGTTACCAATTCAATTAGTTAGGATTGTACAGAAATTTCAGTTTAATTTCCTATTGCTATTACATCATAACGATTTTTGTAGTCGCAATAGATTGGAACACTTCTCTCTCCATCCAACCTTATATATTATTACTAATGAGTATGTTGATGCTTGTAGATCTCATACTATTCATTCCCTATAAATTGACATTTGAAAATCAAATATATTTATTTGGTTGCACTGGGTTGTTTATCCTGGGAATGTTGGGGTCACTCAAGTAATTGTTAGTTTACATCAACAAAGACAATGTCTTCGAAACATTCATTATATGTTACCCTCTCTTTTTTTATATATTCTAATTGATCTAAAATATGAAATGGAAATAATTGTTATTGTACATGAGAACTGGATCTATGAAATAGATGGACATCAAAAAACTATGTTTTTCCTTGGAGGCCCTCGTTTGGTATGTAGAACAAGCACGATCCAATTAATATGTCTTTATGCAGGCTATTTTCATCTTAAAACACCACACTTAGAATTGCACTGATCAAAATTGTGAATGCAAGGAAGATTTAACTAAACTCTACACTTAAAACCTTGAGAGCATGACCCATAGATCCTCATTCTAATCTAAGACTGCTCTTCTCAGCAATGGGGACAAGAATAGCAATCAGCAGAATATCTCTCAAAATCTAGATGTAAGTCAATTCCAGAAGACCATCAAGGATTAAAGTAGGAGAAATGATTCCTATGTTGGAATCCCAGGGATTGTTGAAATTCATCAGAAGATCACAAAACCTCTAATATTCTAGCCTATGAAGTTTTTGTAAAATGATCTAATAAATGAGGAATTGATATCTCAATACATTAAAAGGTAATTTCACTAAACAATTCAACAACTATCTTTTTCACTCAATCTAGATGATGTAGAATATCTATCATTGAAATACATATCTTTTATGTTTTTGTTCAAATAAAATAGTTCATCTTCATTGACCAAATTAAGACAAATCCAAAGCAGAACGGCTAAGTTCTCGTATTTCTTTTGCAATATTACAAAAGTGACAGAAGAGCAATTTATTGAGGCTCTTAAATTGAGGCATTTCGAAGAAAAGAGTACTTATGACGATATTGTTAAAATGAATGTGACTGAAATTTGGAGATTGGAGATGGTCAAAGATGAAATTGTAGCAAATATAGTCTGTGTCATAAAGAAGAAGATCAAAATGTGGGAGAATTTGTGTTCAGGGGAAATCTCAAATATGGATAGACTTTTAGTTGACATCATCAAAATATCTAAATAAATCGAGAATAGTCGAAATTAAGTAGATTAAATTCTAGATGATTTTGTTGGATAAGTCCAAAAGAATTATGCTTATTATCTCAAGTATTAATGTTTTCGATCCCTCTTTTTCGACTCAGATTACAAGAAGGCAGTGTGTTATCAAAGAAAGGTAGAAGATTCTTGGTAGTTGAGCAGAGTTGCCCATAAATAAGGACAAATCGGAAATTTCTAATGGTTGTCTGGAGACCTAGTCACTTTAGAAGTTAGCGTTGGTGTTTAGAGTGGATAAATTATTAAGGGATTTTCTAATAGATTAGTAGATTTGTTGGGATATGTGAGTTACGAGGATATGATACAGAATCTGCGTATAAGAGGATTATAATCTAGCAGTTCTACCTAGAATTCTGATAAAATTGGAATTTCTAGTATTATGCCTCCCTATTTAACGGCATCTCACAATTATTTCATCCAGCGATTCATCCATAGAGGCTACACTTATTATTATGATAAACCTATCAGTTCATTTGCATGTGATGCCTTAGGATTTGTATTTCCTATCAATGTGAACTTGTCATTCAACTTTCAAAATATGAATGACTTCACATTATTAGGATCAATCCTAAAGATCAAGGATGAAGATGAATACTTAATATTTGATGAATGGGGACGTATATTGGGAGTGTCAATGAGGACTTTTGATAAATTAATTTTGAAAGGTGCACTTGATGAGTTTGGTATGGTTCAATACAAATCCATCCATTAGAAATTAGACAAGCTAGGAAACCTCAAAAATAATTTGATGAATAAAATAGCAAAGGATGATCATGCCAAATTGTTTAAGAAGACTCTTACAGTGCACCAAAAGCAAAGTACTACCAGGAGCCAAGTTAGAAGAACCTATTAAAAACCATCTGATATTCTCTTATAATTTGGAAGTGTTCAGCATTTCTTGCCCTAAATCGGAAAATCAATTACAGAAATACTTTCAAAGGATATTTTCAAAAAGTTACAGAGAGAATCTCAAGAACAATTCAACAAATTAATGGATAACCAGAACAATTAACAATAAAATGTGATGGAAAAACAACAGAGCAATTTATTCCAAAGATAACTTAGTTAATTCATTGATCGATAATAGAGTATTAACAATTAAGGACTCAGTAGTGCTATGTTAGACAAGGATTAGTATAGAAATTTCATACTCAACACATTTGTAGATGACAAAGGACTTATGAAGAAAAACATGTCTATATTATAGGATGAGAAATTAGTGCTTTATGTTCCAAGAAATTATAATGAATTGATTGAATACTTCAATGATGCAGGAGAACGATTTGTTGAAAGTAAGAATGATTTTGAAACCAAATCTATAAGAAGATAACAATTACAAAACAAATACTCTTACATCAAACAGTAACAAAACTGTTATCATCTATTCGATGCTGAATTTTAAGATTTTATTGATAACAAAATAAGAAAGTACTATTCAAAAGCTCTACTCAAAGAAGCATTAGAAACTCAAGATGCTAAATTGCTATAATAAGTGAGATATAAATGTGTCTCAACCATCGACGTAGGATTAGGAGGTACTAGTGACAAGGATTAGTTTCTCTATTTTGTTTGCAGACTCTCCTCCTTAAATCTGCAAACAGCCAAGAGAAAGGATGTTCTGAAGATCCATATGAAGAAAGAGAAGAACTAATAATTTGATGGTGGCGAGGAACTGAGAAAAAGCTTGATCCAGCAATTTTCATCCATGGACTCAGTTGACAAGTAAAAGCCTGCTTGGGGACAATCCCTATCAATATAATAGCAATAGGAAAGTTCTGTCCCTCAACCCTAAATCAAATTCAAAGGAGAGATTGATAAACCAATCATTGTAACTCTTGCCATTCCTGATAGTAGAACATATGTTTCTTCATTGGATCGAGAGGAAGGACCCAATATGAAGGTTAACTTTGAAGCTTAAAATTAAAAACTAAATGAATCCTCCTTCGATATCGATGGGTCTATGAGAGAGAGTCTAATCTAGAGTGGCAATCATTCTATGAAACAGTCATTGAATTTAGATGTTCCAACATTATCGAGGCAGAATTCACTAGAAAAAATGAAATAATCACAAGGTTAATCGAAAGAACTAAACAAGGAACTATCTAGAAGTTTGTCTGATAAAAAAGAAGAACCTCCAAAAAAGAAACTAAAGTTATCCTTTTTGAAAAAAATGGAAAAAGCTCTTGTTCCCAAAGACCCTCCAGCTGGAAGTCCAACTACTCCAATTGCTTCACCAATCCCAGTTTAACATTAACATCAATAGCCGGAGAAGTAACCATCCAATTTAAGTGTTCCTGAAGAAAAAAGAAGTTCCCTATTAAGTCCAACAGGTTTATTTTCTAAATTATTTACTCGATTAAATTTAAGAAGAGTGTCCAATGTGGAAATTAAGAACGATTAATTCGAAGCCCCTGAACAAGGTTTTAAGGAGTAATCTGAGAATTCAGACAAAGAGGATTTAAAAAAAAGTGGACAAAGTACTCCGTCAGGTACTAATTCTATGTCTAGCAACAACATCACAAGTCAAGCAGAAGGTAAGATTGAAGATGATGACCTCAAAAATGATGACGAATTAGTTAATATCTTTGAAGTCATGAGTTAGGCCTCTAATCATTAATCCATCAAATCGATCTCAGCCATCTCCATGGCTACTCACATATCCATAAGGTGTCTAAAGTATTTACCAAGATAAGCAAAATCACTGTAAGTATTTAAGGTCGTCTTAATTTTATTGAATATATCCAGCATTATTAGTTTGGTTTCGACTACTCAAAATTACTTTGATAAGTTAAGTGTAGATCAACTGAGTTTAAAAATTAATAACCAGTATCGTTATTCTGCTATTGTATTATAGTCTGCTAATTCAATCGATTAACTATCTATTATTCAGTTTTAGCAGCCAGTTAATACTACTTTGATGAATGAACTAATTACTTATTGTTCTAATTTGAGTTTAGAGATTAGTTAATCATATTTTGATGTTGTAGATCAGATCTTGAGTGCTGTGTCATTTCCATTACCCAAACCCGATGTTTTAAGTATTCCTGACGAATATTGGATTGTGTCCCTTTCACAATTTCTGACTTAACAAAAAATAGAGATAGATTCCATATAATTAATTAATAATTACAATAGGAGTGATGCCACTTTTCATTAATTGTACAACAATTCCATTGATTATTTGTTAAGTCGTCTTATTTTTACTCAATCTTAAATCAACAACATGAGTCAACAATTGAGAGATTACAAGAGCAATAATATCTTAAATTAAGCATTCATTGTGACTTATTTAATGGCAAGTTTTGGTGGATTGCATTTGATAGTCATATTTTTGATTGTGCCATTCATTCGATAAATTAATAACATATACTTCCGAGTCCTTTGCATTCTAAGCAGAGTGACTGTAGAAGAAGCAGAAGATGAAATTAAAAAGTTAACTCTTTCACAACATCTACTTGAAGCTCAAGATGATTCATGGGTCACTCAAAACCAAGTCAAACTTGTTTTTTACAATAAGAGTTAAGACATAGATTTAAATCAAAAGTACTAGAATGTTGTCAAGGCTAAAGGAAAGGAAAGCTCATATTTTCAGTCAAAATTAAGTGACACTTCATTGAGCATTTGGAAAGACATGGGCTTGTATATAATGATATCCTCTATTTCTATTGGATATCTTATATTTTCAATTATCATCATCCAAACTCAGATTGACACTTTCACTCCCTTTATGGAAAATTTTGATTAGACTGTGAGCACCAGCATTTATTCTTCAGCTTTGATTTCTAAACTATCAATCACTCCCGAAAGATATGTGAATCTTAATGGCTCAAGCATACCGACCCAATATACCTTATATGGCTATTAGTAAAATCAATAAATCTCGTATTTCTTATAAACAATTACCTCTGATACGAGCAAGATCAAAACCTTTATAACTGATATGACCACTTTTTTAGAGCAATTAAATCTGGATTACAATCAAAATACAAGCAACACAAATACCACGATTACTAATGAGTAGTATTAAAATAGAATTCAATATCTGGAGTAATTAAGTATTTTGAGTGAAATCAATCATATCCTCAAAGACAATATCTGCTATTACTCTTAACAAAATTTATGCCGATTCGACATCTAATTCGACTTTTTTAATACAGGATTAATTGGTGCATTAGATATGCTCTAAAAGATGCAATTTAATTATGATTAATTTTTAACTGAATATCACTCGATGTCTTAATAAGACATCTCTATTGATGACGCATAAGTAGTCAATTAATATTACAATTCACAATATTATCAATTATTAGTGATGTATGGATAAGAGTTGTTTTTCAAGACTTTTGATAGATTAATTTATCTCCTGGAAGCCTTTTTGAATAATGAAAAGAAATCAAAAGAAACTCTTATTTCAAATCTATTCATTGGCATTGGCATTCCAATTATGATTTTGACAATATTTTTAGCTGGCTTAGAAATGTATATGCTCAAAAACAAAGTGAGAAGAGTTATGCTATCCTTGACATACCTACCAACATTTAAATACTAAGATAAAATCATACTATCACTAATTAAATCCATACTGAAAATTTGATCCAAATTATGCTTTATATATTTAATATAAATATTATATGCAATTATTAATCTAATGATCTTAAATCCTATTATGTTTTGAAGCCATCTTCGTAGGACTGTAAACTGTGAATATTATTATCAATTAAATTTACTCCTATAGTTACAATTAATGTAATTATTACGAATAATAACAATAATCCCTTATTAGAGTAGAAAAATATTGTGTATATTTATTGAATAATTCTTAAAAACCATAAATTTATAGATAGATTAGTTTAGCTTTAATATATTAAAAATTTACCAATTAAATAATGATGATACTAGCACCAGAATTGATTTATCATGAAATCAACATGCCTTCCTTAACCTGAAATTTATATATATTTTAATAATAATTTTTAATGAGTTCCAATGGCAGTGCTTTGAAGGGATCAGGTACAAGGAAATAATAACTAAAATAGCAACTCCTGATTTGGCTAAACAGGTATTGGCCTAGAAATTGGCACAATAAATAGTAAATCAAATAGTGTCAGATGATGTTATTGATGATAAAATCGAAGAGGAAGAGAATCAAAATAAGGAGCCCACTTGCTGTTAAATGTTTTGTGCTCCATTTACCTTGAAGTATTATTAACCATTCTTCAACGATTTGACATCTAAAGTAATAGCATAAAAACTATGGGCATCCTTTTTTCCATTCAAGGCAACCTTCTTTGAAATATAAGACGGGAAACCAGATTTATATGGGCCAGTCTGGATATATGCCACTTTAGTATTTGCAGTAGCTGCTGCAGGTAACATTTCAGGTTATTTGGCAACTCCAAGCAATATTGCATTCCATTACAACTTCGAGTTCATTCCAACGGCATCATCACTACTATTTGGCATAGCATTCCTAGTGCCATTTGCAATTTATATGGTTATGAAAATGTTGGGAGGCAGACATCTTCATTTAACATCAGTTATCTGTATATATGCCTATGCTTAAACCTGCATAATACCTGTGTGCATTGTATGTTCGATACCGAATCCTTAATTACAGTGGGGAGCATTGATTTATGGAATGATTAATTCATCTTTGTTCTTGATTGTTAATTATTGGGGGTATGTATATGAATGCAAATAACTTTTAGAGAACTGGAGAAGAATATACAAGCCAAGAAACACATAGTTATCTGGTTGATTGCTGGATGCTAGGTGGTGTTGTTGTTATTGTTCAAGATGTACTTCTTCTTGTATGTATACACGAATCCTTATACTGGATCAAGATTTGATTAACTCACAAAGATTGTAAATGAATATAAGTAATTTTAGGTTCATACGGATCACTCCTTTTTGCATCACCATCAATAACATTGAGAATATTAAATTATTTATAATATTATCATTTAACCGAATGTCTTCTAAAGATAAGCAGAGTGTTAAGAGTGACAAGTCTAAGGACAAGAAGAAGAAATCCACCAAATTGGACAAGAAGGAATCCAAAATTCTACCTCCTCCAGATAATGACTAATAATAACTAATTGCAAGAGTGATTGGTAGAATTGGAGACAAAGAAAGCAAGAGTTTGGGTATACTAAATTTCTAGATTAGCCAATTGTGAAGATGATCCACAACTGTAAACATTCAACACCAACAACAATTATTAGGCCACTGATTTTTCAATGCAAAATAATTAATTTGAAAATTATCATACTGCCAATAAGAATAATACTCAGTTCAGAACCAATAAATTTATGACGGATCAGACGACTTATCATTAATAATAGTAGGATTAATACTACCAAAAAAGTCAATAGTAATATTAAGATCACTTGTATTCAACCAGTTATAGTCAACCCTATCATCCAAATCCGGCATTTACACAATAAGCGACTTTCGATTATAGACATGAAAGAATCAAAGATCAAGTTCAATAGAACTTGTTACCTAAAAGATAAGAAATACTGGAATAAGTCTAAAAGGTTATTGCTATTAATGATAAATTAGATAGATAACAGAATAGATGAAATCAAATATCAATCCTAAAAAATAGAGAACATTACCAGAGAAGAATGCGAAATCATCATAGATAAGTTAAAAAGTGTTGAAACTTAAAAGTTATAAATGTTGTACCACGATAAAAATGAATTACTCAGGTAATCTCGTCCAGTTATTTCTTAGAGATATCGATTAGATTGAAGCTCTACAATAAAGGGTCTCGTAATTGTAGGATTTCAACTCTCAAAAAAACTTAGATTTATTTGAAAATATAGAAAGATTGAGCAGGAAGAGAATTAAAAAATAGATTGAAATATATCCAGATGATTTGCCATAGGATTTGATTCAATTTAGACAGTTATAATAGTAAAATTAGATGCTACAGAAACTGATGGATTTCAAGAACGAAGTCATTTGGAAACTCTTTAATGATTCCTAAATAGAAAGTAAGAAGATCAGGGAGGAACTAGAAAGATAAGCAAATCAAGAATTTCAAGAATGGTACAACATTGTAGATTAATACTAATCTGAATTGAACAGATACAAATTACAATGTACTTTTTGTGGAATCAACTTTGATTATTAATTGATCAACTCTGATTGCAATTTAAATCAATAGGGAGCTAGTAATATATTTGATTAATTAAAAGAAATCTAATTTGACTGTGAATAGGTTCCTCCAGAACAATTCTTTGGTACTCGAAGACACTTCTTTTGTAAAAGTATACAAATGCAACAATCTTAAATTTAAGCAGAAGAAAATAATATGTGATAATATATATATAAATATTAATTTCTAAATCTAAATAAGTACATTTTTTAATAGGATTTTGAAATCAATTAAGTTTGATAAAATTCTATTGAAAATTGTTACTAATTAATTATAATAATTATTAATATTTCCCGCTTAAAATATGGAGGTAGAGAAAAACATAGACACGTCCTTTATTTTAGAAAAACTGAAATTAAATTCGGAAAAGATATTTCAGCATCAGAGGATAGGATTGGAAATAAAATAATCGACTAAGTTTTATTTGGTCCCTCGCGACAAATGCATTAAGACATAATATTGCAACATCTATTCTGCACGCTATCAGAACTTAGTCAAAAGGTTTTAAATTGACAGCGAAGATTTATAATTCATAGAGTTGATTTAAAAGATTTAAGATTAATAAGGGACAATAAAGGCAATTGGGACTTTATTCAAAGAAATGAAATTAAAACCACATTATTTTTCTTAGAATTAGAACAAAGCTTTATAAGGTAGATCATCTATTCATATTTAAGATTATGTTTCGAATGAGGATGTTTGTTATCTAGAGGATGCATCAGGAAGAATCAAATTGTAAATAAGTAATGCCATACTCTGCCTACCAAATAAGAAAGAGAAAATAGTTAATGTTTCTGATTTGGTGACAGGGATTACGTTGATGATTGAAGGATAAATTGTCGCAAATAATGTTGTAAAAGTTGAAAAGTTTTATTTGCCTTAACTTCCTTAGACACCTATGTTGAGGCCATTAAACTCTACTTCATATCTCTGTTTAATTTCTGGCTTAAATTACAATGCCTTAGAGAGCACAACGAAATATAGACATATGATCGATTATTTATAAGGCAATCTGTATAGTGGGGAAGGAGGAGAAGTAAGATTTTACAACGATTAATTTAGATTCCATATAATATATCATAAGTTATCTTCGCCGGAAACTTGTACTGCAAGTTGGAAGAGACACTTGATCAATAATTACTACAATAAGACTTCAAAGGCGTGTTCAACAAAATATAGTTAAACATAAAAGGAGTTGATGAATTAATTAGTCAGTTAGCATCAGTTACTCCAGTAGCTGTAATGCCTGGAGAAAATGAACCAGTTTCTCAGATGCTACCTTAGACACCTCTCCATAAATCACACTTTCCAGAAACTTTTGAGAAAGACAATTAACTAGTCTTCTTAAGTAATCCAACAGAATTTACTTTGGGGGATCTGAAGATTCTTGGAACAAGTGGATAAAATATATCAGATATCAAAAAGTGTTCTTTGGTTAAGAATTAAGAAGATGTGGATCTACTGGAAATGACATTGCTTTATGGAAATATTGCCCCAACTGCTCCAGATACTCTGATGTTTAATATCAATTTATATATATTTAGTTCGTTTCCATAGAAAGACTAGGATCCATTTGTATTGTAAGAGTTGCCTAACATTTACTTTGTAGGTAATATGAAAAAGTTTGGAACTAAAATGGTTGCTGATAATGTCAGAATTGTTAGTGTGCCAGCATTTTCTGAAACTGGAACAATCTGTTTAATTAACTTAAGCACATTAGAATGTTTTCCTGTTAATATATAATGAATTGGATTTATAAATATCAAAGTTTAATTTTCTTTTTGTTTTAACACATTAATTTTGTTTCTAACTATTCTAATTATTCATGAATCATCTCATGGATTTTCAAATAATTGTACTATCTGTATTTGTTCCATTGATGCAATGATTTCAACTCTTTTTTACTGGTTTTTAGACCTTGCAATATAACTAAGATCTTAGTAGAACAATTTTCCTTCTATATCCAGGACAATCCGAAATCGACTAAGTTGTAATGATTTATAATACACTAATGGAATACATATAATTAAATATACCTTGACATCTTACAAAAGAGTTGACTTTTCTCTTTAAGTTTCAAGTTTTATAAATGGTAGATTATTGTGTCCTGTCAAATCAGAATAGATAGTCTGATCCAAATACTATTGAATGAAATCAGTCAATTATGTAGAATTCTTTTAAAGTTAAATTTGTTTCCACATATATTCCAAAGATCTAAAAGCTCCAGTTCTTGCCATCGTATACATTTAATCTAGATTGTTAATTCGAATTATATTCTATCGTTTGATATCCGAGTATATATCCAAAACTTTAGCTTGTAATTCTGATTGCGATGGGAAATGTGTTAATTTAATGATCTATGCTTCCTCCGAAACTTCAAACTTGACTTTCCATTATTTTAATTTATTAATCAATTAAATTGGAGTCATCACAGATCCTTTCAACAAATCATCAACTGCACATTTATAGCCATTTAAACTGCCTGATTTCTTGCCATAAATTTAGACATTCTGGGCTATCTGCTCATCTTCTGGTAATTGCGATAATATCAATTCTACTGGGACAGATACTTATATTTCCAGCCATTTCTCTTTTTCTAATTCTTACAGAAAAAGTTAGATCTGTTTTTTACTAAAATCATAATTTAATGAAGATTCATTTAGAAGAATCTTTTTGATTTTTACTTCAGATTACTCAGAATTTTGCAAATGCAACCATTTCTTCGTCAACCAATATGATATATCGTTTTCATCCTTTGATATTAAATCATTTGTATAAACACAATCCTACATAAAGATAGCCAAATTCTCTATTTGAATAAAATTTGAACTTAATTCAGCCCTCTATGTGAAATAATATTCATCACATAAAAAGATATGAGAATTGGCTTCTCTATTTAATTCTGATATATCCAAAATGAAAGTTTCAATATTTAATGGCAAATATAGGTGAACAGAAAGATACACAAAATTCTTTAATCCTTCTGGCAATTGAAATCCACTTGGTAAAACTATTATATCGATATTTTAAGAAGCAAAATCATAATAACTGGCCTGTCTTTAACTTTCAGGTTTTTTTTAATGAATTGAATTACTCTTAAATCCATTTTACTATAAAGTAAACTGCACTGATTCCACAGCACTGATATTATGGCAGAAGACAGCTATCCCAGTCTTTCTATATAGTCGTTAACTTCTTAGTAATGAGATCAATGATTTAATAGGACTCTCATCCTTTGAACATGTAATCTAAGTTTTTGGACTGAATGATCTAAAGATAATGATTATTAAGTTACTCTCTATATGTTTGATATGTTCTGTTGAATGGTTAAGATTATCGGAGATCTTGAATAAAGACACTTTAGGTAATTGGTAATAGAATGTGAATGAATTCAGCATTGGCTTTTGCTAAGAATTTTGTAAGGTCTGTTTGTACTTTGCCTATTTCTGTAAATGACAAATAATAATTGGATTGATCTAGCAGTAGCAGTTTGATATCTAGATTTGATAGATCGATTAAATTTGCCTGCTCTGGATGCACAATCAATAGTTTAATATTCCTGCTTGAGATATTTTTAACAATGAACTCAATTTAATGATTGGGAACTTCAGGATTGATAGCTGCCCATGATACGATGTCCTGTATTCTTCTTAATTTCTCTTTAAGCAATACATAATTGTATGAGATTATGACAACTAAACCATCAACTAAAATAGATAGCAATTAAAATAAAATTGATCGTTAAATTGTATTTAAATTTAGTGAGCAAATAATATTAGTTGTAGTATTTCGACATAAGAAATCAATTGGATCAGTGATCAATTCTTCAATTTCTAATTATTTAATAGCATCCTATAATTTCCTATCATACCCTTCCGTAATTGGAGTTTTTATTTATTCTTGATGATTATTTTCTTTAAAAGGTGTCATGTTAAAGGAAATGATCTTTTTGACTTCTTCACTAACTAAAAAAGGAATTGAACTCTGTTTCTTCTATTATTTGGGAGTAAACGAATATCCAGAATCAATAGAATCGTTCATTTTTAATATTTATTAATAATTAATTACATAGAAAATATTAGCATTATGAAAAGGTCATAGAATTATTTTATGATAAATACTTAGTAAATAATTTCTTTGTTTCATATTGACTTCATCAAGACAAGATATCAAAGAATAAGAAGATATAAGGTTGTTTTACTCAATTTTCCCAAGCAATAGGAAAAACAAACTGTTGATATTCATTTCAACACTATAAGGCCATTAGAAAAAATAAGCTCCAGGTTCTTGCTCAGAATCAGAAGTGTTGTTCATTAGAATAATTAATAATTTTCAGTATTGTTTTGCCTAAAAAGTAAACAAATTTTCTCTACTTTATAATAAAAGAGAGACAGATGGAAATAAGGTTATCTACAGATTTAATGAGTTTATATTAATTCATTAATGTTGGGTTTTAAATTAATATTGAGTCTGGAACTTAATTGACTGTTTGATTTATAATAATTAAATTCAAAATGGATAATTACAAAAAATACCTCTTTGATGAGAAGTTTCAAGAACCAGTACCTCGTAATACGTACTCATTCTAGGCTCAAGAGAGTCAGGAAGATTAGCCAAATGAATCAAATTTTGATGATGAATATAAAAAAGATTTTCTTCAAAACCAAATTAAAAACATCAGGGAGAAATTAATAATGATGGGTTATCCCAGTTTGGGTGATTTGTTTAGCAATTCAAATTCTGAAGTTGATCTTACTGTGAAAGTGTAAGAATAATGTACATTATCAAAAATAGATTGATTGCTGTAATTAAATAAAGAAGGGAGGATATGGATTTTAAGAACACGTATCATGAAAAAATTAATAAAATAGAAGCAGAAAAACAGCAACTCTCTTAAAATTTTGAAAGAGTATCAACTAATAAAAAAATTTTGGAGTAAGAAAATAGTACTTTATAAGCTAAGATAAAGAGCACAGAAAAGGTTCAAAAAGAACAACTGTAATTATTTTAGTGATATCTTAGTAATAAATTGATGTTGGAAAGGGAGGATCTATAAAAATAGCTATCGAAATTATAAAGCAGATCAACTTAGTTTGAACATGAAATGAAGTAAAGGGATTTAGAAATTTAAAAACTTAAAGATCATATTAAAAAATAATCGGCTTCGAAAACCTTTAAAAATAGTTTAGAAGTGACCTAAACTATAGAGTAAGGAGGTTCAAGTATTTTTGCAGCAAATGGAGAATATGAATTTAGTCAATTAGTCATGAAAAAGTGGGAAGAAATCAATAACAAATTACTTAGGGAGAATGAGTAACTTAGGGAAAATCTAGTTAAGATTCATAATGAATTAGGAGAGATACTGTAAATTAGAAGAGATGTGTATATTAAAAGAAGAAAAATAGATTTTGGAGATGAAAATATTCCTCAAGAATTGGATAACCCATAACAAAATATGCATTAATTCAAAAGTGATCTATATAAGGCTCCTTTAGAAACTAATGGTAAATAAGCTATTTAAATGTTGCAAGAGAATCTATTAACATTTAAAGAACTTATGAAAAAGTTTGATTAGTAATACGAACTTTAATTGAATGAAGATGAAATTGAAATTGAAGCTGAAGGGGGTAAGACTAAGGCTTGTAAAAACTTGACTGAATTATTCAAAAATTATAATTATATCTTTGAGGCTTAGGATAAGATGATAAGTTAAATTATCAATAAAAGCCAAAGCTTAAAAAAAATAGATGAATTAAACTTTAATTTAAATAGATTCAATAGAGTATTAGATGATAAATAGATCGACGATGTCAAAAAATATCTATAAGACCAGAAAAAGTATTTGGATGAATCGAAAAATGAAATGGATCTAATAAAAAAACAATTTTAGCACTAATTGAAAAAAAGAGAAGAAGAAAAATAAATCATACAAGTAATCTCATAATCTTATAATTAATTAGATGAAAAGATAAATGCTTGAAGAAACCAACGAGAAATTCAAGGAAAACATAAGAATGCTAGAAAATGCAAGTAGATAAGCATTACAATAACTTAATTAAGATATTAATTGACTCAAAAATTTTGGTTTAACATTTTTATTATATATAAATAATCATTTTCTTCTCCTTTATTTCAATTCAAATACCAGTATATTACCATGAAAATTATTCTGAATTGTCTCTCTTATTTATACCTACAAAATTACTATAAAAAAATTCATGAAAAATTTATTAAATTAGTAAAGTACTTTAACATCTAGATCAAAGAAATCTACAAAAAATAATGATGAATATAGTATCTTTGTTTGATATCTTAACTGTTATTGTAGTTAAAACTGTATTAGAGAAGAATCGAATTTATATTTAAAGTGTATTTATAAAGTCAAACAATTTTATGAAATCTAACTGAGACAGAAACCCAAACAGCATAAACGTCTTCTGGATAGATTTCCATTTTCACTCGTACTGCATGATATGTTTGATCTCCTCTTGCAGTGAGTACCTCCCCACCAACAGGAGATGTTTTGATATCCTCCAACATCTTTTAAATATTCATGTGATTAAAACAAATTGGAAAACTCATAAATGTATGACCTTCAGGTATGTAACTTCTGATAGCAGATTGAAATTCAAATTGTGCAAACTGCAATCCTATAGTCATATCAAATTTGAATACCAGTAATTTTTTCAGTTTCATAATTAGCTAAGGCTATTTACATGATGCTTCCAAGCTTTTCATCATATCTAGTAGCCAAATTAATAACTAAAAATTATGTAAATTAAAATACTCTTTCTATAACTTCCTATGGCTTCTCTAAGTTATAATTCTAATTTTGGTTCCAATTCATCTGCATATATTGTTTATCTTAATAGAGTAAGTTGAAAATTCTAGGGTTTTAATAAAGAGATTTCATTTGGATCAACAGCCTTCCATTTAGTGTAATCTTCAATATTCAGATCTGTTTTCAGTACGGAATCATTCTCTTGGATATTTGCATAAAAGCATTTATGATTAAAGATACAACCAATTCTTTTATATAACTAAGGAACCTATTTTACAATAGATTTTATTTATACTTTAGGATCATTCAGTTCAAATTTATGCCCAGTTAAAGGTTCCCAGAAGTTGTATGCATATTCAGCCTATTTTTAATTGGGCTTTTTTGGTTTCTATAATCTTGTCATAACCCATCCGTGAGGTCTATCAGCTGTGGAACCAAATACAACAAAAGCATCTAAATTGAATCCCAAAAAGAATGAACACAATAGCAAACAATGATCCTCAAAGTCTCCACCTTTCAATGCTAAAAATGTTGGGAATCTGTGCCAAACTTCTAATCTATCTCCTGATGGCCCTCGATCTGAAGTCTTCATGGGTATTAGACTCACAAATCTGGCAGCATGATTCGGACTCATAATCCCTCTAACACTTTATAATTCTCTAATAAAAGTGCAAGAAGGTCTCCAGATTCCATCTTGGGATTCTGAATATAATTTAATTGGTCGAACAGAAAGTTTAAGTTCTTTAAAATCATTCCACCATGCATTGCCATACGTATGAAACCTATCAGATATTTGATTAATAACAGATTTCTCTTTAGATAACTATGAAACAACTATGTTTTCTGGCAACAACACTAAGCCAGTTTTTGGTAATAATTCCAAATGAATTTAAAGTATACCAACATGATTCTTCCTTTCATTTTACATTTTGGTATTATAAGTAGTTGGAAGTTCTATGTTCAATGAAATATTGCCATAGCATAATAAAAACCTCCATTCAATTAATTTCTGTGAAAACAACTTTGTTTACCCATTTTAAATTTAAATTACGCATAATTCAATAGGATGATCTAATTTGCTTAAGGTCAACAAATCTACATTAGCCTTTTGAGCTTCAGTTCTCAAATCAAACAAAAATAGTTCATTAAACTCGGGTTCTACTGTGGCATCAACTGTAGCAGATGCAAATCTCTGACCACAAAAACTTAAATATAGCTACAATTTTGAATTTCCAGGTTCGATAAAATCCAAGAATGCTCTTCCTTTGTATATACGTAAACTAACTGACCGATAGTTAATACGATCTGGGTCTACAAATGTAAGCTTAATATTCTCATTTGATCATACTTGTTTATTTTATTTATTAAATTCATCTAATTCATCCAAATGTTTGATATCCAAGATGAGGTTGTCAATGAGGTTTGTTTCTCTAAGCAATTTGGTCAATTTTTCATTATCCAAATCATCAATTTGAATTTTTTCACTTTCTATTTTTTTCTTTAACTTATCAAATACTTCACCTTTATCAAAATAATTGTTGATTAGTTATCGAATTTTAGTTATTTGTTCTTTAGAATACATATTTAAATAAATTAATTAATGGACATACAAGACGCTTCTAGAGTTGTTTACATTTGTGGAAGTAAGTTACTTAAGTTAAAATAGAGTGTGGAAAGGATGTTTAACTTGAAGCCAAAGACATTGTCAGATGCCAATGCGGCTACAGAATTCTCTATAAGAAAAGAAAGGCAGATCCAAAGAATCCACCTTAATACGAAGCAATCTGAATTATAAACATTTATCTATGCCAATATACACTTCTAAACAACTGAATTTCATTACTCATACTCTCTAAACCCACTTGGATGCTACTAAAATTTAGTTAAATAAGCTTCCATTATTTAAGCATAATTAAGGATTATACTAAAATTACACTCAAATTTCATATAAATTGCAGTCTAAGGATCTTTATTGATTAAATAATACTCTTTATAAATATTGTGAGTAAAGAGAAATGATAATAAATATCTTTGTTTACGTATTAATGCAACAAGCAATCTAAGCATTTCTCCTTGTTCCCAAGGATTCTGATTTCACAATCAAAAACATACCTTTTGGCGTTGCATCCAAAGCCAATGGCAACCCCTTCCCAGCTACCATCATAGGTATATCAAATTGATCAATCAAAATAGGTGATTCTGTGATCAATTTGGCCAAACTAGAAGCCTTGGGATATTTTAATGGACCTCTGTTTTCCACTTTGGGATCTAAGGTCTTTGACAGCGGAAACCTTAACAAATTTGTTTCCCTTTCAAGACCATATTGGAAAGAAGTCAGATCTTAGATCTAAACTTTATTCTCATGTGGAAGCCAATTAGAAAATAATTAAGAAGCGTTGGCTGAGATTGTTACACCTGTTCAAGATAGTAATAAATCATATTCTATTTAGCCAAAAATCATTTACCAATTACAATTGGAGAATACACTGATTTTTATTCCTCAAAGAATCATGCTTTCAATATGGGATCTATCATCAGAGGTCCTGATAATGCTATGCAACCAAATTGGTACTATTTACCTGTAGGATATCATGGAAGACGATCATCAATTGTTGTTGATGGAACAGATATCAGGAGACCATGGGGATAGGTGAAGGCACCAACAGCTGAGAAGCCTTCTTTCACCAAATGCAAGAGATTGGATTATGAATTAGAAATTGGAGCTGTAATTGGTGGAGCACCAAATAACTTGGGAGAACCAATTAAGGTGAATCAAGCTGAAGATAGAGTCTTTGGATTTGTAATTCTAAATGATTGGTCAGCCAGAGATGTTTAAGTGTGGGAGTATGTACCTCTTGGTCCATTTGGAGCCAAAAATTTTGCATCTACAATTTCACCTTGGATTGTGTCCATTGAAGCCTTAGAACCATTCCGTATTCAATTACCAGAACAAGATCCAGAACCATTCGTCTACTTGAAAGAGCAAAAGTAAATGAAAAGTTGAATAATTAGTCATACATCTTTTGATATCAGATTGGAGGTGCTCATTGGAACAGAAAAGAGTCCAGAACTAGAACATTTCACTACAAGCAATTTCAAATATATGTATTGGAGTGTGAATTAATAAATTGCTCATCATTCCATCACTGGTTGCAACATTTAACCAGGAGATCTCTTTGGATCTGGAACAATCTCAGGAACAACCAAGGATGGAAGAGGATGCCTAATGGAATATACATGGAATGGAAAGGAGCCTTTGGTATTGAAATCAGGGGAGCAAAGATTGTTTTTGGAGGATGGAGATGTCCTTGAAATGAGGGGATTTGCAGGAGAAGGAGAGTAAGAATCATTCATAGTTTAGGAATCGTGTCGGGTTTGGGAGATGCAAAGGAAAGATTTTGCCTGCTCTGGATGAGGCTTATTTCTAATCATGAAAGTTAATTATTATCAATATTAAAATTTATATTTAAAAATGGGCAAAAAGACAACATTACTTTTTAAGTTAGTGAGTTCAGCTGGCACAGGGTTTTATTATTATGGAGAGAAGAGCACAAAGTAATTGGAAAATAATTAAAATAAGGAAAGTAGGCTCTAAATTGATTTTAAGAAAGTATGATCCATTGGTCAATCAATATGTTATCTTTACAGAGGCTAAATTGGCATCAGGAAAGAAAAAGTGATTTGATAAGACATATGCAATATATAAATTTAATTTTAAACTTATTTAAGGAATTGCAATTAATTTTTTTATTTCATCATTTTCTATTTTATTACTTTCTCCATTATTCATTCATACATGCAAATAGTTTTTGTTCATTCTAAATGCTAAATGTGTTTCATTTTGTAAGACTAAGATATCATGAAATAATAAAAATTCTCCACAATTAATTTAAAGTGTATTTAAATTAAGGAAGCTCTAGAGAAGAAGGCCGAATTTATTAATTTGATAGTCTTGTTTATATTATTATGCTTTTAAAGTTATAAATAGACGCTAAATCAGCATAAAATCTAAGATATGCTTAATTTTTTAACATTTTATTAATCAAATTCGATAAGATAAATTGCGTTTCCAAGTTCTTCTTAGAATTTTCTTAATACTGTTATAAATATTCTAAGAATTAGGATAAGATTATTTTAATCAATAATTATTTAATATACCTTCATGAAATCAAGTAACACTAGAAAACACAACAATATCTAGTAAGCACCAATATATGATGCCTAACAATACTAATTTGAAGAAGAAACTTAGCCATTGTAAGAAAATGGGAATTCAAACCAAAATTTCTTTGATTATTCTAAGAGGTATTGTCCTTCTTGATTTAGAATCGAAACGATCGATAGATTCTTGAAAGAACTGCAGAGCCTTAAACAAATGTCCTTTTATAAAACTGAATGACTTGATGAGCTTTTATGTTTATATTTATTAGAGTTGAAATATTTTTGAGAATTTTCAACAATATCTTCTAAATTAAAAAGAAAACAACAATTTTAGAGGATAAGTACTCGATAAAATCACTCTCAAAGATAAAAATATCAATAAATAATTTAAAATTTACTTAAAATCTGTTTATATATAAGTTTTAATCAATATACTATGTTTAATAAAATTCAATATTTTTTTTGTTAAGCACTTTAAGGTCTTGCGATTCTACCAGAGCTAGAGGAAGGATCATCTTAAAATTAGAATACCTTAGTTACTTGCTTTATTCTAATTAAGCATTGGATATTTGAATCCAACAGTAGTTCCTACATATTTCTAATTGTCGGAAGTGTAATTCACTTAGTTTGGATCTGAAATCAACAATCATTATTACTTAGTTCATAAACTTCAGAATTTTCATAAACCAAATCTTTTGGTCTTAAGTCTCCCCTAACTAGCTTAGCTTAATTCAAATCTTAGCTTTTCTATAATAAAAAAAAATAGTTACATCTACAGTTTTAGTTAACTTAGTTTTTCCAGAGCATACTAAACATCTCTAAGTGACGACTCTATGATTTCCTGTTAAAATGCTCACAGTTTCTTATTGGTTAACACTAAATTATAAATACAATATACTAAAGCAATGTTTATAAATAGTTTGAGAACTCCTCTAATTCTTTCATTCCTTTAGCCAAGATGCCATAGTTTTCAGCCATTGTTTTGTATTTTTCTTCTAAAGCTGTAAATTTAGCTTTAGTGTCCTCTTCATTAGCTTTTCTAAAGAATATATTAATATTCGATACTCTGCGAGTTATTTCTATAGGTCAGTGTTATCATTTGATGTCATTTATTTCATATACTTTCTCATTTTCTTATCAAGATCTTGTAATCCTTCTATTTTCTTTTTCATATCAGCTATATCATTCAGTAGATTTCTTATGAACATCTCAAAGGACATATTTTCTCCACAAGCTTAACCAACTATCTGAAGTATTCTTGCTCTTAATAAACTCATCGGTTATGATATCTCCTTGTCAATGATAGAGATAATATCTTCTTTGGATAATTATTATTATTAAGGAGCCTACTTCAAAAGGTTTAATTGTTATAGGAATCTTTGCTCATTTACATCAATTTTTCTTTTCAATTCATTTTCTAATAATCTTAATTTGTTTTCTTAGTCTGTATAATCACTTTTTAACCTTTTAATATCTGCTTCTAATGAACACACTTTATGAGGATCGATATCACTTTTCCCCCCTTTTGCCTACCCATCAAAGTTTTCAGTCTTAATTTTTAATTCTTCTATGTCTTTCCTGTTTTATTCGCCCCTATACTAACAATCAGCAATCTTATCATCCATTGATTTGATTTATGGTATCAATTTTTCTAATTATAAAATGGCATCCATTTTTCTAGATAATTCTCCAACTTTATTTTATAATTCAACAGTTCTATCACTTAGTATTTGTTTAGTTTAATCGAATTTTTCAAGAGGAGTGTACTTCTAAGAGATTGTATCATTCATTTCCTTCAATTGAATTCGTAATGTTTTGAAATTGTCTTGATTTCTTTCATCATTGTATTAAAATTTGGCTTTTAACTCAGCCATTTCATTTTAAATTCCCTTAATACCTTCGTCTTTCTATTTGGCTATGTCCCTCATAACTCTATCATAAACACCTTAACAGGAAGATTCCACAAACTTATCATTGATTCTTTATTATAATAACTTTTCGCAATCACTAATTTTCCACAATGTTTTTTTCTCTAACTCATTAATACTTTATTGTAACTGATTTTAATTTTATGTTGCTAATCTCTCCTAATCCTAAAATCGCTTAGTCAGTTTCTTATTTAAATCCTCGATTTGATCGGATAATTTAGTTTTTTGTTCCTTCAAACCCTTCTCCAAATCATCTTTTAAAGCTCTTTTTGTGAGATCAGCCTCCAATTTGTTGAGTTTAGCTTCCCAATCTTTGCTTCGTTTGAATAGATAAGCCATTCCTTAACTGAATACTCGCTCTTTGTTTATTACCATACATATAGCATTCTCTATTTAATCTGATCCATTCTCAGCCAATGGTTTCTCCAACTAAAAAGAAATCTACTGTTCAAATTCCGAATCACGTAAAGACATCGATTTAGCTGTTCTCTATAAATAGGCTTCGTACTATATGTTATTAAATTATTTCCTACATCTTGCAATTTCAATACTTGATTCAATTAGATTTATAAGTTGTTCAGATAAGAAGAATGTCCATTAACTGTGTTAGTAACTTTCTCCAAGTAACTTTTAAGTTATTCAGCTCTCAAGTCAACTTGAAAAAGAGTCTCTTCTAATAAAAGAGTTGCTGCTTGTTGTGCTTTCATTTAATTAACAAAGTTTATAAAATATTAACTAATATTTATAAACTAATTTAGAGTATTCTTACATCTGTTATGCAAATACAATTCATAAGGCTACTAATGATTTGATTCAACAGGTTCTATTAGTACTTTTGATATTACATAAATTGAATTTAGGAGCCTTATTCTAAACTGATATTTAGAATAACAAATTCATTTTTAGAAGTCATTTAGAAGAATAAATCATATAAGTTGATATGAACCTTATGTTTAAATAAAATTATTAACTTTTATTATGATTTATTACACTAAAGTTATTAAATATTTTATAAATTGAAAGTATAAAATCATTTGGTAACACATGTCCAGCTTGTGATTCTTAAACAGAAATAAAAAACTAAAAACAAACCTATTAAATTATCTTATTAGGTTTATTTATGATCTTTTGTTATTTACTTTCAAAGAAATTATAAGAATTTATCAAAATGCTGTTTGATGTTATATTTTTAATGTTTAAATTTAATTTAAAATGAAATTAAATACTATGAATAAATTCAAGATACAGAGATTTAAACTTTAAATTTGATAATTTAAATATGTTCACTCATTACAAACAAATAAACAATCAAAGTAAATTAATTTATTTTTATTCACAAAAGACTTTACCATAAATTAAAAAATCTGATTTTGAGATTGTCTTCAATTCCCCTTAAATTGAATAACTTATATCAAGCTTAATAAACAGCTTATTTTTATGATCAATAACAAATATTTTTAGCTACTTTTTCTAATACAAATTTTGCTCTATAAAAATAACCAAAACTTCTTTTAGGTTTAACAGAAGCTTATTTTATATTATTTAAATATATAGCAATAATTTATAGTCATTTCCAAATATAGTCAGCTGAAGCACATATTCCCGGTTTTCTCCTATTTATTAATTAATAAAATCCAACTGAGGTTAGATTAAATTATTTAATTAGATCCCCTGGATACTAAACATATTTGATAAACCTTTTTAAAACATTTAGATTATATAGTATATTTTTTTATTTGATTCCTGAAAAATTGTCTTTTCTGAAGTAGAATTTATAAGCTTTAGGGCTTTCAAAATCTTAGTCATCTATGTACTATTTAATAGATAGTTTTTGTATAATTTAAGATATATCACTAAGATATTTATCAAATTGCTTATTATTAATTTAACTTATATTTTTGCATCTTTATTCCAAAATTTACAAAATCATGCTAATTTACCTTTATTCATTCTATTTTTCGTAGAGTACATAAGTTTAAATTAAAAAATATGGATAAATTTTATTAATCTATATCAATTTGTTTACAAGATATTGAAATTTCTTTTTAATTGATTTTGAATTATTGACAAAGATGGAAAAGAATCTTTCTCTTTCATTTTAAGGAACTTTATTATTGATCTGCTAAAACTATGTCATAGACTTAACATTCCGTTTTTATAGTTGTTCTTCATCTATATTAAACATGTGGTCAAATTTATATAATTGAAATAGTACAGGTTCCTCTTTTTAAATTAATAGAGCAGACTACTCAAGTCGTTTCTTATCTTAAAGTAATGTTGTATTCTTTTTTTTTGTTCTACTGTGTGGTTTCCTGGGTTATTATTAGGGATACAGATGTTTCTTAATGATAAATTCTTTGTCAGGTACAAATTTAATTAATGGGCATTCAATCAATTTATGAGATTCTTTCCCACATGAAAAGCAAGAAACAGTAAAATATTGGTCATCTTAATATAAAATCATTTTATCTCGTATAGCAAAAAATAATTCTTGATCATCTGGATGATCTTACAGTATTTTGAGAAAATTTTTTCTCTTTAAAATCATGGCCTTCGTAAACCCTACACTTTTATAGGTCTCTTAAGACTCAGTCCCCATTATAAAGTTCTTAATACCAATAGATGCTCCTTTATTAACAATCCCTAAATTTATTTTTCTACCTTATTACAGGGAAATTTAAATTGAGCCATCCTCTATATAATATAATAATATATCATTAGCAGATTTCAAATCTTATTCAGGCGTCAGAAGCACCTCCTCCACTTCCTTTATTAATTACCTTTTGAACAGTTAGGTAAAAGGTATTTTAAATAATGTGCATTGATCAAATATTTTCTGATGAGCTTCGTTAATTAATTATTGTCTCAGAAATTCGGATAGAGAATCAATGATCTCTTTTTCTTCCTCAGATTGAGATACAACTTGGTTTTCCCAATAATATGTTAAGTACTATCTTATTTACATTTGCAAGCCAGAAGACATAAAACTCTTATTCATGTAGGAATTGATTATCCTAAGCTTCCTCCTTCTTTCTTCGGAGAATGCTGACATCTCTGTAATTATATTTCCTACTGTATTTACACTAAATGGTAGCTAAATACTTGAAATCATTATCAGAATAATAGTTACAATCTTTTCTATGTTAGACTGTGGGGTTACATCTCCATAACCAACTGTGAATATAGTAACAGCTGTATAATAAAAGGACTAAAGATATTGAGTATTCCATTGTTATTCAGACATATTAGTTGTGATAAGCCAACTCTTCCCTTCATAATTTTCTAAACTATATCTTCCAATCTAATTTATATAATAATGGTTACCCAATACCAAAAGCAAGAAAACAAATGAATCACGTAAAACAAAAAGGCTATCAACTTAAATAAAGCAAAAACAGAGGATGTTTTTTTTGAAATATTCAGTCCCTCTTCATAATTTGTTGCATAATTGATGATAGTTTTGTGATGAACTAAGAATATTAACAAACCTATATTTAATAAATTATTATTAATGTCAAGCGAGATCTCTCCATACCTGTCGATTATGAAATAGACTAGCAACTAAAATACCGATAACCACTATAAACCATATGTATTATATAAACTGTGTTTTACTATTTTACTTCTTGATGTAACTGCTTCTCCATTTAAGAAATAAACTGTATTTAAACTGATTAACATATCAAAAATTAAAATGAGTAGAAACAATATCGAAATGTATTTGAAGTCATGAAATATAAATTATTGATTAACCCAGGCCAAATCTATTGGGATTATGTATAAAAAGTATAATCTGGCAACAACAGCCACAATATCCCATATTACTTTAATAAATTAACCAGGATGGATTAAGGGTATTTTGTTCAGCTTATTCTATAATACTTCCCGGAGATTTTATAAAATTCTTAATTGTTTTTGATTAAGGTGCGAAAATGTGAACACCTTTCTTTTAAAAAAGAATTCATCTGATGACCCTAAATCTCCAATTAAAGACAAATGAAAGTCCTTTACTTTTTTAACCTTTTGTACTTGATCCAACATATTGTCGACAAACTTCCTAATATAATCATTCTTTTTTTCTTCTTTCACCTGCTTTTTATTATGGGTAGGGAGAAGATATTAATCAGCATAGAATGGAGATGATTTCGGAAATATCGATCTGCTACTTTTAATTTTTGAGCTTAGCAAATTAGATTCACTCTATTCAGAGAATAACTTTGCTTCCATTCCATTGTTTTTTTGTTTCATATTGAATTTAATATATATAATAATCTTAACTTTCTGAAACTAAAATTTCATATTATTTAATTTGATATCCATTCGTAAGGAAAAAAGAAGAAATTATATGTAAATTTTATAGGCAAAATCTCCTTTTCCATTTTATCTTAAATTTTATTTAACTAAATAATAACTTCAAATGGACCGTTGTATTTTTTATAAATATTTTTTAATAAAATGGATACTATGGCAATAAAACCTTAAGGTTGAATGAAAATCTATTAATTTTAATGAAAAACATAATATTCTTTATATAATAGAATCATTTTTTTTATTTCTTTTCTTCCTTTAATGCTTACACCTTGGCTTTGAAATTATTAATCAATGAATTTAAATTCTATTCTACAAAAACATGTAACAATGATGATATCACATATATTATCAAAGTATATACTAATGATTACAATAATAATTACCGATAAAATTGGAGACTAATCCAAATTAAATAAAGTTTTGGCTTATCATTATTTAATATAGAAAGTAATGACTTAAATAAATGCTAAATAGAAGCTTTGAAAAAACTTAAAATAATTGTTCAATTATTTTTGTGGATTTCATATCCAAAATTCCTGAAAATATAATGCCGAAACATAAAATGGGTCTAGATATGGATTGATATATATTTTAAATTAAATCTGCCACATATAATTAGTATTCTTTTATAAGAATCCAACCTAAAAATGAAAAAAAAAATGCAAAAATTGCAACTATCTTATAGCTTGTATTAGCAAAGCATTGCCTTTTATACTTCAAGCCAGTAAGCAATCCTATTAGATATGACGACATTTTATATTAAGGTTTTTGATAGAAATTGTAATAAAATTGTTTATCTGTCATAGCGTAAAAAGATATCTTATAATTATTTTAAATACAGACAACCATGCTATAGAGTAACACAGTAATAATTAAAATTAAGACATAATTTGATAAATCTTTGATGCTATTTTTGTTTGTATTTGAAAGATCTTTTGATTTCAAGAAAAATGATCTCTAAATAATTTAAAACTTAAACTTACAATAAAATGAATTGTTGGAATAGATAAACACAAAAGTATTAAGGTTTAGATTTCCACAGCTATGTACCAACTCCACTCAAAACAGCCAAATTTATTGAAAATATTGTAAGTCAAAGTACTAACATATACAATATTATCCATACAGTTTTCTGTATATCCAACATTAGCGAATAATTTTGGTAATATGATATAAATAATCAGAAGAATCCAATATAAAGGATACATCCTCATTATTCTATCGAATATCATTAACATAGACTGAATAGGAGATAACAAAAGGTTTGGATTAGTCACCAGTTTTTTTCCAAGTATAAAACCTGAAATAAGGAAGAAAATATCAACAGCATATAAGGAGTTTATCATGATTATCATAAAATTGCTATTGATTATACTTTGTCGATCATTTTATCCAATTAATATTCCATAATGACTCATTGAAATAGATAACATGGCTAAGATTTTGAGGAGATTAAGAGAGAACATCTGATTAGTTCTATATTGAATAAGACTTGTAATATTAGTTTATATCATTTTATTAAATTAATTGATATGGATTTTAATAATGGTTGATTGAGGAGTTGACATATGATTTTTAAATAATTAAATTCTTCTTAGTAATTAATAGTGTTTGTAAAGAACGTGTTTATTAAATAATTTAATGATTAAGAATTACGGAGACAGATATCATCTTATCGACAAAAAAGCTTTGGAAGATAAATAGTTAGATAAGGACTAACTGATAGAATTTGTAAAAACATCAGGGATAAGTGAGATAGGGAAAAATTACAATATTGTGTCAATTATAGGTAGTCAAAGTACAGGGAAAAGTACATTGCTTAACCAACTTTTTGGAACAAAATTTGATGTCTAGAATAGGTAATAAAGCGTTGGTTAAACAACTGTTGGTATTTGGATCTCCAAAGATGTCTAAAATAATGTTGTAGTATTGGATGTGGAAGGATCCGATTCTGTTGAGCGAAAATCAGGAGAGAATGTAAGTGATAATAATTAATACCTAGATGGTTGAAAATCAAACAGCATTAATGGCCTTGGCAATGTCACATTGCTTTATTATCAATGTTTTTCTTAATGCTTTAGGTTAACATACAAGTTGCTAATTATCTATCATAAAGATCATTATGCAACAAAATTTGAAGCTATTTCAATAAGACACCGTCAAGCACATTATTTTTGTGGTCAGAGATTGGGATGAAGATGCAAATTATGAGGAGGCTTCTCGTAGATTGAATGGTTATTTATTGAGTATATGGAATGAGATTCCCAAAGTAAGAATTCGATCTACAATAATAGCCTGATCAATACAAAGAGACAGATTTCCATAAATTATTTAGTGTTTAAGTGGTTACGCTAGTTTATTACAAAATGAAAAAAGAGTTTGTAGAATAAACAAATGAGCTTCATTCAAAATTATCCAACTAACAAGATCCAAATTTCATTTTTAAAGATTTTGATTATGAGAAAAATGTGAGATGGTCAGATATGCCACAATATTTATCAAATATTTGGGAAGTCATTTCAAATAATAAGGATTTGAATTTACCAAATGAGAAGATTCTGATTTCTAATATGAGGTGTTCATAAATCAAATTGGAAGCATTGGAAGGAGTGAAATAATTAAATGAAGTATAATAGTGATAATCTAAATATAGGATCTGTAAAATAGAGTCAGAACAAAATTTGTTGATAATTTTGCTTAAGAATGCTAATCCATTTTGAGTCTAGCTAGTAAACTATATGACAAGGATGCTAGAGATTATCACATTGAAGTGTACAAAGAAAAAGAAAAAGAATTGAAAGATGAATTGATTAATAGATTCTTCACTTATTTCTAAAAATAGACCGAATAACTTAAGCAACACTATATGAATGTGTTAACTGAGAATCTGGAGACATTGAAGAGAGAAAGTATTTAATATATAGATTGAACTAGGTATCTACAATTTACCTGATAGATTAAATGAATTGGATCTTTTGAAAGTGCAATTTGAAGAACAATTAGCAAAATCAGTAATTGAAATTGATTTATGGTAAGAGAAAGACCATGTTAAATATTTCAAATAATAAATTGATAGTCAATTAAAGGCATTTGTAGAAGCCCAATTAGCAACTTTTAAATAATAATTGGATAATATCATCAAATCTGAGTGTGACAAAATAGTAAGTTCATAGGTTCTTAACATCTCACCCAAATTTTGGTTACAAATAGAATCTGACTATTACACTATGATCACTGAGAAATACTAAAAATATGAAGTGTTGTTAATAGGATTGAGAGTACAATAGAAATAAATTGATGATTATTTGAATAAGTTTGAAGAGGACAGTTTCCATAATCTCAAATAAGTAATTGCTGTTGCCAGTGGCAGATTTAAAGATTAATTATTCTAACAATTCAAAGCATAATTCGTTAGAGCTGCTGATGGACAACCAAGAAACTGGTAAAAGTTAACAGAAGAGGAAATCTTCCATATCTATACAGAAGCCAGAGATAAGGTGTTCTCATTGTTGGATTTGCTGAGAATCAGAAAAATTAAGTTCTAAAAACAACTACTCGCACTTAAGTAAAAGGCCAAAACTCTGATTGTTACAGCGAATCAGAAAGTGTAATATCAAATTTCCTCAGATGCTGATTCTGATGACATTGTTCTTAACGATGTCTTTTATACATAGGTGAAAATGCAATTGGCAGAAGATATTGATGTCTAATATCAAGATGCTATTCAAAAACATGTAAATTTCAATTTGAACTATTTTCTTAGAAACAAGATTTCCTTTAAAACATTCCAAAGCCTTTTTGGTTCCTGTTGCTATTCTTTATGTACGATGATGTATTAAGATGGATGGGCAATCCATTATTCCTGTATCCAATTTTGATAATCCTATGCTTTGTAGGATTTTGCATTGCCATAGGTACAATATTATCACTACTATTATTAGGTCTCCATAGTTTACCTAAATTGGCATTTTAATGGGTCTTTAGAACAGTGAATCAGGCTATTATTCCCCTAATATTTGGAGGGATTTCAAAATTAAAGGGAAGTTGAATGATTATTTTAATAATCTATAATAAATATATTAAATGTTGACAAAAAGTGCAAAAGGTGACCAATTGCATTAAACTATTACTACAGTATCATTATCATAATAAATCCTAGATTAATTATAAATCGATAATCACATCAGAGAAAAGATCAGGTGAGATTCCATAATACATGAACAGTAAATGCAAAATAAAACTGCGCAAGGAAAAACTCTACTTGCCTTATCTACACACACGAGAACCTTCTCTCCCAACTCTGAAATCACCTGCGAATAAACAGCAACAACTAAACAGCATGAGTTGGATATCATTAATTTAAGTCTAAAATAAGCCACGAGATAGGTCGATTTCAATTGCCAATGAGACTTATTTCCAAAGAACTAGATAAGTGAGTTTCTTAGAGAATCTACTAAAACAACTAAATAAAAATAAAAGATAATCTTGAATTTTGATAAATACATATGACTTTGTAAAAAGTGTTTCTGTTAAATGAATATCAATTGTGTATCCAATCTAAATATTTAATGTTCTCTTAGAGAAAGATGTAATTTTAGTGGAATTTTACTTTTTACAATTACAAATAGCAATTATTAATAAAAATAAATTGATGTATAAATAAACATTGTGTATATATATAGTCCATCATCATTTTTTTGGAGAAGGAGAACTAACATTATCATTGTCCTCCTGTTAAAGTTTCTCTAGAAATCTTTCAAAATCCTTCATTCGAATTTTCACAGTCGAAATACTAGATGTCGATCTTTGAGTGATTGATCGATGGGATAGGAGCTAGACATTGTAATATAAATATATACTGATAATAAACTGCTATTTCTCTTTATTGATCTTTTGTTTTCTGCTCTAAAGAGATTTCGAAAAGTATCGAAATCCAAACTCTCATTTGAAACTTCTAATTATTCCAACAATTCATCAATGTCAAAATTCAGTTCAAATTCAACTGATAATATTTCGATTATTTTATTTTTATGTACATAGCCACTTGCATCTGGTTCACCTCCCAAAGCAACAAATGCATCAACTACCATCATCACATAATTAATTACTAAATTCGCTATATTGTATTTATTCCTCGTTTTCTTTTGCTTTGCATTCCAAATCTTTACAAACTCTGGTGATATATAATAAAGTTTAAAAATCAAGTTTTGTTGTGTTTCTATCCTCCATTTCCTTGAAAATCTTCTCCTTGCAATTATCATTAATCTCAAAACCAAATTCTAATCAAATAGTTGTCAAATACCTTTCAACAAATCCATCATATCATGATAACTTAAGAATCCAACCTTATTATAATCCATACGTTTGAACATTTTCATGAGCTAATCAATTTCATTCTTTTGCAAATCGCAACTTGTTGTGTATTTTAATAAAGAATTGTAATCTATTTGAACGCTTTTGATATTGCTCTAATGGATTTTTTGTGATGTTTATTGTTCTACAACCTATAAACTATTCACATTATTATCCATTTCAAAAAACCAAATTTTATTTTATAAAACCTTCAATCAAAAATGTGATTGCTTAAATTATAAGTCATAAATTCACTGCTCTAATGGTTATCCAGGAAATTCAATATTTTTTAATCAGATCTTATACAATATATGGCATCACATAATATATAAGAATAATCTATTAATCCATAGAATAATAATTTTATTGTTAATTTTTAATTATATATTTTATTACTAATAGGTTCTGTATGTCAAAGGTAAATTAACTCAATGGAAATTCATAACATAGTAGCAAAAACTCAATGAATAATTAAAATGCCGTGTCTTTAAATTATAGATTACCTCATTCCTATGAAATCGAGTGCGACAGAAAGGATTGCATGATGGTGAAATTGAATGGAATTCAGATGCAACATTAATTATTTCTTCTTAAAAAAGATCTCGATAAATATAAAGCCTTGTATGTGAATGAAAGAAAGAAAATAAGTGACACCTACAAAGAAGTTGAAGAAATCATGGATGCCCTTTCTAAAAAAGAGAAGGAAATTAAAATTAAAGAGATGCAACTTCTTGAGTTTGAATAAACCCTTTTAAAAAAGAATATGCAAAATGATGGTGTAAGCGAATCTCTGCAAAATTTGAATAAAAAATTAAATGACAAAGAATAATAACTAGCTGAAAAAGAAACTCAAATAAATCTTGAGGCATAAAATCAATATCGACTAATTGATGACCTCAATAACTTAAAGACCAACTTAGAATCTTCAGTTAAGTTTTTAGAATAAAAAGAATCACAGCTATTTGCCACTCTTCAATAGTTAAACCAATAGGAACTAGAAACTTTGTAAAGAGTCGAACATATCAACCAATTCATTTCAAACTCAGATCAACATCTTACAATGATGGAATCAATCGAACAATTATTCAAACAGAAAACCTAGAACATTGATCAAATAAAGCAATCAGTAACTTAAAAATAAGAAGAACTATAAATGTATGAATAGCAATTACAACTTAAGAGTGTTTGTGCTTCTTTAAATGAGGCTACTTTTATGAAAAAGGTCGCCTAAACTGAAAGAATAGTGTTAAAGACGCCTACATAAGATACAAATAAAAAGTGTCAACCTAGATCTAATAAATGCAATACATTTTCAAACCAAAAAGTGTATAAAATTTAACAGAATAAACTATTTTCAACTATAAGCAGTAGAGAAAATAGTCCCATCTCTAACAGAGAATCATTTAAAATAATTAATAAACCTTATTTCTAAAGTTAGGTGCCCATGCAAGAAATCAATAATTTCAACATTAAATATGATACTATAATATAAAATTGACTATTTTATAATTCCAATGCCTTTTTATCATTCTATTTCATTTATTTTTTATTATATTCTTTAATTATTCCGATTTGTTTGCTTCAATGTACTCATTTATACCTAAATAAGTTTTATATGCATTTTTACTAACTTTACTCATCAAAAATCTAAATAATATAAGTGGGTTTAGAGTTTAATAGTTGAAAATATATTGTTAATTAAAATCTCTAAGATTTAAACTTTAAATCGTAATAAAATTGTATAAAAAATTTAAACCTATTATTTGCAGATCGATAAAAATTATTTGAAACACTTCTCTTTCTCTAATTATTTAGTCTTAATATTTTATTTATATCATATATGATTAAAAATTAATCTGAAAATGAGGTTAAATATAATAAAACTAAATTTGAACCATTAACTTTGTTTTTCTTAAAAGAAATTTTGAATCAACAAACCACGGTTTTCCATTCAAAAACTGTTGATATAGAGTTACTCTTTTTAAATCCTTTAGATAAGGTAATCATTTGTTCTCTTTATAAACATATAATAGAAATATTCAGTCATCTTGCACATACTGATCTTATTTTTTAATAAAAAATTTGGATAATACTTGCCCGTTGGGAAGTTAAGTTACTTTAATTAACACTATTATAATAATTTTGTCAAATAGAGATCTGCAAAAATTGGATAGTGGATTTATTCTTATAATTTTGAAGTTGACTACCATTTATTTATTATAAATATTCCTTTAAGATGAGATTGTTGAATATTACAAATAATAAAATTAGAAGTATATCTATTATTAGATCATTTAAAGACTTTTTAATGCTAGAAGCAATCTCTATATTGATAATCTAAATTCTAATTTCTTCTAATAAAAGGTTTCATTCTTTTTAATTAAAATATTTTATAATAATATACAAAGATGGCAGATTTTAGAATAACTCATATGATTATTGATAAGCTATTTTAGTTGTTGCTAGATTTGATTAAGAACAAAGAGAAATTGTTGGTAATAATTAAATAAGCTCTTATTTTATACTTATGATATTTGTTAAAAACGATGGTAATTGGCTAAGATTAATTTTAACTACATTAATTTTTATTGAAAGTATTTGCAAACGGCATTTTTGATAGTTAGAAATGTTGAATAATTCTTATATTTGTGAAGGACAAAACTCTATAATTAGTACTTTTTATTTTTGTTTTCCCTAGGGATCCACCTCAATATCTTCTCTAATAAATGTGTTTGAATAATATATTTATAATAATAATTTACAATAGAGAATGAAAATTAACAAACTTTAAATTCATTTGATTAATTTTATTATATTAAATAATATAATGATAAGTCGAGACACTGGGTTCTAAGATCTGGAGAGTGGGATTTAGAGCAATAATTTATCGTCAGGACAATTGGTGGATTTGGAATAAAATAGCCCAATTAATGGATAATAGTTAGATCCAACCCTAGAGTTTTCTTAATTATAATAACTTGAAGCTCTAAGAATGAAGAGGGATATTTTTGATAATAGTCATAAGCAAGCATTAAATTTAGGAAATAAGTCGGATATAAATGAGGAAGATTGTTTAATGAGTAATCTCAGGTAAGAAAGTATAATAAAATAGTGGAAAAAGAAGTGAACCATAAGGTTCGATTAGTTCTATAAGCTGCAATTTAAAGAAGCAGAAGCTTACAAAACCTCCTAAGCAGAGGTCAAATAAAACCATTTAGTTCTAATAAAAGTTAGATTAAGACGATTTTGTGATTGGATCACCAAAAAATCAAAGTGGCACTAATATTTTAGGAATAAAATCAGATGCTAAGATAGTAAAGTATTAGACATTCGTTTAATAATTGGAGGAGGAGTGGGAGTAAAATGAGAGAAAAAAAAAAGCATAAATACACCATGATACAATCAAACAATAATCGTTAGTTTTAAGAGGGAAGAGTCGGGAAATGAAAACAGGGTATTGACATTAAATAATTAGAAAGATTAAATGAAGTTTGGTCATAGAAAGCGTTAATAATCATAAGATTAGTATCTCGTTTCATTTAGCAATTAAAGACAAAAACAGAAAGAATAAAATTTAGGCTAATAACATAAAGAATATTTGAAGTCATTTGCGATAATAGTGCAAATTTTGAATATATGTTAATAAATAGATTAATCAAGCAAAAACCGAGTTTAGGATTAATAATATTTCACCAATTTTAAAATCGAGCTCTAACCATGTTAAACACATTAGAATCTGTTAACGACTTTCTAAGTAAATATATCAAAGTCATAAAACCTGATAGTTTGTTTAAGATAGTTTGGGACATTGTCCTATTATTATTTATTGTTGTTAACATATTTTATATTCCAATTTATATTAGCTTTGATGTTAGATCATCTGGTTTATTTGAATGGATATTTGATTTATTGCCCTCATGGGTATTTATTGCAGAGATCTTATTAAACTTTAACACTGCATACTATGATAAGGGATTGATGCATGAAGATAGAAAATAAATCATGAAACATTATGTAAAGGGTAATTTTTTTTGGGATATCATTGTTGTAATTCCATTTTTGATTTCTTATTTGGATATCCCATTCGTTAGATACACGTTATTATTGCGACTTACACGATTATCACCCTTAATGACAAGTATTGAGGAGGTGCTGAATTTGGAAGTAAATAATGTTTCTATAAAATAATAGGAAAGTCTTTAAATATTTCTGGACTTATTAAAATTGATCTTCTTTTTATTATTAACTGGTCATTTTTGTGGATGCGCCTGGCATTGGGTTGCAATAATCGAATATCAAAATTATGGATAAGAAATAACTTGGCTTACTCATTATGAACCTAATGCTATGAACTATGAATGGTTTGATAGATACATAATCTCCTTATATTGGAGTGTGATTACAACTGTAACTGTTGGTTATGGTGATATCGTTCCAGTTACTACGGTGGAGAGAGTATTTGTTATAGTAGTGACCTTGTTGATTTGTGGAGTGTTTGGTTATTGCTTATCTAATATTGGAAATATTTTTAAATAAATCACAGATAAGAAAGCTATATATAAATAAAGAATAAGAGAAATTAATTAGCACATTAGGAAGAGAGGTCTTAGTTATAATTTGCAATTAAAAGTAGAAATACATTTTAAGATCTTAGGTCAAAAAGTATTTTGAATATTTCTTGAAGGTGAAGCAGGAGGAAGATCAACATGCAGAGTAATTTATAGAACAACTAACTAAACATCTGAGAGAAGAAGTCTTAACTGACATTTATAGTAAGACACTCAAACAATCCAGATTTTTGAGGGAAAATTTCAGTGAAGAAATCCTGAATCGATTATGCCAGATAGTGAAAGAGACAAAATTATACCCAGAATAAGTACTTTTTTAAAGGAATGACTCTCCTAAAGCATTATGGTTTATATTGTCAGGAGCAGTTGAGTATGTTGCCGATCATTAAAGTATTTTAATCTCTTACATTCACTAGATGAAGACGAACACTATTACACTGAAACATTCTTAAAGAAACTAACTCAAGGGTATTATATTTGAAAATACAAATTAGAGCAGTGATAGGTGAAAGAGAATTCATATCTCAAACTCCATACGAATATAATGCTAGAGCTACTAAATTTACATAATTGTTGGTTGTCGAGTATCTATATATATATACATATGATTAGTTATTAACAATTCTATTTAATTTTGTAAGAAAACAATGACGAATTTGAAAAGTATTGTTTAGCCAAAGATAACTTATTGTTTAATAGCAATTACAAAGTATTTGGCTAAATTTGTGAAATTTGTGGGTGGACTCATCGATTTATTTAGTAATATATTCACAAATACTTAGATGTCCTTTCGTGTTTTTATAACCAAATAAAAATAAAATAGCTAGTTCCTTTGTTTCAACTAAAACAAATAAGAGATTAGCATTTCCATATAGGACACTTCCTAAAACGAATTGGAGGAATAATGTACCTGAAGTATAAGAGGCAGCTTTAGGCTACATCGTCTTAAACAATATCATACCAGAAAAGTACTTATTATATCATCATTCAAGAGAAATAAATGATAATTATCTCGTTAATTTGGGTTTTGAATTGAATGAGAGGGAAGAAGAACTCTCTAAAATTGTACCCAATAAAAAAAATTCGATGTCCAAAGATCCCAAAATCTTATCTCAATATGATAACACGTCTCTATAATAACCTATCTAATAACCCTCTATCTAAACTGTCCTACAAGATTAGAAGTCACAAAATTAGACTGCTATGTTTCACAAAGATGGATAAAAGATAAATTTGACGAATGTAAGTTAGATGTGTAATCTTTAGGAAAGCATTATTGATTGGGATTAAGGTAGTTAATTACGAAGAAGCATGAATCGAATCAAATTTTAAGGACTTGACAGAGGACGAACACTCTAATCAATTAAGGGAAAACATCACCAAAATAATGGAGGAGGAGTTGATATATTAGAAGAATCCATGATCTAAGAAGAAGTTAAAATTTAAAATACCAATGTTGGATCATAAAAGTTTATTCACAATAAACTTAAAATAGTGAAAAATAAGCATAATAACCAAAATGCAATCGGACTTAGAAAAGTATCGTGGCTTGAGTTTGATAGTGGGCCCAATTAACATTAAGGTTCATACATCTCTTTAACTTATTAGATGGGAAAGTTGGTCAACAGCAGTTTAACAAACAAATTAGCAAAGGGAGCGATACGAACTTCGATTTACCTCCTCCTGTAAATTAATGTGAAAATGAAATCAAATAAAGAATCGAAGCCAGAGAGAATAGCATTATTTCCAAGAAAACAAATACTAAGTAACAAGTATCCTTATTTCTTAGTATCGATATAACTAGAAGAAAAAAAAGAAGAAAAACTACTTAACTTTTATAATTTTTTTAAGGTATCGATGGTGGAGATAATAAATCAACAAAAAAGGTTGATAAAAGTCTATTAGGAAATGATCTGTACAGTTCTAGTGTGTATACAAATGGAGGACCCAATAATACTGCCTTAATGGATTCGAATAATAAAGATAATAATAATAATGCAGATAATAATAGTGTCCATGTTGCTCATTCATTCGATGGAATTTAAAAAAGAATCTAAGATATTGTTCATGTTCATTTTGAAATGGATTTGGACAGATATAAATCTTCATAGTTTTATTTCCCTGATTACAATGTAGAAATAGTATTAGAGAAAATCGCTGTGTATTATGAAAAAGTAAATGATAAAAAGTTTGACATGAGAGAAATGAAAAGAACAAAAACAAATCTCACTCTGTTTGATAGAATTAGATAAGCAAAAAATCCAACTATTAGAGGAACTTTTGTGGATAGATCCCTTTAAGAAAATGATTGAAATAAAGACTTAAATGGCACTTTTCAAAAGTTATTTTAAATATTTTCTTTCATACAATATTGAAATCATCTATACAGTTTTATTTTTATAAAAAAAACCAGGGACACCAATTTTTTCTTAATTTTTGTCTAAATTAATCGTTATTTTTATTCAAAGTTAATTTTTAAATCTATCCTATCATTCAAATGAATTAAATCAAAAAGAAATTGAAATTCAATCAATAAAGATATATCAAGAATTTTTATTCATGAATACTATATACTCAATATATTTAATCATATTATTCTTAACTATTGATACAAATATATATTAACTATTAAAACACTCATCATAATAATTTAGTATCACTATTATATATCAATTAGAACCCTCCAATTTTCTTTTTAGTTTTATTTTAATTATCCACAACAACTTTGACGATGTCCTCTAGCATTTTAGGTATAATTTAAGCAGTGACTGGTGTTGTTGTATCACTTGATGGCGACATATTTACTTCTATTAGCCAAGAATTAAATTAATCATCAATCATAAAATCATACCCATAAACTTCAAAGGATCGCTTTCTATTTTTCAATTAATCACTACAACACCTTAAACTATTGATAACAATTTCCTTGAATTTTGGTTGTATTCTTTCACCGAAAACATCCCAACCAAACTCTTCTATTAAATACTATTAAAAATCATCTTGAGTCCACATATTACCTTTAATTTCTGATTTATGAAACTTCTGTGAATATTTTGCTATAGCATTGTTGGTCAAATGGGCAAACCTATTATGAAACTGATCAATATCAAATTCTTCAGCTGAAAATCTGACATAGCACTCATTATAGAAATATATTTTTAATGGTACCAATTCAGTTACTAATATCCATTGCCTTATATCAAATTTACGATTTTTAATAATCAAAGGGTTTTCAATATACTTCATAGCAACATAATTCATAGTTTCCTTATTTACGTTATCCAAAATTTAATATAGATCATCTAGACATCTAATGCCTCTTCCTCTAGAGGAATACTCAGGTTTTACAATCCAAATGTTTCTTGTCCCTTAAAGAGAGTTTTAAGGATTCTTACTCAATAATTTGAGTAACTCCTTAATTTAAGGAACATACTTTTGGAGAAATTAAACACCTTCATAGTCTTCATACCCATTTTACTTTAGTTGTTAATCTATGTAATCCTAGATTAAGATTTCACGAGGTTTTTCTGGATCTTTTAAAAGTACAATCCATTCTCCAGGATGAATAAATGGAAATTCATCTTTGAGGATACTCTTGACCATGTTACTTAAGGACTTGTTGACTCTATTCATAACAACTAAGCATAGTCTAATTCTGAATCTCTATCTAAAAGTTAGTTAATTAATATTGAGAGGTTATTATTTTTCTTCTTTGATTCTTAGAGTATTGTTATAATCTTCGAGTTTGTTATTATTGCTTTGGTACAATTCTGGTCTTAATGTATTAGTCTAATCATCTATTTCTTCATTGGGTTCTGAAATGGTTTAATTCTAAGTTTGAGTTTGCAAACTTTATTCGAAATCTAATAAGATGCTGTGTATTTTAGATATTTTAAAATCCTCAATAAAGTCTGAAAAATCAACTAAATCACCTAGATCATAACATCTAGGAAAGAATGATTCCCAGTTATTGATGCATCTGATATTTCTGGCCAATCCATATTTCGAGCATAAACATTAATTGCAATCGAAATGATTAATTTATTGGAATTCCATGAGATTCATAAAATCATCACTTCTCAAACTACAAGTCCATTTGAGATCAAAGAATGGACTATAGGCGTCATCATTTTCCGCCCAATTTCTTTCAAGTAATGCGTCTCGAAGTGCATGATATCCACTTGTAATTATAAATACCTTCTGGTTTGGGGCAACATTGTTTTTCTTCTTCCATGTGGGATAATCTTGAATACCTCGAGCACTTATTTTTTTCTTTTTAGGCGTATCATCTTCTTCATCCTATTCAAATTCTCTTTGACTATTTTTTATAGCAACTGATTTCTTTTTTGGAGTGTATTTTAATAATTCAAGCTAAATTTACACTTTCAAATAATTATAAATTTTATACATAGCATTTTAAATGTGCTTCTATACTTGTAACGAACTTTATTGCTTAAAAATTTTTTAATTTTTTAGAGGTGCTCCTCTGGATTCTCCTTCGATTGAATAGAAACCCGTATGAGTTTTAAATCATCCTTCGCTATTTTATCAAAATAATATTCTTTTTTTCCCATCAAAACCAATAATTGAATCAAATTATATCGCAGAGGATTGAAGTCCTCGTTCTTCTATTAAGGTTCCTCTATCAATGGTGCTAATTTCTTTTATGTTGTTAAAGCTCTTTATTACAATTAGGGTTCTTCAATGTTATCTTCCAATTTCTTCAAAGTTTTTAATTGTCCCCTTATAGGCTCTTTCGATTTCGACTTTATTAGCTGTCCTTTTGCTTTGAGTGATTAAAACATTTTGATATTCAAATTAATGCTAGCCTTATTCCCTTAAACATTGAAATAAGATGGACGAGTGTCTAACATTTTTAATTAGTATAATTTTATAAAAATCAATAATTTCAATTATGTTCCCCTAATTTCCGAGATATTAGATATTTATTAACAACATATTAATTATTAATTACAATAGAAGGAGTGTAGCTCCTAATCCTTTTGCTGTCTTTCTTGGGACTTGCTTTCATACTTACTTTCTTGCTTAACACTCCTATCTATTAATTGTGTTCACCTATATATTTTAATGTATAGAATCCTTTCATAGGTTCCACAGTATTCGAAGCCTATTACAAAGGTGAACAAATCCATCTGCTATATGTGGCTCTAAATTCACTAGTATTTGGACGACAACCATGTGCAGAATGACTTCTTGACACATTATTCATCTTGGGAGTTTCCATATAGAACTATTTCCCTCTTTCATTGAAATTGTTGAGTTTGATTTTAGGCTGATTTGCAGAAGGCCAATTCTGTTTAGGCTATATATTTCGAATCTTTGGACTTATTGGTTTTGACTCTTAAAATGAAAAGTCAATCTTAACAGGTTTCTATTTATGACTACTGGAACAGAATCTATGATTGTAAAACCCCTTAGACGCTATCTTGTTAATATATATGAATTGATTTACTTACAAGACTATTATACATTTTATATATATAATTATGAGATGAATGAATGGATTACAATTATTTTAGTTAATTACAACTCTAAGAATAAGGAAAATAACAATATATTTATTGGTATTCGGTTCATATCATACTCAAATGTTTATCTATTGATAGGCTTAAATTGACCTTCGCTTTCTCTCTCTGACAAGTTCTTAGGTAGCAGTCCATAAGATTTTAATCTTTTTGGATTATTCATCATTATCTGATAATGCTTTTGGTAGTTTTTCATTAATCATTTTGATAACCTCCTGGATTTCTGCATCTTTGAACTAAATGAATGAAATCAATGCAATACCTCAACTTATTCAAAGAAGTAGAAATATTTATTCAAAATTTAAATAAATACATATACAAACTTTGGATTGTTGCCTATACTTTGATTAGCTATTTTGATTGCTTTTTTAAAGCATTCTTGAACTCTCTAAACATTTTTAATGTGTTCATTATAGAACATATGAGCAGCATTCAAGACACCAATTGCTTATTCATTCTTCTTTAATAGTTTGGCAGCTTATTAAGTGGCATTTCCAGCAAGAGTGTCAAAGTTTTCACCACTAATACAATTTAATTTAGCAAAAGTGGACATAATTTGATTTAATAACACCACCTTCACATTAGAATCTCCAATTTCATCTTAAAATATAGTGATAATTTGAGTTCCGACATCGTATGAGAATTCATCAAACTCTTAGGCCTAATCAACAGTATTGATGCATAACAAAAAGTTTAGGTTGAGTTTCAAGGCTAATTCAGGAAAGTGTCCTTATAAAACATCGATCAATCCTCTAATTTATTCAAATAACACTTTATATTATGTTTCTTCTAAAATGAATAATTTAAACATATATTACATGTTTATGGTCCTCCTTAAGCGGCTATCTATTAAATCAATCTAAACAATGCAAAAATGGCTGCTGGATAAGTATATTTTTATCTGGTGATTTCTCCTTATTAGAATTTAGCTATGAATTATTGTAAGATGGTGTTGTGAATTGCTAAATCTCCATTTTAGACTAGATGAACAGTTCTAGCCACTAATTATTGTTCCTCTTCAAATTCATTTTCTGGGATTTCAACATAATCATTCTATGTGATTAAGAGTGGTTAAATGAATTTGAGTAATTCTCCAGTGATCTTTAAATCGTCAATTACTTAATTCAGATTGACCACTGCTTAACAAATCTTAATAGCAACTTGTCTTCTTTTTTAGAATGGAAGATGCTTCATAAGATTTGGATACTCATTCATAGTAAGAATGGATAAGCTCATGGTATCCAAAGGCATGGCAAGAAACTTAACAATGTTTTTTTAGCATTCTTCTGTGAAATCTGTTTCGTTTTATCTTTCGCATAATCTACAACAAGATTTAAGTATGTCATTAACGTATTCTGAATTGGAGGGATAACATCTTAATGTGAAATTGAGGAAAGCCACTTATAAATCTAATAGATTTTTGAATTCAATTTGACTGTTAGAATCTAACATCTAATATATGATATTTGAGATTTGTTACTTTGTCAATATTTTATTTGAACATACTATAAATGTCCACTTCGGAATTGAATGTGCCCATATCATTATTCAATGCAAAATCAGCCAATCTGCCCATAAGATTGATGAATATATTTTTGATATCCACTGTTGGTTCTAATTGAGTTGTACAAACCTTCAAAAGTTCTTAAAGTGTTTGCAAATGATATTCATCTGGAAATGCTTGGATTGTGCAATCCATCAAGTATGTTTGGGATATAGCATCTTTGCTGCTTGTGATGATATCAATGATTTTAGGTAAGACCTTTGTTTTGTAGGTGTCTAACGAAACACCTTCCAAATTGCTTAATCTGGTAACGTTCTCTCCAATGGTTACTTTGAGATCGAGTCTTTCCCTTTCTCTCTTTGATTTGTCCTTTGAACCCTACATTCTAATCCATAATTTGTTCATCTCTGATAAGTTTCTTATAATGATTTCAATAGCATCGTCAATATTTCCTCCTGTGCCTTCGTATTCAGAGCCTGTGTCTGGAAGTCTGTCTTTGCATAATTTCAGGAAATAATATCTAATAAACAATCCTCTCAATGGATGTTGAATAGCCTAGCATAAACCTTCAGATTACCTTAATGCACTCTAATAAGTCAAGGAGAATCACTTTGGCTCCGATTTCATGAGTTTATATGAACACAGATCCGACTGTGATTAGTAAATATAAACGTGGAATGACGTATGTGGCATGCTAAACAGATTCATATAAGTCTGGCATTTTTCTTCCTCTTCTATATTCTTCTTTGAAGTAATTTTCCAATATACGCATCTCATCGAAGACCTACATAAACAAGATGTAATAATTTCTTGGACTCAAAAGTGATGTTTTCAATTCACTCAACATTGCCGAGGAATATCTCAATGCATCCTTTAATTGAGCCTTCTCCAAAGATGCTCTCATGAAATAGGCTTATTCTTTGACAACCTTACGAGCATCTTCCAAGTACTTTTCTTGATCCTCTTCCATATTAAAAGAAATTTAATTTTTAATAAATCTCTCAGTCGATATTCTTACTTAAAACACACATCAAAGATTTATTTGATAAATAAAAACCTTGTATTCTATATCATAAATATTTTATTTAAAACATCATCAATAGTATTAATAAGAATTTGGATTCCCACTTAGAACTTTGTAGATTACCTTTTTAACACAATCTAAAAGTTTTAGTAAATCTATTGAAAATAAAACTATCAAATTCTCTTAGCATACTAAATTAGAAAGCCTTCAAATCAATAAATTAAAATTTGTTGTTTACTCTATATGTTTATTCTTATTATTTTTCTATCAATATGGTGTTTTTGGCTAAAAATAATAATATAATTTGCCTTTTTTATTTTTACTCGAAATTAGATTATAATAATTACTTTAAATTAGAAGTTTATGTCTAGCTAATGCCATTTTGTCCAAAAAAATAGTAAATTTTCAGGAAAACAAACTAACCTCATTCAAGGGCAACTCAAAAATGATTTCCATAGAAATTTTCCATCGGTTTAAATGTCTTACTATCATAGTGTGCACTTATATCTACTCCTTTTTCCGGCAAATCTTTAAGTGTGATATGTTCTCCAGAAACTCAAAAACTTAACGAGAGAATATAAGAGGAACTTAGTCAATTAGATGATGTACCCATCTATCACTTTCCATAGATGTATAACAGAGAGGAGGATAAGATGTAATACTAAGTTTAAACTATGTAGTTTTTTGAAAGTAAATTATATTAAACTATAGGGTCAAGAATCCTAAATGCTTGAAGCCATATTGAACTATAAGAGACAATGCTGGGATTTGATTCTACCAATCAATGAGTTCATCTCAGAGTAGAATTGTCAAGGATTTTGGATTCTCAAAATTATTGTAATCAATATTATTTACAAGTTAAGACTAAAAAATTCATAGAACTCAACAATTATGATAATTCCAAAGAACTAATGAACTTTTGTTTGAAACTATTAAATAGAAATCTTCATATAAATCACGGTATTCTTTATACTAATCACACTTAGATGATATAGTTCTATAATTAGATGGATGCATTCGAATTAATCCTTATTGCTTATTAAAGAAAAGCTCCATTAAACCATCCATCTCCAATCTTCTCTCAAACCTTCTCTTTGAGCATAAAATCTCAAATCATTTAGAAATTTTCCATACTCTTTTTAATGATTTTGAGAACAAAGATCTTGATTCCTTAAAACAACATATTCATTTAGATAACTAATTTAAGTATCTAAAGGAGACACTAATAAATAAATTATTAAGGATAAGCAAATGAGAATTTTGAACTTATATAAAATTTTGAAATTTTGGAATCCATATTATAATCACATTTTATTTCCAGATATTTATAGAATAAAATTTTATTAAAGAAATTATATCCCTAAGTCTTAGATATTAAATGAAATGATCAATTAATTAATTCAAAATCAATATATCAATATAATGCATTAACAATAATTAAAGAAACAATAATATAAGAGTGAAAACATTAATAACAAAAAAGATGAGAAAAAGAAAATCAAGAAATAAATAAATAAAAAAAAAGGCTAAAAGACAATTTAATAATCTTTAATATTTTGACAATTCTTTTGACTTCTTATTTTATTCACATACCTTTGTGCACTTTCATATCAATTATTTGATATATGATTGTTTTCTCAAATAATAATTAATTTATCAATAGGTTCTTATAACTCTCCTACCTGTAATAAAGATATTAATGATTCATAATTATTAATCAATTTCTACCTTTTTATTGTTATAATCTATATAGATAGCGAATCTTAAAGAGAATCTTTTAATGAATCAATAATATAAAATGTTGGCAAAATATTGTAGTTTCTAGATTAATCTTAACATCTAGAATCTGTTCCTATTGCCAGTTAATATGAAACAATTCAATATATTTTAATCATTATTATTGGTTATCCTACTATGCAGAATCATTAACACTATAGCTAAGTTTAATTATTATATATAATATTAAATAATTTTGAAGTTGAAATCACATTTATAGTGCTGTGGATAGTAGTCTATTGCTTTTGATATTTATAACTTCATTATATAATAAATCAATCACAATTAACCTTACTAAATAAATCGAATGGAATTTCCAAAAGAATATCTTCATTTTCTAAATATATACTACCACTATAATTGTCTTAGTGGATACTCTCAAGTTTTCCCACCTTCCCACAATGGTCTCCTTCTTTCAAAATCATTACCTAATTTCCAATTTTAGGAACGACTGTTTCAAGGAATTTTTAATCGATAATTACTTTTTCTTTTGTACTATTTTAAATTTCAACCAACCCTCCAAATTAATCAATGACTCTTTTAACAACTCCTTTTTTCCCATAATATTTTCCCTTGTTTAACTGTTAATCGATAATTTTAACAACAATATTTTCTTTAATCCATGGGGAATCATCAGCAACCTATTATTGAGTTTATGCTTATTGAGGTTAGCTTAATGCATTTTAATTGTTTTTATATTTGATATTTTGATATAGTTTCTCCATGTTTTCATTTGAACCTTATTATTTTAGGAGACTCTCTTCTATCCACTACTTATTTCCTTAAGTTTCAACATCTAAAACAACTTGGCTATCTTTCTTAACTCCTTGGCTGAAATTGATACCAAAGGATATGAATTAATCTTGTGAAGAGGATTGAACTTAATTAGTATTATTTTCTTAACCTGGCTATCTCTAATCCTCCTATTCATTTTGATTATTATTCTCTTATTCATTTAACTATTAACCCTTTATGATTTGCTTTTCAAGTGATTTATCAATGAGAGCATTTTACTTTTCAACTAGTTTAACTTTTTTTGTTTCTACTTTATCGTATTTAATTTTCTCTGGATTCAAATTGAGATTCCAAATAACAATATCTCCTGGTGAATGATCAAAACCAATTTTGTTGTTTGCAATCAAATATTAAATGAAATCAGTCAATTTAGTCCATTTAGTGCCATTTAAATGCACATGATCTACTTTTCTAATCATTTCTTCATAAACTTTATTTGAGCCAATCTTTTAATCTTTGTATTTTTCCTTTAATATCTCCATAAAGGCTGTTTCAAATTCTTAACTAAACTATTCAATATAAAAATCAGGATCTTCATTGTATAATCTCATCATTTTCATGTGATGACCTGAATTTAGATGACAACGAAATCCATTCTCATCATAGCATTATTTTCTACACATTTGACAGAAGAATTTCAATTTGGCAGTCTTAGTGGCTTATTGTTTTCCATAAGTCTAGCTATACATTATAATTTTTATTAATATTCCGTTTTAAATGAGATTAGTGTTCTGGATTATAGTGTTTTTAGGTCTAGTCTATGCTATTCCAAAGAAGCAAATATCAATACATAGTAAATACAATACGCCGATAAATGCTCAAGATGTTAAATTAAGTGAAGTAGATTTAGCCCTTTATCAAAATGATATGTAATAAATTGGCCAAAAGAATCACTTGAAATCTGAAATAACAAATTGGATGCAGGCTAAGACAAGCCTATTAGAATAGTTGTCAGCATTTTACAATTGCTTTGAAATATTTTTGTCTAAGTAACAATAAATAGGAATTTTGTTGGTTTGCATAATATGCTTTGCATTTTATTTGATGGTGAAATCTGAAGATAGAAATATGAAATAAAGAAAGTAGAATACGAAAAAGAAATAGAAAAATTGCCAGCAAGATGTCATAGTGCAAATCTTGACTGATTCTCTTATTGCGAAAGAACAGTCCCCACTTCCATAGGTTTCAACCATCAATGGATCGCTTCACTTAGAAGAAAGAGTGTTTTTATTATCATTAATATTTTTAGTAATAAATCAGCTGATTAAATGAAAAACAATGAGCAATTTACTTTGTTTAAGCGATCCAATTCGTAGCCGATCATTTAACCAAATTTACCTGATTATTCTGCTGAAGAGATCAATAGTTTATTGAAGGACATTAGCTGATTATCTAAGTAATAATATTCATATAAAGAATCATAATTGTTTGCTTGTCTTTCTAATATACTATTTTCTTGATTATTTTTCTTATAAACAAATTTTAAAAAATGATTAAATTTTATTTAAAAAATATTAAATGGTGAACGTACCAAAGAATAGAAAAACCTTCTGCAGAAAATGTGGAAATCATTAAAGTTGCAAAGTCTCCTAATATAAAAAGAGCAAGGAAAGTCCATTTGCTTAAGGTAGAAGAAGGTACGACATGAAGCAGGCTGGTTATGGAGGCTAAACAAAGCCAATTTTCAGAAAGAAAGCAAAGACCACAAAAAAGGTGGCATTGAAGTATTTATATTGTACGAGAATAGGCTTGAATGCGTCAAGTGCAAATTAAAATGGTTAAAAGTTATTAAGAGATGCAAGACTATCGTCTTTGTCGATGCCAATTAGCTCAAAAAACAATAAGAATTAAAGAAGAATGCTAAATGAGATAATTATAGTATAATAAGAAATATATTAAGTATTTTATTAAAGAATTTATTTTAATAATGTTAATTTTACTCAAATTTCCACTTGTATAATTAAATTATTATATATATATAAATCTCTGATAATTATACTTTATATTGTTTAACTATCAAAAAGGCTTTTAATATCCTTATTGAGGGTAACCTGGGTATCCTGGTTACTGTGGGTATCCTGGCTGAGGGGGATATCCTTATTAAGGAGGATATGGCTGGGCGGGATATCCTGGCTATTATGGTGGATACCCTGGTTATTAGGGTGGATATCCTGGTTGTTAAGGTGGATATCCTGGTTATTAGGGTGGATATCCTGGTTATTAAGGAGGGTAGCCTGGTTGAGGAGGATAGCCTGGCTATTATGGTGGATATCCTGGCTATTAGGGAGGGTACCCTGGCTATTAGGGAGGGTATCCTGGTTATTAGGGAGGATATCCGGGCTATTATGGATAAGGTTGTGCAGGATAGCCAGGTTATGGAGGGTATCCAGGTTAAGTAGGATAACCAGGCTATTAGGGTGGATACGGTTATTAAGGAGGATAACCTGGTTATGGAGGATACATAGGTTATTATTGGTAAGGTTGGTTTGGAAAGTATGGTGGTTATTAACCAGGCATAACAGGAGGTTTAGCACCACCATCAGGGAAAAACTAAACTTCAATCAAAACCTATCCAGCCTATTTACCCTAATAATTTATATATATAATGTATACTTTATAACTTAAATTGACCCATTCAGTTCCATTTGGTTTTGTAAAGAAAGTCTATAGTGCCAAAGATCCTTATCCGATCAAATCATCTTTGCTTACTTCATCTCTATCCCATATCTCAATGTCAGCAATCAACTCTCCAGTTCTGCGAAATGAAAGAGTGTCAGTCCAAGATGGGTATTTGCCAGCATCTGTATGTGATCGAGTTTTTTGAGTTTATCCACCAACTCTTACTAAGCAGAATGGATCCATCTTTCCAAAAGATTCAGTATCATGAGTTAACTTTGCACTCAATGGCTTGATGATGAGTGTTCCAGACATAATTTAAATAAATGAATATCATATATCAAATTCAAAGTTGTTAGCTTATCAAAAATTTTTTTTAATAATATCTCAATTCCTCAATACTCTCTAGAATATCATCCAATGCCCTATGATTCAGTTTCTTCTATGGTTAGTGATTACAAACATAAGGGTTCAATCTCTTGCACAATAACTGTACAGAAGAAACATCCACAATCCGATAATGTAAAAATTGGTCCAACTTAGGCATATTCTTCATTACAAACAAACGATCCATGTATACCGAGTTTCCTGCTAAAGGTAATACTTTTGGAGGTATATTATTTTAATTTAAAAAATTGAGTATTTATTCCTCTGCTTGCTACACAGTCAGAGTAGATTTCAGCGATTCTTCATATAATCCCGAGGCTTTGTGAGTCGTCATACACCATTAATCCATTCCTTTTAAAACCTCGTCATCTGCATGAATAACAAGATGTGGTCCCTTAATTATTGTTTCTAATTTAAAATCAGTCAGGACACATGCACATTCGAGAATCTGATCCTAGAATACGTTTAGCCCTGTCATTTCCATGTCCAGCCAAAACTGTGTTCATAATTGTAAATATACTAAGGCATGTTTTAAAGTGGGCGCAATGATACTATTTTGCATTTATATGAAATTATAATTATAAAATTAAACTACATTTAAATTTTCTATATATATTCGGATATCTAATCATTAATATCCTTTTAAGTTGTTTGCTTGTTAGTTGCTTAGTAATTTCAATTCAACAGCTTTCCTAGACCTTTTGTATTTTCCAACATAGACCATGCAATTAAATTAAAATCTGAAATAGATTAAAATTATACCTAATCTAGGACCCCAATTTGGCAGTCTTCAAGACTTCCTTTGTTACTCCAGCCTTTTATAAATCATCTAAGTGAACAAAAATATCTGACTTATCTTCATCCATAACAATAAATCCATAATTTTTCTATTCATCAAAAAACTTTAATCTCCCAGTGTAGATTGGATTTGCCATCTGTTTCTTTTAGTCACTGTGTTACTGCAACTTATTTAGAGGGGTAAAACCAATGGCTGAATTCATTTCTAAAGGTGGAAACACATCAAAATCATCAGGGTCAGGAAGAACTTCATCTAGTTTCTATTAATAAAGATTATAAGTTAGTTGTTAATCTAGTTAATTAATAAGCATCTATCCTCTTTTCTATTCTTCTGAACATGCAAAATTGTTTTTTTCAGAGTTTATTTAATCCAAAGAAGGGAATTGGTAGTCATCTGATAGAAATGACTATGGTTTGGCCTAAGTAAAATAAACTATGAATAAAGGAGTTTGGAATACAAGGTTGATCTTATTGAAATGATTGCAATTATGAAAAAATCTAGGACTACTTTTACTCTCTTTAAAAGTCAAATATTTGATGTTCTGATAAGGACTTTTTATGTCTTCTGACAAACGGTTTTTATTACTCTTTTTCTGGAGTCATATTGATTATGGGGACTGTTTTCTAAGCATGAATGGAAATTAATACATCCTCGAATAAATCATCAAATGTGTAAAATTATTCCTTTTCTTTATTATCAATTTGAGATAACATTTCCTCCATAGCTATCAAACTTGTCATCTATACACTTTTAATAAGTGCAATATAACCAGTGAGTGAAGGATTATAACAAAATACATATATTGTTCTAGCAAACTTGGTGGGAACATAAACATTACAAAACAACTAGAATCTTTAGTTAGTATAAAATTCCTTGATTTTCGTTCTCATTATGGTAGCATACAATGATAAGTATTACTAATTATATTGGTTGTTTTTACCTTAGCATTGAACTATTGAGTTTCTATGATATTTAGAGTCAATTCATATCTTTGTAATAATTTTGGCAATTCTGAGTCTGACTTATAAAGTTGTTTGGCTGTTTTGAATAGATACTCCCTGATTTATGGATCTGGACTATGGTAATTAGCAATGGACAGTGTATCCAAGATATGCATGTCTGTTGAACTAGAAATGAGTCAAAGGTTGATACCGGTTGCTCCTTTATAAATGAGAGAGTGCAAATGGTTATCATTCAATACCTATTTCTATTGTAATATCATTATTTAAATTATTTATATATTTTATTATTCACATTTCTTCTAAATCGTCATCATCATCATCATCATCTTCTAAGTCTTTCGTTCCACTCATTAAGATGTTGTTAGTTCTTATAGATCGATACGATTGATTTTAACTATTAAGCTTTTAACTAAATCTACTTTATCTTAAGGAGATATTATTATTTTATTTTTTTAATTCAGAATGCTTCTCTACTATCATTTCCCTCATATTTTGATCTAATTAAGATAATTGTCTAGTTAGTTCCTTATTTTCCTTCTTTAATCTATTCACCTTCTTCTGCCATTCTACCTCATTATTCTCTAATTGATCTACTGTCATTTTGAGATTATTGCATTCTGTCAATAATGATCTCTTTTCATGTTGTAATGAATTAACTTGAGCCTAAACTTTGTTGAATTTTTATTCAAGATCATCCATCTACTTCTCTGATAATTCAACCATTTTCTCAATCATATACTCATTTTATTTTTATTCAACCTTGCTGTCATCTATCAATTGTTTTAATCTTTGATTTTCTTACTAAAAATATTGGAGATCCTAATTTGATCTATCTAAATGTTGAATAGCAGCCTAGAGTTGTTATTGCAATTAAGATATCTATAAATTAGATTGAATTTACTTCAAAGTCTGCTTATTGCAATTATTCATTCAATTAAATATTATTGATCTTCATTCTTTCTAATTCATTAGAAACATTTGAACTTTTAATATAATTTTATTTATTACTTTTATTTCTCCATTGCTGGCATCTCAGGTAATATCTTTCCTAATTGACTCTCAAATTACTTTGATAAATTATATAATTGATCATTGTCAGCTTCTAATTTCAATTTATCCAATTTCAATTAATTATTATCTTGCTAGTGTTATTTTATATCTTTCTTATATTGTTACAATTTATTCTTATATTTATTTTGTAATTTCTCTAATTCTTATTTGAGATGAGTATTCTCAGTTTCTAATTTAGTTCTAAATTTTGAATATTTATTTTCTAATTATGCTAAATCTTTCAAAATATCATCATTTTTCTTAACCTTCACTTACACTTAATCCTAAATCTCTTTATTTCTATTCTTCTCCTCTTCAATTCTATTTTGTTGATCTTCAACCACTGTATTTAAAGTTCTTATGTTCTCTTCCAATTAATTCACTTGATCATCCCTATTTCTTAATTCTCTTGTAAGATATTCTAATTCCTCGTATAATTTTTTGTTTCTTTCTTATTCTTATTTTATTAATTTCATAAAATCATCTTCTCTTTTCTCATAATGTTTAATATTCTTAATCTCATTTTCCTTGATTACTTCAATATCTTATTCCAAGCTTCTTATTTTCGCTTTCAACATTTAATTATCCTCAATTGCATATCTTAATTATTGGTTCAGCTCACGTTATTCTTCAGAGCTTTACGGATAAAAATTATCTTTTGATTTGGCAGTTAAATACATAAATAATAATTAAATAATCTGAACAAAAATTGCACTTATCATTTTTTTATCTGAATACGATCAAATATAGACTCTTTGGCATCCATCCTCAATCTCCCATCTCTGTTTCTATCCGACTATTGTCCAATCACTATTACTTTATCATTCTATTTAAAATTCGGCACTGCTCTCATCTCCAAATTTCTATCCTTGTTATTATTTATCAATTCTAAATTAAAATCATTAACTCTAATTACCTATAGCATTCTCCGCAGATGCTTAATTTGAAAAAGTGATTGTCGCTTGTTTATTATTGATCTAACATTAAAATTATCGCTTACACTAACTCCCAAAATATTTGAATCATCATCAATTAATTCCTTAAGATCCTTTGAGTTAGTATTTTCTTTCAAATTTCTGATAAATATTGAATATGAACCATTTTGCTTCACTTATTATTCTATCCATAAGACTTATATATCTCACCATCCTTTTTAGTGATATTCAGAATCCCTTTCTTTTTGTTCATTTACTATGGCTGAACCCTTCCTGATTGACCAGTGTTTTGGATCATTATTACTTTTTTGGAAATCGGCTTCCTCAAAATTTCAGAGGAATGCACAATGCCATTCTCTTCCTCTGACTCCTTCCTGTTCTGTTATTTCTGACCAGATTATTAAGATGGCTTATATTCTTATTGATGATCCCTTATAATGCTAATGCTCTTTGAGAATATGTGATTGGTTTTCATTAGAATTATTATTTTATAAGAATACAAATATATTAACAATTAACAGCATTCTGTTTCTAAACATAAACATTCCAATATTACAAATATTATAAATAATTCATGCTATTACTCATAGATTTTGGCTATTAGAATTAGAAGTTATACATCTAATGGCCTACTAAATCGAATTGCAATTTTGAATTGCCTCTAAATTAAATAGTTTATTGTTGACTTTACGAAAATCGTCATATTGTATCAGAGTCTTTAGGTATGACTCTAAATGTTGTAATTCCTATTCCAATAGAATCAATAGACATACATTGTCCTTCTTATTATCAAGATAAGGAATAATTGGGATTCCATTGTCAATTTGGAAAGCATACGAGAAAGCCGAATTGTCAATTAAGACTACATCCTTCAAATCTCTATTGAGAATTCTCAAGTCCTTGATATGACAACCTGATTCCACCTTAATGCAGTCTTCTCTAAATAATCTACCAGAAACCAAAGTCCCTGAGGGATCCAAATAATCGATGATCTGATTTGCATAATCCTCATTCGAGGCAGTGAATATTATGATTTCATAATATTCAGCCATGCTTCTTAAGAATTCTTATGCATATGGTCTGACACTAATTCCAGCCTAGTTTAATTTAATTCTTACTTGATATGTTATATTGTTAATCTGCACTGGAATATAAAAATCTGATTTCAATTATGGATATTCATTGCAATGCACCAAGGTTTCATCAAGATCTATAACTAAAGTTTTCTATTTTCCTAGTTATTTTACTAATAAGTACTTGAGAGAGCCTTAATTTTTTGTGATTTTGAAAAAGTTAATGAAATTTTAATATTTTTTGATTTTTATAAATTCTCGTAGATCTATAAAAAGTGTCTTATATACATTTAAGCCTGAAATGTATCTTCCAGTTGGCCTTCGAAATGCCCAACCAAATTATACATGTAATATTGTTTTTATTGAAAATATTCTATAAATAGATTTAATAAAATACTTTGATCTAATAATTCAAGATCTTCAGTAATATAGGTTTCTGTTGAGGGGTAGGAAACGAACTTTTCTGATTGGCTTGCATCTAAGTCGCTATTTGAGTTCGGCTTATTTTAAAGTTCAAGATTCTCATTGAGATTTTTTTGTTCTTTACTGTCTTTCAGTTCTGGACCAAAATTCAGATTATCTGATAAGTTCATATTTTATTTCCTTAGTTTATTTGTCCTTTTGTATTTGTACGTCAATCGACTAGAAATTGAAATAAAAAGTACTGAGGCTAACTATTTGACATCTTATTTTGGTGAAGATCCAAGACGATATCATTTTAGGTGAAAGTGCCGATTTCTTTTGATTCTCCCTCAGCTAAGTTTGTAATATTCACTTTAGTAATATTATTTTTCGAAATGAATGCACGTTTAACTTTCTTTTTCAATTTTTTTACCTTCTTAGTTATATTTTTAAATGTTTCTAGTTTAATTGAATCAAAAGAATACTTGAGCTATTGATCTCAACGTGGGTCAACTTCTCTAAAGGAAATTGTTTCGCATCAAGCCTTTCATTAGTTTACAATTCATTAAAAATGGACTAATTTATCTAATTCAAGCCAACATGTACGAGGGGTTGACTCCTCATTGATGAAATAAGATCGACATCATCAATTTATTTACTCAACAGTAGTTCGTTCCATTCATTTTATTCCATTCCTAATATTTATTTTTATATAGAGAATGGTTTGAGAACATGAATTGAAGTATAAAAAATTCAATGGGGGTATTAAAGATTTGAATTAATAATACATATTTCAGCAAATTTCCTTTCCTTGTTCAATTACATTACTTTTAATCGTTCATATTATTTATAGTTAATTTCTCAAGGATATAAATTTATTTTGTTATTCTTATGTTATTTATAATTTCTCATAACACTAACACAATAGTGAAAAAAATAACTTTATTCATTCCATAGGATAGACATATCAAATAAAGCAAATTCTACTTTAAATTTTTGGTAAAAATCATTTCGAGTTGTCTATGTTCTTTCTTTGCTTTTGACTATCATTATCAATGAGTTAATAATAATATAATTAATCAATTATAATTTAGATATATATATATTTTATTTATCTTTGTCTTAGATAAATAAATTATAAACTATATTGTTTGTCTATATAAATAAAGAAATATCAATAAAAACATACCTGTTCATAAATAAATTGAGATCTATTGTTTTTTTACTAATTATTCAAACTTAAATATTATTAGGCATTATATACTAATTTCGAATTTACAACAATATCTCTTATTATAAAGCTAGTAATATATAAATATTTAATATTTAACCGCTAGTATTAAATTAAAATATCCCTTGAGTAACAAAGTTCTTATACAACTCCATCATCTTAAGTCATCCATTTAAAGGAGCTATGACTTTTGAATTAAATATTTTTATTTATATAAATAAGTCTAGGTCTTCACTCTTTTGATTATAATGATTTCTATTAAATCTAAAGCTCTGTTACTAGATGTAGGATGTCAAGTTTTTCTAGTTATAATAATAGTTTAAATTAAATAATATGTATTATTTTAAATCAATAATTTGATCTTTGGGATGAAATCTTCAACTATTATTATAAATACAATTAGTTTAATTGTTCGTGATTCTTTCAAATTAAATTTTTTCCAGACTTCATTATATGAATTAAAATGAATCTGAGCTCAGATACAGGGATTTAAATATCTCCAAAAAGAACACTTCCTTAAAAACATTCATTTATTATTATTGATGTTTCAAGAGATTCAAATTAATATATAATACTTATTTCTTAATTAGATATTTCATCTTCTAATTTTTGAAGTTCATTCATACAAATTGGATTAATTTTTCATGATATTTCAAAAGATTTCCTGGTAATCAGCTCTTTAATTTAGATTGTATTAGTGAGTTCATGATATTTTCCTTTTTTGAAAAATGAAAAATGATTTAAGATTTTACCTATCAGTTTTAATAAATTCGCTCCTTAATTTTATTTAAATTTTCAAGTGATTCTGTATATTTGAGTAAATTATTTATTAATAAGTACCAACTTGATGCCCATTTAGTTATAGATAGATTAGATTTTTGTTTCAAAATTCTTAGTTGATTAGATGTATTTTTTAGTGCTTCTCAATTTTTGTATCTATCCTGCATAACTATACTATTTGTTGATTGGATTCCTTGATATTCTAGATTTTTAAATGATAGATTGACTATTTTTTATTTATTTTTATATTTAGATTGTAATAATTCTAATTTTACCCAAAATGTAGTCTTCGATTATTGTGTAGGAGATACATTTCACTCCTCTAAGACCTACTCTACAATTCTCTTAAATTAAAAGAATTTCACAAGCTTATTTCAGATTCAAGGAACTTAAAGCCATACAACCAAGATTGGCTAATTTAGACCAATTACAGAAAAAAGTCTTTTTTGAAATATTGAAACCTTATACATTTGTCTTCTAGGATATATGCTGTATATATTAGGTTCAGCTTCGCATTTATGGATTATTCAATTTTAGTAAATAAGAGAGCGAAAATTTACAGTCAGGAGGAATGAAAAAGTTAATGTGAATGGATAGCTAATGGGTTCATGATCTGGAGAGATAAGAAAATAATCTCTAATTTGAAATTTAAGATGGAGAATCCAAATTACTTCTTCAAAGTCTTGGGAAATCAAATAAGTGTTAAAATATCCTTTAGTATTTGTTTAAGGTAACATTCTTCATTAATAAAAAGATTCAAGAGAAGTAAATTATCAAGTACATATAATTATCCCTTAGTTCTCTAATTTAAATCTAAAAGTTTACTCCAGTTAGAGTGATGTTGAAACTTTTAATTAATAATGAAAAAAAAAATTTTAACTTTTCACTTTCTAATTCTAATCTAAGAAGATAATGCGCATGGATATGTCTTTTAGAAAATAAATGCATTGCTGCTAAACATTTAATTAATCTATTTGAAAAGTGATACTTAAGTATAATTATAATATATTTAATTTATACCTTGTAAGTTACCGACTTTGATCTAAATTTAAGGATATCTTCATTATTTTGTAAAAGGTCCTTAGATAATTCATCAGTCTAATTTATGAAATTTAATCAATCGGATGTGACTTGAACTAAATTATTAATTTTTAGTTGGAGAGGTAATCATTAAAAATATTACTTTCATAAATATTCTTCCATATTTATGTATATTGAAACAAAAGCATTTTAGAGATGTAATTCATTGTATTATTTTTATTGCAAATTTTATTAATAACAGTAATAGGTATAAATATTAGATATTGATTCTCACGAAATGAACAATTAATCAAATATTTAAAAAAAGTTAATTTATATATGGAATCCTAACTTATCTTAAATCTCTGTTGGTGATTAGATCTAAATATAAGCTATATTTTTGTATCAAACTATGTAATTAAGATTATCGAAACCAATTAAATTCAGTTGAAATTAAAAATTAGTTATTTTTACTCTTTAATTTTAAACATTTGTGCTGTACTTCTTAACTATTTAAGATTAAACAATTGACTTTACTAATCACATAAGGGAGGAGTGTCATATAATTCTTTAACTCCAAAAATTGATTTATAATTATTTGGATTATTCCTAATAGATGATATCAAAATGAAGGTTAGAACAGTATTTTTCATCCATTTTGAAATTGGTCCAAAAATAATTGTCATTTGAAAGATATCTTCTGATATGATATTATGCTGGTGGATATACGAAAAATAGATTTAGGATTAGAAAGTTTGAATGCCAACTTATTAAGTTGGGTAAGAAAGTTAGAATTAGAACTAGTTAATTAAAAATAGTGAAATTATATAAATGAATTATTAAAAAGGAGAAAGAGTGTGTTCATTAGGCTAAGGAAGAAAATAAAATAGGATGGCTTTTGTTAGGTTTTATCATACTTTCTTTAGATAAATAAAGCGTCATCTGTATTTGCTTAGATGTAGGGAATCTACATTCTTCTAAATTAATATGGGTTTATTTTAAAGTCAATTGCTTTACAATAGCAATTACTGATGCTTTTGAGCATTTATATTTACCCTTTTTAGAATGTATATTTTGATAGAATAAGATAATGTTCTCTCGTTACTTTTACTGTTATCATTTTTATTCTACTATCCTAAAATTATGCATGTAATTTATGTTTAAGGCTTAAGTGATAAGTAATAAAGTATCTATAATTTAGGACTGAATTCAGATTATAATGAGTTTTTTGGCATAATCTCCATTTATAACTGTATTTAGTATTAATATGAATTTAGTTACGTCTACCAATCTTAGTAATTTGTTGGAGTTAGTTGTTTTAATTTGGTGATTGCCATAAGTCTTGATATGTTCATAAAAATGGAGGTAAAAAGATAGGTATAATTAAAGTCAAAGAGTGAATGAATGTTTATAGTTTGTAATTTTCAATAATAAATTTAATATGAGTAATCGAAATAGGAGTTTGGCAGAAAGAAGAAATTCAAAAAGTAAATGTAAGAATGCGATCTCTCAACGCAAAAACTCAGAGAGCGAGGATTACAATTTCTATTAGGAATTCTAGATATTCTATCCCTAAGCACAGGAGATAAAGTTTACCAAATTTGATTATATGAAAGAATTCTTTAATTTAGGCATCACTGAATTTCCCTCTGACAAAGAGATCCATCGTATATAACAGGAAATTCTAACAACAAGTGGTTGGAATTCAAATCTTAAGAAGAATTGGACACTCAACGAAAAGAAAGTGCTTATTTGGCTAGTTGGAAAATTGAGTATTATGCGAAATGAAGACATAAGAGATTTATCATCGGAATTGTTTGAGGAGATTTCAAAAATGATTTGTAGAAGAGATAAAGATCAATGCAAATAGAAGTGGTCTCAAATGTAGAAAATTGCACTTCAATCACAACCCTTTTAACCAGAAGAGGATAAAATATTACATGAAATAATTCTAAAATATTAATCAGTTGATATGGGTTAGAAGTGGAGTTAAATTGCTTAAGAATTAAATTAACATTCAATCATATATAGATCAAGCAAATAGTGCCGAGAGAGATGGCTTAATCATTTGAATCCCAAGATCTCTAAGTAACATATAAAGTTCATTTAAATCTAAGGTAACCATGGACTGATGAGGAGGACATATGGTTATTGAATCTTGTTAAGGAGTAGGGGAGGAAATGGGCAGACATATCTAAAATTATGGATGGGAAGAGAAGCGAAAACAACCTAAAAAATCGATTTAATAGTCTAATTAAAAGAGAAAAGGATTTGCCAGTGATGTATATAGTTTATCAAATTTATTCTAGATAGACTCAAAATGGATCAGCTACTAATTTGGATGACTTATTATCAGGTTGCACAGGACCTGAAATAACTGACTTGTAGAAGTTAGCAATTGATGCATTGTTAACTAAGTTAAAATGGAGAAGTGCTGAGAGCTAGAATAAAAATACAAGGAAAAAATCAATAGAACTTGTCGAAAATGTAGATAATTAAGTAAAGCGACAATCTTAATAGCGAACTTAGATTACTGTCCAATACACTATTGGAAATATAGAGTCAGAATAAAATATTATGGATTTAACCCCATGTTTGGTAAATGTGAGTAAGAACATTATTTATTTCTGCACTCAAGATCTATTGGTTCAGTATTTAGGTCATCATTAATAGTAACAGCAATAATTCAAGGATCAATTTGATAAAATTAAGAATGAATTATGTGCCTTTGATATAGGCTTTCAAAATTTCAGATCTACGCTCAGTATGATTGAAGAAATAGAAGAGCCTCTCAAAAGTTAATCACACTTTTAACCAAATGATTTAGATGGATTCTTTAATTTAGAAACACCAGAAATTATTTCCAAACCAATTTATGTGAATTCCCTTGACATGATAACCAATTCGGCAATCAAGTATTTGCAGCGGTGGAAAACGGAGAGTTAATTCCATGATCAGAGAAGATCAAGCATACCGATTCCAAGATCACTTCCAAATTTGATATAAATTTAATAATGAAAAAGAGTCTGATATTATTATTCATTGTACCTTTTATTTTATTCAAATTGGACGATTATACCCAAACATGCCATAGAATACTAAGAATTATCAACAATGAAGACATTGTTTCAGATCAACTATCATTTTATGAGCATTTCCTTATTATGATCATTCAAAATATATAGCTTAATTGGGTAAATGCAATCTCCAATCTTGATAATTGGTTAGATTAATTAGAGTCCGTTCCTCCAAATAAATTAATATAAAAACATATACCATCAGCACAGAATTTTGCTAATTAATTTGGGGGAGCAATAATTTTAACTAAAAGTAGTGAACTTAAATAGGTTGATAATATATTGGTTGATTCTGCAGAAGTGTATAGATTTTATCATCAATTAGATATATGATTACAGAATGCAATTAAAAGGATGTGTATTTTGTTGTATGCTTAAAAGAAGAGATTTCTTTAGAAACAATAACATTTATAAATAAAGAGTTGTACTCATCTACCATCAAGAATTTTCAAGTAAAAGTTCTAATTTCCATTTTGTTAGGTCTATGGAAGTGTAGTTTATCCAACCAAAGAATGGGAACTTTTGGGTAATTTTTATGCTGAAGATTCTAATGAATGGTAGATTTTCAATTTAGAGTAAAGATTCCTTCGATATTTAAAAATACACATCCTAGATTTTCATAATGCAGAATTCCATTGTACTTTGACCCAAATTAGGTTAAGTTTATTGATATTAAATTTAGAGTCTTTGGCCAAACAGTTATAGGCGATTTGATTGATTCACACAAGAGGGATCACAAAGTCACTAAACCAGAAACTAAGACTACAAACTCAACATAAGAGTAATAAGAAATTAATTTAAAAGAGGTTTCAGAAGAAGAGGATCGATCTAAAATTGATACCTGTTCAGTTGTTGATTATTTTTACAGCACTTAACCTACTAAAAGAGTTGAAACTTAATATATTAATGTATTGCCTTATGAATCAAGACAATCACTCTTCAAAGTGACTGCTTAGAACATCCTCATCTTGTCTCATAATGTAGAACTATTTAAAAATGAAATCAATTAAATTAAATAGCAAGATTTACAACATTTGCAAGAATAGCAAGAAATCAGAACCTTTTAATAACAATTGATGACTTCAATTTAAGAATAGAAACAATAAAATATAAAATTACAAGAAGAATTAGACTTTCTAAATAAGAAGTTGTCAATCATGCTTTTCATCCTATTTATGTTTATAATACTATTAGGAGTGTCAATCATTTTATTTCTCATGAATTGTTGTGATTAAAATAAACAATAAAAACTTGAATAAACAAGAGCATCTGCTAAAACCCACAGCACAATAGTCAAATCTTAACCTGAACTATTGACTCCTCAACTTATTGAAAATGATGCTAACAAAAAATCTATCTCCTAAATAAAAACCTCAAATGGGAAAACAAAAAAATCAAATTGATTTTTAATTTATATAAAATATATGTATAAAGGTATATCAATCAACCTAATTTAATGTTCAAAAATAGTATATAAAATGCAGTGTAGATGCCGAATCTTGCAGCAATTCCATNTTGGTTAGATTAATTAGAGTCCGTTCCTCCAAATAAATTAATATAAAAACATATACCATCAGCACAGAATTTTGCTAATTAATTTGGGGGAGCAATAATTTTAACTAAAAGTAGTGAACTTAAATAGGTTGATAATATATTGGTTGATTCTGCAGAAGTGTATAGATTTTATCATCAATTAGATATATGATTACAGAATGCAATTAAAAGGATGTGTATTTTGTTGTATGCTTAAAAGAAGAGATTTCTTTAGAAACAATAACATTTATAAATAAAGAGTTGTACTCATCTACCATCAAGAATTTTCAAGTAAAAGTTCTAATTTCCATTTTGTTAGGTCTATGGAAGTGTAGTTTATCCAACCAAAGAATGGGAACTTTTGGGTAATTTTTATGCTGAAGATTCTAATGAATGGTAGATTTTCAATTTAGAGTAAAGATTCCTTCGATATTTAAAAATACACATCCTAGATTTTCATAATGCAGAATTCCATTGTACTTTGACCCAAATTAGGTTAAGTTTATTGATATTAAATTTAGAGTCTTTGGCCAAACAGTTATAGGCGATTTGATTGATTCACACAAGAGGGATCACAAAGTCACTAAACCAGAAACTAAGACTACAAACTCAACATAAGAGTAATAAGAAATTAATTTAAAAGAGGTTTCAGAAGAAGAGGATCGATCTAAAATTGATACCTGTTCAGTTGTTGATTATTTTTACAGCACTTAACCTACTAAAAGAGTTGAAACTTAATATATTAATGTATTGCCTTATGAATCAAGACAATCACTCTTCAAAGTGACTGCTTAGAACATCCTCATCTTGTCTCATAATGTAGAACTATTTAAAAATGAAATCAATTAAATTAAATAGCAAGATTTACAACATTTGCAAGAATAGCAAGAAATCAGAACCTTTTAATAACAATTGATGACTTCAATTTAAGAATAGAAACAATAAAATATAAAATTACAAGAAGAATTAGACTTTCTAAATAAGAAGTTGTCAATCATGCTTTTCATCCTATTTATGTTTATAATACTATTAGGAGTGTCAATCATTTTATTTCTCATGAATTGTTGTGATTAAAATAAACAATAAAAACTTGAATAAACAAGAGCATCTGCTAAAACCCACAGCACAATAGTCAAATCTTAACCTGAACTATTGACTCCTCAACTTATTGAAAATGATGCTAACAAAAAATCTATCTCCTAAATAAAAACCTCAAATGGGAAAACAAAAAAATCAAATTGATTTTTAATTTATATAAAATATATGTATAAAGGTATATCAATCAACCTAATTTAATGTTCAAAAATAGTATATAAAATGCAGTGTAGATGCCGAATCTTGCAGCAATTCCATACACCAAGACTGATGAAAATTTAAGTAACTAGATAGAAATCATAAATTTACTTTTCTCGCATAGACCATTGCCATATGCCAAACCACCGATATCACTCCCAATAAAACACAATATTGCCATTCCACAAATGAACTTGAAATCGCCTATACAAGCAATGCAAAATGCAAACCAACAAATAATGCTGCCATCCATCCAGATGGAAGTGTTTTGATCAAAAAATCTAGAAGCCTTAATTAATTTAATTACTTCTCCAATAATACTCCTCCAATATTCCTAAACCAATAACGAATAATGTCAAAAATAACACCATATATGAAGTGTTTGATTCATCGAAGTATGATTTATAGAGTTTCGTGTTTTATGAAGAGAGAAACAATATAGTAAGAGTGAAGAAAGAAATGAATGTGATGATTGTAGACAAAATCAAAAGTTGAGTATTCTCCTTTTTGAAGATGAATTCACCCTCATTATTTTATTTATTATACCTGCCATGTAAAATTCCAAAACTCTTTTTCCTTGAGCCATAAAAAAAATGTAAAAGTAAATTACTAGTATTATTAGCATCATGTAAGTTAGTAAACACAAAAGTGCCGAAGTTGTTATGGAAAGGGCTATTATTCATTAACTAAATTTCAAACTTATCCATGGAATGCCTATCATTCCCAACATTGTTAATTCCAAGTAAACTTGTTAACAAACTGACAATCCTAAGGGAGGAACATCGTCTACAGGATTTGTGACTGTTGCTAAATCATAACTAAGGTTCATTCTTTAACTGTAAAAAATATTTTATATTAATGATTTTATTTGATCACAAAATAATCGTGATGCTATTCTTACTTCGTATTAATTTTGTTTTAAACAATGTAGTTAAAAACGAAATCCATTAAATATTTTCTAATCCAATTGTAAAAACTATAAATATGTCTCTACATTCCTCATTCGGCTATGATAGTCTTCGCTCAGTCATTTTTGCAAAAGCAATTAAAAAGTGTGAATGTACTAATCAACGTTAATATTATAGAAATTTAAAATGAGTATTATTCATCAGAAAGTTGTTCTGATGTAAAGAGCAGCATTTCCTCTGATTCAGAAAAGCACATCTTTGACAGGTATTATAACATTAATATTATTTCTAGAGAATTTGCCTCCGAATCTGCTGAATCAAAAGTTGTTTTCAATAATCAACAATCTCCTCTCTCTTAGTTTAATACTCAACAATGAATTTATATATATAAACAATTATACAAAATACACAATCATTGACTTTTCTATAATTTTCATCTCTTTGATAATGGATATAAACTATGGGATCGTCATACTCCATGATATTTGAGACAAAAACAGCGATAAGGTAAGAATTACGATTCCCTCTAAAATAATTGAATCAAATTCAAAGAGGAATATTAATTAATAAATGATAAAACATTTCTATCCATATTTAATTAAATTAAGTCCTTTTAATAAGATAAATTCTTAATAATTATTATTATATAAAATGTGTATTAAACATTTAGTATAGTTATTATTAATTACTAAAAAGGATTCATACAGAAACAAAAAAATAAAATTTATTGTAAATTTATTTCAAATTTAAAAATAATTTATATCTGTTTAACTTAAAAGTACTTATAACTTATATAAAATTTAACATGAACAGGATAATTAAATATACCAAGGGATTCTTAATAATCATTTAGAATTTCACCTTCATTTGGGAATAGGTGAATTAATTTCAAGTGAAAATTCCTGGTTCTGAATATTTCTCAAAATTTCCCATTCTGATTTTAATATAGTATTGAGTTTCTTATCTTGTATCAAGATTTGTTAGCTATGAAATCTTTGATTTATTTTTAGGTTAAATATCTAAAACTAGATAGAACAAAAATAAGAAAGATTATGATTCATTATAAATTAATTTTTAAGTATCATAAGTTTATAAAAGTAAATTTAACCTATTTGATAATTTTATGGATATATAAATGTTTTTAAAAGAGTTTTCAATACTCAAGGTTTAATCTAGTTCTAGTTTACTTATAATATATACAATAATAAGTATAAACATTTTTGAATGAAAAAAGGTAAATCGAGTTAGAATTATTTAGAAATTTAAGAAATTTATTGAATACATATTTATAAATTAAAGACTCTTCAATTACCATAGATGTTTAATTGCTTATCAAAACTACAGCTGTAAATATTTTTGTTGAATTCAGCAAATCTAAAATAGTAATGTAATAAATCACCTGATAGCAGTCACAGCATCTCTATGACTTTCAAATTTGAAAAATTCTTATTATTTTTTGATGTCAAATAAATGTATATTCTTATTCTCGCCTACAGCTAAGTAGGCTCCTGATGTATCATAGGAAATACTACCTAAAGAAAATAGAATCCAATAATACTTATTTTTTATGATTGAAACAATTTTTAGAATTAACCAGGATTTCTTAAATCCCATTACAACACTTGAGTTTCCGAGACTGAAGCCAAATTCACTCCATTTTCAGAGAATGCAACTTGATTTATAGATCCCTAATATTATCAATTTTATGGTTACTTCTTATCCTTCAAATTGGGCAACCAATTATCCTGATGTAATCTTCCAAATTTTGATTTATGAATTTTCTTATCCAATTGCTAATAACAATCCATCAGGATGAATAGCAACTGATGTAAACTTGCATTATCCTTCAAAATCAGTAACTTTACTAATTTAGAGTCCAGATCTTAAGTCATAAAATAACAAAAGACCTTCTGAAGTCACAATAATAGCAATGTAGCCAAGAGGATGAATAGTTAATCCTGTGATATTCTATCCTACTTTTACTGTTTAAGTGATGACTCCCTCATTAGTTTCAGTGTTAATTTAATAAATAACTAAATCTCCCTCCAAGGTTGATGAAACAAATCTTAAATGCTCATCAGTTGTAAAAAATCTGATTGCATTTAGTCGTTGATTTTGTTATTGATTCTAATATAATAATTGTTCAGAACGATAAAGTGAAACCAAACCTGATTATCCCCCTACTATCACATAATTGGCTTAAATATCTAACGATGTACCACCTTAAGTTTAGGTGTGTTATTACTTGATTTCATAATTTGATAAAATCTAAAATATTGAATAAGACTACTTAAGGACTAGGAAATTATTCAAAATATGATTATTGCTTTCTCAAAAGTTTTCTTTGGCTTGTTAATTTTAATGCAATTTATTCAATATCAGTCACGTAATTTGCTGATAATTTTTCAGGAGCATTATTAGTTTCTACTTCTACTTTATGATTTAATTTATTTTATAATTGCGCTAATTCTATTCTTGCTTAATCTCTCTCTTTTATTAGTTTTGCTATCACACGACATGCAGCATCATGTTAATAGAGTGCGTGAGTTAATTCATGTCTTACTTATTCCAAATGTTATTTCAATTAAAATTACTCCAATAATAATGCGTCCCACTCATTTTATAAAAGGGAGAGCAATGAAGGTATTGATGTAACTGTCACTGGTCTTGGCTTTTGAATTTTGGCTACTTTCACCTGAATGTTTGAAATTTATTATTACTTCGATTAGGTCTTCTAAATTCAAAGGTCTTCCAGTAATTGGACATGTGCCTGTACTTTCAATATGCTTCTCAATCAATCTTTTTTCATATATATGTCCACTAACTTTAGAAATTACTGGTGTTTCAATCAATTCACCAGAAAGTGCACAAGTTTACCAGGATTACATGTATTAATGATATGAATTTATTTGAATATTTATTAAACTTATGTGAATCATCATTATTTTGTAATTTCTGTCTTAAGATTGTCAAATGAATCTACTGGAACATATTAGGCAAGAGTGTAATACTTTCCTTTACCATCATCCTCTTCCTTCTTCTTTCTTTGCAATCTAACCCTAATCCTTCTTGGTAAATTACGAATTCCTCTTGCCCAAATAGCCTCATTTAATTATGGATCAACTCTCACATCATCAGTTAACATATTTTTTTAAGCTAAACAATCCCTTCACTTTTTACCAAATCTAACAATGTGACTCACTGCTCTGGGTGCCTTTCTTTTAAAAGTCTCCTTGTGAACAGCTTTATGAAGATTTATTGTATAGTCTCTGCTTACTTCACCTAAAGGATTAGGCTTTCCCTTCTCTTTCTTTCCCATTAATTAAAATCTTTAAAATTAATTTTAAAAAGCAAATAATTCTCAAATATTTTTAGAGAAGTACATTGTGTTGTAAACTATATCAAGGTTTGATTAAATGATCCAGCCTCATATTTTGTATATTTATTTTAATCATATATTGACACACTAAAAATACATCCTACTTTATTTAACAAATAAAGGATTTATCAAACATGTAAAAACATTTAATTAAATTAGGGGATATTTTTATAATTTAATTATATTCTCATCAAATCTTTTGCCTTCTTATCTCCAACTTGATTAAGAAGTATTAATTTAGAAAGCATAAAGATCAAGGATTTTAGAATTAATCATAGAGATAATTCGTAATTATTAGTATAAAGATGATTTAATTAATAATTTACAAATATCAAAACTCATAATTTGAATATTTTAGAGAGGAGAGGGATTACGGATCTTGAGTACCAATGAATAGCTTTTTGACATACTTTAGAACCACTTCAGAATCGCTTATCTTCGTAGACTTCAGTATATCCTTAATGATTTAGAAACTGGAGAAATATTCTTTGCAAATGAATCTGGCCTGCTCATTAGAGAAGAGGACCTTCAGATCTTTTCGAGTGTAGTTCTTTTTGCTGTTAACTTTGCTTATAAACTTTTTTATAGTAATATTCTATCTGGCTAAATCTTTGTAATTATTGACTAAAAATTAAAATAATAATTACTAAAGTAATTCTTAATAAGTACTCCCATATTTTTTGGGATATTCTTTGCTTCTTGATGACTTTTATTTTATTAGTTCTAATTTTGTATGGAGTCATAGCTAGAATACCCTTTCTCTCTCTCTTATTAATCACAAACCTCATACTAACTTTTTTCTTCTAGATTATTTAAAGTGGATGGATTTAATGGATCATCAAGCTCGAAAAATAAATATGACATAATTTTAATTATTTATTAATCTTAAAATAGTTTTAAGTTTTGTATTCTCCAATTAAAGACGTAGTACTCCAATAGATTTAATGAGTTTGAACCAGATTGGACGAGATAACTAAGGATTGATAGGATCTGAGGATGAAAAAATCAAAATTAATATTCATATTCAAAAGCAATTATAAATAAAAGTTGGATTTGGTAACATTGTAGAAAATTGAATAGTTTGAAAGTGTTTTTATATAAAAAAAGATATTAATTTATGGTTTACAAAATCAGAAATAAGTCATTCTTCTGGACCAGAGCTGGATGGAAAAACAACTGGCATCCTAAGAATTTCAATGCCCCAAGACCATCAAGCTCAGAATTCACCATCGGTATTAGATGTCGTTATGATCATAATTCATTTTTGAGAGGCAATGAGATAAATTTAATTTATTAGCTTACCATTCATATAGAAAGATCTCAAGACACTGCAAGCAGTACTTCTTTGGCAACAAGGAATTGGAAGAATTATTTTAGATGGGTTTGAGAACATTTTTCATAGTGCCACACATTGCTGAATGTCAAGTCACTCAAATCAAACATGGTGGTGAAAGAAGAATGGTTGATTAAATTGATAGAGATTTTGAATTGGTATCTTACAATTCTCATCCATATTAATTGTTTACCTACTCTGTTTGGAATTAATATTTAGCCAATCAACAAGAAGCTTATGAATAGAGAAAGAATGGTGGCTAGGCAATTGAGGATCAAGTGATCGATCACATTAGGTATGTATTTTGAGTACTATATTAAAANTTATTAGTATAAAGATGATTTAATTAATAATTTACAAATATCAAAACTCATAATTTGAATATTTTAGAGAGGAGAGGGATTACGGATCTTGAGTACCAATGAATAGCTTTTTGACATACTTTAGAACCACTTCAGAATCGCTTATCTTCGTAGACTTCAGTATATCCTTAATGATTTAGAAACTGGAGAAATATTCTTTGCAAATGAATCTGGCCTGCTCATTAGAGAAGAGGACCTTCAGATCTTTTCGAGTGTAGTTCTTTTTGCTGTTAACTTTGCTTATAAACTTTTTTATAGTAATATTCTATCTGGCTAAATCTTTGTAATTATTGACTAAAAATTAAAATAATAATTACTAAAGTAATTCTTAATAAGTACTCCCATATTTTTTGGGATATTCTTTGCTTCTTGATGACTTTTATTTTATTAGTTCTAATTTTGTATGGAGTCATAGCTAGAATACCCTTTCTCTCTCTCTTATTAATCACAAACCTCATACTAACTTTTTTCTTCTAGATTATTTAAAGTGGATGGATTTAATGGATCATCAAGCTCGAAAAATAAATATGACATAATTTTAATTATTTATTAATCTTAAAATAGTTTTAAGTTTTGTATTCTCCAATTAAAGACGTAGTACTCCAATAGATTTAATGAGTTTGAACCAGATTGGACGAGATAACTAAGGATTGATAGGATCTGAGGATGAAAAAATCAAAATTAATATTCATATTCAAAAGCAATTATAAATAAAAGTTGGATTTGGTAACATTGTAGAAAATTGAATAGTTTGAAAGTGTTTTTATATAAAAAAAGATATTAATTTATGGTTTACAAAATCAGAAATAAGTCATTCTTCTGGACCAGAGCTGGATGGAAAAACAACTGGCATCCTAAGAATTTCAATGCCCCAAGACCATCAAGCTCAGAATTCACCATCGGTATTAGATGTCGTTATGATCATAATTCATTTTTGAGAGGCAATGAGATAAATTTAATTTATTAGCTTACCATTCATATAGAAAGATCTCAAGACACTGCAAGCAGTACTTCTTTGGCAACAAGGAATTGGAAGAATTATTTTAGATGGGTTTGAGAACATTTTTCATAGTGCCACACATTGCTGAATGTCAAGTCACTCAAATCAAACATGGTGGTGAAAGAAGAATGGTTGATTAAATTGATAGAGATTTTGAATTGGTATCTTACAATTCTCATCCATATTAATTGTTTACCTACTCTGTTTGGAATTAATATTTAGCCAATCAACAAGAAGCTTATGAATAGAGAAAGAATGGTGGCTAGGCAATTGAGGATCAAGTGATCGATCACATTAGGTATGTATTTTGAGTACTATATTAAAAAGCGAATTGGTGAAGGATGAAAAGGCAAAATTGGGAGCTGGAAAACAATTGAGCATTGAGAGAACAGCAGAGATTGTGATGAATGTGATGAGACAATTGAGAGCAGCCTAATAGAGACCCAATCTTAATAATAGGTAAATATTTAGTACTTAAAGGGAAGACGTGCTGATGGAGAATTTGATGATTTCCTTGAATAGAGAAGACCATTCACAGCTCCAAATAACTAATCAGCTACTCATTGAGCTGATTATATTAAAAACAATATATAACAACTTATTAATTATATTATTTATGTATTATTTCAATATTGTAAAGCTTCCTAAGCATAAAATTTAACGTCTCTGTCATTGTCATCGGTCAATTCATTTATTGCTCTACGTTATTATTATATAAATACTATTTTATTTGATTCAAAGTCCCTTGATGATCAATCTTTTTTGATAATTATTTAGCCACTCTTATACTAACAAATCTAATATTAGGAACATTGTCCTTCATGCACTTCTAAACAATTGGCCATAGTTTATCTTGGATCATGGGTCCATCAGCCACTTGACCAATTTATTAAATGGCATATAAGGCATTCATTCTATACAAGAATCCAGTGTCCTTATTTAGAGTCTCCAAACATTTAGACAAAAAGCTTCCCAATGCCCAATCAATTTTGTAAGTTTAGATCAAATCATTCAATCTGCTCAACCCTATGGTTCTAACTTCAGCTGCTCTATCCTTCAAGAATAAAACATAGACTGGTTCTAAATGTTTTAAGAAAATGTCTGTATTTTTTATGGTTCTAGGATGATATATCACAAATACAATGCTAAATGGAAGACAGTCTACATTGTTTCTTTTCTAACTCTCCATTTAGGATCTTCCATGCTCTTTTTCAAATGAGGAATAAATTGACCGAGGGCATCAGGACCAAGAGCTGCAGCAAATACTCCAACGGATTAAGCTGCATTCTTTCTGACATCCTGATTGTCATCACTCATCAATTCAATCAAATAGGATTGGAGTTTGCTTTAACTAATTTCTTTAGGTAAAATAGTAGCAATCTAACCAATAACTAAGCAAGCATTTTCTAAATGATTATGAATATTATATAATGTTTACATTTCACTTATGCAAATGCATCCTTTGCTAGTAATTGTAATAAGGGAATAATAAGGTTTAGTTTCTCTGGAGACACAAACTTAATAAATTTAGCCAAACTTTTCACAGCGATTACTCTGACATCACTTTCAGCATCTTTTAGTAAATTTGAAAAGATCTAAATTAGTGAAGAGTCTGCAATCTCTTTACCCACTGCTTCAGCTAACTAGATATTTTGGACTTATAAAATACCTCTGCAAATATCTTTGACAAAGCCAATCTCACTCTCCATGATTTGTCTTCTGCTGAAGATATGATCAATGGTAAGATATTGGTCTTGTTTTCATTGATGTTTAGAATTTTAGCAATGTTCATTATGCTTTCCATGCACAATAATCTAACTTAATCCTATTCATCTTAACATAGTTGTTTCAAAACAGTTATCAGAACTTCTATGACGTGATTTTTATCCATGTATTATGCAATCTCACCTATTTTAGTTGCTACTGCTCTTCTGACCATTGGTGTTTCTTCACTGCATAATTCGGTGAATTTCCTTAGATTGTTAAATTCACATAAAATACTATCTGAGCTTTTCTTTCTGATTTCCTGATCTAGAATACATGGGACACATTAAACTGACGGCAGAAACTCTACAGGTAAAATTGGCTTCATTTGAAGCTAGTTTTAAAATCTAATAATTCTGAATAAGTCTTACCATGGGGACAATGGTGTTGGCAATTTCATTGTCTTGTAAAAAATTACATACAATTGTGATTGATTTGACAGCTTATTCACGTACCACAGTCTCATCAAATCCTGCCAATTGTTCCAAAATTGGCAACAAGCATATAGATTATTATGGAATGATTTATCTAAATTAGCCTATTTAAATACGCAATATAGCCTAATTCCTCTGCCATTGCAAATAAGACTTCATCATCTTCTTTCTTCATCAATGCTACAAAATGATTATCAAATATTACTTTCAAAATATGGCAAAAGAACAGACTTTATTTTATCGGTTCCTAAGAGTGTTGCGATAATTCTAGCTCTGTGCATAGCATTGACTTTTAGATAAACTTCCTCATTTTCCATATCCTCCTTGAAAACATCTATTGGATTATCACCCATATTTGATTGATTTAAATCTTTAATTATATATAATATATTATATATGTTTTACGATATAGATTCAATTTACATACTCTGACAATCCCTAATCGGCTGCCTCTTACAATGCCTTACTTAGCATATCCTAAACAAAAGTCTAATCTGATTTTAATGACAGAGATTTGTGATAATAATGAATGGCCTTGCTCAGACTGTTTGGTAACTCACTCAAATGATATGAAAATGCCAATCCAAAAAATATTTATGGAGAAACTGAATTTAACTACAATAGATCTCACAAAATACCTAGATGCACTTTTCAAATATTTATATCGCATTTTTGTAATCCCTCTACTTTCTAAAGGTGTGTCCCAAATTCTAAAGTGCAGATTCTCTAATCTTATGATTTGAATTTTGACAGAACACTAAAGCATTCAAAAAATACTATATTTCACATTATATTTTACATCTTTGGCTTCATTATATTTCTTTTGTTTATAAGCAATGACTCCCAATTCATTTTGAATCATGGGATCAGTAGGATTGATGTCCTTAGCCTATTACAATGACAAAATTGCAGTCTACAAATTATTTGTTCTCAGATACTCCATTCCAATATAAACATGAGCCTGGTAACAACCAGGGAATTGTCGAGTGATGGATCTGTATATTGACATGGCCTAATCGGACTCATCTTGAATAGCATAAGAATGGGCCAACCCAATCCAACTATAAATGAGATGCTAATCCAATTGAATGGACTTCTGAAACTATTTCCTTGCTACTTCATACTTCTTAGTTGAGAAGTAGTATACTCCAACAACAAACCAACTCAAAGCATTTGATGAATAGTTTTCTATCAAATTATGAGCACAAAAATATAATTCTGCTATCTAATCCAATTCCAGTAAACATGATACATATGTTGGAATCACATCAAAATACAATGGATCCTATTTGATTGCCTTCAATGACCAATCATATGCAGATGCAATATCATAACTATAATAAGCCTTCTTAGCTTTGACATTCAGAATGTCTATATTATTCTTCTTGTCCAATGTTAAGTAGACTAAGTCATTTTGAATTGGAATTTCCTCCTTTCTGATGTAAGGACTTCTTATGGGAGATGGTTTCATCTATTGAGTCTCCACTTTATCCACTATTTATAATTACTAGGCTATCTTCCTTTTCTCTTCTTACAAGTGATCTGCTATTTTCTGATTCCCAATGTCACAATTTATTGTCTTGCTTACATAATAGTCTTTTAACCAAGCTTCATCTGAGTTCAGTTGTATTTATTGAATGAGATTCTCCTTCTCATCAGAGGATATTAAATAGGAATCTACTAATTATTAAAACACTCGCACATTCGTTGGAGTCTTCTGTAAACACTCGTAGTAATTTGAGACTGCCAATTATTTGTTCTCCAATGCCTCATAGCATTGTCCTCTTATCCAATCACTTTAGGATGTGATTTCTTCTTGCAATATCTCTATTCCTAATTCATATTGCTTATTTGCATACAAGGCTCTAGCTGCTAATACTGCAAAATCCCCTTATGTTAGTTTGTGCTTTAAAAACAAATTATAAACTCCTGAATATTCTGCATTTGCAAAATGACACTAAAATTATTAGTATTATTACAATTCCAAGCATAAATACCAAATATGCCTATGTATTTTAATCCTGATTCAGACATAACAATTTCTCAGCAAAAAAGATAGCTTACTTGTATTACCCCTAAAGATAGCTACTAATTCCCAATTGATATATGTTCATAAATGATGGATTATTTAACAATTGACTTGCAAAAATTGAATTCGATGAAGGATTGAAATAAGGAAGTTGAACTTCATAATACATATTCGAGTATTTCTAAGGTTCGCTTGATTGTTTGATTACTTTTGATGTTTTTTTTTGAATTGACATTAAACAATAATGTTTTAAAATTTGAATTTTTATATATTATTTTTATGTTAATTCTAATTATACTAACTTTTGTACATGCTTTTTAAGAATAAAAAGTTATGGCCAATCTAAATCAACCTTAATTGCATTGCTTAGACATTCAAACTGATAACAAACTCTACGATATTAAAGTATCCTTTCTGGGAAGTGTAGGCATTGATATCTCAATGTTTTGGCAATCTCAATAATAATCATTTATTGAAACCATCAACAATTATTAACCAATGGACACAGTTAAATTAAGATTCAGAAACGATGCTAACAGAAATGAAAATTGCTTCTATGTCGTTGGATATTAAATCTCAAGAGGATTGACGCATGAACCTAAATTCTAATATATTATTAGTATGGTTTCATATTTTATCAAATTTAGAATTAGAAGAAGTCTTAATTGACGACCTAAATTGGACCTACTTAAGTTAATATCTTTTTGTTATAGTCGTCCCACTTATAGTTGTGTAATTTATAAAAAAATGAGTGGATATATTATAAATATTTTATTATCGATCTCTATATAGAACTGTTTCTGATGTCTATCAAATTTATATTTCATACTTCTCATACCAAAGGTGTATATAACCTTAAATTCATTGTAAATATCGTTGTCGGCCATACTAAGCCTAAAGCACCGGATCCCATTCGAACTCCGAAGTTAAGCGGCTTAAGGCGAGGTTAGTACTAAGGTGGGGGACCGCTTGGGAAGTCCTCGTGTTGACAACCCTTTTTTTTATTTAATTCTAAAATTTAATCATTTTATACGAATTATTAAGATTATAAAAATTATCTTTCATATTTGTACTATTTTATTATCATATTTTAATTTTTGTTTATGACGATTAAAAATGAAATTTATCTCATGGTTGCTTTGATTCTTTATGAACTATGTTCTCCATTTCGCAAATGAAAAAGAAAAGTAATTTACACCAATTTTACCATTATAAATAATTTTTATTCATGTATATATATAACAACATTGATTTCAAAAGGAATTAATATAAATTGTTAAAATGTTTTCACTTCATTTCCCTTAAAATAGTTAAAGATACAATGGCCTTGATCTATATATTTAATATTTGAATTAACTCAAGATAATTTGCTTAATTTTATAATGAGTCGGGTTAATTAAGAATTGAAAATATCAAATATATTTTATATTTTCCATTTATAAATATAAATGTATACTTAATATTTTTGATAGAGATCCATCTTGGGACCTCTAAAATTTGATCATTAAGATACGCCCTCCAAGTAGGATATCATCTATAATGAACAATCTATATTTAATTCAATAAATTTACAATATGTATAATTAAAGATAATTTAGAATTTTTTCGAATGACATTCCAAAAAGTTCTTATATGTTCAAAAGAATATATTGTTGGAAGCTGGGAAAAATAATTTTATTTTATGAATAATCATCCGCTTTCTAGACTTGAATAAAACAAGTCCGCTCAAGAATCCAAACTAAATACCTTAAGAAAATATTACGAGCTTTCTTCAGAATAAAGAAAAGATCTCGAATATTTTACTCTTATCAAATAGTTCATTAATAAATAAGAGGAATATCATGATACTGACTCTTCTAATGGCTTTAGCATATCTGAGACTTCAAATACTGTGTACATCGAAGGGAGTGAATAACAATAGATATGCATAAAAATGTTTGATATTATAAAATAAATGAAAAGAGCAGTAAAATAGTCTTAAAAATTATGTTCAACCAAGATCAAAAAATTAAATAAGATTATCGAAAAAAGACATAAAGAGATTAATAAGTTCAAAATTAGCCTTGGTATGTTATGATTAAAACTATTACTATGTTGTTAATTAAATGTATAATATATTTTTATATTAAACATTTCTCTTATTCAAATTTATTTATGAATCCTTTAATATCTTAAATAACATATTCTGATTTATTATAATAATATACACCATTCAATGAACATATCTCTGATTTCAAAAGATTTTGTTCGAATAGCCCGAGTTTAACCTTTTCTTTATCAAGATAGTTTATCATTTATGTTACATTTAAAGAATATATAACATCTTGTAAAAATNTTTTTTTTATTTAATTCTAAAATTTAATCATTTTATACGAATTATTAAGATTATAAAAATTATCTTTCATATTTGTACTATTTTATTATCATATTTTAATTTTTGTTTATGACGATTAAAAATGAAATTTATCTCATGGTTGCTTTGATTCTTTATGAACTATGTTCTCCATTTCGCAAATGAAAAAGAAAAGTAATTTACACCAATTTTACCATTATAAATAATTTTTATTCATGTATATATATAACAACATTGATTTCAAAAGGAATTAATATAAATTGTTAAAATGTTTTCACTTCATTTCCCTTAAAATAGTTAAAGATACAATGGCCTTGATCTATATATTTAATATTTGAATTAACTCAAGATAATTTGCTTAATTTTATAATGAGTCGGGTTAATTAAGAATTGAAAATATCAAATATATTTTATATTTTCCATTTATAAATATAAATGTATACTTAATATTTTTGATAGAGATCCATCTTGGGACCTCTAAAATTTGATCATTAAGATACGCCCTCCAAGTAGGATATCATCTATAATGAACAATCTATATTTAATTCAATAAATTTACAATATGTATAATTAAAGATAATTTAGAATTTTTTCGAATGACATTCCAAAAAGTTCTTATATGTTCAAAAGAATATATTGTTGGAAGCTGGGAAAAATAATTTTATTTTATGAATAATCATCCGCTTTCTAGACTTGAATAAAACAAGTCCGCTCAAGAATCCAAACTAAATACCTTAAGAAAATATTACGAGCTTTCTTCAGAATAAAGAAAAGATCTCGAATATTTTACTCTTATCAAATAGTTCATTAATAAATAAGAGGAATATCATGATACTGACTCTTCTAATGGCTTTAGCATATCTGAGACTTCAAATACTGTGTACATCGAAGGGAGTGAATAACAATAGATATGCATAAAAATGTTTGATATTATAAAATAAATGAAAAGAGCAGTAAAATAGTCTTAAAAATTATGTTCAACCAAGATCAAAAAATTAAATAAGATTATCGAAAAAAGACATAAAGAGATTAATAAGTTCAAAATTAGCCTTGGTATGTTATGATTAAAACTATTACTATGTTGTTAATTAAATGTATAATATATTTTTATATTAAACATTTCTCTTATTCAAATTTATTTATGAATCCTTTAATATCTTAAATAACATATTCTGATTTATTATAATAATATACACCATTCAATGAACATATCTCTGATTTCAAAAGATTTTGTTCGAATAGCCCGAGTTTAACCTTTTCTTTATCAAGATAGTTTATCATTTATGTTACATTTAAAGAATATATAACATCTTGTAAAAATGAATTATAAATATTTATATTGAAACTTAGATTGACATTGAAGAACATTTCTAAAGCACTTTTTCAAATCTTTTTTCCCCATTTTTGGAATTATCAAACTTGATAAGTTATCAGCATATTTGACTATCTATCATAAGGATAATTTAGGATTTAATTTGAGATTTACTTTTTTAAAGAAATACTTCATTACTATGAGAAGTCTCACTTACAATTGACTTTCCTAAGATTAATTCATAGTTATTCTTATCTCTAATATAAATCAATTTTTCTAAGTTAAGTAATATTTTAAAATGTATCACCAAATTTTCTTTAGTCCATAATACAAAAGAGAACTTAGCTTTTCTTATCCTTTTAATTTTAATTATTCTTTATTTTTTTTGGCTATCACATTTCCATTTTAGGATATTATTCGAGTTCTTTGTTTGCTTAATCTTCTTTTTAATTTTTTAGGAAGATTACTGAACTTCATAATGGGCAAATCTTATATTTTGCTTTAAATTCTCTTTTTAATAATAGACGTGAATCAGATATAATTTCTTGCCTTCATTAAGATTTCACATTATTTTGTTAATATTTTTTATTAATTTGTCAATTGAAACTTTATTTAGATGACTGCAATTCAAATGCTTTATTTTTTTACCATTCCTAAATACTATGAATAAGTTTATGCCATTTAATAATGTTGTATCATCCTCCTTATGCAAAGTCTAATTTTTTTTTTCAAAAGATTCATGAAGGCAAGAAAAGCAGAATTTCTACCAGCTTTCTCAATTATTTAGGTGTACATCAACAGTCAGTTACAACCATCTCTTCAACCTAAAATTTTCTGAAATTACTTTGACTTGGTTTTTAATGAACCCATATATAAATGAAAATAGCTTCATTAAATGGTTTTAGCAATCCATCATTTTATTTATATGCCATTGCCGAGGTCATCAAGGAATCTTCGAATAAGTAATATCTATTTGAATCATAATATACTATAGCATTAATCCTATCATCAAATTTCAGATTAATAATTCCTCATCCTTGAATTACAAATCCTGAACTCTCAAATAACTTCCAATTAGATTTCACCCTTCTGATAACCTATTTAAGATTATGAATGTAATTAAATTGAAATATGTCTAACATGTATTTTTAGTACAAGAATCAAGGTCATCATAAGCTTGTGAAGAAGCCTTAAATTTTAATCTCCAATTGTGAATTTCCTTATCATCTAAGGCTTGGCAATTCAAGGACTATTATATGATGTTTAAAATGATTAACTAATTTTTTTCTTGACAATTACGCATTATTATAATTAAAATAATCAAGTTCTCAAATAACATTATTATTCATAAATTAATATTAAAATATGTAATGATATAAAATGAGAAACATTTAAAATAAATATTAATAAGAATTAATTTTAAACTACACTTTATTTTATAACTTCTTTCTTATTCAAAAATATTTTATTCTAAAGGGAAATAAGAGAATAACTATTACTTTAAAGTAACGAATTGTAATACAACATAAAGGAATCACTATACTATTACATATCTATTATTTTCAAAAGTTTCTTCTTTTTTTATTTGAATTTTTTCTTCATTAAGAATGTTGAATATCTTACTGCAATTTAAAAAAAACAAACTAAAATATATAGTAATAAATTTCTTGTTTATTATTATATGGACTTACTATTATTGAGTGAAATAATAAAATTACATACTTTTAGATGATGATTGAGAATTAAACATAATAGGTTTTTAAAAGCAAAATAATTTTTGGTATTTTGGCTAAATAATAAAAAAAACAATATGTATTCCCTTCCTGGAAGTAAATAACGCATTTTGTTGCCTCAAAAACATAAGACGATTTGCTTTAAACCTGAAATCAAAGAAACCTAGAAACTCAGACATGCAAAGGCTCTTCATCCTTTTCATTAGAGGTTCAAACCCATTTCGACGAAATGCTTGGAATATGTTCTTTCATCAAGGTAGGATTGTTAGTCTATTATAAGTTCAAGCGAATCCGAAGGGGAATGTGAAAACAATAAAAGTTGTCATTGCAGAGATTGTGGACATTAATCCAAGAAAATGAAACATATGAAAAAGAAATATCGACGTTTTAGTCCTGTAATGCATGGAAGGATTAGAGAAAGGAGAAATAAGCTAAAACAAAAATTTAAAAACGCTGTTTATGTTATTATGTGGATGCTAAAGTTGGTAATCCAAAGAAAGAAGAAACCAATGATAATAAAAAAGATAGTCAGAATGAAAACTAAATTCTTTGAACCTTCACCAGAACCACCACAACAAAATTAGTAGATCATTTATCTAGAAGTAAAATCTTAATTATATGTTTGAAAGCCAATCCAACCAGTTCAAGTTTAAATGATTGACTTTAAACACAAATAGCGACAATCAATAGTTAACTATCTGAACAATAAATTGCAAGATTCAGAACGCCATGCAGATAATTATCAGTTATCGCTTCCAAAAGTACGACAATAAAATAATCTCTCCAGTAGCCATTCCAAATTACTATTAAAACCTTTGAAAACCTAAAATGACGAAGGCCTTACTCCCTAAAGAAATAATCTACGTTCGATCATACACAAAGCTACTCCTTCATTACAATCCTCAAGTTCTCCTTATTTAAAACAACCACCTCTAACAACAAGAATAAGGTCACTATAAAATAGACTCTACCTATCAGGCAGGTATTGACATGTCAATGATCTATTATACTGTGTTAATTGCATTATATTTTAGAAGCTACATAATCATTTCAATTCTTGTTATTTGATTCTTAGAGAAGCCTTATTTAAACCTATTAAAATTTTTATTAATATAGCCTACATTCTTCATTAATGGAGTTATTGATAACTTAGAAAAATAACTTTCATCACTTACTTACATTTAAATATGTATTAATTACAACAATTTACCATATAATTTTTTCAAACATACTAGTAATAATGAACTCAAAACAAGTTTTTGTTTTTTTCCTAGAGAATCTTCATTCTTAAGTTATTTATAATTGTTTTATTCAAATCAAAATTTCTCTAAGTTTAAAAAAGCCCTCCTTGCAGTCTATAGTAATAATTTGTGAATTAAGATTTAATTAAAGATTAATGCTTTTTTCTGTGATTATACAAAAATCTCGAAGTATTTAGGTCATCTTCTAATGCATAAGCCATCTTCAAAAAGATTTAAAATGTAAAAAGCCATTTGGTAATAATTTATAGTAATAATGAATAGAACATATTTTTAATTGAATAATTTTATTAATATTAAATAACTGTTTATCTTAAGCAAGAAAATATACAGAAATTTTTAGAGGCGTTTGATCGACTAAAATCGGCATAGTATGATTTTAATAGGTCTGTGTCTGAAATTTCAATGTTGACAAATGTTCATTAGTTGAGAGTAGGGAAGTACTACAAATAAAAAATATATAGATGAAACGGAGATGAAATGAGAAAGGAAAAGATAGTCAATATGGCATTTTACTACTTATTCTAATCCACTATGGATGAAATAAAGATAGCTAATAAATGTGGAATACAATAATTAAGATTTTCGCTCATTTCAACTTTAAGTAAACCCTGAATTTCAACTTAAGAGATTGTTATGATTGAGAAAGCAAAGATGTACAAAGAACCAATTGGAAAGCTCTTATTTTGATAAATAGGCTATAGAGAAGTCTAGAATACTGTTACCAAATGAGATATTTAAATATGCAATTGAATAAAATGAAGAGAATATATGAAAGGTTGATTTATCAGGATAGGGTTTGATATTCGATAAATAAGTGATTGATTGATGAACAGATGGATGAGAAATAGGGTTTTGAGTTTAGTTTGATGCTAATGTATTAAAACGGATATGCATAATTAATTTTAATGAAAATAGTATTATTGCTATGCATGATGGTGGCTGTCTCTTTTGGAATCTCATCTAAATTAAGTCATGCTAAGAAGTTGGAAGAACTACATGGTAGCAAGTTGGGCAGGACCATTTTGAATTTAGTGAATCTTCATTCATCAGTATAGGGACCAATTTCTGAATTGATTGAAGCAATAGAAGAATTAGTAAGATTAGAAATAATAATAGATAGCTGACATTAACACTAATATTGATGAAGTAGAATACAAATTTTAAGTACGCACAAACGAACATAATTCCTATGTGGCTTAAGTTGGACAACAATTGCAAGATGCTGAATAAGATATTGCAAGAATGATAGATGTCATTGACAATTTATTGATCCCAAGAAGAGACCAAATTAGAAATAAAATAGAGTCACTCATTGAATATGATGAATTTAATAGAAAAAACGTAGATGAAACTACACTGCTCAGAGAATAAGAACATGAAGCCTACCTTCAGTAGATAGAAGAAGATAATGATGCACTCGATGCCATTGATGATGCCATCAATTTGGTAAGTTCTTTATCAAACCCATCTTTGTTACAAATTAAGAATATCAAATTTACATTGAAAAGATTGTCATCCAAATAATGGAATCGTGTACATCAAGGACCTATGGTGTAAGCATTGCTATAAATTGCATTAAACTAAAATTTCAGTGATCAAGGAATATTGAAGCAAATTGTAGATGCATTAAATGAATTCAGAAATCAAGTTGTTGATGCTATGAATTCATTAACTAAACAGGAATAAGTTAACATCGAAGAATTCGAAGAAAGATTAGAACAACTGGATGAAGAACATAGAGAATTCCAAAGACAAATCAACTAATCCCAAGTTGAGCTGGATGCTACTAATTGTATTTTTAAATAGATATATAAAATCTAGAAAAATTAGAAGATTGCAATCAATTCCTTGTTCAAAGATAGGCCGACAGACTATAATACCAATCCCAATTAGATTTAGAAAATGAAACCTATGCTGTTGACACAGACATTTACACTCAAACTGCTAATGAACTCCAAAGAGAATTGCCTATCGCAGAATAAGGATTATCGCTCATCAAATCAGCTGATTTTTCTGATATTAAGATATGAATCATAACAATAATTATTTATTTAATAATGAAAAGCAAAATCAAAAAATAACCTCTTTAATATGCCATCAAATTGACAAACTTAGATTAACCCTTTGATTGCAAAAATCTCAAAGTTCTCAATCTTCAGGGAATAAAATTATCATAATTTGATGTAAAAGTGGAAAATCTATCAACTCTTATTTTAGATTTTAACAACCTTAGACATTTGAACATTGTCTCACAATTTCCTAATCTAATCACACTATCAATTGCTAATAATTTCATTGATGAATTCCATGTCCCTCCAAGTATTGTACCTAATATTATCAAGCTCTTAGGATTTTAAATATATCGAATAATCTCCTAAAGACTATTCATTTAAAATAATTGGAGCAACTAGATGCTAGTTCCAATCAATTATAATTCCTTTAATAAGATACTTAAAACAATCTCATACAACTAAAGTTAGATTGGCTGCAAATAATAAATTAAAATGATTTCTGGGAGCATTTAACAATAAAGCAATTTACTAATTAATCATAAATTACATTTAGATAGTTTTTGGACAAAGCCATTGAATAATTGCTACAATGTGGATTCAAAAAAGAAGATAATTATTACAATTAAAGAATTGTACACACATGTATTTTGAAAAATGATAAGTATTATTTTGATTTAATCCTACCCTATTATCAAGAAAATCGTCATAAATTTGATAATTCTGAAACTCCTTTATGTTTAGCAATAAAAAAGCTCAAAATGAATTTTATCGGAGATCTTATGAATAGCACTCATATCAAATATGAAATTGATGCATTTCATGAATCAATAAAATAAGGACAAATTTCGTTAGTTAAGTAATTTCTGGAGTTGGGGATTGATAGCAATGGGTATAATAAAAAAGGGTTGACTCCCTTAACTAATGCTGTATTGAATATTACTTAAGTAAATATGGAAATGATAATCCATTTACTTCTTTAAAGTTAAGCTAACCCAAACAAATTGAATTAAAATGGGTAATCCTTAATTCAAATGTGTATCATTAAATCAAATTTGACTGCACTTAGATTTATTGCCAACTTGAATAAAATCAAGTAAACAATCTTAAAATTCAAAATGAACATCAAAAATATTAATGGAGATTATCCTCTGCATTTAGCTGTGAATAGCATTAGCATCCTTAATTTTTTAATCAGAAACCAAATTGGTAATCCATTATAAATTAATTATTACAATCTAACAGCTAAATAGATGCCATACTCTTAATATAGAACCCTAATTTATAAGTTATTGCAAAAAGAAGAAAGAATTCAGATCTCAAAATAATTAACCAAAAATACTCTGAGATATTAAAATATTAATAAAGGTTAAGCCACATAAAAAGATTATAACAGTGGCAGTTCTTGTCCTGAACTATCTGATGATGAAATGCCCAATAAACCTAAAATTAATAAAAAGTATATTGCTGAACATTTCGATTTGAGTGAAGATGTAAGATAGCTATCTGAAGATGATGAGTGCTAACATAATTATAGTTCAGAATCAGAAATAGAATATCCAAAAGATAATTTATAGTCTCTCAAATTAGAACAAATAAGTTATTAAAATAATCAACTTTTTAAAAAAAAGTAGGATGTACGACAAAAAAGTATCTTAATCAATAAATTCAGTAAGAAAAGACTAAATACCATTTAATTTAATTATTACTCAAGGGAGGGATAAAATTTCAAGGATAAAATAAAATCTTTAGTTGTTTTAAGATAAGAACTTAATCTTCTGGGATATATGAGGCAATACTCAGATTTAATTTGTTCTGACTTTACTTCATATATCAATAAACTAAATCAAACTATATTCAATATAGAATCGGACTTTCAAAACGATTCTCTAAAAGATTATATGAATTTTTAATAAGTTTAATTTTTATTATGAGTTACTTTAGTGATATCAATATTAATTATTTAATGTAGAGTATTTAAGTCTCACTTGCTGATAAATATCCTGATAGAGTGTATGATTATAGTACATAAACATTAGTCCAATTTTGCTTGAAATTACAGATAAATCTAAAATTCGGTTTTCAGATGGATCATAATGCAAAAAATATTTGGTTAGCAAATCAGATCACTTTTATCACTTTTTTTAAATACTCAGAAACTCTTTAAAATTGTCAAAAAAAGAAGCCATATATTTGTTTGTCAATAATTCTGGATTGATTAAACCTGGTACTTAAAATTTCTTAATTAGAAAGTCAAGTTGGAGAAATCTATTCTAAACATCGAAGTAGTGATGGTTTTTTAAGAATTATTTTAAGCGAATATGCTACTTTTGGATGATATTTTTGAGGATCTAATATTATTTCTGAATAATTTTTAATATTTTATTTAAAATTTTACATACTTGTATATAACCAATAGACATTGCTTTCAAGATTTATATCATTTCATTAATTATAAGAAAAAGTATTTTGCTCTATAAACCAAAATAACTGTCCTTATTAATTGAATAACATATAATTTCAAATTGAATTTTTTCTCATACATATATGTTCTTATCTCAAAATTAGAAGTTCATGAGATTTCTAAATTTCTGGAAATATGTTGCCATCCCAATAATTCTTTATCATAATTGGAGGATCTTTGTGTTTATAAACATAAAACGAAGAGGATTTTCTCAAAAACTAGTTGGATAACAACACCTAATTGCAGACTTATTAATCCTTTGGACAAGGGGGTATTTTTTCAATTTCAATTTATTATTTTTCTGTGATAGCATTTTAATGCTTTTCTTAAGAAATAACCTTAAAAATTACAAATTAATTAAGCTCTAATTTCTTCTCTTGCAAAATTAAAAGTTTATTTTTTAATTTTGATTTGGAAATAGTGATATTTAAATATTTCGATATCGCAATATATGTCTACATATTACTGTATATAATTGATTGCATCAGCTAATAAATAAATCTAAATAGTTTACTAAATTAATCAAACTTTAATAACTCATTTTTTAATAGAATCAACAAAATTAGTGCACTGATAGTCAAGGCCTTAATTCCATCTATATATAACATTAACATAATGAAATTGGTTAACTAAGTTGGTATAACAATATACTTATGGTTTGACTTGATTTGTAAATATACATAAGTACCATTAAACTGTAAAAAAATCAGATTAAAGGTTTATTTTATGAAAATGCGTTTTTAATTCTGGAATATATTCTTAGATGTAATAATCCAATATCTATTAATCAGTTAATGCACTCAGAATATTCGTATAATAATCTATTGGCATAATAGTTTCCAAAATCTATGTGAATGTCCAAAAGGCATCTTCTAAATCAAATTTGAGAGTATTGACTAAATAGTTGACAATGAAGTTTTATCCCTAACAATACCCAATTTCAGGATTTCTGATAGAATAAGCAATTAAGACTGTTTCAATTTATTTTTCTATTTACTTTTTCTTTATTGAATCAAGGTGATTTAAAGTTCTAACAGAGTCCTATGATTCATATGGTGAATATTTACTAAATAGATGGGTTCAAACAATTCAGGAGGATACTTATCCTTTTATTCCAGCAATTTTTAAAAGACTCCTGTATTTTACAATTTAATTACTCTAGCTCCAGACAATTCTAATAAGACCCTTAATACAATAAATTAGATACCAATTGATGTTTAGATCACAAAAGTCTCCTGTTTTTAATAGTTTTTTTACTCTCTTTTTGATCTCTAAACAATAACATTCCTTAGTGTACAAATATTTTAGATGCTAAAGATTTTAATTAAAAATACAGTGTTAATTTACTCAATCACTAATTCTGGCTTATTTTAAGATTTCGTCTTAATTTGTAACTAATCTCTTCTGAAGGGTTTGAGTTGATTATTCTCATCTTTGATACTCATTTTCAAAGCTTCTTGAATATCTACTTTCATTTCGTCATTCAAGATCTTCTAATAAATATCGTTTTGCTTGTCTCTGATGTAATTTAATCGTTGAATAAGTAAATTCTTTCTTGGTTTTTTTTACATAATCAATTAATTAAATGAAAGAAAGAAAATGAATTAACTTATTTATCTAGATACTTAATTTATAAATGATGGGCATGAACAAGCATAACAATTAAGATGAATGAGATAGATTTGAATGATCCAAATAATGAGATTTTTACTACAATTTATCTTACAATAATAAATTATTTTTTTTGCTGATTTCTTAGATAATGGAGAACTAGCATCAATTCATTGTACTTGTGTTAGGAGATTGCAATACTGGGAAATCAACAATAGTTGGGAGGTATTTAGAGAACAAATTGGTTGACCCACAACCAACAGTTGGAGTAGTTAAAAGAGAAACCTAAATAGATATCGGTAATGGCAATTAGAAAGCTTAAGTAATTTCTGGTCTAATTAGATATATGATACATCTGGGAGTGAGAAGTTTAGAGCCTAAATTTTGTCTGAATTCAAGAATGCATCAGCTGTTGTGTTGGTTTATGATATCACTGATTATCAGAGTTTTTAAAATGTCTAGACTCTACAAAAAGGTATTTAGCAGATTTATCGCGAATTAGAGGTCATAAGATAGAATCCAAATGTAGATTATTGGATAGTTGTAGGAAACAAGTTGGATTTGAAAGAGCAAAGAAAAGTCCATGTTGACGAGGGAAAGAAGTTTGCCTCATAGATTGGGGCTAGATATATAGAATGTTCAGCTTAACAACCAAGCAATATCAATTTGATCTTCTTAACTATTTAACAATGGACTTAGATTAATATTTAACCGAAATATGTCCCAGAGTAAACTCAAAGACTTCTTGAGAAATTAAACAACGATGAATAACAAAAGCAATTGTAGACCTCTTCTTCAAAAAACAATTAAACCAAATTCAAAAATAAGAATACAAGTTTCTCTTTGATTTAGAACAATACAAATAATAATATAGTTTCGTCGTCATTTGATGATTAATAAAATTCATTTAATGGAGATGGCATGTAAGATTATTTTGCATAATTATTAAGAAAAACAGATTTGTAGACTCAAAAAGTAAATTAATGATATTATTAAGTTAGCTGATGTGATTGTAGAAGAAGCATAAGATAATGTGATTTAATCTTTGAGATAATAGACCCTTGCCATATCAAACTCTAAACCATTATATATTCTTGATGATGTCAATTCCCAATTATAAGAAAAAAATGAATATAAAATATCAATGATGAAAAAGAAACATAAATAATTAGATAAATTAAGAAAAGAAATAGCTTAAAACCTGTTACTTGTGTAGGAACAAAGGAAGAAGCTCTCAACTGATTAAGTTATAGAGAACACTTAAACTTAGAAGTTAGAGAAGGAATTGCAAAAGAGATTATTGAGTGTAGAACGAAATATGGATTTTTTGAAAACTGACATCTTACTCTAGTAAAAAACCTCGAAGTTTAGCATTAATAAAAATAATTTCCTGTCAAATGACTAATCGCAAATCCTCAAATAACATATTATTTCAATTCATAATCCTGAACATATTAAGGAGTAGAATGAATAAATTGCTAAAATTAAAAATGAAAGGAAGAAACTGGAGGAGTAAAGAAATAATAGATATAAATAATATGTTGATAATTTAGAAGCTCTATAAAAATAAGAAAAAGAAATGAGGCTAAAGAACGAATAAGACTTAATACAGAAGAGAAAAGAAAAAGCTATGTAGAAAATAGCTTCAATGGATAAATTAAGACAAGAACGATCCTAATAAATGATTAAGTAAAATGAATAGGTTAAATAAATTATTGGAACAACACCTTTGCATGTTAAATTGGAAAATATATTCTAAGAAAAGAATAACAACTCTTAATTAGAAGAACACAAATTAAAATTGAAATAAATCAGAGATCTGCATTAACCTATTAGAATGAATGACCTAAAATAATGGGAAGAAAATTACGAAAAGAGGAGGAAATCACAAGAGGAGATAAGAAATTAAAGGATTCTATAAAATAATCAAGTATCTTATCAACCTTCTTATGAATCCTCCATTTATAGATAAGTAAAAGAACAATAATGTAAATAATTGAAGGAGAAGGAATTAACTCACAAAGAGTATCTATCAAAGTAATAAGCTAAATAAGAATTTTTAAATAAACTTAAGGATTATCTTCCTTCTATTAGTCCTGAAAAGCAATAGGAATTAGAACAAATAATTAGTAAAGCACATCACAAAATCGATTTCTATGAATTCATTGAGATGACAAAAAAAATAAAATTAAAAGGAGTGTTCTTTGATAAAGATGGAAAAATTCTAGAAAGAAATGTTGATGTAAAATTCTTATGTAAATAAGATAGGAAGAATATTATGAGAAAATAAAAGAAAACGAAAGGAATGAAGAATAAAGTGCTAAAACAATAGGAAATAAGTATCTAAATGATGTACGGAGAATCATCAAAAAACCAAGTTAACATGAAAGTGTTGATAAATTATAAAGCTAATCTAATCCAGAATAGGGTTATTAATAAGCTGTTAGAAATCCTAAATAAAATAAGTTGAATGAAATCAAATCACATTGGAAATTAAAACCAAAAGTGGTTTTTGAAGAAACAGATCTTGAAAAGATCATAGATGGTAATGAAGGTAACACTATCAAATATTGAAGTGGCTGGATTCTCAAATCATCATGTTATGCAGGAGGCAAATAAACTAGCATCTGAAGCAGTCAGAAAAATATAGATTATAGAGGCAAAGGGAGAAGGGAAAGAATGCTTTAAGGATATAGAATCGGCAGATAAATTGTTAATTAATTCCATTAAGGTTGATATTTGATACATTAAATTTTAGGCTAAGCTATCTTTAATGGATAAGGAAATCAAATCTGAAAACAGAGGTATATAAATATCTTCTAACAAGAAGAGAGGAAGAAGTAATACTAAATAGCATGTATGAATCCATTTTACATATCATTAAAACTTATTAAATATTACTAAATATCTCTAATTCAAATATATGTGTTATCAATTGAATTTCAATATAACTATCTATATTAATTTGAACACCTTTATACGGTTTTCAAAATTAATAATCTTCAATTAAATTCTAATGCTAAATTTTCACTTAAAGTATTGATATTTTAAATCTTTAATTGAACTATTTACCATTATACAACAAATCTTATATCACAAAATTATGTGGTTTTTAGTCTCTAATCTAAATCTTTAGTTTTAAATATGTCAAATTTTGATTTCAAATATAAAATTAAATAAGATCTAAAATATAAGAAAACAAGAATAATTTATTAAATAGTAATAATCTTAGAAGGATAAACATAATAAAATCTGATATTATATCATAATTTAATATATCTAATAACTTTTCATATTAATTAATCAAATCTAATCTGTATATAGTCCAAATAAACCAAATGAAATTGAAATAATAGCAAAGAATATTGAAAAAATCAATGTAAACCAGGCAAAGCATTTCTTATATATATCAGCGTCGATCTTGAATTACTTATCCAAATATAAAATTGACGGTATAAGAAAAGTTACAAAATTCTATGAAGTAGATCCCATTAAGCAACTTAATAGTAAAATAGGAGGTTTAGCCATGGCAAAGAGGAAAGCCAATACATAAACGATAATAGTCACATACAATGAAAACTATTGGTTCTACTTGAGTTTGGCCTCTTCGTGAATAGCAAATGATTATCTAAATTTATGATTCATAGTCTATGATTTTTTATTGTCTTTTTCGTCTTCCTTATGAAAATCCCCATCAGTTATTAACATGAATTCAACATTCTTCTCTTTAGGAATCAATGGTTTTTTATCCCAAATATTGAGTACTAAAACTGTAACATATGGAATGTATTATAATAATTGCAATTGGGCACTTACTGCAATCAAAATATAGAATATGTAGAAACAGGAATTACCTAGAGGAGGGTCGAAGTTTTTCGATTGGTAAACCATTCTAATTAAGTTTCCGTACAATGATTAGAGGTCAACGTTTACAGAGCTAAATGCAATAGCAGCCAAAATTGAGAATGTTAATTCAACACATAGTAAAAACAACGAACCAAATAATGCACCTTATTTTAATTTCTTTTCGATGTCATCATCGCTCTCAAATCCTCTTTCTGATGCTCTCCCAGTAAAAAATTATGAGTGATAAGCAAAGGCCATCAAAATCGTGGGTGTTGAAATGAAGGATTATACAACTTTCTGACTCGAAGGGTAGAGAGTGTTGTTTATTGCATGTGTAAGGTCGAATGAAGCTATGATAATAAAGAAGATAGAAAAGACACCCAAAATCCTAGCAATGGCAACTATGTAAACTGGGTATTTCCATTTAACAAAAAATGGAATCATCAATAGACTACCTATGAATTATATGAACTGCTGTGATGCTAATGATTGGGCCCACTTGAATATTTGATCATATTTACCTGGTCTTTAATATTATTATTGGCCATCATATATATTAATGATTATATGGAAGACTGAAATACACTCATCAGTAGGACTATGTATAGATATGCGTTGAATATCATGATGCCACGATATATATCAGCTGAGTACTTGGGCATTTGAAATAGTTCAAATAACTTTGTTAGAGTTCCTTGCTTCTTCTTGGATCGAGCATAGTACTTCAGATCCAATAGAAGTAAAGATTAGAAGAAACTCAAAATAAAGAAAAACAAGCAACCAAACACTCCGAATATTATTCCAATCATTTAGAAATAAAAGGGTAGAGTCAATAAGCTGAACACAAACGAAGAATTGACCACTCGGAGCATAAAATTGAAAGTCTCGTTGCCTTTCTATCTATGTCTGCGAGGAGAAAGCATTGGACTACTGATGTCACCAGCTGAATGCCTTATTATTTAATAATCTACTCTAGCATATCGGATGAGCTCGAATTCTTCTTCTTCATTTAATTAAAATTAATAATGAAAAGAACAAAGGAAACTATCTTTAGACAACATCCTGACTGGTAACAAAGACAAGGAATCAGTGGCCTCAAGGAATTCGATGGCGAAGATCTGTGTATGTCTTCTCATTTTATGTTCGTTAGAATATGATGCTCGAAATAAATATAATAAAGAGTAACAGAAGCAATGGATTCAAGAGCAAATCCAAGAAAAGAAAAGAAAATAAGAATAAGAGAAGGCTGAGGAAATGGCCTATGCCTAACAAACTTTAGAAATCAATAGGTTTAGAGGAATGCTCTAAGATAACTTTGCAGCCAGAAAAACAGACATAGGCGTTGCTACTAAACAAACTAATCTATAATTCGTACTCATCTCATTCTAAACCACTAGGCTAAAGAAAAGAAAGACAAAGAAGAAAGAGACAAATAAGAGAAGTTATAATACGAAAAAAACGAAAGGGATTTATTACTTGAACGTGGACGTAAACAACCCTATAATGGATGATACAATGATTTTATTATCAAAAGTCAAACTTATGTCACATTCTATAGCAAAATGTTCCTCCCCTTAATTATTTCTACATAATTTTATTATCTCATGCATTTTATATTAAACATCTATTGATATCAGAAATGCTGAATCATAAATACNTCGAAGGGTAGAGAGTGTTGTTTATTGCATGTGTAAGGTCGAATGAAGCTATGATAATAAAGAAGATAGAAAAGACACCCAAAATCCTAGCAATGGCAACTATGTAAACTGGGTATTTCCATTTAACAAAAAATGGAATCATCAATAGACTACCTATGAATTATATGAACTGCTGTGATGCTAATGATTGGGCCCACTTGAATATTTGATCATATTTACCTGGTCTTTAATATTATTATTGGCCATCATATATATTAATGATTATATGGAAGACTGAAATACACTCATCAGTAGGACTATGTATAGATATGCGTTGAATATCATGATGCCACGATATATATCAGCTGAGTACTTGGGCATTTGAAATAGTTCAAATAACTTTGTTAGAGTTCCTTGCTTCTTCTTGGATCGAGCATAGTACTTCAGATCCAATAGAAGTAAAGATTAGAAGAAACTCAAAATAAAGAAAAACAAGCAACCAAACACTCCGAATATTATTCCAATCATTTAGAAATAAAAGGGTAGAGTCAATAAGCTGAACACAAACGAAGAATTGACCACTCGGAGCATAAAATTGAAAGTCTCGTTGCCTTTCTATCTATGTCTGCGAGGAGAAAGCATTGGACTACTGATGTCACCAGCTGAATGCCTTATTATTTAATAATCTACTCTAGCATATCGGATGAGCTCGAATTCTTCTTCTTCATTTAATTAAAATTAATAATGAAAAGAACAAAGGAAACTATCTTTAGACAACATCCTGACTGGTAACAAAGACAAGGAATCAGTGGCCTCAAGGAATTCGATGGCGAAGATCTGTGTATGTCTTCTCATTTTATGTTCGTTAGAATATGATGCTCGAAATAAATATAATAAAGAGTAACAGAAGCAATGGATTCAAGAGCAAATCCAAGAAAAGAAAAGAAAATAAGAATAAGAGAAGGCTGAGGAAATGGCCTATGCCTAACAAACTTTAGAAATCAATAGGTTTAGAGGAATGCTCTAAGATAACTTTGCAGCCAGAAAAACAGACATAGGCGTTGCTACTAAACAAACTAATCTATAATTCGTACTCATCTCATTCTAAACCACTAGGCTAAAGAAAAGAAAGACAAAGAAGAAAGAGACAAATAAGAGAAGTTATAATACGAAAAAAACGAAAGGGATTTATTACTTGAACGTGGACGTAAACAACCCTATAATGGATGATACAATGATTTTATTATCAAAAGTCAAACTTATGTCACATTCTATAGCAAAATGTTCCTCCCCTTAATTATTTCTACATAATTTTATTATCTCATGCATTTTATATTAAACATCTATTGATATCAGAAATGCTGAATCATAAATACAGCTGAAAGTGTTAACATAAAATTTACTACCATCTCTATTTTAATTCAATGTGGTGTAAACTTTAGAAGAATTATAACCCTTTTGATTCTCAAATTATAAGAATCTAGGATATTTCATAATAAACTGATTTATTATTGGAATTTTTCAATGTTTTATCATGAATTTTATAAAATTTCAGAATAATTTATATGATATATTTTATCAGGTCTTGTGATCTGAGTTAAAATGCAATATAATCTAAAGTGTAAATCTTATACTGAATTGTAATTATTTCCCTATTTTATCCTTATATTTCATTTCAATATATAAGAATTAAAACTAATACATAAAAGGAAGGTGAATTTAGCCTATTTGTTTCAATGAATGTTATTATAAAAATCCAGGCACTAACAATCTATTAATGAAAATTTAAAAATAAATATTAATTTTATAACAGACCATAATGCAAGTGAAGCGAGTTGTGCCAAATCCAATAGATAATTTTCATACAGAGCCTCGTTCATCCTAATAATCTTGTCATGTGACTAAATCTAAGCCAATAATACCCACTACTCCACTTTAATAATCAAAACCAAATAATTTAATCTAATCCTTAAATGGATTGTGTAAATACTTTAATCAGAAAGAAGAGAACAAATAAATTGCTTATTATGCACCGAAAAGCATGTAAAGATCATCTGCTTCATTATCACCCAGAGAAATCATGGCTTCCAATATTTAAGATAATAGTCCGCTTTTGGTAAAGTAACTGTTATATGGTAAAAAAGATCAGAAAGAGAATTTTAATCCTAAAGTAGGTATGAGTATAATGGAAGTAAAACAAGTGCCTCATTTGAGTATCAATTAAGACTAGAAATTAGTCAAGGTAAATGATAGTAGCCATAAAAAAAGTATGGGCAAGTTTGCAAGGAACTAAAAGTCTCGAAATGCTTCTGTATAATATCACGAAGATTGGAAATTAAAATATGAAGAACTGTAACAAAGTTTATGTGAAAGAATTTAATAATTAGAAAATGAATTGGAAGGCATGGAAAAGAATAGAAAAATAGACTAAATGCACTCTGATCAATAAACAAATCAGTATATTGAATAATTGCAATCTATTATTTCAGAAAAGGATTAAGTGATATACGAATAAGAAATAAAAAACGAGAAATTACAAAATATTGTCGATATGTAACAAAAGGAACTATAGAAATATAAGGAAGGCAAGTACAAAATCAACGACACTAATGAGATTTAAAGATTGTAGCAAATAGATTAAAAATTTCAATAAATCAAAGGACATCTACCAGCACTTAATATTACGCTTAAGAATATTTAGTCAATATTCGATGCTGCCTCGTCGGAACAATAAATAAACAATTTATCTCTATCCTCGGTCTCCATGGTTGAATTAATTAATGAATTTAATCAAGGTGTCGAGGAGAACACATAGAAGTCAATTAAAAGCAATACTTTAATGACTTCCAATCTTCTAGAGTAGAAACCAATAAATCTTTCAGAGATTCTAAATAAGAAGAGAAACCTATGATTTCAATAAATTTACAATAATTATGATTACTTATTAAAGTTAGTTGAACGATCTCTTAAATTGGAGAAATTCTCCTTGAACTATTGAATAAATAGTATAAATTTTATATATATATATATAAATGGATTTGCATGAATACAAAGAAAACTATTATGATGCAAATATTATGAAAAGAAGAAGAGCGTAAGATAAAGTGATGGTTGCTCCGATCCTGGAAGTCTTTATGGATATTTGTAAGAAACTAGATTATGTAATCAAAATTAATTTAAAAAGAGACATCAAAGGAATATTTATAGATGGTGATACCAATTAATGAATCAAAAGAAGCTCTTTAAAATACTGATCAAATTATCATATTGAATTACTTGAAATAGATTGCTATTTATCTGATAAAATCGAAATTAGAATTAGAGGATAAATTGTGCTCTCTTGGGGATAGCAAGTAATTTGAAATTGAGTTATAGAAGATGGAAGCAGACATAAGACAACACATAAGAGTGCAATAATAACTCTAAATCTTACTAGAATAAGCTTAATAAAAGCTAGATGAATTTGAATCTGAAAAACTTAAATCCGAATAGTTTATAACTGAATTAAAAAAAAGTCTTGATAATAAAGAAAAAGAATTGATGTCAATTAAGAACGAACTCCAAGACACAAAACACAAGGGAAATCAAAAGACTCCCTTCTAGGCAACCAAAACAGAGCCAATCTAATCATCCATGGACCACTTAGACAATCTATAACTCTTCACTTTGGTTGAGAATTCTCCTAATAAAAATAATTTTAATTAAGTGTAAGCAGCTATTCGTAAGGGACGCAATCAACAATTAAGCAAAGAACCTTAGAAGCCCAAAGGTGATAACACTCCTTAATTGAGTAAGTGTTGTTCCATAATTAAAGAGTCCTAAAATCAAGACTCCCCAGACAAAATAGCAAGGAAATATTCACAACCAAATTATATGGAGATCAATGCTCTTAGATAGTTAATCAAAAAACCATGGTAAAAATAATTATTAATCTATAAAAGCCCATTAAATTAGAGAAACGAACCTTAGAGTTTTAGAAGCATTAGCTAAGAGCCTTCCCGTGTCCCTAAAAAATGCTGATTTATAAAAGATTTATTTTTAATATTAACATTAATGAATTCTACAAAGTCTGAAATACTTTTTGCAGGATTCAATCAAGATTCAAGTAAACTATTAAAAAATCCATAGGCATGTTTTGTGTTGGCACTGACACTGGATTTCGAGTTTGCAATGCATTAAATTCAACTGAAAAATTTTAAAGAGACTTGAAAGGAGGTATTGGTCATGTAGAAATGCTATACAGAAGCAATATTTTGGCTTTGGTTGGAGGTGGCTTATAGCCCAAATATCCCGACAATAAAGTGATCATATGGGATGATCGTAAAAATACTATTTCTATTTTAGATCTTGTAAAATGCATTGGAGAAATGAGTTTCAGAACTAAGATAAAAAATGTTAAATTAAAAAATGATAGAGTGGTTGTTGTTCTAGAGAAAAAGATATTTGTTTATAATTTTACAGATTTGAAACTCCTTGATTAAATCGAAACATGTCCCAATCCAAGAGGTATATTAATAAAATTAGAATAAGGAATTTGCACTATTAATACAGAGGGAGATCATACAATTTTGGCCACATTAGAGAAATCTGTCGGCAAGGTTTTTGTAAACAATTATGACGCTAACAAAGCTTATTGTATAGAGGCTCATGTTTCTCCTATTTCATATCTTCAATTAAATTCATCTGGGACAAAATTGGCTACCTCAAGTGAAAAAGGCACTGTAATTCGTATCTATGATACAAACACTGGGTACGCTAATACATTTAAAATAGATAAATTTCATAAGAACTTCGAAGAGGAAATGATTATGCGACAATAACTAGTTTAGCCTTTGATTTCAGATCATAATGGTTAGGTTGTGCTTCTGATTAAGGAACTATACACATTTTTGCAGTTAATTAAGAAGGATAATAATAAGAATAGTAAACTCAGAATTAGGTTTCCCACAACCCAAAGAGTAAATTTGAATTTCTCAAGGGATTTATTCCCATATTGGGATCTGAATGGAGTTTTGCTCAGTTTAGAGTGCTTGATACAAAGTGCAAAGTGTCATTCGTGCCAGAAGAACATCAATTGATCGTGATTTCATATGAGGGAAAGTACTACAAAGCATAGTTTGATCCTTAAAAAGGTGGAGAATGCATAAAAGTGGAAGAGAAATACTTGATTAGCGACAAAGTTTGATTTAATATGTTAAATAACTCATAAACAAATTAAATTCTAATATCAAAAATATTTGTAGCTTAATGTCATCAGGATTACGAATAGGCTACGGCTCTTTTGGAACAGTTAACAGGAAATTTGGTTGAGAATTTGAATATGTTCAACAAGCATCCCAAAATCCATAAAATACTATAAGACAACTTCGAAATATTCCCTGAGAATTATTTAGTTTAACCTCAATAAATGGATGAAGGTATTGAACAATATCATAAATATTTGGAGTAGATTTGCAATTAGACAAGTAAGGAAGGTAAATGATTGAATAATGTTGTAGAGAAGAAAACCAAGAACAAGAATCCCTGGACTGAAGAAGAAAGGAGATTATTTAAATAAGCAATAAAAGAAGGATCATCAAAAGATTGGAAAGCTATGGCAGCAATCATAAAAACACGATCCCCTCCGTAAGTTCGTTCTTATTACTAAAAGTATATGAAAAAGAAAAGATAAAAATTAAAGTCAGAAAACAAAAATGTATGAATAAATATTATATATATATATAATTAATATATTTATGTCTCAATAGAATATATAGGTTATTAAATAGAGAACCAATGCAATCTAATAACATGAATGACAACTGGCACCATCCCACCTGCATTCAGCGTTATCTACAATGTAGCTAAAACTTAGACATTAAGTCGCGTATGTACCTTTATCACATGTTTATTGATGACAAGAATTGAGATGTTGACTCCAAAAACACCTTGGGTGATTTTAGCAATTCAATTCTACTGCAAATTCACTACAAACAAATTCAACGCATCCTGAATGAGAAGGATAACATTGTTGTTGACTTAATTTATTCACACTTGGACATTCGTATATACTATAATCGCTACACTTCTTGGTCTTACACTCATTATCTTCCCATTTACAATATAACTAGTTGCATGAATGGTTATATGTTATGTCTTCGCAATTTTCTAAAGCAATACAAGAGTCTGCATTTTCGCCATTTAAAACGCATTCGCTCGTTTTTATGCCAACTACTTGAATGGCTCCAACACAAAATTACACATCATAATCTTGACACAATCTCTGATCAGCATCAGAAACACAGATTTTCTACTAATAATCCCACCGGCATTCTATTTCAGAGCAATTTTCTTCGTTAGAATCAACTTCTTTAATTTCTTGTAATTCCTCACATCCTGACAATTCCTTACAATATCCTCCCGTTATGTTAAAGAAACACCTTAAATTTCCAGCAAAATATGAGCAATCGTCTCTTGTTCTTTCAAGACAATTTATTTCTTCGCATTTGCCAGATTTAGCTTCAAAATAGCACCCTCTAGCATCTCTACATAAGTCTTCAAAATATATATCGTTGCATTGACATTTTTCGGCCATGGAGGTATAGAGAAAATAGAAGACACAAAATAATAATGCCAACATTTTTATTTTTTAATCAATAGTATTTGAAACGATATATAAAAAATTAGCAATATTTTTAATTTCAAATAATCATATTGACGAGATTTTATTCATAATTGGAATAGCATTATTATGAAATTTGTATAAGATACTAGAAATTTTCCAGATCAACTATTAATCTTCAATTTACCATAAGCTTCTCTTGAATTTAGGATAAAGATAATTAAACTTAAACTCTGATTTTTGGTGAATTTTTAATTGCAACTATAATTAAAACCAAAAATTTATATTTTTTTTAAAGTATTCAATTTTCTATTACTAACAATCTATTGACTTATAAATTAATTTTATAGTCAAATCGGTAATGAAAATAATACAATAGTAAGGAAAAAAATTTATTAAGAAAATGTTTCAAATTCTTTTAATAATTTTTGTTATAAAGCAATAGAGAGAACAAATATTGGATATCGATTTAAATTCAAACGAATTATGTATTAATAAGGAATAATAGCTGCTTTTTAACTTTAAATTATCAAAATTCAATTAAATTAATATTAGTAAAATTTTCAGACAAGTTAATTTAGGTTTTTTAATTATCACACTCAGAATCAATAATATGACTTAATTTCATATATTAAATCTTGTTATTCTTGATTATAAATTCGAATTAAAATTATAGAACATCAAAATACCCTGTAAGTGAACTATATTTTAATAAAAAAAGAATAATGATTCATAAAAATAAAAGTATCAAAAATTCAATCCATTTTTGAACAAGATCTAAAAAAACCACTTGTTCTGATTAAGTCAAGTTCTTTCATGTTAAAATCAGAGAAGCATTAACCTTCTTTCACCCTGATTCCTTTTACATAATGAGATACACATTCTTAAACCATACCCGAGTAGCATCTGTCATCCCTTAATAAACCTTCTATAATTGATATTTAAGGCTCAACCTTTAATCGGATAATTTTATCATAAAAATTATAGACCTAAATGAAAAGTTCTTCTTCAAATTTTTCATCTAAGTCGCATTTGATATTTAAAGTATCAAATTATTTGATACCAATCTCAATCAAAGTCTTTGAATCATCCATTAGATTCCTTTTATGATATATATGCTAATGACTAATTGGAATATTATATTCATTTTCAATTTATTACTTAATATATGGTATTGCATTATTCCCTTTCGGATTTACAATTATAATTTTACCTGATAAGGTTTTTGCCAAAATTACTGGTTTAGATAATTTAATTTGTAAATTAATTGTTTAAGTTTGAATATCTACTAAATTACTAATCCCTTACTGATTCAAAAGGGGCTTTTAATTGATTAATAATGATGAAATTAACTTATAGGGAATATCGAAATGATATTGAATTTGATGTATGATTTTTTCAAAAGTAAAGTTTGGATTCAACTTTATAGATTTAGGTTTTTCATCTATGTCGAAGAGATTAATGGCAGTTTTATTAATATCTAAAAGAAAAGTTAGATCTTTCTTGAAATCATTTAATTTTTCAAAATCTTAAAGCACTCTTCCATAAAATATGATTTTTTATTAAGAAGGATCAATACCCTCTTTTTCTTAGACAAGCGTCTTAATTGTAAAAATGGTTTCAGAGCGTGATAATAAAAATTGCATCCTTTGATATTATTTATCTTATAATGTGATACTTATTTTAGTATTTTTTATAATTATTTCATCTCCTGACCAAATATTATTGTCAAGCAAAGTGGCATTACAATTTTTTATTTCTTCTCCATTAAAATAAATACAATCATCTTTTTCACCAAACTTCTATTATAAATCCTCTATTTTTTTATGAATAGGAAGGGTTACCTATTTTTAACTACGTTCATGTTTCATATCTTTCTGTATATTAACCTAAACCTTAATAGAATTGTTCTCTTTATATTATTAAAAAGAATTTAAAATGTTGCTTGAAGCAGAATCTAAACTCTTTTATAAATCTGCTATTATTTCATTTTTCTATTTAAAATCATTAACCAAAAGAAATGAGTATTTCTTTATTTCACCATAAGTTAAAGGTCTTATACCTTCTGAAATTAACTTTTTAATTTCTAATTGAATTTAATTGTGACATTGTGATTCTAGGATGGCTTTGCACTGCTTCACAATTTTATTCATAGATTCAAACATTTTTTATTCAATCTTCTAATTATTATCGATTTCATCACTTAATAATTTTAGCCTTTGATAGAACTCCTAAACAGTCATTAATTCATTTGATTTTAATTCATTTTTCTTATCACAAGAAATTAAACATTAACAACATATTTTTCTTTAAGGAAATATCTTAGGATTCAGACATATCATTGAAATAGGAAATTATGCATGTTCCTCACAATATTCTTCATATTGTATCATATAAATGAGAAATTATTTATAATAAAAATAATAATATATAAAGGTTATAGATTTTAATATTTCAATAGTTAATTGCAGAATCATTACAATGAAAATTATCTTTTTATGGAATAATAGTTCTGCCATTTAATTAACAATTATCTAAATAATGAAACAAAATTAGTTCTAAAGTAAGACTATAGAATATTTAAAGTGCAAATCCTAACTGCAACTTTGCCATAGATCTAACTTTTTTAGAATTCATTCTCAAATAAACTTCATTGACTTGTCTAAATTAATAAAAATGGTATAAGTGATTGAATTCTGAAAATATCAGTAATATAAATAATACTTAAATATTTTTATCAACTGACCAATGCAAATATATAAGTTGTTATATAGTAATTTAAACAATTATGAAATAATCGTAAGTGAACAAATTTCTTGCAAATATGACTAATAGACAATATCTTTAGAGTGTGGCATCTCCTACAACAACTGCTCCAAGCAAACACAAAAAGAATGGCAGCTCAACTATCATAACTGGAAATAAATATTTGGTATATGCTAAACATTCTTCCAGACTATTCAAAGACTCTTCTTCTAAACTTCCACTCTTGACAACGGTTATGAAAACTGAATCTTAAGATACTCCTAAAACAGCAATAATGAGAACACGCAAAACTAGTGCAAATTTAGGAGACTTTCGTATTACACAATTACACCACAGAAATAAAACTGAGACTATTCTACTTTAAAATAACTTCACCATTTTAAAACAAGAGGAACTCAAAGATAATTTTGAGGAAATCTAAAAAGAAGAATAGCCTCAAATACCTTAGGTTCAAAAATCAATAGAACCAATATAATAATCTTTTGTTACAACTCATATACGTGATTCAATTAAAATTTTACCAAAAGTGCATTTAACTGAAGTTTTAGGCGAGTCATATCATTTTACATAAATCAACTACAATAGCTCTAAAATAGCTAAAATTTAAATTAAATCATAGATTAATGAAATCGAATCATTAAATGAAAAGAGTTGCCATCTAACGAGAAAACTTACGCAATTATTGAATACACATAGAGAAAAATAAAATTTGGTTGATGTTGAAATCAAAAAAAAGAAAGAAATTCCTAATTTCACAGACCGTGTATTTACTTAAACCTTGAGTAACATGCCTGATGAAAGAAGTCCAAAAATTAATGAATCCAAATTTAATTAAAAATTGAGCACTATTGCCAAGAAGCAATCCAAAATAAACTATAATTATAGTGTTTAAGAGACTGAATCACTTACTCCTTTGAAAACTATAGTAGAGGCTCTAAAGAATGATAGGAAAGACAATAAAGAAAAAAATAATAGTGAACTCCAATAAACAACCCAACAAATTTCAAATAAAAAACTTAAAATCACAGTTATTTATGAAGAGAATGAATAATAAATAGAATTTCATTTACCTAGCTACATTAATGAAACTTAGCAATACCAAGAGTAGATTGAAGTTAAGGAAACCAAACAATCTAATATTTATTCTTTAGTTTCAAAATCAATGCTTCAAAAGTAAACGATGTCCCAATATTTTCTAGCAAATTTGCTTTGAGACTAGTCAAAAAGTTTGGAGATAGAGTCATCTAAACTCAAGAAGATAATGATGCAATTGAAAATTTTAATTCTTTTAAAGCATCCCAATTCACTAGATATTATCTCTAAAATCATATCTAAAAATGTTTGGAAACTAAATATTAAACCAAAATTGATAATGATGGTATTCAAATCAATAGATACGAAATATTTGATTACCCTGTCTGCTAAGAAACCTATTATGAAATGCTCAGCAAAAGTTCTAACTAAGTTGGAGTAGATTAGTACAATATTTAAATCAATGTAAATATTTCTTCAATATAAGAAAAGCAAAACTAAAAGACTATGTGAAATTCAAAATACCTTCTACTAAGTTTCTTAGAAATAATTCGATTTGCATCAAGTTGACAATAGCATCTTAAGTCCTTCTGGATCATAATTAGATTTAAGTGATCTTGAAATGCAAAACTACTTTAAGATTAATTACATTTATTATATCTTAAATTTAGTTTCAGTAAGCGATTTAAAGTAAGCTCAATTAAGATTAATTGTCAACACTATAGACGATGAAACCAAAAATAAGTTCCTACATGAAGAGTTAATGAAATTTCCTGAAATCATAAATGTTATAACTCAAAATTAAGAAGATCTTGATATTCAATGTATCATTGTTTTTTATAAAGAGAGTTATAGTTGATTAATCAATTAGAAACCAAATTGGCTTCAAGAGATCAAACCATAATCAAGAATTAATTTGCAAACAAGTTTTACTCTCTTTAGGTTGGTTTTTTTGAAGATTATTTTAGTCACTAAGTTAGTGCGCTAGAAAAAATATATATTGATGATTGCAGAACCATGAGAGATCTCGATAAACTCAATATCAAGGACAGAATCAAAACTGAGCAACATTCTAATCTGAATATCCCTTCTATTTCTAGAAGCCGACTCGCCTCCCCAACAGGCTCTGTATTTATATTAAATTATAACAAGAGTGAATCCAAAACCTTGTAAAAAGAATTGAATCCTATGATAACCAAAGGATTATTGCTAAAGAAACACAAAAGACAGAAAAATTTATTGACCACTCAAAAATTTGCTACTTCCACGAGAGTCATCCAACAAGGGAGTTCCAGCAATTTATAAACCTTATTGCATGCCAATACAAATACAAACACAAACACAAACACAAACACAAACATAAACCCACTTCTTAATCAATAAAAAAGCTAAAAGTTCTAAACTCAATAAAAAGATACCGAACCTTAAGTAAATAATAATGAAACCTAAAGGAATATTTAAATTAAACAACATTTTAATTAATAATCATCTATGGATCCCTCATCCTTATTATTTAGAAATATGTTATTATAGGAAAGCTCTTAGAATGATAAATCAAATATCGAAAGAGTCTTCTCCTTAATCGAAGATCATAGATTGATAGATTTAAAAGATTTGCTCCATCATGATCAAAATATAAATATCAATACCCAAGATTAAAATGGCAATACATTTTTAATATGGGCAGCTAGGACTGGAGCAAGAGATGTTATATAATTTTTATTGCGCCAAGGAGCAGATATTTCAATAAAGAATGTAAGCATACTATCTAATTAAACTAGAACTCTGGTATAAATGCTATTTAAATGGCTGTAAATAACTACCATTATCAAGCAGCAGATGAAATAAATAGATTTGGTAGATCGAATTCTTACATAGCAAATTGATAACATTTGAAATTTAATTTAAATATATTACTTAAAATACATTGAGAAATTAAGATTTTTATAATTTTCTTTAGAATCTTACCTGTACGATTGTGAGAACTATTTAACATTGCATAAATATCAACAAAGTGAAGTGTTTATAAAATATCTTTTCTTTTTTGAACAAATAACTTAATCAATAAATTGTATTAAAGAGTATACTGAAAATTTGTTATCAGAAATTGAATTTGTAAACAAGATCAAATATCAAACTACTCCATTGACTTTTATTAATAAATACAATTTCTATTCAGCAATTTTTCCTCATTTGTTAATAATTTGTAGTGCAGAATGAATAAGTAAAGCTTTCACTGAAAATTCACAAGAAATGTGCGCTAATGATATCATATGTTAATCATATTAATTTTTCAATACAAACATAATCAATAAAATCTTAACATTCTGAAGGTTAAGAATCAATCTATTTGATTCTTATAGAATTTTTCATATTATTTTATCGAGGAATCGGCAAAGTTTAATTTACTCGAAAGGACTAGTTGCATTTCTTATTGATATTTTCAGTCTTTTGTTATCTGAATTATAATTATGCTTTAGGTTTCAATTACTTAATTCTTGGATTGAGATTAACTTATTTTAATACTAAAAGTTGAGAGCTTTCCAAAAAGGATGGAGATTTACTTGCTGGTGTTACTGGTAGAGTTGTCATATGTCTTGAAGTCAAAAATTCTAATTTGTTATTTTATCTTGATGATGATGTTTTTTATTTCTCATCCTTTCTTGATCCTACTATAGTATAATAAGGATTTCGATTTGGAATCTCAAATAAATGCATTCCAAAAATAATTTTCTATCTTCTTTATATTTCACAATAAGTGACTGTCGGTTTAAACATAAAATAAATACATAATATTGATTAATATTGAATTGGAATATATCAATTTACGCTCTATTCAGTTAGCTTTTAGATTCATCTTAGAAAATTTTTATTCTTTAAATAAGTTCAAAAACCATAATATGCTAACTTATCATAGATTTCTATTCTTGGTTTATCCAGGTATTAATAATTTTGCTTTCCTCTATCAGTTTTTAATTGATTTATAAGAATTCATTAAAAGATATATTAAGGAATTTCTTAAGATAAAGGATTTACTAATACTTATTCTCTCCAAAGATAATGAATTAGTTATTCATATTTAAAAACTATTTAAATTATGAAATAGTGTCTACCACCTTGTTAATCGTAAAGGGTTACAAAAGTAACCACCAATTAATTAAATGACGACCTTCAAATAGTCAAAACAAGTATTAATCATAATAAATTTGATTTATGATGAATGTGAATTCCTATAATGGCAATTCATAAAAAGAATGATATTTTTATTATTTAAGTCTCCTAGTTATTCAATATTAAAAAAAATTTAATTTAGAATAGAAATACAATTATTTGTTCTTTGAACTTTTATGCAATCATTAATATTATACTGAATTGAAATTTTCCAGTTAGATAAAGATTTTTAAATTCAGCTTGTTAAGAATTTTAAGTTTTCAGTTTGTCTTAAAATCAAATATAGATTGAAGCTTATATTAAGATATTCTCAGGCAATTCTCAATTTTGCGAAATAAACTAAAATGAATTAAATAAATAAATCTAGTTATTTAAATAGGAAAGCTATAAGCCTTTCCTAGAAATTAATAATATCACACATCATTTTTATTTTAAGAAAGATAAAAAATTTTTTATTTGAGCTTCAAGTCACCTTTATTTAATGTGTTTGCAATTTATTAAAATCTAAAATAATAGAAGATATAAGGAATTCAACAACCATATCAAATATTTCAAAAAAATTTGATCCATTTTTTATACGCACTTCTAATTTAAACTGCATTTTGAGCAAAATAAGACAGTTAAATAGCTATTGTAGCTTATTTATAATAAGTAACTATTTTAAAATGATAGATTTAATTTTATCTGAATCTTTGGAAATATTTTGAAAAATAAATAAATTTTATTTATCAACTTAATCTTGCTTTGAAAATGAAAATAAAATAGGTAATTAGTATTTCTGATTTTATTAATATTTTATAATTAATTTATAGATGCATTTGAACATTCTAGGGTCTAGGAAACCCAGTTAGGTTAACAGTCCAACCTCTTTAAAGAAGCCCGCGATATCTTAACTTCTCATTAATTTCAGACAGCCTATCAATGTTCCTAACAGTTCATAGGTATCGCCGCAGAATTCTGAGCAAAATCTTCAAAAAGCATTACATTCTCATAAAGGATCTCAGATCGATGTTGCAAATTTAACTAAATTGATTAGACAGAGCAAATCACCAAATTTAGAACTGAATGATGCATAAATCAATTAGAATTAAAGCTCATAATAATTATAGGCATTATTTGCCAAAGCAAGAGAAATTACTTAAAGTAAATCAAAACCACCAATAATTAAGCAATAAGTCCAATCAATTTAAACACAATCTATTAATCAATTAAAAGAACTATTTAATGATAATTTATATTGTAGAAACACATTTCATTTCCATTTTGTGGTTGGTATAGGCGGTTTTGGCAAAGTGTGGAAAGTTGAGCACAAAAAAACTGGACAAATATATGCAATGAAAGAGATGTCAAAGGCATTGTAATAATATGAGTTATCGTAGAATTATCACAAAAAAAAGTGTAAATTCAGTTATGAATGAGAGAAAACTGTTGAGTGAATTGAAACATCCCTTCTTAGTTAATATGAATTACGCATATCAAGACAGAGAAACACTTTATTTGATAATGGACTATATGTCTGGAGGTGACTTAAGATATCACATTGGAAAAATGAGAAGATTTAATGAAGAATAGACTAGTAAATTTACAACTAAAATTTGAGGGTTCTTTGTGGCCTGCATATTCTTGAGTCTCGAATATGTGCATGCAAATAACATAATTCATAGAGATATCAAGCCAGAAAATTTAGTTTTAGACAATAAAGGATATGTTCATTTGACTGATTTTGGTATTGCCAGAGTTATGAAACCAGAGAATTCTAATGACACTAGTGGCACACCAGGATACATGGGTACAAGTTCAAATAATCTTTTAGCTCCTGAGGTGATGTACAGGTAAAATCATACATTTGCAGTTGATTTTTATGCTTTGGGAGTCATTGCTTATGAATTTATGTTAGGAAGAGTACTTATTAATATAAATCTTAGAGACCTTATGTAGGAAGATCTAGATAGGAAATCAGAGATTCAATTATGGCCAAATAAGTTTAAATTAAGAAGTCTGAGATACCAGAGAACTGGTCATTAGAGGGCGCAGATTTTATAAATAGAGTAAATTTAATATAAATTATTTAGCTACTCTAACGAAAACCTGAAAAAAGATTAGGCTTTAATGGTAGTTAAGAAATCAAATAACATTCTTGGTTTAAGAATTTTCCTTGGCAAAATTTAGAGAATTTTGAATTAGTTCCCCCCTTCCAACCAAATGTATTCCATTTATGATATAAAATAGAGGACTGAAGACAATTTTGATTAAAAATAAATATTAATTGAAGACGAAGAGAATAACGAATTGATCTAGCAGAATCTTCTGGTTTTGAAAGATCCTTCCTCTGTAGGTATTAATGCTTAAATAATTAAGAATTATTTTAGGGTTATGAATTTAATGCTAATCAGAGTATTAATAAAAATTCATCAACCACTGATTAATCGTCAAGTTCATCATCTAAGCATAGTCGAAATTTCAGCTAAAATATTGAAAAATAATAATTCTTTGAGCATGCTCATAAATGATTTAAATAATCCTATTCATTTAGTATATTATAATTATTTATAATTTATATATAATATTTAATAATCATCATTGATTAATCAGATTTAACCAGTTTAGAAAATTCCCAGAAATTTAGTTTTAATCCATTTTCCTTTAGAAACAATTCAAAAATAAATTTTTTCAATGAAATTTTCTAGAAAGGTAGCAGAAGATTAACAAGGCAATCAAAAAATGAGAAAAATAAAGAAAGATAACAAAAATACTAGTGAAGAAAAAAGGATGTAAATGTTAAAATTAGTAATGCTGCTAACAGATTTACACAAAGATTTAGAAAGATTAGATGAACCCTATCTTTCAAATTTCAATGAATGTTAAAAATAAAATGCAAAATAGAAGTTAAAGCCCCTTAACTTGCATACTAAATCTGAATCAAATTTGAAGGAAGAATTAAAATGAGAGCAAACTTGAATCAGATTATATATTTAAATCTTATTATTTAGTAGATTCATATTAAAACCCTAATCATAAAGGACTTTTTGAGTAATGAATATTTTTATTTTCTTTTCAGTAAGAAGTTGTATTTTATTTTTTCCCTTCACATACATCTATTTGTTTACAGATGATATTATAGAAATATGAAGTAAGATATTTTGAGATAAGGATTTGAATTCCTAAAATTAAGAAATTAACTTGTCATTTATACTATGATAATCAAAATTTTTTTAATTATTATTTTCTCAATTCTCAATATTTACATTAGAATTTAGGCTTCTCTAATAATGTATTTTCGAAGAATTTCACTACCTTAGCAACTTTTTAGTCCTTATCATATAGAATATTATGGAGAATTAACAGAGCAAGCTGGTTTAAGAACAAGTTCAATCCTTTTTTTATGTTTTATTCAACTTTTCACTTGATGGATAGAATGCAGTAAACGATAATTGCAGAATCTATACTTATTGGTATCGGATTAAATTTTTATTCATCTTTAATGATAAAAAGACTAATGAGGAGAGAAAGATTTATTTCATAAGTAATTATATAAAGATTGTTACTTGTTAATAATCCTATTAATAAAAAAAATGATAATTAAAGAGGATTTAAATTAGTTTGACACTAAATCGTAGATAATATCAAAGAAAGAATTGTAATTAAATGCTACAGATAAACTTATTCTTAATTTCAAAAGAACCTTAGCCTATATCTAGAACTTGAAAATTAATATAATTTTCGATGAATATACATACTAATCTTCGTAGTTAGAAGATTAATACCAAAATTAACAACAGGACCTTGATATTCCAATTAATCATATCCCAAGAAGATCTAAAAAAGGAAAAATATTACCTTAGAACTAGTCATCGAAAATATTTTAAATTTGTTCTTATTGTAAGAAATAGATCCTATCAGAAGTTGGATTGGGAGATAATTTGAAAAAGAAGAGAAAAATTTGATTTATATAATATAAAATAATTATTAATTCAAATTGATTTTTAATAATACTAATCTAATTATATAAAAATTTAATGGATATAGAAAATTAAAATAATGAAATTGTTTTATAAATCACTCAATTTACTCTAGATTTTAAGGTACTTTATTTCTATATTTGGATAATTCAATATATGTCCAAATAATTCGCAAATCTTCAGGTTCCATATATTTAAGATCTTAATCTTCATATGCCATAATTCTTTTAAATTCATCGCTTACAGCATCAAAATTAAATTGATGGTACATTAATAAATTTTCTAATAATTCGTCGTGGTCTATAGTCCAACCTTCTCTCTTTTATTTCCATTCCCTTAGTTAATTTGCTTTTTTATCAATTTTTGGCATTTAAGGAGCTGAATCCAAGTTAATAATAAATTTCGACTTTTTCTTTGGCTATTAGTACTCTTATTCTTGTTCTTCTACTTCTTCTGGTTCTAATTATTAAATAATTAATTTCTGTTCTACATTATTATGATCACACTTTTGATTAATTTATTACATTTCTTAATTGAAATATCTGTCCCTTATTTATTTGGCTTCCTTTTTTCATATTAATAATTTTACGTCCTCAGTTTTATTTAAAATGACTACGTTTCCTTCATCATCCTTAGTTGTTAAAAAGCATTAATGAGGAGCTATAGTGTCAACTTGATATTTTTCTAATTCAAGTTCCACGTTTTTTAATTCGTTTTCTTTTTATTCTAATAATTCATCAACTTCTTCTCCATCAAAATACTAAATCTATAGTTACCTGATTTCTTTGCATAATTGTTGTTATTAATTTAGTAATTAATTTCTTGTTTCTCCTCTTTATTATCTTTCCAAGGTCTATAAATAAATCTGGTGATCCTATTCTCTCTTTTGTTCAATTTAAGATACTCTTTCTTATTATTCAGCTTCTTTTCCTCCGATAAACCAAGCCTCGCTGATTTTACGTTCTCCTGGTGTTACTGGTTTATCATCCAGAAATTGTAAAGTCTTTATGGCAACTACAATGGTTTTTCTATAATTTGGACATTCTCTCACTTAATTTAATTGAAATCAAAAAATACCAAAACTATTTGATTTTAAATATAAACAACCGATATTTGTCGATTAAAAGATTGAAATAATGGGTTCTTCATAACTAATATGATTGTTTGAAAGATCTAAATTCTGGATTGATGGACAATCTTAAATTTCCATTAATGATTCATAATTGGTCAATTGATTATGGGATAAATTAAGATTTTAGAGTTTACTCAAGGAGGCTATGTTCTCAATTTTCTTGATTGAATTATGACTTAAATTTAAAGTAACTAAGTCTTATAATGCAGAAACATTTTCTATTTTATCAATCAAATTATGATTTAGAAATAAGCTGATTAATTTCTTAAGTGAACACAGTCCTTCTATCTTTTGTAAAGCATTATTATTTAACCACAAAGCAACAAGATTGAAATATGGTTCAAGATTTTCGATCTTGTCAAATCCTAGATTCACTAAAGATGAGAGTTACCTTTGAAATGCAAATATAAAGTGTCATTGTTTTCTGGATTCTAATACAGTCCTTCTCTTTCACATATGATTTTCAAATTCTTCAGATTCATAATCACAGTTCCATTTTAATTTCTCTCAAGTGTTTTATTCATAAATTAATATAAATATATCATAATTTCTATAATTTCACAAGTTCTTTGACATAATCATTAGGTCTCAATAAGAATGTGCTTCCAATAACTAGGTTTTTGTTAATGACTTTGTTGTTCATAAGACTCCTGGCCTCATTATACCCAATACCTCCAACCACAAAAATAAGCTGGGAATAAATAATGAAATTCTTACCAATTTATCTTATTCATCAAAGCCCACATCATCCTACATCAATTTGATTTATCCCTTTTATCTAAGAGATTTACCTTGGCCTTGAACATTGGTTTATTCATTTAGTACTATTTTTTCAAAGTTTCCTGAAGTCTAAAAGTCCTTGAGTATTAACTCTTCTATTTATTATTCGATGATAGGAGTATTTCTGCATAGTTCTAATGTTTCATTGGCCATTTTATTTTTAGCATACTTTCTGACCTACTCATTAACTCTTTTGTGAGACTAATTTAATAATAGTGTCAATTACTTTGCTTCCACTATTTTAGGTTTGGATTCCCATTAATTTTAGATTATGTATAGCACTTTACATTTCAACCGATAAAAGGTCTGTCAATTATCTCCTGTCCTTCTCACTCACGTCAATTTGGATTATGGCTGATAAGATAAGACGTGCATAATCAAATTCATTTAATTTTGGATTTCTTAGTACTTGAATAATCTAGTAATGATAATTTAATAATATTACTCTTTAAATGATCTTCTCCCCTGCTACTGAGGATCCTTTCTTATCACATCCTGTAGCTAAGGTCTACTCTAACTCTCCAACCTCTTGTAGATCCTTCTGTCGATATAAATCTAAACATTTTTCAACAATTTCCATATGCATGGTGTATTTTGCCACTAATTCTTAGTATTAAGGCATGGTTTTAACAATTTCAGTCATTTACTTTAATGTCAAGTTTTAATCTTTATCCTTGGCAACCTTGGCAGCTGTATTGGTTTACATAAATGTTTAGAAATCACTGCTCACTTCTTCCAATACATCAGCAATATGTTTAAACTTATATTTCTTGAATAACTCATCTTGATCATTAATGATTTACTTCTTAGACACTTTCTTCTCATCGTATTACATATCATATTAATAAATGTCATTCTCTATTTCCAATAAATCATAAAACATTGGTTAATAATAGAAATCATGCAATAATGGTGACAATACATCTATTGCCCTGTCTACTATCACCAATCTTACCTTTCCACATGTTTTATCTTTGTGATCATATTGTGAACTGTTCGATCTCTTTAGAGCTTCTAATATTTCTCTTAATCTCCCTTATGTAAATTAAGCTAATTATTAACAGATTTTCCAATTGTCTTATCTAAAAATCAATTCGAATGTATAAAATTTCTCAAATGAAACCAAAACTGTACAGATTTTTTCAGCCATCTCTTACAGGATAACATTTCCTTACTTTAGGTAAATACATACTTCCTTTATACACTTCTAAACCGAAAATCATGTCAAATGAGAATAATTACTCATTAGTACAATTAAAGTCTAAATTGAATACTTTGCAAGTCGATAATTTTTTGACTAAATTCTATTCAGATTGCATCCTTTGGGCTATTCCTTATGGCATTTTATTATTGAAAATCACATGTGCACATTTGTATTGTGGAAACTGAGCATTTGCAAAATCCTCTATCAATAAAGCAACGGACTCTTAAGTTGGAGTAATAAAGTAAATTGCTTCCAAATTAAAAGGTTTTCTTTTCAAATTTAGATTTTCTACTGCATTTATTCCTTATTCCAATAATCTTATATTTAATTTCATTTATACTCAGACATCTTCATGTAAGCAGAAACTATTTTCAAAGTTTTCTGATCTACAACAAGAATGGATGTTGATAAATTAGGTTGATTATCAATTCTTAATTGTCTAAATAAGTTTTTCATCCTTTATCTGCAAACTTCCTTCAGAGAAAATTGTGCTTATTCCATTATAACTTTTATTATTATTATTATTAATTTAATAATCAATATATATAATTACATTCCATCCTTTTAAATATTGAAATTCTTTTAATTTATGATCATATCCATTAATTGTATAACCACCATTCGATTATATGCAAATAAACTAAAATTAATTAATCCGACTTAGACTCAATCATATCAATCATTCAGTAGAGAAACAATTGAGCGAATCTATAATACAAAGACTTATGAATTATGTAATATATCTATTCAAATAATTAATCAATCATATGAAAATTTTCATTAAATTGACAATTTTTAAAGTAGATCTTGTTTTTCGAGATTTTGATTATAAAATTAAATTGAAATCTAATAAAGTGGATACCGCTATTAGAATACAATAACTGAATCGAATTCTATTAGAAATTGAGAGAATTTAATGAAGAGTAATTTTCATTTATAGGTTAAATAGAAATGGATGAATGTAGATGTCCAAATTAAAAAGTATAAATTTAGGAGATCAATTTTTGATATTGACTATACTGATTTAGGATATTTGAATTTAAAGCAATACTCCATTGTAAAATATCCATTAATAATTTAAAATATTGATGTTCATGCTAAATCTAGGTTAATAAATGTTAATTACTAATTTATTCTCTAATATTATTTTTGCTTTTAATTAAAGAATATGGAAACAAGAGCTAAATCAAAAAACTGCTTTGTTATCAAAACACATCTAACTTAATAATTACTGACAATCCGCTCTCCTAAGATGAGTAGCCAGAGATATTTTACTAAACTAGGCATAAACAAAGATCAGAGGTAAGGCTTCATAAAATTATTATCGCCAAATGATATGAAATCAAACATAGAAATGTAAATAATTATATGATTAATTTTGTAGACTCAAAAGAAGTCGTAGTTCCGAATCAACATTGGAAGGGACCCTAAATAAGAGATGTTAATATTTATTTTTAACTTTTACTCAATAAAAAACAAAATACTAGAGACATTAGTTTTGTATTAGAAAGTGGAGAAAATTCATCCTTTGTGTTTAGGCCATTCTTTTTCTGTTCAAAGTTGCACTAGTTCAATACAAGATCAGAAGCATTTCTCCACCAAAAATGTCAATATGTCATCAATTGACACATCACCATCCCTACCCTGAAAGCCCCACAAACAGAAAAAAAAAGAAGAGTTACAGTATAGAGACTAAAAATAGAAATTGTAGTTTTGGCGAAAGAATTCAAACCTTGATCCTCCATTAAAAAATGAAGTTTGAAGCTCAAAAGAATAGCACGTATATTCGACAAATGAAAAACTCTGATATAAGATTAACTCGGTTGATCAGTTAAAAAGCATTCAGCACTCACTCGTTACATACAACAATTGATAATTCCAAGTAATTACCTGCAATAAATAAGCTGGAGTATACTGAAAGACCATGTCTAATTTCATCCTAATCAAAAAAAGTTTCTCTAAAATTAAAGAAAATACATTGAAATAATTTACTCAAATAATTAATTGTACATTATTTTATTATAATATTTCAATAGCCCAACTTCTCTAATTCTGCATTGATGCTAGTAAGTTCTTTAGCTCCAATAGCCTTTCTTCTAAGATTTTCTCTTTGAATTTTTCTCTTGTAATATGTTGTTCCTCTAAAACATTAATTGATAAATAATACCTTTATTTTCTCTTCTCTTCAAGTCTGTTAACAACTGCTTATGAATTCCATCCGACTGATGCGCATAAATCACCCAAAGAGCAGAAGGGTCTGTGATTCTTGAGTCTGATCAATTTAATGGCATCTGGAATAACTTGTCTCTTTCTTGTGTCATAAGGAGGGGGGACACCTTCGAAGACTTTCAATCTTTCAAGGGCAGCTGCTCCTCTCTTTGACTTGTATTGAAGCATTCCTCTGACAACCTTCCAAAAGCATCTTGATGGTGTTCTATAGTGCTTGTATCCTCTTCTGGGATTGAAGGCCATTCTCTTATTTAAATATTCTTCGAAGATGACTCTGTTTCTGAAGAGAGATCCTTCAATTATTAAGATCGCTTACCTGATTGTTAAATCAACTCGGTTCTGACTACAACAATTCTTTATCCTCTCTACAATTCCTTGGCAATATAAGAGGCTAATCTACCCAACAAATGGCCTTTTCCGTCAATCACTATTTCCTTCTCAAACATTTAATTTTAAATAAATTTTCAAAATGATTTTTATATGATAAAATACTTAGCACCCACTAAACCATTCATTATTAGATATACTAAACTCTAATTCACATTTAATTTATTTATTCAATAACATTAACATCCTCATAAATCAATCTAAAATTGGCCTCACTACTAATCATTTCAATAAATGAGCTTATTTCTACAAATTGAGCATTTAAGGTTCAATATCTCACTATATGGTATTTAATTTTGTCAATAAAAATGATTAAATCTATTAATTCAAAATATATGTGCAAAGAGAATGTGGGAATAGAAAGATTTATAATAAATCCTAATGATCACTCTTTAATTTATATGCTATTGCTTATATTTTAGTTTCAATTTCTTTCCCTTTTGAGGATTTTTTATCTTTCTTTCTTTCTATCCAAACAATTTAATTCTTATTTTTCAAATTTTAATGATTTTTACTCTAGAATTGATTCCTAATTCATATCTTTCAGAATTGTAACAAATAGATTGTAATAATAATTTTGTTAATCATATCCTTGATTACTTTACGAAAAAATGTTATTGATAGTATAAGATGGTTAGTAATGAGAGTTCATCAAGTTATCATTAAATAATAGCTCTAGTATCAATTTGAGGTTTCTCCTTAATAAATTATATATAAATAAATAATGAAAGCACCTAAATATATTTAGTAGGATGTAATTAAACAGGTATGTTAGGCTGAATAATTCCAATAACATAAATTTAATTTGGTAAACACTAGGTCTGATCCATATCTATCAAGAAGAGTATGAAACTGAATACATTTATTTTTAGCATGTTTTATAAGACAATGATAAATACCAATAAATTCGTGCAAATAAGTTCTATACCAAATTATAAGTTGACTTATAAAAGGAATAACAGTTATTGAAGGAAAATACAAAAATACTTAATCGAATAGTAGATATTGGAAATTAAAAAACTTATTCATCTCTTCCAAAACGATCGCTCACTAGATAAAATTCTGCCAATTCAATAAAGTCACTCAATTTATCTTACAGAAAGAAAGAGGCTATGAAAATAGTTGGAGAAAATGAGAAATTGATGCAGCGTCTATAGAGAACTCCTTCTACATTTAGAAATAAGGAAACGTTTCTTAAGGACTAGTAAAAGTAAGCAATCAATTCTATTTATACTAGGACTGTAGAACTCAAAAACAGAATCTCTAAGTACTCATAGCAAAATCAATAAAAGTTGGGTAAAATAGTTCAAAGATTAACAAAAACTACAACGAATCAGAAACCTCCTAAATCAAGCCAGAATAAAAGTAGTGCTCCTTCATATAAGAACTCTGCATTATCTTAATTGCGTATAGAACCGGAAAGATAATAACAGAAGTTTTAGTTCCCAAGAATTAAATGATTAATATATATAATTGTTTTTGTAATTCCTTATCAACAGAATTATCTCTTGATAAGGGCTAAAATGTATTCACCATCCTTAGGATCTGTACTATTGATTTTCAAATCCAATGAACCATTCGAATTGTAACAACCATATAATAATACGCAACTCTTATTTTCAGCATTGGCACCTGCACAGATAATTTCCTATTCAATCACTTCAATAATCTAAAAGAATATTCGGAATTAATATTTACATTAATATTAATTGCTTAAATCATCCTTCTAAAGTCTTATTCAGATTTAACTTTGCTTTGAAGAGTGACTTCTTTAATATTTTGATATCTGTCCCACAGTTGTTCATATTGATCGACATTAATATTGGCGGGTATATATTATTTGATTTATTGTTATGGGATTGTCTATACAGGAGGGGGTTGTGACCATTGTTATTATGGTTGTAATTATTATTGTTGTGGCTGAATTTATTAAGGCACTATTGGTTTTTGAGTTATTATTTAAGGTTATTGAACATATACCTAAGGAACTCCTAGGACTGGTTATTGAGCTGGTATAGGATCATCAATTTCTAATAAATTCTAAACTTGAGCTGGTGGTTTTTACTGAGGTGCTTAGATAGGATTTGGATTTGTATTCATAGGTTTTTGTGTAGATACAGCTGAAATTCCTTTTTTCTAAGTTGGTCTAATATATAAATAAGTTCAATTACATAGGTTATTATTATGTCTAGGAAATGGGAGCAAACAATTGATTTGCTAATTTCTGCTTTTCCTTTAAATTTGGATCTTCTTTTGGTGGTAGAGGCCTGACAGGTGGAATATATGTATTTTAAGTTGAATTAGTATTCACCCCCATTTATCCACTGCCCATAGCTTACATAGCAGTTTTGGTTGTTGTTGTTTAACCGCTTCCATTACTACCCATGCCAGTAGTTGACCCGATGGCCATAGGAGTTGCAACAACAAGTTTGGGAGCAGCCGGTTATTTTTAGTTGTAACCTGTGTCATCCCAAGGTCCTGCGATAGTTGGAGCTGATGGATTTTAAGTTGTTGTTTTATTTTCTTCTGTTCCAAAAGTAGCAGTTTTGGCACCTCCATATTTATTATCACTATAAGGTCCAAAATTAAGAGATGGTGCTTCTGTTGCTGAACCTAAGGCTGCTGCTTTCACTTATAATGAAGGGTTGTATGGCTGAGCTCCACGTTATCTTTCTTATTAGACATAAGCATCTAAGAATGACATTTTGGGATCCACAGTGACAAATTTAGAACCTTTGAGTGCTGCATTAAATTTAGCAAGAGTGAAGAAATCAATGGCTCTTTATTAACAATCAAGATTTTTTGATTGCATATATTTTTAAAAGATGGCTCTAGTTTAATCAAACATTTAAAATGCTCTTGCAGATTGCAATTTAGCCAAACATGTTAATATCCATGATATGGTGGTTTCGGATTCTAATTGTGAATCTAATTTAGTGATTACTAATTGAGTTAATTCATTTAATTTATTCGGATCTTGATCATAGATTTGTGATCCAATTTCACCAATAACCCAGCAGACAATTTTCAAAATGTTATCCTACAACTCATTTTTTAATAGATCAGAATAAATTTCAGTAATGAACACACCAAATTCAGTTCCAATATCATTAAAATTATCTATTAATAATTTAAAGAAATTGTTTCTGACATCATTATCTATGAATTCAGATCCGAATTCAAATAATGTGTTAGCTGTCTTAATGAACCATTCCTGAGTAGGTGCATGTTTTTCATTTAGTAAAGATATTTTAACAAACAAATCCTTTTTGAAATTAGTATCTGAACTCGTTTTGAGGAAATGGATCAATTTTTGAATAATGACTTCACAATTTTGTTCATTCGTCATTTTAAATAGCAATTCTAAGGTTTCTTTCTTTAATGTATCATCATTTGATTCTAGACAATCTACAATTGTCATTTGGTGTTCTAACACATACTTCTATGAAATAGAAACAATCTAAGTCAAAGCATTAATTCCTAAATATTTAAGATTATTATTATCGGATTTCAAAAATCTAGATACAGAATTAGCTGCTTATTCAAGTAGACTTTATTGAGGGTAAATTCCACTGATGCACTTGACACATTAGTAAGTCACAGCATAACCTATATTGATAGTTGTGTCGTCAGCTCTTCTTAAGGTCGATCCCAATACTTCGTAAATCTATTCACTAACTTTCAAATCATTGGCTCCCAAAAGAGTGAGGATTTGAAGCAACTTAATTTATAACCAAGGAGCAGGAAATCTATGATAATCATAATCCTTTGATTTTAATAAATAAAATTTTACTTTATGTAGTTTGTGTTCTATAATTTATTTGAGCATCGAAACAAAGGTTCCTGTCAATGGTTTGTACTTATTGACAGCGCCTTTCTTTAACTCTTCATGATAGAGATTGAAGGCTGCTCCCATAACACTGGGCTCTTTGTCTTGGATTCCTCTTCTGATTCTGTCATCATAATCTTATTCTGTGATGCAATCTTGGTTCAACTATCTGATAATCTACATCACCATCAATGCCTATAATGATATCATCGCTATACTTTCTTCCTCACAATATCAGTGTTATGAGTCAATAATTTTAATACAGGCTCTGTCAATGCATTCACAAAAGTCTTGCTGATCAATTTCCCAACTGCAGTAAGAGCATTGACTACGATGTGAACATTGGTCGATGCTAGATCTTTTTGGAGTGTGGCCACCAACAATATAAGTAACTCACTATCATTATCCAAAAATAAGGAACAACACAAATAGCCCAATCTCTTGAGTGCCAAATTCTTGGACTGCGTAAGATGAATTGCATTGATGTGTACAAAAGAAGCATCATGACTTTATACTTCACTTTTACATGTTACCCCAACATTTCAATGTAGATTGCTCTGATGAGCATTTCCTTCACTTTTTTCGGTGGCATGTTCTTCTCATTTAGTTTAGTCTTTAATTATTGAACTTCTTTGATGATGATTTTGTCCTCCTCCTATTTGCTACGAGTCTCTCCAATTGACTTGATCAGATCATGTAATTCCTTGCTTAAATGTGATCCCGATGACATCCCAAAAATTAATAAAATATATTTTAAAAATCTCGATTATTTCCTAATATGCAAATTTATCATTGGTGTTCTATATTCTATACCTTTTCAGGTTATTTGCAATTAGTTTCATTATACTCAGATGGATGGATTATTACTTCTAGAGAGATGAGCATTTTTCATAAGATAAAATATTGAAAAATAATGAACATCCATTATAATATACTGATTGCAATATTATCTCATTTTAAGGCGGCCAAATATTCGCTATGTTCTTAGAATGGTGTTGATTCTAATTTGGTGTGTCCCCAAAGATCTGGGGTAAGGAAATTGTAGGTTTCTTTAAGGGCATGGAAGGTAGCTTTCAAGAAGTTTGATCTGGTTCTTGTACTTCCTTTGGATTGGGTGTAGCAATCTTGGATACCAGCCATTTACAAGACCTTCTTGGATGTGATGGCTGCAACTATACCAGTACCTCTGGGTGCTGGGACCAATCTAACTCTGACTGATCCTTCCTTTCCTGTCACTTTGCATGGGACTGTGTGTGGTTGGGCGATCTTATTTCCCCAATATCCTTTTCTGACTGGAATCAAATTAAGTTTAGCATTGATGACTGCTCCTTTAATGGCTCCTTGAACTTCTTTGGCTGATTTCCATCCCAAACCAATGTGTTAGTGGGAATCTCCGACTACGACATAGGCCTTGAATCTGGTTCTTTGTCCTGCACATGTTTGCTTTTAGACTGGGCCAATGGCAAGTGGTTCCTCTTTTAAGTTCTTGAGGAAGTGATCGACGATTTGATATTCTAAAATATTTCAAAATTATTGATACCCTTAATTGGAATTGAGAATTAGAAAATAGTTTCAAGACTCTTGATTTTACCAGCCTTTACTAATCTTCCCAATTTGGTCAATGGGGTCCATTCTTATTCACCACCGAATCTTCTGGGTCCTCTATTTTATCTTGGAGCTCCTCCTTCTCTTCTTTCTCTTTATCCTCTTCCTCCTCTTCCGAATCCTTTCTTCTCAGCTGGGGCTGCTTATTATTATTCTGGAGCAGGTGCCTGTTGTTACTCTTATTCTGCCATTAAAATAAAAATCTTAATTTAAAAATTTGTTTTCAAAGTTGTACATATACATAAAAAAGTGGATAAAATAATTAATAAATGATTGGTCTTCTCTTAATTATACTTCCACAAGCATTTGCAAATTATTTTGAATAGAAGTTGTCAAGACATGTTTACGAATACAAGGATGTTCAAAAAGACGATATAGTAACTAGCAGCAAACCCCCAAAATGCTCAGATGAATTCTTAAATTATTATCATAATGACAGTTTTGTGACCCAAATTTGTTTTACCAAGAACGTATTCTATAATGTGGAAGTGATCTTGGGAGATCATATAGATAATAAAAGCATTTATTCAATGGCTGTATAAAAACTCATTACAATATATAATAGCTTGATTTAACCTCTCCTTGGACATGGTATAAGTCAAATTCATGTGTGAGTTGCAAAAGCCTGAAATCATTAAAATTTGACAATAACAAAAAGTGTAAAAGCTCAAAGAAAGTTGGAAAGTGCATTGATTCAAATTTTGAAAAATTATTCAATGCCACTAAATGGAATGATATCGACGTTCATGGTTAAATATACTCATCAGAATCTCTAATATAAGGAACTTTTCAAACTGACACCATAAAATTACTCGCATACAATTCTTCAAGAAAAATGACAATTTCACAATTCCTCTCGTATGAATGGGGAAACAGCACTCCACCTGCCTTGGTTAATATAACAGGACTGCAGATGCTTTAAGCGGATTACATTAACACTGAATTACCGATTTTGGCAGATGGCGTAATTGGGTTCGGATTCGGCTATACCGAAACAGATGAAGAGAAGGCCTAGAGTAATACAGACTTCGTTGAAAAACTAGTTTAAGAATAAACTTAGCTTCATTTGACAAGACAATAATTCGCTCTTTACACCTATTAGAGTTCGCTCAATTTTTCAGAGATGGTAGTGTAAGTAGGAGGTTTTGATTACAAGTATGTCCATAGACAGCAATAGAATGTAAAATGGATAGAAAGACTTGAGAAATCTGGTTATTATTGGATGGTTTAGGTGGATAAAATTCAATTTATTGTATTTTATTTATCATTTAATATAGAATGGCTAAGGCAATGATTTGATCAACGATAATTTACCCATCAACAAAGCTTTGCTAACTCTAAACTCTTAATTTATCGAACTCCCCTATAACATTCTGATATCCTTAATTAAAGCTCTTGACAATGCACATGTTGGGACAGAATGCAATTTAGTAGATAATGAAGTATTTCTATAATCTATAATTCAGATGTATTTATTATATTGCAAGAACTATCACTTCTCAACAGCTATTGATTATCGATTGACCTTCATATTTGGAGAACACACTATTCCTATTGATAATTATCATTTGATATATAGAAAGTGTGAGAGTGCGAGTGAAAATCAGATGATTTAGAATTGTCTCTTCAATATCAAAGTTTCGGAATCTGATTACATTATCTTGGGAGAACCCTTCATCAAAAATCATTATATAGTATTTGAGAATCAGCCAGGAAATAATGTGAGAAGAATTGGCATTATGCCAGCCGCTGTGCATATGTTCTATCCTGACAATCCAGATTACTATGAGTGGGCTCTGATTAAACTAGTGGGATTCATATTCATTTTTGGTTTGGTCAGCATTTGTTCTGTGACTTTTCTGAGAAGCGTGTGTAAGGATCTTTACAGAGCATTTAAATATCGTAGGGTAATTGTGTTCTAAAATATTATTATAAGGCTTTGAATCCTGAAGATAAGTTATCACTCAAACAGACAAAGGAGATGGAGGAATCAGACTATTCAACTGAGGAGGATATTCAAATTCAACAGAAAAATGAGGATGAGAAGAAGGTAGATGAATGGACGTAACAACAAGAATAGTTTAAATTTGGAGAGAAATTTACTAATTAATATGAATAAAATGCATTGTGATTAAAATGACATACATATATATATATATGTTTACATAGTATGATGATTGCGATCAAAATTTGGAATTGAATGTTTCACCTTCACCCAAATATGTGATGCCATCGATTTTGCCATTGGGCATTTAAGGATTACATGGTGTGTCTTCTAGAGTTTGAGGAGGTTGATTAACAACTCTTGTTGAGTTCTTCAAAATGCTCTTTTCAGCAAATTATTTGAGTGGAGACACTTATAGATGAATAACATCCCAGCTGATGGAATTAAAGAAGGGGTGATTCTTTATTTCATCATATCCTCCTTTAACTCCGATGCGTTCTTTAGGATCATTTTTGAGTAGTTTCTAGATTAAATCACATGCAGCTGGACTCATGGTCTTAGGATAGGTAGGATCATTGAGTAAAATTTGTTTGGTGATCATTTCAACTCTTCTTTATGGATCATGGAATGGTGGATTACCATTGATCATTTCAAAAATAAGAATTCCTATTCACTGTATAAATGCTAAGATACCAAGGGTCCATATATCAACTTCGTACGAGTGACCTTGTCTGGTAATGATTTCTGGGGCCAAGTACTCAGGAGTGCCAGCCAAAAGGTAAGATTTCTCATTATCTTTTCTTAATGTTGCTAGTCCGAAATCTGTCAATTTAACGTGTCCTGTTTCAGTCAATAAAATGTTTTCTGGTTTTAAATCTCTGTAAATAACCTTTAGTTTTGTATTTAAGTATTCAAGTGCCAATACTACTTCTGCTGCAACGAATCTTACGACATTTTCTGGTAATCCATTCTTCTTGCATTTGAGAACATTATAAAATTACCCTCCATTGATGCATTCCATCACAAAGAAGATATACTTAGGGTTTTGGAATGCAAATTTCAATTTCACTATGAAGGGATGTTTGCTTTGTTTCAATACATTTCTTTCTAAAACTGTGTTCGTTTCTAAATTACATTCTCTAATTTTCTTTATCTAAATTTATTTCATCGCATAAATTTTATTAGTGTCCTTCTTTCTCACCTAATAAACTTTCCCAAAAGCCCCCTAATTTTCAATTACTTATAATACTTGTCCCAGCATTCCTATCTTGATGAAATCATCTTGACTGATCTGCTATTTTAATGGAGGTGGGGGGATAACTACCAACACAGGTTACTTAGATGCACTGTTAGTCACCAATTTAGCTACTGTCAGACACAATGAATACTTTTGTCATCGCTTATTGAACTAATGAAGGATGTTTTCAGATCATGATTTGGACAACAATTTCCCATAAACTATTATATTAATAATTCATAAAAATTTCATTTATTAGAGTCCAAAGATTTCCAATAATTTTAATTAAAAAATGTATTTACCCACATTTTACAAATTAGGATACGAAGCTTGGACTGCCAAGAGCAAGAGATTCTTGGGAATTATGCCCGCTGTTGGATGCTGGGGTATGCTTTACTATTTTATTTGATTTTAGCTGTCTGGGCACTTTACCCAAATCTTTACAACACAATATACACTGATTTCATTCCCCCTCCCAAAGGTAATTGTATGTCCTAAATGAAGGTGTCTAAAGAAGAGTACAGGATGCATGAGACATTGATATATTAATATTTGAAAATTAAGATCATACAATACTTCTTAGCTATCCAATATATAAGTCACTTATTAGAATTCGATATATTTCCATAGTTTTATTCAATATGTTATACGTATATATATATATATATAAATTCTAACACACTATCAACATTTCGCTTATTTCTCTAAAAGACTACATATTCGTTAACCTATTCGAATCACTCAAATACATTACCATGCAAAGTGGACTTCAGAGCCTGATACTCTTGTTAATTTTTAATTAAGAAATTTAAAATAGATTGCTACATTTACTAATCGATCAAGATCAAAAATTTCTTGATCACATAATTAGCAAATTAATGATTTGCCAATTGGACAAAGTTAGAAGCTACATAGGAGAACTATTATTAAGCTTAGTTTCTGAAGAGCAGCCAATTTAGAACAGTTATCAATTCAGGTTTACTCAAAGTCTCCAAGGCTCTTTCGACAGTATTGCTAATATGTAGAGAGATGATTCGTTACCTTGCATACTTATTGATGCTTAATTGATAAAACTGTTAGATTACAAGTTAGATTAATCGAGTTTTCTCAGGAGATACTACCCAAAACTATAATATGTGCTGAAGAATATAGTTTCCAAATTCGGTTTAACTCAAGACTGAATAATTGGCGATAGATTGTTTAAATAGGTTGGCAATGTAGATGGGAGCGTATTGTTGGATGATCTTGTGAATGATTTTGCAACCGTAGATTTATTGAGCCATATAATGGAACTAGAATAGATGCATGATACTTACTGATTCTTCAACGATGGGAATGAGAAATTCCATTTTAGATTTATCATAGGATTCTAGCATCTTGAAAATGACATAATTGCCATTGGAATCGTAAATCAAAGATCTCATGTTCTAAACCAATTAAGAAAGTATAGAATTCTAGACCTCCTCTTTGCCTTACGAATACTCAATTAATTTCTGCATGACTCTGCAACCAAAGGGGTTCTTAGACAAATCATAAAAGTGCGTCTTCAACTTATTAAACATCCTGCTTTTTAGTTTGACATCTCCACTACTATCGAAGATCTTTTGGACTACATAATTCCCAAAGACATCCTTCTCAATTTGGGGACTGATCCTTTCCAACTTTTGGACTATCAACAATTATTGTTCTGGAGTGCCAGATTCAATTAGTTTCTGCAATTTTCGAGAAATTATTTGATTTCCCCATAGTGAATCCTATTGAGAATTTAATTTTAGTTATTACTATCAAACTAGAGATGTAGATGTCGGCCTCAATGTCAGGTTCGAAGTACATTAAAGGACTGGCTTCGTTGGAGTGATAGACTCCCATCCCTATAACGTTGTCACTCTGAAGATCTTTGAAGTATTGTTCTTCATTGATCGAAATCACTCTCTACGATAGAACTTATTTATTCATCTCTTATATTGGTGATTCCTATAACCAAAGTTCTTTGATATATTTAAACTTTTGATCGTTCAGAGACTAATTAGAATTGGGAGACGATTGACCTTCGTTGGTTTTGTTTTTATTGTGTCTGCGGATCAGCTCTTTCTACAAGCTCAAACTCTGATGCTTTTTAAACTTCTCCTCCTAATCGATTTCATCAATGAAGTCAAGAATCCCACTATGCTAATTAGTTAGGGGATCTAATTTGGGAGAAGTGTCCAATGTTAACTGCTCGAATTCGGATTGAAGAGAAATCGTAATCGGAGAGCTAATCTCCTCTTATCTTCAATAAGATTGACTCTTACTTTTATTTAGTAGGACTGCAGGATTGAATTGCTTATTAATAATTCATATGTAAAAATATTTTTAAATATTATGTCGATTATATATATCTATCCGTAATCATTATTTAGCTCCCTTGGGTTGACCCTAATGATAATCTGAACTGCTACTTTGGTGCATATATAGATATAATGGACATTCGGCGCGTCTTTGTCCTCATTTGTTATGGCAATCGACGTCGAAATTGTTGGCTTGTGCACTTATTTAACTACCACATTCCTGCAATAGAATACTAACTCAACATACCAATCATATTCTGGTTTCTCAAGGTATTGCAATCGATGCTCAGGCAAACCATACGAGATGATAAAGAAAACTCCCTTGGGTCCCAAAACTCTGTGGACCTCCTGGATCACCTTCTACGCATTCGAGGATGAGGACTCTCCACACTTAAAATCTACTTGAAACTATACCAATATGGCATCCAAAGTTCCCTTGTCTATTGCCCCATCAAATGCTCCTTCCTCGAAATCCATCGCTCTTGCATCCATGTGTAAATCTAATTGAAACTGCCTACTTACATTTGAAATTCGGCCCCTTGTCTTTGTACTTCTCCTACATTGCCTTTGTAACTACATGTGAGATATCGATGTTTGTAATATTCTGATAACCTTCATCAAACATCTCTTCGCTCAATCCTCACAAACTCAATATTATCATTACTTGAATTGCCTGCTCCAACATTCAAAAGCTTACTCTCAGGTGTGAAACATACTGAAACCAGATCTTTCACTCCTGCAAATCTCTGATACCAATCAAATGGTTCGGGATCCCTAACTATTCATTCACTCACCTTACCTCGTGTATCTTTCCTCCCAGTACTCTGCTTTACCATATTGAGACATTTGAAATCAAAATGAATTCGAATTAATTATTAATGTTTCTGTGTTTCAAATTTTAAGAATTAAAATATACATTTATGAAACACTATTCAAATTTATTACTCATAATTTCTTGATTAATCTTTATCTATTTCCTCATCTATCTATACCCCCATTGGTTTGGCTTTATCATAAAATTCAGATGTGTAAATAGTGGAATTCATAATTCAGAAAAAGCAACCCTGAACTCCATAATTAATTTTTAGTCTCTACCTCAAATATATATGATCAATTTCTTTCTAATAAACAAACTTATGTTTAAAACTTGTCAATTTTATAAATAAGTACTTACTGGATGAAGAGAATTTATCAATAAACTTTTTTCAAGGAACTCAAAGATATCTAAAAATAATTGCATCAAGAATGTGGCATGATAATTGAACTTCTATTCTTACTCAAAATCTTTGATTACAATAGAGAAAAAGATTATTTTTAATGTAACTGCTCATTCTTTCTTTTTGAACTCAAGAGAAATAACTTATTAATTATAAAAATGAAGTGGGGGTTAAAGTTCCTATTAGTATAGGGAAATAATCTATAGGGATGTTTATTTGATATTGTTTGAAATTATAATTTTATCTTAAATCATTGATGCTATATATTTGATAGATTAATTGATAGTTATTATTTTCTAATTCTGAAATCATATTAAAAATAGTTAGATATATTTTATATTTAAATCTTAGGATCTTAATTGCTATCTGTGGCTATCTTGAATCTAAATTACTTGCACTTTCTAATCAAATAAATTGTTATCATTTTTAATTTAATCTAATTAATATAAAGATCTCCTAAATTTAGGATTCTAATTATTTATGATTTCTATTCATAATTATTTTTGAAATGGAAAAGATGATAATCATATTCTTAAATAAAAAGGAAGGACAAATTCTGAAAAGATTGGGTTAAATAAATAAAATCACACATAAGAACCATTATATATAAGGAGTAGATGAAACATGTGGTTTGAAATTGATGATATGCCAAATTTAGAGGGGTTAGATTAAGTATGAGAAAATTGGGGGAGTCTCTGGGAATTATATTGATTTATGAGTAAATTTCAAAAGTGGAATAATTCGTTTTTTTATTATAAATAATTGTTATGTTGTTGATAACAGCTTTATTCCTTTTAGGAACAGCTAAGCATTTTACAGTAGAGTTAAAAAGTCGTCATACTTAAGAACATTTAATTGAAATCGTAAATTTGTTGTAACATTCACATGCTGAATTGTTGGAGGAAAACAATTATTAGAAGATTGGAAAGGGAGTTGAAGGGGCACTCCAATTTGAGACAGTGATGCTTGAGAAGAATATTTAGAAAAAGAATTTAAAGCATTAGAATCATCATAATAAAAAATAGGAACATCATCATAAGAAAAGAAAAAATACAAACATGGTTGTAAATGAGTCATTGATGGATGTGATACCTTTAACAGCCGAAGAAAAAGGTTTGTTTGAGGAATCTGGTGCATTAGCTCCAGTTGACATCCATATAGAAGAATAAATGGAACATTAAAGTCAAAAGTTATTGACTACAAACAGGAATCAGGATGGATTATATATAGCCGATGTGCCATTGACAAATATAGCTAATACTATGTTCATTGGTGAATTATAGGTAGGAAGTGCATAGGGAAAAAATTCTTTTGATGTTATTTTTGATACAGGTTCTGCATTGACATGTGTAGCTTCAGAGTAATGTAAAGATATCGGATGTTAAAAGAGTAAGAGATATAATAGAGCTGAAAGTCAATCATTCAATGAGATTGGCAAATCAGTGGAGATTGTATTTGGTAGTGGAACTTTGAAGGGACTGATAAACAGAGAGAGAATAAGAGTAGATGGTCTAGATTTGAAGGATGCATTGTTTATTGAAGTGACTTAATAAATTGGAGATGCATTTCATGAGGGTGAATTCGATGGTATTGTGGGATTAGGCTATCCTCATATGACAGGAGTACCCACCTTGTTTGATTACATGATCTAATAGCATAAACTACACTCAAATGTGTTTACATTCCATTTGAATAGAGCAACTGGAAATTCAGGATCATAATTAATCTTTGGTGGAAGTGACGATTCTCAAATCAAAGGAGAATGGGTGTACCATCATGTTCATGAATAATTCTATTGGTCAATAATGGCAGAATAGATTAAAGTTGGTGATAAGGATACTGGGATTTGTACACATTAGCATAAGTGTAAGATGGTTGTTGACACTGGAACCACTTTGTTGACAGGACCAACAAAGGATGTGAGAGCCTTGTTGTCGATGATCAGAGTTGAACCGAAATGTCAAAATTATCCAACAATGCCAGATATCACATTTGTTATTGATGGACATGATTACATCTTATCACCTAAGGATTACATTCTAACTATCACATGTATTTATAATAACTATATCCAATAGAATCAGGAGTTGAAGCACCTTATCATCATTCAGCTATGGATTAGATTGTTGGTTGTGCTGGAACTATCTTTCCTTTAGATTTACCACCCAAACAGTATGATTTTATATTAATTGTAGAGGTCCCTTATGGATCTTAGGTGATGTATTTATTACAAAGTACTCTGCTAAGTTCGATAGAGATAAAAACAGAGTTGGTTTGGCCTTAAATAAGAATCTTGAATGAAATCATAAAAAAACATATCGAATAATTCATCACTCATTTGTACTAAAATATTATTGAAATGTCTGCAATGCTTCACTATTGTATATCAATCTGACATCCTCTTTATTAAGTTATTCGAATGCTTGATCCTCATAGCCTCGGTCATCATGTAAACTAAGAGTAGACTTCTTCGATGGCAACAGAGTTTCCATCTTATCTCTTTCAGCCTATTCTCCTTGATTATAAGGGGAGATCTTATGAAATATTCTAAATATCGTATCTATGAAGATGAGACATTCCATCATTGAATGGAATTTGATTGATGCTTGTTCACTCTAATCATCATACTTTGACATTTGACCCCGAGTAGATATCATTTATTCTAAGTACAATAGGAGTTGAGTGCATTGATCGATTCCTTGACCTAACAAAGTTGGAGGACCTGTTCTCTTCTATCTCTCTTTACCCAATCGAAAGAATGTAATCATTATGTCAATATTAAACTGTTTGATTCTTGCTAGATATCTCTTTTTTACTGCCTTGTTTTACACATAAGACTCACTCAATGCAATCAAATATTTAATAATGAATTTCATTGTGCATACTTTCAATACACTCGGAGGTCTCTTCTGAAATTAGTCAGACAATTCAAACCAAAATTAATTAGTGTATAAGTCATTCTTCTTCATTTGTTGAAACATACTATGTTCTTCTGCTTAATTGAATTCAGATCTATTGATGTTACTATCTATGTAATATCTCCATCTGTATTCACACAAAGCAGGTGTCATTTTGCTGTAAAAGAATATTTTATTCATCTAACTTGAAATTTAAGAAAAATCATTCTGGAAATGCTTTTGCAATTTCAAGAGCAAGTCATCCTCTTGTGAATTCCACTTCACTTTGTCCAATTGCTATAGTTCAATGTCCATTAAAAACAAATATTTAGTATTTCATAGTAATATTGTAATTATAATATATGAAAATCATTATAATATTTATATCAATCACCTTGAAATTAAATGAAGTTTTTTGATGTAATTTCGTATTTCACGCCTTCAATTATCACATATAGAGGTTGTGTGTTCCTTGAAGAATTGAACTCATCCAATATCTACTTTAATTAATTGTGCTAAGTCTACTCCTGTCCTTTAAACTAGTAAAATAGCAATAGTAAAACTTACCTATTGAATATGTTCGCTTAATTATCTAACCTACAATTCATTCACTCTTTATCTCAAGATGTGATCTTTCTCAAAAAGTTCCTAAGTCTTAGGTTAAGTCATCGTAGCCATTACTCCCACCAACATATTCATTAAAAAGAATCCAATAAAAATGGTCAAAAACAAAAAGTAAAAGACATAAATAGCTTGATGTCGTATCACTATCCTAGCTACATCTCCCCAACTATCAAAGGTCACTACTTACAACATGAACAAATAAGATTGAGTCAGAGAATCAAATAAGGGGTAACCCACATCTACTTTAATGAATTAGTGACCAATCAAAGCCATAGTAAAGAGTAGGCCTCCTACAAAAATGATAATATGGCTGACTCCAGGCAACACTTCAACAAATTTGAACAGCAACTTTTGCACATAGAGTATGGCCAGTACTATAAGCACTCTCAGCATTGGCCCAAATCTTATGTCTTAATAAATGGATAATGATATTATGTCCACGATTGTTGCTGCTGGACCTGCAATCAACAAGATTATTACGACATATAATCTGACTGAATATTCTTCATTTCTTATTTAGGTTTCATCTTGAAGTTTCTCCTCAAACTGGCTTTTTTATTCGTTGATAAACTATCTGAATTACATTATCTTCTAGTAACATAAAATGCAGAAATATATGCCAAAGATATTCTCTATCACGATCAAGGCATAGTTAATTTAACGTAAATTACTAAATAATTACACCATTGATAGCAGTATTTGTAATGAAATGTATAGGTAAATTGAGACTTCTGATTCATTCAATCCCCAAGATTTACGATTTAATTAATAAGGAGTCTGATCCATATCTAATAATTTCAAAGCATCTCTTATTTCTATTGAATGTCTGTACTCTAAATTCAAGTCCTAGTTTAGGACATCGTCATGTTAAAAGTCATATTCAAAGTTTCTTCTCAAAGTAGGATTTGAATAATAACTAACAAATGCTCCCAATAATAAATTGATAAAATAGAAAAACATGAACAAAATGAAAAACAGGAAAAATATGCTCCAAGCTTATCCGTAATATTTTGAAACCGATTGATTAACTTACAGGTTCCAACTGTCTAGTGTCAATACCTAAAACATAGACAGCATTGACTTGAAAATGTTTCTAAAAAACTTGGGACTAATTTCTTAGAAAATAGCATAAGCTATATAACTATAAACATAATATGTTAGAAGAAGAGCAAAGTTGATGTATCTAGATACATATAGAATGTAAAATACATCCTTGATCAATAATCTAAAATTAATCAAAGTCTCACCTTATTTTTTCTAAACAGAATATACGCAATAGTAACATAATATCAGAGATAGTTATGGCAACTTCCACGGTTACGATTGCAAAGTAAACATTTAGTATTAGACTCAGAGGACCGCTGATGATATCAATTATCATAAATCCGATACCTAATTAGTCATGTTTATACCATAATAATGTCTGTTCAAATATAATTTGTTTATGAATTTATATTTAATGAGAAAATCGATTGTAATTAAAAAGCTGAGGATAAAGTTGATGATTCTGAATCTCATGTCGACTTCATCTTGTTTTCCACAGAAAAAAATGAAATTCACAAAAATCATTATGCCAATGCAAGATGAAATGATCTCGCTTGTTTGCAAATAGAACCTTCTAACAGAGAACACCCATCCATCCCCCTTTGTTAGGAAGGGAGGAAACAAAGCGATATCTTTCTTAGCAAAAAGTCTAAATGGCATGCAATATATTATTTTATAAATATAATTTTTATGATATTCTTGAATTCCATCCTTGATTCCTTATGGAAGCAATAACGAGTATTTCATCATATTAGCAAGTATGATCAAATGCATTTTCTATTATGTAATATAAATGAATTGAGCTGAACTCGTGCTCGGAGAACAACGAGAGGAAGTTCGCAATTATTTTATAATTAATTTGTATTCGTTGAATGCTCATAAATAAATTATCTGATCATCCAAACTCATAAAGTGGGTCATTTGTCCACTTGTCTCCGTAGGCTTATGAGGCCTTGTAAACTTTAGAGTAAATTAAAAAGAATAATATGCTGCAGCAGAATTCCTAAATCGTTAGAAGAGTGTCATCACAATATGTTCAATAGCCTCAAAATAATTATTAGCATTCATCCCATGAAGCTTTGGCATCCCCAATCCATCAGAGAAAAGAGTCTTAAACCAATTCATCTTTATCGTTCATTAAAGGAGCTTTATAATCTAATCGTACTTATAAGTAGGAGACGGAGGGGAGTCACAAACCTAGTTCTCAAACAGAAAGGCAGATTAGTTAGCAATAAACTTTGGGAAAATCAGATGAGCCCACTCCATTCTTTAGAGACACTTTATCAAGTGATCGCAATAAATGCAATTAGACTAGCTTAAGCCAATATTTGGCTAAACACCAATTTCAATAGCAATTCAAATATATCAATGAAGAATTATAAGCATTTAAATAATAGGTCGAAAATGATGTGTTGATTGAAACTGTCATCACTAAATTTGAATCCCCTAAGGATATTTCCGAAAATAGTCAGTTGCTTGTAGATCAATCATAAAAGGAGAATTTGTCTCCTACAACTAAATTGATGATGAAAAAGAAATTGATCTTAAATCAGATCCTCTCTCTCGACAATCAGATTAAGATCATGGAAGATGAAGAGACTAAAATTGCTCTTGATCCTTAGAAATCAAAGAAAAAACAAAATATTAGCCTGTCCTCTTAAAATCAACAAATTGTTGAAAGTCTTTATGAAAGAGCATAAAAAAAGCAATCTAATTTTAAAAAACTTTTTGAAGAAACTTAAATTCATAAGAATCAAGAAGAATTGAAAGAATGCACGTTCATTCCGAAGATAAATAAGCAAAACATATCAGGCAAGTTTATGGAACGCTTGGATGATTGGGTCAAGAGGAAAAATCAAAAGATAACTTAATAGTAGGAACAAAGCTAAGAAAGAATCATGAGAGAGTGTACCTTTAGTCCTTTAAATAAGCAATTATGCAAGACCAATCTTAATCATACTGCAGTTTATTACAGAAATCAAGAGTGGTAGAATAGATTGAATATTAAGAAATAAAAATTAAAAGCTTAAAATTCACTTATTTAAATGAGTGCCAAGAAGGAGTAGAATACTCCCAAGAAAATAAACAAGAGATCTAGTTCCTCATAATATCAGATTGATCTTGCCAAGATACTGCAATCAACAAACTCATAGAATACAACCAAAAGGGTAAAACATTAGTCTCCTTTCCATACCGAAATTCAGAGTGGGATTCTTAATGCATCTAACAAAAAAATTGAAAACATTGATATGAAGTATTTGCAATTATGTGAAATAGCCAATAGAATTAAAGCCAAATCTAAATGCTGATTTTTAACTTTTATATAATATATATATCATTATCAATAATTTAATGGAATCACTCTAGGAAGCTAGGGCCTTACTATTTACTACATTTCAATTTCATCTGTTTGTTTTTTGATTTTTAAGTTGATCATTACCATAATAATTATACACACAACCAAACAAATGGCTCCAAAGATTATCATATTTAGAGGATCGTAGTTATCTGGCAGGGTTATTTCTATTTAGAGAATTTGTTTATACATTTATGATTAACTTGAACCAAGGGATCCTTTACATGTCTTAAATAGATCTAGATCTATTTGGTTCTCTCCTTGCTGTATTGGGCCAATTGCTAATTTTCATAACAACCACTCAATATTTCATTTTTATCGAAAACCAAGCAAACTGAACTTAACTACTAGAAGCAATCTTCCAGACATTCTCCAATTACCAACTTACGGTAGGGAATACTTACGCAATTGGATCCACAGAAAGTTTCTTTGTTAGCTATTGAATTAATGAGATGAGGCCATTAAAGTTCTAAAAATTTGGAATGCATTATTTGATGTTCTGGTTAAGGCATCTCTACTGAGAATGCTTGTATCTCGTATGAAAATTAATTGAACTTCTCGTTGGTTTTGATTAGTTATAATTAGTGTATTGTATTCTTGGTTTTTACATACATTTGATCTTAAAAGGTTCCAAGATTAATTGAACTCAATTCTGATAAAGACTTCATTATTTTCACTAATATTAAAATGATTCTAATACTATTTTGTTCATTTAAAGCGTTAGATAAAATCATAAGAAAAGAGATTGTCATAAATAAAGTGCCAAAAAAGCCGAACGAATAAAAAAAGAAGGCCTTTTTCAATCCGCCATCTAAAATATGAGCATATTTGCATACTTTTCACAACTCCAAAGAGATCTAATTTATTTATTTATTCCATTTTAGAATTGGCTTGATAAAAAATTAATTATATTAATAAAAAAATGGGGAAGGCATTTTAGACAATAAAGTATGTGATATTTAATATTAATAATAATTCTTATATTACTCACTTAAATTCAAAAGTACACATTTCACAAAAGTGGTTTGAATTTGATTGCAAGTATGTACAAACTGGACATTGCATATTGTCATCATTTTTGGATCCTGTGTCTGGCTTAAGATTAGGCATGAACACTTACACTTCTTCATCGATTCTCACTCTAAAATACATGCAAATCTTTACTGTTTTTTAGGTTGCTATTATGGAGCAGAGTTGCTTTATTCATTGAAATGAATGTCCATCGTTTCTATAAAGAGTCCCCAATCCATCGAAGGAATTGTCTTCATAATGGTTGTCAAGTATACAGTACTATGAGGAGGAACAACCTTGCAAATTTTAGCCGGGTGTCTATCATTCATTACAATATACTACCTAAAATTAACCATAAAATCTGGATCAAGAGTAATCTAATAAGTTATATGCAGAGTTTGATTTGTAGTATTATTCAGCATGAATCTCTTCAGCATGGGGGCTATTTGAATTTCAATATCACAATGCATCAGTTATTGGGGTGTCTCTCCGAATTATCTAAAGTAATATGTACATTACTTACACAAGAGGAATAGTAGTTGGGACATCAGCCTACTTGTTTGCATCTGAGATATGCTCTAATTCCATCGAGAACTACGACAATTAAGTCATCGATTCTTGTTCGGCCTTACTTTACTCAGAGGTCTTATTGAGGTCTGTACCAAAATCAATTCCATCTATAACGTCCTTCTTTTTTGGGAGTGGAGGGGGTTTTGGAATGGTGAAAGATCCTTACTGTTGAATCAGGTGATGGACATTCGAAGAAGGATCTACTTTGGCAGATTACAAATAAATGTTATCATACAATATTGTCATAGGGAAGACACTATTGGTTGTCAAAGTAGGTTTAGATTCAGCAAAATAGACTGTGGATTCATAACACTCTAAGATGACTCCATCAACTTGGACAACACTTGAAATCAATTCTGTCTGTATTACATTGCCTATGATGTAGATGGGTTGAATAGATTCATATAATCCAATTTCTGTTATTTAAGAATAGTTGCTTTTAAATTGCTACCAAAACTATAAGGTTTCTTCAACTTCCTTTTGTTTATTGAAAAATATGGTTGTTGCTATGACAGGGTATTTTTTACAATCATCTAAAAATTCATTCAGGAATCCTTCAAACCAATCTGTGTATTTGGAGTATAAATAACATGGAGGTGGCAGATTAACTAAGTATGAAAATACTGATTTGTTCGCATTGGCAGCAGCCAGAGTCATTTTCATCATTTATATAGCCACATTTTAAAATCGTTTTTGATTCTCAAATAATAAGTTCAGGATTGAAAGATTATCATTTTGAGAGCCTATGTGAGATTAATAGAGTATGCTTTGATATGATAAATTGGTTGAACAACCTGTGGTGTACTTGTCTTAATAATTAGGCTCTGGGAAACCAAACAACCATTCAATGCGTTCTTGTTGATAAGAGTCGTAAATGTTAAGCAGATTGTAGGCTAAACCTAAGTATTAACCCACAGATTCATAGTTCGCTTTGTTAATTTCTTCTAACAATACTTCAATTATAGATCGGGATAGAGGTTCATTGTTGAATACCATTCTTTAGATGATCAATTTAACTGTTTCAAAATCCTGGCATTCAGTTAAAGCTCGTTTATAGAAGATTTAAGTTTGAAGACAAAGAGTATCATTTTTTGATAAAACATAATGTTGGTCTTACAATAAATATTGTATGCATTAGAAAAGTTAGGAATAGAATGGCACAACCATCTTACTGGCCATTGTTATTTTTTTCTCAGAAATAAATTCATAAAACTAAGTTTTTTATAATCCTTAAGGAGATTGCTTCTCCATAAAGAAATCAGCAAATATGGAAACCAACTCTATTTGACTTGCAAATTTGACATTGATAACTGAGGATTTGACAAAATCCCTCCAAAAGGTGAAATAATAAATAAATTTAGTTGGATTTTTGGCAACATCATTTTATAGTTTCTGTATTAAATCTAATAAGAATCTCATCACAATTTGATCACAACTTACTGTGCTATTGTCTGGCTATAGAACTGATAATAACTCAGTGTTTAATGAAAGAGCATGGATGTAAGTGATAACATTTATAAAATGCAACAGAATTTGCTATATTGCCTATCTTATATTGTAATCAGGAGCACACAACAATACATTAAATACTCGTTATGAACGATTTACTATCATATTTTGAAAAACCTAAAACGCATTAGTTGGTATAATATTGATGAGATTCATAATAATGAGGACATAATTTTTAATAGTGGAATGATCAGATGACCTCGCAATCAATTCTATTGTTATATAAGTCATATTCGATAACAATTAATAGATCTTTTCTTATCCCTATATGTCCTAATAGTTAGTGTAAATGCCAAAGTACTAAGGCACTTATTCTGGATTTGTGATTAGGATGTAGTCCTCAGGGTATGGAAAAGCTTCTCCAATTTCTTTAACAAATCTAAAGAATTCCTCACTGTAAATATGTCTCTCCATCATAAACCTGTGATTATCATGCCAAATCTCCTGATACAAAGAGTCTGGGATGTGTTGTTAAGTCATTGTCTTGTAATCTAGTTTATATGTAAGGTCTTAATTGTTCTCCTCTTAAATGACACTATCAAATTTCTGCATGATCTCCTGTTTTTATTGTAGATCAGCGAATTTCAATTCAACCTACTCTTTCTGTATTCTCTCGTATACTAAAATGTATGCATTAGTGCTGCTGCTAGACTCTTGAAAGTCTTGGCTATCTTCCGTATCTTTGCCTCCATAACATTCATGTGGTAATCTTTTAACATCGAAATCCTCAATCACAGAGTCATTGAATTTCAACCACTTCTCATCCTTGGTATTAATCAAACTATAATAGTGTCCATATTAAGCAGTTCCTTTGTGAACCACTACGCCTTTCAATTTGTATTAATAATATGATTATTATTTAATGTCAGAGTTAAGCAATCCTTCTCGTGTATACTATTATAGATTGAGATTGTGTGGGAATTCCAACCGAGTGCTTAATTTTTCATTCATGAAGATATCCAAATTGAACACAATTCTTTGGATATGTACTATCAACACATTTGGTAAGGTTTGTAAGCATTGTCGTTTGATGAGGTCATTCTTTTGCTTGCATTACTCGCAATAGTAATCTTTGATGACCTCTCCATTTATCATACTTTCAAAGGATTCATGAATTGATTTAACTCCTTTTACTTTCACTGAAAGAGTATAAAAAAGATCAAATTTTTCTCTCATATTTTTGCACCCGTTACATATCATTTAACTGCAAGTCTAACCGCCATAAATAGACTCTATAAATTGTTACCACCCTTTGTTCTTTAGTTAATTATCTAAACGATCAAAAAATTGATTTAAGAATTCTTAAGCATCCTATTGTAAAGAGACATTAACAGGTTGATTATCATAATCCTTAAAGGAATAGCAAAAGAATTGAGGATTGACATCAGGTCTTTCACTCAATTCCAAATAAGCTAATAATCTCTGGAATTGATGAATTGAGTTGTCGTCTATCTGATATTCTAGACCCTAATTATCTTTGTATTGAACCACTTTGTTCTCAACACCATCTTCAGCTCTCAACATGCTGTATCTGAATTCTGGAGTCATGAAGAATTACTACATCATTGCATTCATGTAACAAATACATCCCAAATTACGAATGCCCACAAAACCATGGTATGTTTTTGGATTTAATTTTATATCAAATCCACTGAATATAATGGTCTGGTATATTATTGTATTTAAATCCAACATCTCTGGATTGTAATTCTACTTTAAATACAATATTATGATTCTATAAACAATCTTCCTGCTCTCTGGAGATTTGCTCTTAACATAATCTGGAGTGTATTACTTCTAGGGGGTAAGTTAAAACGTATTTAAATGGAAGCAAAACAAATGAACCTGGTATAAGTACATGATCAATTATTGTGTCAATATACTTTAATCCACAATACTCAAACTTTCTAAAATTGACAACAGACCTGTAAGAGTTTTATCAGATGTCAGCCCAATTCTCGACTCTGTTGGTTCATACTCCTTTAGTTGTGCTATGATATTTTCTGCAAATTATTAATCGCTATATTTTGATTCCTGAATCAACTTAGCAAGTAAATCAAAATAGGATTACGAATCCTTGTTTTCGTTTTAGGGAAACAATTCAATCAATATGTTGATTAAAATCCTTCCCAACTTATTCTAACATTTGAATATCAAGTACAAAGAATTTCCTGCAAACTTCCTTATTAATAACTACTTGGGAGCATACAGTAACTATTCATAACGCTATTTAATTGTTTGGATGGATGAAACAAAGTAATCTAAACAATTTCCCAAGTTATACCCTACGATTGTAGTGATTAAAATTAAAATAAACTCAATGATGAATCTATCTTCAGTTATATCCACTTACATATTTACTATGCATTTTAATAAATCAACATAATCTAGTTGGATATCTAACCCATTCATAAACTTGACTAATTCTAAGAATTCTTCAGTCTCCTTCACTCTTAATAAAGGTTTATTGTCAGAAGAAGATGGATAAGTGCCATCAATCAATTGGGCAATAGTATCAAATGTAGCTTAAATTGGTTACTTGACATGTTGCTGAATTTGGTAGATGTTATTGAAAATAGGTTGGAATTAAGCAGATATGTGTCTGCAGAGAATATTCAAGATCAAACATTATGCCAATTTGACGATTTTAATATTTTCTTATCCTAAGTTGTTTAAAATGAATTGTAATTATTTGAATCCTCCATAATTAACAAAGTTTCTACAATATTGTTCAGTGTATAAAAGATGTTCGATAATTTTGATTGAATATATTAATTGATAAGACCTATCCTTTGTGAAAT